TCCGACTGCTTCTGTATTCTTCACCGCCACCACCACCACCACCACCACCACTATACACCACCATCACTGCCTCCCTCCGCCTCGCTTCCTCTCTCTCTTCTCTCTGTGCCAGTGGGAATCCCGGGTGTGACGACAGAAGCTGATGCTGCAGTAAAGTAGCGGCTGTGCTGCTGAGGCTTTGATTCTGGATGCTGTAACGCCCTTGATGTGTCAAACAATTAACAAAAAGCTGCAGAGAGAGGAGACGAGGGCGAGTCACAGTGAGTCAGGAGTGAGGCTCAGATGAAGAGAAAGATACAACATCTTCAAATAATATTCTGGACCAGGCTGAGCTTGGCTCTTTCTCCTTTCATCCATCTTCTCTGAGGCAAAGGTGACCATACGTAACATTTAACTGTCGTTTTTTCGTCCACCCTGTGGGAAGTTTTTTTTTTTTTTTGCTTTTCTCCCTTTAGATTTTTATCTTTTTCAAAAATATGTGTTTTTCAGCCTCTCCCTTCCTCAGCTGCGACCCCCACGTCATGCTGCGTTATGAGGACCTAATCCCCCGAGTGGAAACGTCAGCACAACATTAACAGCTGACCTTCTCCTCTCCTCACATGTGCAGATAAACAGAGGCAGCGCCAAACACGAGGAAATGTTAGCAGCATATGCAGCATGTTTTCTCAACAATGGCACTTTGTCAGAGAAAAAAACTAATGTTAAAAGCCTTTAGTTGTAGATATTTATAGTTTAAATCAATACAGTATATGTGGTTAAATTCAACCCCATCACTATGTTCAGGACAATAAAGAAAGTTTTTGATAAAAAATGCTATCAAGAAAAACTAGGAGGTCTAATACGCCTGTGTTTCTTGTGACACAATATAGAAATCTGGCTCAGCAGTGTAATAACATTATAAGATTAAGTTTAGATATCATCAGAAGTGACCTCATGCTCAGGGAAATGGAAAGATATCTCGACCTAATATCAGGGACAAGTTGGTTCAAAGATTCCACCTAAAAGAGAAGATAAAAGCTTCATAACACTTTATAAAGTATGAATATGACATTAGTTTTTTTTAGTTTGAAAAATGACAAAGAAAACAAATAGCATATAGTGCAGGGAGAGGCAAAAAGCTCAGGGGGCTTATTTAAAACCTCCACCTAAGTATGTTGAAATATCACAAAATTATAGAAATACAAAATAAAGAAAATAATGTGACTACATAAAAATGATGAGAAACTAATAGATTCAAAATATTTATAATACAATTAACAGCAATAATAACAATAACATCAAAATAAGAGCAGGAAAACATTGCTGTAACATATAGGAAAGGAAAGGTTTTAGATTTAAGAACATGTAATACATACAATAAGGAACATCGAAACTATGGTACACTGTCTGTGCTCCTTTCAGCCTTTACATGAAGGATATTATGAAGCCTTTTTATATGCAACATTATTAATTCTATGTGTTGATGGGACTGTATTATACTGCATGATATGAATAATTAATTTTTCTATTATTCTGTCATGCATACAACTATGTCCAGCCCATATCTGCTCACAAGACAGACAGAAAGAATCATAGTGCTGCATTACACATTTTCATTTTCATTTTCATATTCACGTCCTTTGCTTTCTTTACCAGGCTGTTGAGAGTCAGGAAAGATAAACAACCATAACAATCTGTGATCTTCAGTTTTGAAGAATTTTTATGGAAAATAATCTTTCTTAAATCATCTTAATTTGTACAGTGCAAATTTCCTCTTAATGACTTGTTTGACTAATTTCTGGCTAAACAACGAACATTTTCTTTGCATCTGTTTGTCGCTGCATTATATGAGATAAGACTAGTGTTTACTTCTGGTGTCCATACAGAGAGCCAAGTGTAGTAAACCTTTAATACGCTCTCAGACAGTTTTTCATCTTCTAGAGCATCTCAAGGATCCCTGTGTCTCCAGTTGACTGCGTGTAAAACTGACTTGCTGCTTGTATTATCATTCAAAACATCTATTTTTACATCATCATGAAATCTGAGCATCTGTTTTTCTGTATCTACTTTTTAAACAGAAATATCTGCAGAGAGTCTGGGAGACATTAGAATACTGTGTGCTGTGAATATATATATATATATATATATTTAGCTTTACCTGTGATAGACATTGAGTACACATTGTCCTGCTACTTCCACAGACCAGTCACTCATTCTGCAGGTACATTATGCTGCAGCTATAGCTTTGATATACAGTTAATAACACATTAATAATACATGCATTTCCCTCAGGGAGACATGTGGTCAAAGTATTATCGAATCTTGCCTCCTGCTGGTAATTGAGGACATGACAGTTCAAACTTGAGCCATTTGAATAATATGTAAATGTTATTGTGTTCTGTTATGCAGGTACCTTTGCAGATTTAATACATACAAGCCTGCGAGGTCAAGAAAAGCAGCGTCTAACTGCAGCAGCTGACAGCAGTTTGTTTTGCTTGTGTTAAGCTTCGTATTTATCATAGCATGAAAAGAGATGAGGTGTGTGTGTGTGTGTGTGTGTGTGTACAATATAAACTGTCACAGAGGAAACACAATTTGCATTGTGAGCATGTTTGGATTACTTGTGTTTGCCTGAGTGTGTGAAAGAGCAGCACCAGACTCTTCCAGGTGTGTTGACTAATTGCTAACCTCCTCATTAGTGTGTGTTTATGTGTGTGTGTTTGCATGAGGATCATTATCCCGTAGTTACATTCACTGAGCCAGTAAATCTTGCGTTGCAGCGACTTGTTGTCAGAGAGGAAATGAATCCAGAGAGAGCAGCAGCAGCAGCAGCAGTGGCGGGACTGTCAGTGATTTACTCAGCTTCAAACCTTCAGGAAAAGTCCTGGATTTGTATACAGTGTGTCTGATAGAAATTAGGTTAAGTCAATATGAAGAGACAGAGCCACTGTGGCTGAGCTAACAGAAACACTGTCATTGTGCTGCAGCTAAAGCCACACAGTGGATACAGTCACAAACAGATCTGGATGTGATTAAATCCCCTTCTACCAATCTAATGAAGATATACAGCACTGCAGCTAGCACGCTCTCTTCACCTGAAGTGTGACACTCACTGTCTGTTGGCTGTGACAAGTGGCTCTGAAAAGTTTGTTGCAGCAACATGTGGTCACAGTTACCACTCACAACCTCCTATAAACTCTGTGTTACTGCACTTCTCAGTTTGATTGTGGTCAAATATTGTTTTGTTTTGTTTGGTTTGTGGTGGTCTTATAGTTTTTTTAAATTTAAACTTTTCTGCGTTTAAACAGGAAAACGGCGACAGTCAGGCATTATGTTTTCGGGTTGTCCATCTGTCCGTCCGTCCCATTCTCCTGAACGCGATATATCAGTAACATCCTATGGGAACTTTTTCACATTTGGCACAAACATTCATTTCAGCTAAAGGATGATCTGATTAGATTTTGGGGGTCAAAGGGCAAGGTTAGGTGACCTCACAAAACATGGTTTTGGCCTTGTGAACGCAACATCTAAGGAACATGTGGAGGGAATGTCCATTTGGACTCAAGGATGAACTGATAAGAATTTGATGGTCAAAGGTCAAAGTTCAAGGTCACTGTGACCTCACAAAACATGTTTTTGGCCATAACTCACAAATTCAAACACTAATTATGATGCAATTAAACATGTTTTATGGGATACAATGATGAAGTGATAACATTTTATATCCAAAAGGTCAAAGGTCAGCTTCACTGTGACATCATAAAGCTCTGTAAAAACACTCAGGAAGTGGAGATTGTGACCATATTTCCTGCAACTTGGCTGGTTGGTGGAGGCATACAGCCATGAGGTGGTGATTCTAGTTTTAGAGTGTCCTGGTCGAAGGAGGCTGCAGCAGTGAGTTACAGACAAACAGCAAATACCAAACCACATGCAACAGGCAGCTGTAACATTTTGTTTGTGTGTCTCATGTAATTGTGCTTGCAGGGGGTCTGAGTGATCCCGTAAAACATTTTCAGATCCGCTAATGCAGAACATGTAGTATGTGCTTTCTGAATCTGACGACTTTTAGCACTGGTACGCACTAGTATAGTCGTATGCGTAGATCTATAATTTGAGTTGATAGTTGCAGTAAAACTATAAATTGTTGTGCAATGATGTGTTGAAAGGCTGAAATATGTAATTTATGTGACTATTTGGTACAAAAGATCATATAAAATGAATCCAGCTGTCCTCATCTGTAAATGATCAAACTACAAACTTTTTACAGCCACCTCCCGAGCCAACAGGTGGTTTTTGATGCTCAAAAAAATAGATTTTTTGGTGGAGTATTCCTTTGAAGCAACCACTCGCTCAAACAGCTGCATTAGCTAAGAGCTGGATTGAGTAGAAAAGAACAAGAGATCCAGTCAGAGAGCTGCATGCTGAGGCTCGCGAGGAACACACTTCAGCCGAGGAGATGGAAGAATGAAAGAAAAGAGCTTTTTCCTTTTTTCTTTTTTTTCCCCCTTTTTTTTTTTCCTCCTCCGTCCAGCTGTTTCATTTCAGCCGGATCAATAATCATCCAGCCAAGCCAGGAGAGAAAAGGTGTGAGTGTGTCTGTGAGGTGAGAAAAAGGAGTTACAGGGTTTAAAAAGCCAGGATCAGACTGCTGTCTTATATGTGTTTCATATAATTTTCCTTATTGCAGTGTGTGTGTGTGTGTGTGTGTGTGTGTGTGTGTGTGTGTGTGTGTGTGTGTGTGTGTGTGTGTGTGTGTGTGCAGTCATAAACATACAGTCAGTTTATAAATTCTGCAGAGGAACCTGTTGATTGTTGGTTCAGGGAGAGATTGGCAGGTGATGATAGAAAGAGAGAAAGGACCAGATCATCAGGTCTCATTCTTCCGGCTGCCCTCCCCTTCCCTTCTTTCTCCTCCCTCTGTCACTCCACTCCCCCCCCCCCACCCCCCCCTTTTTTTGGCTCATGATTGTCGCTCTGCCGCTGCCTGAAAACAGGTGGTTTCCCTCCTGTAGGCAGGGGGGATGTGGAAGAGAAAGCTGCAGATCAGCAGGACTCGAGCCTCACGCAGGAACAGCACGGCTGTGTAAGTCCACACATCCACGGCGCAGGACGCCTGTCAACGCTGTTTTTAATTTTTTTTTATTTGGGCTGAATTATAGTACAGTGTGTTTGTGTAAGGATGGAATCAGAGGGGATGAGTTTGTCTGAGCTGTGCAGGAAGTGAGGTGAGGCAGACTGGACTGGTTAGAAAGGACAGAGCTGCTAGATGTTGTGATCTCTTGAGCTTGCTTGTATCTTTAAACATATGCATGAATAAGCTTATGTTCTCAGACTATAGTTAATATATTGTTGATAATATGGTTTTTTGCATCTGTACTTGCAGCTTTTCTCCTAAAAAACGTGTTTTAATTTAATTTCTGTTTGGTGCCACTTTATAATAAGGCAGCCTTTATAAAGGGTTTATATTGGCTACATTGACCTCTTTGTGTTGTAATAACGTCTCATGTAAACATCACAGATCCACGGTTAATGCCTTAAATTGAAGAAGACACTTGTACCATTAAATGTATTAGAACAAAATACTTAATTTAGTTGTCTCCGTAAAAATGTAGGACATTGAATATAGATTAAAAAACGATGACAGTAATGATCTATCGATTAACTGAACAAATAATTATGAGATTAATTGATAATGAAATTAGTCACAACTTTCAGCACAAGACTCTAGATTACACTAGCATTTCATTAATTGGATCCAATTAACCACTGTCAATATTTTACCTATAATTAGATCTAAATTATCCCCAGGAAATTGTTGGGAAATTATGGATCTGTAAAATACAGTGTTGCAGTTGCCCAAATGCTTTGCAGCATATTTTCAAAACAGTCAATTGGAGAAGTTTTCTAAAGAATTCAGGGGGATAATAACTGACTAATAAGTGACGCATCAGTATGGTTTATTAACCATTAATAAAACCATTATTTACAGCTTATAAACCTGTATTTTTCCTGATGCTTTGCTCCCTTTTTAGAAGATTAAAAAGAAGGTTTTTCGCTTTTTAAGCACAAACACTGTAAACAGAACATTTTACTGAAACCCTTCTATTTTATGACTTCTTCTACCTGTTAAACCAGAGGTTTGTACCTCCAGGACCGAGGAGGTTAACCTCAGGTCATTCACATTCATCTATTTATCAGTTCTTCTGTTTTTACGGCTGTTGACAATAGAGATTTTCCTCATGGTCAATTAGAATGAGAACGATCAGTGCAGTTTTCTATGTGCACAGACAAATGCGATCAAAATACAGGGAGTGTTCTGTGTTGTTGTCAGTTGTTGCAGGGTGTGAGCAGGGTCTAAATCTCTGTACAGGGAGGTTTTGCTGTTTTCAGGGAATTTATCTCTAATTTAGTTGCTGAAAATGAAAACGTGTCTTCACTCTTCAGTGAATCTTTTGCACTGCCCTGCACATTGCATATTTCTCTACACATGTAGCTTGTACATGTGACAAATAAACCATTTAATCTTCTGATACATCTTCAGGTTTTGTTGTTGTTTCTGTGTCTTCAGCTGCAGAGTCTTGTATGAAACCAGAGCTCACTTACATATTTCAACTGTGAGGATAATATTGCAATAAAAGAGAATCTTAATGCTAAGATGCTTTTAGGGAAAGCAATCCAGGGTGCAGCTTGATGTATAATCAATGTGTGTGGAGCTGGATCAGAGCAAACAGAGAAAAGCATCCAGCAGTTCAGTGTCTGTCAGTGAGAGAAGCCTCAACTGCAGCTTCATCTTTCTGATTTAGTTGTTGTTGGTTCTGTTTTTTGCTTCATTTATAACATTTACAGGCACTAATTCTTTAACCTGTTGTTCTGTGTCTTTGTTAGCAGAAACAATCCACAGTAATGGTGCTCCACACGCTGGCGTTCCTCCTCCTTTTCTTGCGGCTTGATTTTCTGCTGCACATCAGATCTCAGTGTTGCTGTAATTTTCTCTAAAGACCAACGACATCCTGTACTTTATTAGTAACCTTTAGCTGCTCGCAGCCTCACATGTTGTAATATCCAGATTGATTTAGGTCAACCTGTCAGTCTCCATCTATGCTGAAGGCAGTGACGGAGTCAATCAATGTCGCTTTAACACCTCACACTCTGCACGCCGGCCTCAAGGACTGGATGTGACTCGTGGTCAATATCTATGTTGTTGTTTTCTCCTGAAAAAGGCCTGAAGGAAGTGAGCAGCTGTAACAAAGATGTCTCTTCAAATGCTGGATTGTACATGATATTATCAAAATACAGTCATTCATCATAAATTAATGGATACGTCTGGTGTTGCTGTATATTTTTCTTATCATCAACAAATTCCATTAAAAAGACCAAAACCAGGAAAAAATGGATCCTTCTAACAAGTACAATGTGTGTATCCAGAGTCTGATATATCCTATCCCTCTGTGCCATAGACCTCCATTGTTTCCAAAAACACCAAATGTGTCTTCATCCACCGCTGAAAATAGTCCCCAACAAAGGAATAGCGACGTTAGCTTTGTTAGATTGGTCCAGATTGAAATATTTCAGAAACTACTGCATGGATTTTTTTTTTTCATTCATGTTCCCCAGAGGTTGAATTCTGGATGACAGCGCCACCATGAGGTTTATGTTTGTGGTATTAAATGAAACTTTTTCATGCTGACTCAAAGCACCGCTGTGTCTGAATACAACTTCACAGAGCTGCTAGTGTGACTCTTCATCATACTTGTTTTTAATACATTATATAGAAATTAATTAACAGGCTCTCTCATACTTTCATCCAATTCATTAAAATTAAGCAACTACTCACATTATCTGGCCGTTATTATCAGTTGATAAACTGCACACTTCCCCAGCATCATATTCTGGTTCTCATCGATTTAAACTGTATTATATTTTGAGACCAGTAAGATACTGTATAGTGTTGACTGTCCAGCCCTGTGTGAATTATGTATTAACTGTGTGAATGAGCTGTGTGACAGTGCAGATTTCGGATCATCCAACGGATTTTCTCAACCCATAAACAAAGGACGTGGAAGTTAAATCTCTCCAAATGTGCCAGGTGCATGGTTTTCACTGGATGGTGATGTTTTGTCCTGAGATTGATTTCTACACCAAACCCTCCTGAGGGGTCTTCAGGCTCTTTAATGTCAGATTTCCACCTTGAGAATTTGTCGTTAAGCTTTCCCAGCTTGAGCCCTAAGAAAAAAAAGAACCTTCTTGTTTTATGATTAGCTCCAGGCTGCAACCGCTATATTATTTATCATGTGCACAGAAAACCAGCAAGTTATGTAATTACACTGACTGAGTACTGTGTGTGTATCCTGCCCGGTTCCCACTGTAATAAATTATGTACTGTAGCAGTTTCCCCTCCTGCACTAACAGGCGTCTTCTCTCTTCTCTTCACAGGGCTGAAAAAACAGAAGTATTAAGTGAAGACCTGTTACAGGTACTAATGAACCTTCATCTAATGTGTGTGTTTCTCTCTGCGTTACAGAGAAATATCATTATTGGTGCAAAGTATTCAGTGTGCATGACTTTTTCAGATGGCTTTCTGAACTGCCTTCAGGCAACGTTAATGAGCGCTGAAATTGAACTTCTTTGTGAGACAAAGGGCTGAATGTCCCCGCTGATTGACTCGGGCTGCAGCGCTGTTAATTGGCCTGATTAATGACGCCCTCAGTGGCAGCGACATCAGTTCAACTGAGTTGGTTTAATAATCAAATGAGAGACAGGTAATGGTCTCACCGGCTGAGAACGACCTTGTTTATATATCAGCGTTTTTAGAGACAAACAGCTCTGACAGACGCCTGCAGCCTTCACCTTTTTTAATTAAACTCTGTTCCAGCTTCAGGCTTTAGGTGCCTGAATGTGCATGACACTGACTGCCAGCAGGGAAAGTGACATAACCTGTGCATTAGGAGTCTGTTTCAATGTATATGTGTGTGTCTTATCAATTTCTTATTGAGGCTTATTCTCTGTCTTTTCTTTCTTTCTTTCTTTCTTTCTTTCTTTCTTTCTTTCTTTCTGTGTTTTAGGTGGAGAAACGTCTGGAGCTGGTCAAGCAGGTTTCCCACAGCACACACAAGAAGTTGACTGCTTGTCTGCAGGGCCAGCAGGGAGTGGACGTTGACAAGAAGTCTGTCAGGTCGCCCTCGGTGAGAAGCATCACAGAGTCACAACCCAAACACACTTTAATAATAAGATTATTAATAACGATACTACTAATAATAAGAAGAATAAGAATAAAACTTTATTATACAGGACATTTAATCAAAAAGTTACAATACAATATATAAATAAAAAATAGCATCATTAAAACTGTGAAAAAAGAGGGGACAATAAATAAAAGACATAAAATTAACTGTAAATAAATAAATAAATAAATAAATGAATAGTAACAACAGTGTGAATGTGATCAAATACAGTAAAGGTTTCTACATAAAGACGAGTTTGAAAAGACAGTTTTAGGTTTTCTTTTAAAATTGGTAAGTGAGGTTTGTTTGAGGTTAAAAGAAGTCACTAACAAGGTTGGTGTTCAACAACTGATCCCAAATAAAATACTGAAGCACACAATTCACTTTAGCAATTTAATGATCAGGTGCAAAAAGTAACGTTTCAACCATTAGTGTTTCGACTCTGAAGAAGATGCAGTGTCTCCGGTTCGCAGCTGGCTCGAAACAGAAAAAAAAAAAATACTGTATATATGTTCATACATTTATAAATATGTAAGATTCAGCCATGTGAACATGTCTGATTGTTCCTCGTGCACATTCAATCCCAAGCGTCATGTTCCAGCCTCAAGGTATCATAAGACGTTTACATTAACACTGCTCTGTGTCCCTTAAAGATTGACTAAAGTCATTGTGGGAAAGCTAGGAAATGTGTAAATGAAGTAGGAGCAGATGAAGCTGGAGGAGGAGAAGTGAGAACAGGAAGTGAGTTTTTGGATTCATTCCATGAAATGTGATGATAAAAGCAGGTTAATTACAAAGTATCTGATTGAGAATGGACTTTTCCCTCAGGTGCTTCAGGACTCTGTTTGCCTTTGTCTTCCTGCTCTGTTCTCAAATGTTCCCTGTGTTTAAGTGTGTTTTACTGTTTGTGTGTGATTCATTTAATTTGTTTAATTACAGTTTATCCAGTGTTGATTGACACGTTGAGCCGACGACGGCTGATTCATCGACTGTGTTTGTTTCTGTGCAGAAAAAGCTTCCTCTCACAACACTAGCACAATGTATGGTGGACGGGGCGGCAGTGCTCGGAGACGAGTCTCTACTAGGGTGAGCAACACACACACACACACACACACACACACACACACACACACACACACACACACACACACACACACACTCTCTCTCTCTCTCAGATACTGTAGCTGGACTTTAGTGCTGGAACAGAACCTGGATGTTGTGGCTCTAAGTTGCAGTGTGTTTAAATGGTAAATGGACTGCACTTATATATCATTTTCTAGTCTTAACACTCACACTACTTTACAATGGAAACCACATTCACCCATTCATACAGTGCTTTTCTCTACACATAAAGTGTTTCCACTGATGATATATTGGGGGCAATTTGGGGTTCAGTATCTTGCACTTCCAAATGTGGACTGTTGAGCTCGTTGGGCTACAGTCAGTTTAAAAGTCTATTGTTCCAGTCTGGTTGACACCTGGATGAGAATAAAAAGCGTGGAATGAATTTGTCTGCAGGTAGAATCATCTGTTTGTTTTCTATTTCAGATAACTGAGATGTTTTATTTGCACATGTTGATGTCGAGCTATATTCATGGATGTGTTTATACCCACCACTGCAGTGAATTACTCTGCATTACATCACCTTGCTGCATTAATTCACACACTACATGTATAACCATCACTATTGTTTATTAGATTTTATTTCGAGAAACTGCATAAATATATAAACATTGTATTTTGGCTGTGGCAGTGACAGCCTCAGAGACGCTCTTTGTTTGAAAAAATTCCCCCGACTGCTCCCTGATGTTTTCTGCTCCTGTCGACTGTTGCAGGAAAATGCTGAAGCTCTGCGGCGAGACGCAGGACAGGCTCGCTCAGGAGCTCATCCTGTTCGAGCTCACCACGGAGAGAGACGTCATCGAGCCGCTGTACGACCTCGCAGAGGTATGGAAATGACGGCACAACGACACCAAACTGTCCCTGTGATTTGATGATACAGTATTTCATTTTGCAAGTTTGGATTTCCTTTGTTGTTTAATTAACTTTCCCAGTAGATAAAAATATCATATGAAGAGCAGGTAACAGAAAAAAACAAGTCAAGTCTGGGAACTAAAACAAGTAAGAAAATAAATTGAGAAAGCACCTGCATCTGTCTAATGTTTGATATACTGGACATGAGACTCTGATTAGTCTGAAAATGAACCAGTAAACTAATCTTCATGAGACAGAGAACCAGAGTTAGAGCTGGGTTTTACCTCAACAGGTGCAAAGCATCTGACAATACTGAATTTGTTCCTCATCCTCGTTCACACCAACAAACAAACAACCTCTGTGCTCTGTCCTCTCAGGTGGAAATCCCAAACATCCAGAAACAAAGGAAACACTTAGCAAAGCTGGTCCTGGACATGGACTCTGCACGCACACGGTGAGTCTGTTACTTTTTTGTGTGTGTGTGAGAAACAGACTTAACTGTGATCAGAGAAGAAACTCCATCTCCTGTGAATGGACCGGTCATGAAGCTTCCCACTGAGGATTTGATTGCACATAGTGAAGTTGTGTGGATTAGTTCAAACTCCTCATGCTGCAGTCTCCTGCTCAGTCTGAAAACCTGACTTAAAGTTTGTGTGATTTGATGTTGGGTTGAATGAGGTACTTATCTTTAGTCAGTGTATTAACTGCAGTAGATTCGGGACAACGCCCTCCCAGTTTGGAGAAGCAGCAGGAGCAGTGGCACAGAGGCTGAGTAATGTACTGCTGTGGACGGGAAGAAAATGATTTTATCTACCTAAAAAATGCCCACCTAAAAAACCAATATCAGGTTGGGTGTAGGCTTTATTTTGAATATTTTCACTGCTTTGATTTGTCGTCAAACAGCCCTTTATGACTCACACGGCTGATCTGCAGCATAATACAGTATGTGATGTCATCATCATTGCATTCTATAAACAAAGGTTGGATGGTCCTCTCTCTCACCTCTTGAAAAACTTAATATCTTGTATCCATGTTAGTTTGGTCCACTGGACCACATGACACCAGGACTAATGACTGGCTGATGCTCCATGTCCCTCGAGTTCATACTGATCTTGGAAGATCTGCTTTTGGCTTTGTTGCACCTTCCACCTGGGACTCACTACAAAGCACTTTAAAAATGAATTTGTTAGTACCTCTTGGTCATTTTAGATTCTTAATCTCTGACCTTTTAATTTTTGTTTGTACCTGTTTTCATTTATTATCGTCATTACATTGTTAATTGTATTTATGTGTTTGTTTTAATTGAATTTCTTTTTTAACTGGTATTTCTATCTACTCGACATCATTGTAAATGAGGGCTTTACCCTCAATGATTTTCGGGTTTGAATAAAAACATATATGTAGATGAGCTTATGCATAGGAATACAGAAGTTCAGCGGTTGAGAGATTGTAGTACCTGTCATTTTAGATGAAAGTTGTGGCTGCATCAATTGTTGTCCCTGAATCTAAGACTTGAGCAGACATGTGAAAACCTCTCAGCGACCTTGAATTGCTGGAGTCATCGTGTCGGTTACAGATTCTCCTCCCCGTCCAATCAGAAAGTGTATTGTCTGATCTCTGAAACATACAATCACCACACTTTTCTTTGTGCTGATTCACGGTCATCTCAGTGCCATTATGAGCAGCGACATGGGAGAAATGTGATTTTCCTCACTGCAGTCCAGTCTGCGAGTTTTTTTTTTTTTTTTTTTTTTTTTTTTGTGACCACAATCTGAGACTATTTCTCCCATCATGCCACTGTGTGCTGAGCTCCTCTGGCAGCGCTACATATTATCTCCACTCAGACTGTTCAGACACACAACTCAGACAGAAAGTCTGACGGACAGAGAGGGAAGAGGAGAGTCTGACAGGGAGAATCAGAGGAGAAAACAGATTAAGTTGAATGAATGAGGATGTATAGATAGAGTCAAGTGTTAGCATTTTGTCAGGCGAAGTCTTGAGTAATCCAGCGGCTTTTCAAAAAACTGGGTTTTGTTTGCCATGAGTCATTTTGTTAAAGTAGCTGTCAGGTTGTGTTGTCAATGATTATTTCTCTCTGGGACAAAAAGTCTGACGCTGCTGAAGGCAAATGAAAATGTCTGATAAGTTTAACGGGCTGCCGACGTTCTCGTCGTTTTCTCTGTTTATTCTGTCCATCCACAAAGCAAACTGACAAAGCGATGTTCTTCTGTTCTCAGGTATTATCAGTCCACTAAGTCTTCAGGGTTGTCCAGCAACCTGCAGCCGACAGGAGCCAAGGCCGACCACCTCAGGGAAGAGATGGAGGAGGCAGCCAACCGCATGGAGATCTGTCGAGTCAGTGCTCACTTCTACTCTCAACTGTGTGGCAGTTATGTCTCTCAGGCACAAATAAGGACTGAGGGATATTAGGTCTCTCACAACTGTCTTCTTTGTCGTAACACACTCTAGAAAATACTAAAAGAAAGAAAGAAATTATTACGGTATCCTTCAGTAAAGTCACTGACGAATGTGGTCAACTATGTTGTTTGTTGCTGTGGCGATGGAAATCATGTTTTCAGCCCAGTTTTCTGTTTGTCGGTTAATTAGGATTTGTACAAAACTACACAACAGACTTGAATAAAATATTGTGAATACCTGACTATGTTTTGGTGCAGATAGCGCCACCGTTAGGCCATTTATAAAGCACTTAAGACCCCATTTACACCAAGTCACTTCATGCATCCTAGGTGGATCTGTTAGAATTGAAATCCAGTTCCTTGAGCCACCTTCAGATGAATTTAGATCTTGTGTTTGTGTAATCTCTCTTTATGATAACAGCAGCTAAGGTTACACTAAAATGACACAGAAATTAACTGTTGTTTTCTGTCTCATTGAGACAAGGAAAAATGGTTTCAGCCATTTCCACACATATGGTCAAATAAGAAGCGCACCAAACTACTTTAGTGCTGATCTGATCCCTGATCAATTCAACCACTGAATGATCTGTGTAGATTGAACTTTTGTGTCACACACTTGTTCATTAATGTGACTCATTCATGCATTTGTGTTTGTGTTAGCTTGTGGATAATTTTTAGTTAACACAAGCTGAACTACTGTTGTTTCCTACTAAAGTGCTAAAGTGCAGAAGAAGGAAAATGAAAAAAAATGAAAGTGCCTTGGATGTTATCCGGTTAGGAGACACTTGAAATGAAAACGCTTTGACTTTTAACTCAGTTTCACATTTTTTCCATCTCTCTCCACCCTGCCCACACCTCATTGGCTCTTGTTTGGCTGAACTCACCTGAGCCAGATGATCAGCTGTGGGTTAAAGCAGGGAAAAGATGGAAAATATGTAGCGCTGCCACACCATTTTCCTCTAAAAGAGTTGCCAAATTCCTGTAGGTGTGGCCCAGTTTATATACTTTGCCATAATTCTTTTACACATTAATGGAACTGAAACTAAATTTAAACGACACATGTAGATATCAACTCCTGCAAAAATAGTTTCATTTCACCTGGAGGTGGCACTAAAGCAGGTGATAGATTAATTTTGGTTTAAGTCCATGCAGATTAAATACATTCTATTCTTGCAATAATAATTCATTCAGAGGATTGTGCAGCCATGTTGGATGTGTGTGCACTTCTGCTTCTATATTCTATATTTTTGACTCTTTATAACCTTTTTCACAGCAGATTTGTCACAGCAGGAGACTCACAGGTGTTACTAATAACATTAACTACGGCTCAGCTACATTAAATGTCCCAGTGAGCCAGTCTGCACAATAAAGGCCCTGGAGCTAACAGCTGTCATTAATGTAATTAACGACACCTGTGCTTTTTCTGTTCTTAAAAGTCTAAATTTTCATATGTGAGTTTTCTTATTCTTCAAATATTTTTTCTTCTCCCACCAGGACCAGTTATCAGCAGACATGTACAGTTTTGTGGCCAAAGAAATTGACTATGCAAGCTACTTCCAGACAGTAAGTACAGCGTCTCTGCAGACTGAGGCACGAGTGAAGACACAAAAATATTCCACTTGTCCATCACAGACTCTCTCTCTCTCTCTCACTAGCTGATAGAAGTCCAGGCGGAGTACCACAGGAAGTCATTAGAGCTGCTTCAGAGTGTTCTGCCCCAGATCAAAGCTCATCAGGGTGAGTCTGACACCAGCACACACACACACACACACACACACACACACACACACACACTCACACTCCTACTGCGGTCAGTTTTGTGATTCTAACCCCTCAATGTGCTGAAGTTCATATCATGATGAGAACGTGTCCATGTGTTGGTTTGCACATGTTTGTGGTCGCCTGTGAACAGTTATGGGGTTGGAAATGAGCTGTTTTAATTACACAGTGGTCACTAAATTAGCTGGTATGTTTATGTATAAATCCTCAGCACAAGTACCAGTACAAGTACAAGTGAAAGCTTTCCTTCTTGATCACATCAAAAGTATTTTTCTATGACATTAAATATTTGTGAATCAATAAGCAACTGTCAGGCAGCAATCACAGAACCCACAGAGAGGAATTTAGTGAAAGCCACTCATCTTTTCTCATTAATTTAATGTCAATTTTTAAGTTTTGTTAATTTCAAGGTCCTTCAACTTAAAATTTTAGTTTTTATTTTCAGACCATGTTAGAAGTATAAACATGAGTTGTTCTAAATTGAAGTGTTTTGACTTGAAATGACGAGTTATTGATTGAATAAAATCCTACTTAAACCCATAAGAAATGCACAGACAAAAACACACATTTCAAACAACCAGTATCATTGTGACTATGGCAGGTAACGGTGTGTTCATGTGCTGTGGGGCCACATTGTTTATAGTGAATCGCTGAGTAAGACAACAGGTTTTTGTGGCCTTCAGGTTCACGCAGAAACTATAGTTTCTGTTTGTTGAGGTCACTTTGTGCAACCTGAGAGAAAATTCCTCGAAACACTGAGCATCAGTGAAATGTAACGGCATCCCAACAGCAGAGCTGCTGCTGTATTTTGTGCATCTGTGTGAGTGTAACACAGTGTGTTTGTGTTTCGACAGAGACCTGGGTGGAGAAACCGTGCTATGGGAAACCATTAGAGGAGCACTTAGCGCTCAGCGGGAGAGATATTGCCTTTCCCATCGAGGCCTGTGTCACCATGCTGCTGGAGTGTGGTATGCAGGAGGAGGTCAGACACACAGCATCTGTCCTGATGGCTTTCACACAACACACACACACACAGTAAACAAAGCTACCCCTGAGACAGGTTGCCACCGAGATGAAGTCGCTCTTAATTACTGAAGGGGAAATGGTATCTAACAAGGTCTAGGCTACAGTTTGATTTTCACACAGCAGTTTGTCTTCACTGTTTAATTTATGTGTGAAGGTAAGAAATCCCTTAACCATGAGAAATCAGTCCAATGAGCGGTTCACTGGAACCAGTGCAGCTTTAATTACTCGGCATTATGAATGAGTTCTTTCCAGTCTCATTTGGTCTTTGTTAAACATCCAGGATGATGTTTGGCACTGTGGTGCAGAACAGGGCAGAGAAAGATTTGTCTAATTTTGTGTTAAATCAATCCAGTTAATCCTGAACCTCAGAAGTTTCAGAGGCAAATTTGTGTGGAAGTTAAAAGGAATTCAATCCTGATGTTAAAGGAAAAACACACTGACCTTTGGGGATGAATGAGCTGCTGCTGACTCAGCTGTTCATTCAGCTGCAGTTTTACAGTTGTGATGTAGGTCTGGTTTCAGAAATGCAGGGGACACAGAGTAACCAAGTGAATGCAGTTTATTTTATATACATAACATTCAGGAACAAGTTGCGGTTCATTGTTCATTGACAACTAAAGACTTAGAAATATAATGTAAACAGTTGTATTATTATTATTGAAATATAACACTACTTAAAATGACATGTATTACTGATAGAGGCTTGATACATAAAGGGTCAGTCTACCAATAGAAGGATCAGGTTACTCTTAATGAGGAGCTACTACTACTAGTACTCAGACTGTGAAAAAAGTTGTATCATGTCTTCTGTGGCCCGGCAGGAGCTTCTTAAAGTCTCTTGAGAGTCCTAGGACTTTAGCAAAGTGAATAGCAAAATTGTTGGATGTTGAAATTGCGCATCTTAACTAAAAAAAAAAAAAAAACAAGGCTAAAAGAAAACAACACTTTTTTATTCAGTCTTTTATTGCTTTTATTGTTTCATTGATGTATGATTTATGGCCATTAATGACAACTTTCTGCCCTCAAATTGTCTCACTCTGGTTGAAACATTGTCGGCCATTTCCATGTAGAATGAAAGAAAAATTGTGAACAAGTCACTGTAGTAGTGTGGGGGTAGTTCTTCATTCTTTTAAGCTGTGTATAACCACAACAAGCTCCACCATGTCATCCCCAGTGGAATTTACACCTCCAGTTATCAGTAATCTGTAGTGTAAAATACATTCACTCAAGTACTTTACTTGAGTAATTTCATTTGATGCTGCTTTATACTTATACTGGCAAATATTGCACTTGCTGCAGTTACAAGCTATTTGAGGATTCAAATTATTAAAACTGAATATAATCAACTGATAAACGTGATGTATTATTATAGTTAAGTTACCCACTAGAATTTTGGTTGCAGTATTTCTACACTGTGGTATTGCCAGTTTTACTTCAGTGGTAGATCTGAGTACTTCTCTTGCCACTGTCACTGATCAGTTATCCCTCTTTAGTTTCAAGAATTCCAGCTGTTGACTGCTGCTGTGGGTGTGAAATGACCCCAGTATCACTCTGCGTGTGTGCGTGTGTGTGTGCGTGTGTGTGTGTGTGTGTGTGTGTGTGTGTGTGTGTGTGTGTGTGTGTGTGTGAGAATCTCTCTGACCTGTGTCGTCCTTGTCTTGTGTCTCAGGGTTTGTTCAGAATCGCCCCCTCCGCCTCCAAACTGAAGAAGCTGAAGGCGTCCTTGGACTGCGGGGTGTTAGACGTCCAGGAGTACTCTGCAGACCCGCACGCCATCGCAGGTGAGCCATCGACAAACACTGCCTGAACATACCTGAACTTCCCCTTCCCCTCCTCCTGCTTGCACCTAATCTGTTTCCATGACCACTTATTACCATCACCTAGAAGGTGCCTTACAGGGGTGGATTTATGAGCTGGCACCCGCCGCTAGCTCGTTAGGGATCTTATTCCTGTAAATTCCTGGCAAACTCCATTATGTCCATGTATTACTGAGATGTCTGCCCTCCGCTTTGGGAATAAACATCTTAATTAAGCTGCCAAATGATCTGCAGAGAAGAACTCAGTAATATTTTTTAATCCCTTTGACTATTTGTTTTTATTTCTCCTGCACGTATTATTGATTCCTCTGCTGCTGTCATTCGTGAATTTTCTGGTAAAGGTTAATTTGAAGGTCTTATGTAAGAGCCACACAGGAGAGTTAAAAGATTACTTTAGACTTGATTAGGATTCAGTTCAGTTCTCTGGCGACTACAAGACAAGTTTCTGTCCATTCTTCTCCTCTTTATTGTGTTTCTTTTTCACTCCAAAACATGTCTAGTAATAAATTCCAAATATAACTGGGATTAGTCTCAGACACATTCTTCATCTTGTGCCAAAAAAAAAAGATGTTTTTTTGGCATCTTTTTGTTGCTGTCTCTGATTTGCCTTTAAATCCGACCTGTGACTGACGACAAAAGAAAGAGAAGCTTTCAGGCTTTTATGATGCTGTGACTGATCTTTCTTTTAATTCAGCTGCTGCATAATGCTGTTGTCAAATCAAAACCTTATATCTCCAATATAACAACTATTCATATATTCTATCTTAAGAAAACAACACATGGTTGAAATTGTTGGACCGTAAAAGAAAAATTAGTCGAGGGGATACTGCATGTTAATGAAGAAGCTCTCTGGTACATTCAAATGCCTCCAGTGTCATTAAAACAAGAATTGGTCATCAAAACTGATTCAATCAAAGAAAATTAATAACCTGTCATCTTTGTGGTATATTGTTTTCCAGTATAATTGTTTTTACACAGGGAATAGAATAAATGGATAAAGTCTCTGAATACAAATATGTAATAATGAAGTAAAATGTGGCTCTAATGGCAAAACATTTAAGGAGGCACTTAACAGCAATGATTGTTTATTAAGAACTGAGGGTTGTTGATGCAACAGTACATCCTGACCTAAGTGGATAAACTCATTTTCTCTCTTTTTTTTTTAAATTTTTTTTTTTAAAAATGTTTTTTCATTTGCGTCAATAATAATAATTTACTTTATTTTCTGATTTTGAGTTGCTGTTTTTTTTCTGTATGTTTTTTTTTTGTTTGTAAGGTTTTGGGATGTAATATCTGACTGACAGTCATTCGTCTTCATGCAAAAGCCAGTTGTACAAACAGATTTGTTGCATGCGGTGTTTCCTCATACTTGGACTTCTCTCTTAGGCACAATTCACAAATACAAATTCACGAGTCATATACAGATGGTGTAAAAAGAAAATATTCATTTGAAATAAATAAATGGCTTCATCTGAATTAATTTTGAGTTTAAATATGAAATTAATTCAATTAAAATATACAGAAAACAAACTTGATGCTAAATTAATGTTCTGTTCACCATGTGGTTTTTATCATCTTGCCAATTTACTGAGAAGCCTTTTAGATTTTATGAGAGTGCTGCTTTTATGACATGCCATTGGCAGCTGTACTATTAATGTGATGCTTTAGTGACTGCTAAATTTGTTATCTTTCTGATTTCTGACACCCGAATCTGTCTTTAAATCTTCAGTGACAATTTTCTGAATAAAACTTACCCACAAATAAAGTGGACCAGGTAGCGTCATATGGCACCATTAATCATTTGCTGTCGTTTTGTCCCAGTGACCCAGTTAGGACGACTGACTGACTGACTGAATAAACAGGTCCTGATCTCTTTGTTTTAACCCTGATGAAGGTCATATCTGGTCGGTTTTTAAATTGTTTCTTGAAGAATCCATGTAACTAACAAAACTCTGCATCTTAAATCTGTTAGAGTATTAGTTTATTTAACAGGGAACATACACTACATAACAGAGTTAGCTATATATCTAATTTACATCTTGGCAGGAAGATGTTGAAAACAAAGGTACAAAACAAACAATTAATAAAATAAAATGCAAAATACATTACATAGTCTCCATATTGAAAACCCCCTCCTGTTCAGCTGAACAAACGTGGAGATTCAATGTTTCTCCCCATCAGGAACAACACAGTATATCACATTATTAAATATCAAAGTCAGTCACTCAGCAGTGTTCACTGGAGCGTGCGGAGGAAGAGAGATGAATCCTAGTTGAGGCCATATCCCTCTCTAATGATGCCATGTTAAAGTGAGTTAGCTCTAACAGCAAATGTAATTTGTGAGCCTCTCCTACAGGGGGGTGGTGTTGGTTGTGATGGTGGTGGTGGGGGGGGCGAGCAGGTGTTCCTCTTCCATTCAGCTTCAGTCACAATCAGTTTGCTCTTCTGAGTAAACATAGTAAACCAGAGGAGCGTCCTGTGGTTTCAAAATAATATTTAATATGTTTATTTAGCACCAACCGCACACAACATACCTACACACTCACACACGCACACACACACACTCCAGACTCTCAGACATGTACGGAGACACACTCAGACAGAATGACAGCAGCCTCCAAGCTGTCTCCCAGCGAGGGACAGCCCGACTTCGTTGTTTGTCTTCCATCCTGTGAATCCCTGGGGGAAGTGAACGCAGCAGACCAGAGAGAGAAGAAGACAAGTCAGAGAAAAGCCCGGCCTCCTCGTCAGCGCTGGAAAATGACGCCACTAGTTCTGGTCAAATAGTGATTGGAAATAGTTTTGTGTTTATTATTGTTGAACTACAGTAGGCGGGTCTGTGTAGAATTGCACTCAATGAGCACTTTATTAGGAACACCTGTGCACCTGCTTTTTCATGCAATCAGCCAATCATGTGGTTTCATTGTGATGCATAAAATCCTGCAGAGCTTCAGTTACTGTTCACATCAATCGTCAGAATGAGGGGAAAATGTATTTTTTAACCTGCTGATCGAGACAGAGAAAAGAAGTTCAAACCCAGCTTCTTTTCCCCGACGTCACACACACCTGAGCGATTGCTGCTTGAAGCGAGCAGAAAATGTCAGATTGTTGGTTTTGGGAAAGTTACAAAATTGTCTGAAATGTCAGATGCAGCCCCCTCAGTTGCACCGTCGATAAGGTTAGGAGAGAGGAGGGGGTTCAGATGCTATTAGAGGATCTAACAGGCACTTTGATTGAAGAATACTGAAGCTTTTATAATCGACCACAATTTCAGCCAAGTGAAGACTGTCTGGCTTGTAGGATTGAATGGTAATGTTAAATGACACACACATAGAATGCCGTAGAGTCTGCAATAAGAAGAAGGAAATTACACTCACATATACAATCACATCCAGGCCTGACAGTCTGATGCAGACTTCATTCAAACCTGTCCATTGAGAACAGTTTCTGCAGTGGTTTGTTCTTCCCACACTCATAATGAAATTTCCTCCAGAACAAAAGACAGAGGCATCAGTCAAACGCCACTGTATATACTGCACTGAATTGATTCTGTATTGAGTGGTTGAAGTGTTAATCCAGTCACAGCTGGATTCCCTTCATGTTTCCTCTTTTGTTTTCAGAAAATATCTTGTTCTCATGTCTCCAACTGTGTCTTTTTTATACATTCTATACATAAATATATCACCTGCTGGTCATCATACAGACACATCTGCATTATATATCATTGTATTTGTACAAATATTTACGTGAATACATGTATTTATCATAGCTTTGTCTTGTTCTCTCCAGGTGCTTTGAAGTCCTACCTGCGGGAGCTCCCTGAGCCTTTAATGAGCTTTGAACTCTACAACGACTGGATCCAGGCCTCCAAGTATGTATCTCTTATATATATATGTATATAATAAATAAGTGGAGATGCCTGACCTTCCTTTCAAATCACATCTTTAAGTTAGAAACGTTTATACATGCTCCACCTTTCTCTAAATGCAGCTCTTTTCTGCCCCCCCCCCCAGCATTCAAGATCAAGACAAGAGGCTGCAGGCTCTCCTCAACGCCTGTGAGAAACTACCCCCAGCCAACAATAACAACTTCAAGTGAGTCACTGTCTCCGTGATTCACTCCCCTCTGTGCTCCTCTCCCAGAGACTGTTGTTTTCATTACCCAGGCCGACATGGAAGTAAACCAGCTAAAATAACCCAGTTAAATCTAAAATCATTTGTTTAACTTAGTTCTTCAACTGCAGATGCAGGATTGATTGTGTCAAAATCATGATCAATCATATCATTGATAAGTGCTGGGGTTAATTTAACTATGTCCTCTTAACTATATTCTAACTATGAAATAAAAACAACAAGAACAACATCCTGAACATTACATTAAGATTACTCGGTTGTGTATGGAGCCCTCTACTCTTCTTTCATCTGCTGTTCCTTGTCTCCTTCCGTCCCTCCTGCACTTTACTCTTAAAGCTGCAGTAACTGTTTTTTGTTTGTTTGTTTATGTGTTTATTTTTTTGTTTTAGCAAGTGAAAACAAGCTGTAGAAACTTAAGCATTCATCAGGAGTCGTGTTCATGTCCACCTGATGAATCTAAGTCCAGAGTTCCCTCTCTTTTAGCTCTGTGTTTGGTCTCCACCAGCTCCTGAGGAAAATATCTGCCTCTTTAGCTGCTAAATGCTCGACTATGTTCCCTCTCTCACTCTTTAACTGTGTCTGTCTGCTGTTTGCTAGTAATGGTCAGTGGCTTTTTAGAGCCATAAATCAAAACTAAAGAGGTGAAAGACGCTAAAACGCTCTGTAAAACTGAGGGGAACTACAGAGTCAGGAGATAATTCTCAGTTAGGTCCTTTTTATTTCATGAACTTAACAAAATTGAAAAACATTGAACAGTAATTGAGACATTTTTGTTGCAGGGGTTGTAGCATAAAACTGTTTATTGATTATAGCCAATTTAAGAGAAAAATCGGCCTTTCATGTTTCATTTTCAGTCACCTTTACCTTCTTAGTATCTGTTTGCTTCCTCGTATCAGCAGTGGTGCTGAATCGATGAGGCTGGATCAACCAGCGGCTCTGATCGACACCTCCCTGAAAGAACATTGACCTCAGTGTGAACCGCTGCTGAGAAAAAGGCTGTATACCTTAACTGTAGATCTATTAGCTGCTGGATTGAGATGAGTTGTGGATATTTGCTGAAGGACTTGTCTAACGAGCAAAAGAAAACGCAGAACAAGAGGAGAGGAAGCAATGGTAGAGAAATTAAAGAGAGCGAGATACTGCAGCACTTGTCAGTGTCATCATCAAATTGCACAAATAGGGCGTATTTTTAGACAGTCGTCCTCTGAGGAGACCTGTCAGACCTGTCCAGATGATCGCTGCTCGCTGGAATGAGCCGCCTGATGTTCATTCAACTGTAGTTGGGCTCAGGATGAGTCATCCAGCTCAGCTGCTCTCACAGAGCCACAGAAACCCACTGGCCCATTTCTCTGTCTCAGAGCCCCTACGAAGACCAGAGAATAGAAAGAGTAGTTTGCTGGAATAATGCGTTTTAGCTCAGTGTGCCTCATGAAGGCAGGGCATGATAAAAGCATAGTGTTGTTCAAACCACACACAGTATAAATCTATTGTTGGAAATAGACCTTATTTTAACCCAAAGAGCTCAGGGTGGGAAACTTGGCCTGGATTAACAAGTACAGCCCAGTATTGTTCTGTTATTTCCCACATTTCTCATCAAGCTGAAAACTGTTTTTTTCTTAGGTTGTGAAACGTTGACATGTTTGTTTGACAGGACAGGGATTCTTTAGGTCATTTACCTTTTGTTTTATGTAGCTAAGCCAATTTTAATTATAGTATTTGGCCCCAAATCACAAATTTGCAACAAAGAGCTTTACAATCAGTACAATGTACGATACCTTCTGTCCTCAGATCCTTGATATACAATATATAGCAGTTTACCTTTTACACAGAAATAAGAAAAATCAAAGATCGTGTTTGTTTTGGTAGATGCAATCACAGTTTCTGAAAACATCTAGCTCACAATTCTTTGGGAATTTAACAAAAAGCTTAATTAGCATAATTTTAAGTGATGTTTTCACTGACTGACTGATGTATTTCCTGTATTTGTTTCAACAGGTATTTGATCAAATTCCTCTCCAAACTGACTGAGTACCAGGATGTAAACAAGATGACACCTGGAAACATCGCTATTGTCCTTGGACCCAACCTGCTGTGGACACACAATGAAGGGTAAGTTAGCATATCCAACTATATGACTATATAAGCATTCATTAGAGTGAGACATACATGTGATATTTAAAGGCAATGCAAGTTTATTTATACAGCACCATTCAAACACAAGGCAATTCAAAGTGCTTTACAGAGGCATTGAAATAGCATTTAAAAACAATAAAAACAAATTTGAATAAATGAAAATATTGAAATATCATATCACATCAAAATTGCATAAAATCAGGTAAGAAATTTAGGACACCTTTCAAAAATAAGTGCTGCAGTGAAAAAATACATTAAAAACAAGCAAAGATGCAAGATTAAAAGATGCTACATATGTAATTTATTCCTAAAATGCAGCAAATGGTGTTGTTTTAAACCCTGATTTAATTTAGCTGAGAGTTTAAAGTATCAGTCTGTTATTTATTTTTCACATTGTCAGCTGATATACCTTGTTCCTCTGAGCCATAGAGCTCCATTGTTGTCCAAAAACACATCAGTGAGTTACACTGCCACACTGAGAGACATGTTCCTTCATTTACCCGCCCCCTCTTCATATCAGTGAGGTTTATAGGGTTCATTTGAGGGGGAAAAATGAGGAGAGACAGTGTCATGTTTGGGTAAAGTATCACTTGAGTGTCGCCTCGTTCATTTTCATATTTTTCACATGTGAAAAATCAGTTTGTAATGCAGCAGCCTGGTGGATTGGGCAGAGAGACAGAGAGGGGAAGGACTCCGTATCCACAGGGATTCTCTCATCACAGCTCACTTTCTTTTTCCCTCTTTTTCTCAGTGGAAAATTTGAGCTGCTGATAGTCGTGATGCCACTCAGAGCTCAAAGTGCTGTTAACACAAAAGGCCAGTGGGCACACGGCTCCAACACATCTCCAGGAGACAATTCTTATAATACAGTATATTCACGATGATGACTAAGCAGTTTGAGAAGGGTGAAGGACACTTCCTTTATATCTCTATGTAAATCTTACTAACTCTTTATCCCTCTCTAACTTTTAATTAGGATTTTAATAGGCCACATTTCTGAAATGGTTTTAATTTTTTGTCATTTTAATGCCTCTGCAGTATCATGAAAATGTGTTAATCACCGCCTGCGCATAAATTCTGATGATCCAGACAGCTACTTTTCCTCTGCGTCCTGTCATTAAAGAAAAAGTCTGTCTTCTCTGTTCGCTGCAGCAACATCACAGAGATGATGACAACAGTTTCCCTGCAGATCGTTGGTATCATCGAGCCCATCATCCAGCACGCCGACTGGTTCTTCCCTGGAGGTGAGGAGAGAAAACACAACAGGAAGTAGATCTTTATTTGGAAGCAGCAAAATATACTAAGACTTATTTTTTCTTTTATTTCTTGTATCTCTTCTTTTTCTTCCGTCTTTCTTAGAAATCGAGTTCAACGTCACAGGGAACTACGGAAGCCCCGTCCACACCAACCACAACGCCAACTACAGCTCGATGCCGTCTCCAGACATGGATCAGATCGACCGCAAGCAGAGCGATCAGAGCCGACGGCCACTCAGCGTCGCCACGGACAACATGATGCTGGAGTTCTATAAGAAGGACGGGTATGATTCTCCTACTATATATAATAGAAAACTTATTTTAATTTATTTTCAAAACTTGTTTGGGGATGCAGTACAAATCTAATATTTAAATACCTGACTTTAAATGTAAATACTTTATTTACAATAATATATGTAGAAAACAATTATTAAAAATAAAAACTAGAGATTAAAAGATCTGAGATTTAAAAGCCAACACTGTCAGCTGACCTGACACTCCCTTCGTTTTTAACGCCAGATGATGCAAAGCCTTGTATGTGATTACTCACTTACTCAGTACCTTAAAGTGGATTTTAAAGTGTGAAGCCAGTATGTGATGTGTGAGAAACGCTTTGTTCTGGTCAGTCAGTTTGTTGAAGCAGCTGAATTTTGAACAGTTTCTCCACAGCTCCACTGTTCAGAAAGGTAAACAAGTATCACAACAATCTAGGCAGGAGGATAGAAAGGCAGGTCTGATCTTCTCTGTGCTTCTAAAAGTAAATAAATTAATACTTTTTAGTCTCAGAAGAACAGGTTGGTCTTTTAAAACAACATGTTGTCATCAGTTACATTGGAATAGAAAATACACAGGAGGAGCCACTGGAAATGTTTCTCCCTACTGTAAATTCTCATTTCAATAATTTTTTTCTTTTAATGTTTGATGGCTCTAAATACTACAATACCTATAGCCTCAGCTGCTATGGAGAAGAAGCTAATTAGATGTGTAAGTCAGATCTTTAGTGAATTAAAAGCATTTTGTTGTTATATCTGTGACAAAAACACAGTGACATAGTTGTCAAATTCATCCAAAAATCCAGAGCTAGAATTTGTAATATGCAGAATTTATGTCTACAAGCTTGTACCTCGGACCTTTAATCAACAAGCCAGAAAATTTCTGAGGGAAGTTGTTCATCTTTTGGACCAATGATTTAACCAGAAGAGTTTCATGCAGGGCCTAGCCTTGCAACTCTATAACAGAAAGAAAACATAGGGTCTTATTTATCCCAGAGAAGCTCGTGTTATATATATTTATTGACAATTGACTCAAAATGTGTATTTAATTAAGCATTTCATTGGCTACAGGCTTTGTCTTAACAAATATACAAACAGTTTTTTGGGAATGAAAGAAAGGAATATTACTTGTTTTGCAGGTTTTTGTCCAAAGTAATGAACAAAAAAACGGTCCAAACAGAGATGTTTTTATGATACAAGATGGCGTGTTGTAGTAGAATAATTAAACCGAGTGAAGTATGTTCACAATTCATCCATTACCACATCTAAATGAGCTGCAAACTCGTGTTCAGTATCAGTAAATCATCATTAAAATGCAAAAAAAAAATCTCATCAAAACAAATAGAAACAACGTTGGAACAGATGGTCTGTTTCTAAAACTCTTAGGAATAGTTAAGAGGAAGAACTAGAGACAGAGACATGTCAATAAATGACCCTTATGATTCAGAACAGAGAGAAAAACTCCCCTAACAATCCTCTTTCTATGAGCTGGTCTTAGATAAGCGCATTCATATAAAACCTCCCAGTGATTAGACTCACAATCATGTCTCTCTGCCTCTGAATCAATCAGCAGTCTAGTCTTCTCTGTTTCATTCAGGGTGGATCCTAACTGACAGCTTTTTTCTAAACAAGGCCACTTGGAGGCACGTGAAGTTTCCACATGACTTCCTCCTGACAGGGTCGGACATGTGAAGTAAGAGCAGGAGAATTCCCTACTGATTACGCAAGTTTCATGTGAGAAGTGACCTCAGGGGAAAAGCTCGGTTTCACTATGAGGTGGACAGAGAGGATACGGTGTCACTCTTTTATCTGCAGCACCTGCCTTCGAGCTCTTTATGCCGCCCAGTGAGACGGTTTGAAGTGAGAAAACAAGGAAGAAAAGAGACAGATAGACAGAGGCAGAGCTGACATTTAGTCTGTGAAATGAGGAATCTGACAATCCTTGAGCTGCAGAGGAGGATTAGTTGAAAACCAGTTAGTCACTTTCTTTCTCTCTCTCTGTGTCTCTCTTTCTTCAATGCTTTAATACACCCTTGGTCTTATTAAGGCCTGCGGGTAGTCTGAGCTGTCTGCAGCCCAGGGACCACAAGTACCCCAGCTAATTAAACCTGGACCAAGTGTGTGCTGGGTCTGATCAATAGAGCTCAGCTTTCAATGGAAACACACAGAGAATAATCTTTAGAGGCTTTGAAAGAGAGGTTTTCTCAGTTTTTATGTACTGAAGGTTTTAGATTTTGGTCTGTTTGCTTGTAAAGTTGCAAAATTCACATCTCTCTTAAAAGTTAACTAATGCTCAGACACTAAAATTTGCTGCTCCGGGGATCTGTGCCCCGTAATAGTCAAGAATAAAAAAAAATGTTATATCAAGTCATCATTCCCATGGTTCTCTGCACCCAGCACAGCCAGCTGAAGGACACACACTGCACTCACCCTGTGCCTTAATTTGGCCACTGAGAATAATTTATAGGTACCCTGGACAGAATAATACATACAAGGTCACATACAAGGCTTGAAAAAAATAGCAGACAGTAGCCAGAGAGTTTATTTTGACCTCCACAGAGGAGGTTACGTTTTCACCCGTGTTGGTTTATTTGTCAGCAGGATTATGCAAAAAGTAATGAACCGATTTGCACCGAACTTGGTGGTGGGACATGGGTCAGGGAAGAACCCATTAGAATTGGGGATGGATCCAGATTCTTTAATATGAATTAGATTTTTTTTTTTCTTTCTGAAGTCTGGTGTGTGTTGTTTGACACTGACCTTGGTGGAGGTCTGCACTCTCTGAGTGACCTTCTAGTTAGAGATTTTTGTCAAAGCAAAATGGTTTGGCAACATCTTTGACAAATATGATTCATAAAATAAGATTTATTTCAATCAGTAGACATAAATAGCAGTTACAGGACTTTGGAAAATAGTTAGATTAGATTCCTGAACATCTTACCCCAAAACCATAGTCATTAAAGGAATAGTGTGGTATTTTGGGATATACACAAATTGTACGGTAAATATAAAGCTGTAGCCTGCAGCTTGTTAGCTTAGCTTATCTTAAATACTGGAAACAGGATGAAATAGGTTCTGTAGCTCGGCTAAAGGCAACAAAATCCCGGCCAAGAACAGTCTACTGCACAAAACCACAACTTCTTGTTTTTACACTTTATTTTTGTAAATAAATTAGATATTTTGTGGTTATTGGTGATCCTTAGAGGTGCTTTAAGGTGTTTACAGTCTTCATGCTAAGCTAAGCTCACTGGCTGCTTCATATTTACTGGACAGATGTGAGAGTGGTATAAATCTTCTCATTCTTCTGACTCTTCGTCCTCTAGCTTCCCTGCTGGCTCCCTGAACCAATGAATATAACTTAAAATAACATACTGATTACACATTTGATCAGTATTAATTGATCAAATTTTCATAATTGATCAATTTTTTTTATCTGATTATGATTCCCTGATCCCTGCAAAGGAACCAACAGACAGAATCACTGCAGCTGCTTGAAACCTTTCTGGTTTTTCTCTTATTTTTGGGGGGATTTTCTTGGATTCATCAGGGAAACTTTGACCTAATTATGGCTAAATGGAACAATCATTTTCTCTTTGCATTTTGACGTGGTTGAAACACTTCAGGGAGAGCGCTTTTCACCCCTCAAATCGCTCTCCTCATTACACTCAGCGTGACCCTCGTCCCTTGCAGCTCCCTGCCAGCCTGGCCTCCCCGTTTTCACTTTGCTGCTCCTCCATCTTGGTTCCTGTCTTTAAAGTTTATCCTGCCAAAGTTCCTCTGCTGCTCTGATAACAATGCTGTTAATGAGCCCGAGGAGACTCTTGTCCCCCATGATCTTTACTCCTGTCCTCATTGTGCTTGTCTCTGTTTTAACAATGCAGCATTAGGAAGATACAAAGGTACAGTATTGTTCCTCTACCTCTGCTCACCCTCTCATCAGTCAATTCAGCATCCGTCTTTCTCAGCTGCACGTTGACAGGAACTGTCTGTCACTTGTCATATGTGTGTGTGTTTAATGCTCCTGTCAGGTCTGCCTGAAGTCACACACTTGGACTCCTATAGTTCAATGTCTCCTACAGAGTGGGATGGGGGTGGGGATGGGGGGTAACAAAGCAGGTCTTTCTTTGTATGTTTATATAAGTAGCATCTTTGCAGTTTCTGGCACTGGATAGACTTGTTCACCCTGTGAGTACAAAAGCTTATTGTTGCTTAGTCTTAGCTGACTGCATAGTTAAGTTAAACTTCACCTGCTAGCATCTCCAAACCTGATGATGGAAAGTAACTAAGTACTTAAATTCAAGTACTGAGCTCAAGTATTTGTATTTTACTTGAGTATTCCCATTTTGTACTACTAATTGAGTATTAGATTTAGCTAGGTGTACCTAATAACCTGGCAACTGACTGTGTATTATAGGCTATATCACATAGTTGGGGGAAAAAATGTATTTTAATTCATGTTTATTAATCAGCTTTCAGACCAACAGAGCAGAAATCAGCTGTTTAGTGACCCTAGCTCCAGAGCTCTTGCAATTTTTGTCCTGCAACATAATGTTAGATAGTTGAGCTAGTGCTAACTTTGTGCTAGAGATCATCTTTTCTAATCCAACTTCAGGGGTGGATGTGGTGATGACAGGTTGTATGAACTCCTCATAAATGTGGACATGTGTTCGTGGCTTTGAGATATGTACAGTAGGCTGTGTGTACCCAGCAGGACTGAGATGTAGTGTGTTAATTATTGAGCTTTAAAGGTGCTGGTAGGCAGATGTTGTTACCTTTCGACAGAGTTTCTCTTTCTTTCAGTGTTTATGCTAAGCTAAGCTAATCGGACGCTTGCTGTAACTTTGCATTGAACAGACAGAGGCGAGAGTCGTATCAATCTTCTCATCTCACTCTTCACAATAAAGTGTTTTTTTCCAAATATGTCAAATTATTACTTAAGTTATTTTTCACAGGGATCATAACATGCATCCTGTTCTTGTCCATTTCATCCAAACTGCTCTTGTGTGGCAGTTATTAGAAGACTTGGCATTTTACCTCACTCATACACTGTTATTGTGCAGGGAATTATCCATTTTAGCCAGACACTGTGTAGATAAACTGTTGTTCTCTGTTGTTGCATGCCGAGGATCATGAGTAGAACAATACAAGGCTTTATATGTGGAGTAGTGTGACCCTGGAGGCTGATTCAGGGTCAGGCCTTTTCACTGCACTAAGCCGATCCCCTGTCAGCAGCACTTCACCCCTGACGATGCGTTTAGGGTGTGGAAACCTGACTCCCCCCCCAGAACCGCACAAACACACGCCCTCCCTTGATTTGATTGGCTGTGCATCTCTGTCCCACTGCAGCATGGGTGTCAGGGTGATGGACACTTCTTGGGTGTCGCGCAGGGGCTCCTCGTCCACGCGTAAAGCCTCCTCCACGCCACCGAGCGTGCATCCCCCCATCCCGCCCACTGACGCTCTCATCCCCGAGCAGCCTGGGGAATTCTCTGCCTCCCCCTCCCCCACCCCTCCTCCCACTAGCAGTGACCGAGCCAGGTAAGGCTGTTGTGCCCCTCCCACCCCGTCCTTCCTGTTTCACCTCCTCCTCCCCTACACACACGCCTCCCACCTGCTGCTGTTCCCCCTCCTCGCCGCGTGTGCTACTGCGCCCTGCAACTGACACCAGGACAGCGCTGTCTGCTCTTACCCCCCAGTTTTTTTGTCTGTTGCTGCCCCACCCCCTCACAACAAACTCATCCTCCCACCTCTATGTGAACCCCAGTGTCTCACCTCTGATGAAGCATGTCATTTCAAACTCTGTGATTGCTCTTTAAGTTGTTCTTTTAAAAGTTTCTCATCCTTGGATTTGTAGAGCCATGTGTGGAGTTAATTTTCTGCCTGAGCGGCGATACTGTATATCATGTGCTGCAAGTGAAGATTCTGACTTCTCTGTAGTCTGGGGTTTTTTACGTAATGAAGTTCATCCATAGTTCAGCAGAAATGGTTCATTGCTGCATGTGCATGAGTTATATATCTGTTTTGTTTTTGCCATTAGTCCAAGCATCATTAGCAGCATAACAGTCCATTGTCGCAAGGCCCTGCAATGGATGAGGTGACTGACTCTCTTCTCTTTTATTTTGAAAACCACAGATTTTCATGAGCACTTCTTCTTTATTTTTTGTGCTGTTACCCTGTTGCTCCGTTACTTCTCCTTCCTAACACGATAATTAATAATCACCTGAATTCCTCCCTCATAATGGACCAAACTTAAACTCAATAGATAATCAATATGTCCCACTTCTCTAACCAACTTTGACCAGCTCAGTTCCCCCATGAAACTTTGATATTTTTATCATTGCAGCTCGGATGATGCATCCTCCAATTGGTCGGACTCCTGTTACGCCTACCCCTCCCCTGAGGAGGACAGGCCGCCTCCCCCTTACCCATCTTCCTCATCTTCCTCCTCCTCCTCTTGCTCTTCCTTCTCGCTCCCTCATCACCATTTCTACACCCGAGCACCTCCGGGTATGCGTCCCGTTGCTCCCAGCCCCGAGTCCGTGCCTTCCGGCCCGCCCCCCCCCCCCCGCCGCTCCGGCTACAGCCCACCCCCACTCCCCCACTCCCTCTGCCCGTCCCCTCAGCAGCTTGACGTCAACTCCAACCCCAAACCCAGCTCCCTGCACCTTCCCAAACAGGCCTCCTTGTCCGATGCTCCGCATGCGCCCCTGTCTGAAACGAATGGCTCCACCCTTTACATCAAACCCCCGCTCGTTCTTACACGTCACGATCTGTTCCTGGGCTCCCCCAAACCCCCCAACACTCCCCTATCTGCTCCCCCTCCATGGGCAGCCTGTGCCTGTAGCCGAGAGCGAGGAGCCAAGCTGACTAGGTAAATACAGACCCCTGCTCAACTCTTTCGTACTTCCAACACAATTCACACACAAATGAAGAGAAGCCCCACGGGGATGAAAAGAAGCCTGAGAGAGGGATGAGATGAGGAGAGAAGGAGATGGGTGAGATTAAGATACTCCCGACAGCGCCACCCTGTTCTCCATCTTATTATTTCTTTTGGTTTTGTATCCGTCAGTCATGGAAATCAATACGCTTTAGGAATTCCATTATCAGATCCATCTTTAATTTAATAGCCATGTATGCAATCCATAACTTTCCATGTTGCCAGGATATTCAGGAGCCGGTTGCCAGGCAACAAAGGAAATTCAAAGCTTTCAGTGAATACCATTATAAAAGTGGGCGTTAATGAGTCATGCCCGTGGGCCCAGTCAGCCCTGAGTGGTAGACTGCAAGATCAGACCTTGAATATGAACACAACACAACACAATGGTGTTTGTTGAAGTGAAACAACATGGAAAGCAACACGAGTTAATGACATAATCATGATGTCTGATATCGGAGGAAATCCCAAAGATGCTCATCTGCATTGCTCCACCCTGACTTTAAATCCCAGCAGCTTCAGTCATCCATCCATGTCTCATCTGCTGAATGTGAGAGCAGCTCTCAGTCAGTCGGTATAAACTGGTTATGTTCTGACCTTCAGGTCCTTCTCCCATTGGCATTCTGGCTGCGCTGCACTGTAAAAGTACGGAAAATCCATTAAGCCATCAGGGTTTATTTGGGATTTCTGAACTGCTTCTGCTGCACCACAGTATAGACTACATGTCCATCTGCAGCAGTGGTCACTCAGGCTATTTGACATTGAACTATGGGTGCTCTCATATTTTTTTAATATGCCGAGAGACTTACGGACACAGGGCTGACATATTATTAAGTGAGATGCACGGAGGAGCTTGTGATTTGTAAAAGTGTGTTTTTTTCTCCTCAGCACTCTGAAGAACAAGGAGCTGTCTCCAGTGATTGGCCAGAAGGGAATCCAGGGAACGATGACCTCTTGTGGACAGTCGCAGCACTCTGAGCACAGCCCACACACCCTGAGGAGAGGTAATAAGGGCGTGGGGTATCACTGCTGCCTTGGCACTGTCCTGCACTATTTACTTTCATGTTTTCATCTTAGCCATTTTCTGCCATTTCTGGCTTAATCTGTTTCTTAAAGTAATGGCCTTCAGACATGCACCTCGTCATGTAAATCTGCTGTCGGTCTCGCGTCAGTCTCCAGTCGGAGTGAGCCCCTGTCACTTTTTTGTAAAGGTCACAACTTTGATCTTAGTCTGAGCTGAATGCTGCCACGTTAACATAAAGGCTACAGCAGCACAAGGTTCTACCTTCTTAAGACTAATAAATTTCTAATTGTTTTTTTTCTCTTATGCACAAAGAAAATCATTTTAATAAACTTTTTTACTATTAAATACTGAGAATAAACCCTGTTTAAGTTATAGGATCCTCTAATGTCAGATGAGTCTATGAAATGTTTAATCAGCCATTGTTTCCCCTCATAGCAGCACAGAAGAGGGAAAAAACTAAGAAAAATACTATAATCATTAAAATATCAATCTCACTGAATTTCACACAAAAGCTTCACATCCAACATGTGAGCAAAAAGGAGTCACATCCTAAAGATTGTTGTTTTTAACTCTGTCTGACCCCTTCACTGTTGCTCTTCCTGAGGTTTCTCGCTGGTTTTCCCTGTTAAACGGTTGTTTTTGATTTCCATATAAAATAAACTGACTTTACTTGAGCACTGTGAGACTGAAGGTTATAAAACACGCAGCAGAATTATATATTATCAACAACAAATGATAAACTTGTGAAGAAAATTAATTTGGGGATCTCCATGGTTGATTAGATTAATGGGTAACTCTCATTTTCATAATGATCATTAAAGGGAAACTCCTTAGATTTTACTCGGTAAAGTCAGTTTATTCATTTTGGTTGAGCCTGTAAAAACAGCTGTATAATGTTCCCATTTACAGAAAATCTGTTTCATAAAGTTTGAAAGATGAGGACATTAACAGGCGGGTAAAGTCTAATGAAAGACTCTGTACATTATAGGATCTGCAGGATCTGAAGGAATGACTCATACTAAAGAGTAAAAGTCAGGAAATCTCAGACCCTGCTGCTTCAGATTTTAATTTTATTTTTGAAAATCTGCCTCCCAACATAACTGAAGTACAATAGAACCACTGGAGTGACAGCCATCGAGCTCTATAATAAGTTTTAAAATCCATCACTTATTCAGCCTGTGAGAGAATGAGAAGACTCCTCTTCCTTCATATCATCATGTTGTCCAGCCGTGACTCGGCTCTATCATTGCAGTTTTATAATATTTATATTTATGAGATCTATTTTTTCTTGTGGGTGTCTCCACAGCTAAGAAGCTGGCCCCCATCCCCCCTAAAGGCCCTTACTGTCAGACAGGAGCCATGTCCGACCAGTCGACAGGTCAGCCGTCTCCAGTCAGCTTGTCGCCCACTCCTCCCAGCACCCCCTCCCCGTATGGCTTCAGCTACCCGCAGGGATACGCCACCATCGGCTCCCCGGGTCAGATCCAGGCGGCCACCACCCCGTCCCTCTCCTCTCCGCCCTCGCTGGCCGGGACTCTCACCAAGGCCAGGCCGACCCCCAAGCCACCCCGGCAGAGGCCCAGCTTACCTCCTCCTCAGCCCCCCACCACGCCCGGCGCCAGTCCCCAGCCTCTGGAGCATTCAGCAGGTCTCCTGGACGGTTTGTCTCCTGGGGAAAGCATGTCCACAGGTAATGTCACAGATTACAGCACATTACAACACATGTACACACAGACTGGACTGTTGATGTATTTGAATTCTTTATAGTCTACTTATTTAAGCCCATTTATTACTGGTTACTCTAACGAATGATACAGTATTTTTCATAAATAATATGAAATAAGTCTTCCTCTCATTAGTTAAGCTTTACACTTTAAGAAATTAACCACAGCTGCATTGTTTGATCACCAGATATTACAAGATGACTATAACAGGTTGATTGATGGTGGATTTATCACTAAATCCACAATGTTTTTAATTGTTTATACAATACAAACCTCACTACAACAGTAAACTTCAAAGTCTTCAAAAACAAATATTACAGCTAAACAGCTAAACTTTTCATTGGATTTTTTAACAATGAAAATACATATATTGAGTATTTTTTTTAGGTTCAGGTTGATTGGAGATGCTCAAAAATAGCATCTCTTTTGAAATCTCAACATAAATCTGCACTAAAACACGATGATTTTCTGTTGACTGTTGCTGGAGTTAATACTAATTAATTTGCCTCATCGGCACAAGCCGGTTCTAATGATGTTTTCGTCTAATTTTCCCTTCTTGTCGACTGCTCTTATTGTCTCACTTACAGCGGTATGAGGCGAGAGGTTCAGTGTGATTCTGTGTGTGAGAGGGACTTTTAGGGTAAGCAGGAGTTCCTGTGCTCAAGCCTCACCTCTCCACCCCCACCCCCCCACCCTCCACCTCAAGTCCAATCCCCTTGTCATCTCGGCCAAACACGGAGCCGGCTCACAGTGGGGTGAGGCTGCCAGCAGAGGCAGATCTTGGATCAGGCTACGATCTGATTCAGTTCGCCTCTATGGCAGCTTCACCTTAGAGCCGCTCCTGATGTTACCTGTACATGACTTCTCATTATGTACCAACACACAGCTGCTGTGTTCAGTCCACCTTTAACCCGTTTGTTGGCCTTTGCATGGTGGCTGAGATTGATGCATGGCTTAAAGTCCAGTCTAAATAGACCAGGGCGGACGCCTTTTTTACTCTGAATCCCACCCATAATGCCCTTCTCCAGCTGCCCCCCCGCCCCCCAGCTTTGACAGTCACTGCCCCCCCTTCACACTCCCGCTCCACTCCACAATGTTGTACCTCACTGCCCACCGCTGTTCTTCAGTCAGCACACACTTCCTGTCTGTGCCACTTGTCTATCACTCTGTGGATTGTCATCATTCACACAAAGATGCTCCAGTTCTTCGTATCACACTGAGGTCAATTTATTCATTTATACACGAGTATAACTAACTACATTGATCTTGGTTTGGTTTTGGGTTGTGACAGTGTTTATTGAATTTGTTTTTAATGCTCATTGATCATGTCTGAATCAGGTGTAGAGTATTAGGTATGCACGATATTGATACTTTCGATAATTTACACACCACCATTCATGTAGTTTCTACCAGTGCAGTTTATCTATTACTGCAACTGTGATGCGTGGCACAGATGTAGCTGTCTAAAAAAACTGCTTCCCTCCTTTGATTATGCACATAAAGGTTTGTTTACTCGTTTTCAGTACTAATGAACTTTTTCATTTTTTTTGTGGCTGCAAGTCTGAAAAAATAAGCTTCATCATGTCTCAGAGCTGTCGTCAGGGTTGTCTTGAGTTAGGATTGAAACAAATGTTTGACAAAAAATCTGCATTATAAACAGAGGGTATAGAGTTTGAAAGATATTACAGGTGCATTGTGGGAGTTGTAGGTTCCAGTGTTTTTGAAGCTTGACTCGTGTTAGGGACAAAATCAGGATATTTTACAATCGATTTTGACCATTCTCTTTCAAATCTGCTACCAATATTATGTGACATGGTTTACTTTTGCATATATCTTGGTGGGAGTATTTCAAACAGCTAAGTTTCAGAATATTGTTAGCAATTATCAAATTCAAATAGAAATCTATCCCACATATAAATTTGAAATTAACCAAATACTTTTCCACATACGCTGTATGGCTAAAACTGTATGTTGAAAACTTGTCCACATATGTTTATATACATTTAGTCTAGAGCTGGATCTGCATGCTTTGGTCTAAATTCCAGTTAAAGTAAATCTTTGTTCTGCAGCGTACAACAGTTTGAGGAAAGCCAACCTCAGTTTCAATATGGCAATGCCTTCAAGTCCAAACTGGTTTTCCAGTTTGGTGTGGAAGAACCTGACTGGTCTAACACCTCTGAGATGAACTGGAACACTGACTGTGAACCAGACTTGATCACCCAGCATCAGTGTTGGACCTCACTAATGCTCTTGTGGCTGAATGGGAGCAAATCCCTGCAGCAGGTTCAACATCTGGTGGAAAGGCTGAAATATAAAAAGCTTGTTTATCGTGCACCCCTGTCATGCATTTTTTTTAATTTATTCATACTGTAAACTCGACTTCTGATGGCCCACATGCTGTGTGTAACATCATCCGGCATCAATGAGCCCACATCTGGAATGATCTGTTTCACTCTACATGTTTTTTTTTTTTTTTACCCACATTAGAAGTGCTTTTATTTCCCTCTCTGCTCACTCTCTCTGTTTCTGTGCTCTGCCAGATTCTCTCTGCAACCTGGACATCCCCGTCATTAACATGGAACTGGACGGTCTTTTTGACTTGCCCCACATCTCCCCCTTCAGGAACTCAGTGGCGCTGCTCGAGTTGACCAACAACAGAGCAGAGTCGGAGGAAGAGTCTGAGAGCACAGTGCTATGATGCCACTGAGTCCCCCCTAAACCCCCACCCCTGCAGGCTGATTAAATGAAACACAATGCTACTGCTGCACCGTGTCGCTCCAACCCCCCACCCCCCCCACGCTCAACTCATTGACCTCTCACCTCTCCAGCTGGATCTCATTGTCTCACCTCACCTGTGCTTGATCCAGAGTGGCCGACTTGTAAAAACAAGCTCTTCTTCACAGTAAAACAACAAAAAAAACAAGGTGAACACAGCTAAAAGAATCACACGAGTTGTTGTGACAATGTGGTCAGGGGATTGTTGACATTTTATATTGGCTGGAAATATGTCGTTTTCATTAATTTAATTTTTTATGTTTGTTTTTGCCTTATTTTTATTCACTTGCAATATTGCCTTTAACTACACACACGAGACTGGCTGCTGGGAGGAATGAGTGCTCTTTGCTGCTGCTTCTCATGAGTGACTTTTAGAAGGAAGAACAACACAACACTGTTCATCTGTCCTGCCAACACCCAGGCTTTCTTCTTCTTCTTTCTTTCTCCTCGGTTCCTCAGGGGTGTCAGTTGAAATGCCTCGCTCTGGCATGTGGTGGCAACAAACCCCCGAATTTCTGTCCCACCTGAGCGTTCACTGTGAGTGTGACAGTGTGTGTGTGTGTGTGGGTGTGTGGGTGTGTGGGTGTGTGTGTGTGTGTGTGTGTGTGTGTGTGTATTTTGTGTCTGATGTGTTTGGTAATTGTACTATTATGATGTTGCACTGTTGGTGTCGTGGAGCATAAACAGGAATGCATGTTTTAGATATTTAGGAAAACAACGACCAGGTTGCAAAGAGCTTCAACGCAGTCACCAAGTCACACTTTTCTCTATATTTACATGACATTCAATCAGGATATCAATCACTGAATATTTATTGTTTATACTGTACATTTTCAGAATATATGATATGATTAACATTATAAATCAGATCAAATCATATTTTGTATCCACAGGAGAGCTATAAAGACACCACTTCAGATAGAGTATAGTTGATGCCGTCAGGGAGCTGTTAAATATAAGAAGTACATATTGTAGGTTATGGAAGGTCCAGTGAGCTGAAAAATGAAAAACTCCATGTGATCACTCATAGTTATTTTTGGCAGCAAGCGAAGTTACATGGGATTCTTCATTTTTCTCTGTAAAGTAAGGATTAATGTCAGTTTCAAGAAAGAGGAACTGAATCCACTGGAAGACAAGAATGTACAGGTTTGGTACTGAGGAGCCTGGAGTGTGCCACAGGAACATTTACTTAAATTAAATTAATAATTATATTAAGTCCAACCCAACATTTGAAAATCAGACTATTTTGAATTGTGGATTAGACTCTGCTTCCTTGCACGTTGCTGCCACCAACTGTGCGTCAGCGGATAGCAGGTAAAAACACTGCTCCATAGCTTTACTAGCACTCAAAAACTACACAGGGTACCTTTAATGTTTATGTGCCAGACTGCTCACATGACAATTAGAGAATCATTCTTAAATTAAATGATCGCAAAATGAAAATTACAGATGTTAAAGTAATGGAATATGATAGAAAGACACACAAGTGAATGACCAAATGGAATAATTGAAGAGCCTTTTTAAAAATAGTTTGGCGATTCCATTTTAAAATGTTTTTCCAACAACTCCTGAGGGAAATATCTGGTTCTTTAGCTGCTAAATGCTCTGCTATGTTCATTTATGAGCCAAAAATGACACTTGAGAGTGAACCAAAACAGTAAAGTTGTGGGTCAACCAATCAAACCAATGAGCTGAAAGATGCTAAACACTAATGAAAATATATACATAGCTGGTTTCAGTTTTATACAATATATGTAAATTAAACTGGAAATATAACAGCTTTTTAAAATTTATCAAATAATTGAATGATTATAATGAAAAAAATTTAAAAAAGCATAAAATTACTCCGGTGGCACACTTCAGCCTCCATATGGGAGAATCATCCCTGGTGAGGCGTTGTCAGAGGATACAGGCACAAGATTGTGTCCTCGTGCCCTGAGGTATTAAAACATCCCATCATATCATAACAAAGAACTGAAAACTGTCTTGACACACTCCCAGAAAAAAAGGTGCTATTTTTTGTTAAAAAGAAAACCCTGCAGCCCCAGTGGTTAAAATAAGCACACTTTTTTTCTGATAGTGCAGTTTCACTTTCAGCCATGCACTTCCTCATTGCAGTTTATAGGAAACCTGTCTGATGATGCTGATATTTTTGGTCTATATTAGTGAACTAGAGGCAAGTGCAAAGAAATGTGTATATGTGTTTATTTTGATGAGAGTATTTATACAGATATATTTCTGAATACTTTTTACTAGGTCTGAGGAGTTGTGATTGTTTCCACTACACATGAATCTCATCAGAGGATTTAAAAAAAAAAAGAAGCATAGAAACACGGGACCAGAATTTTCCCTGCTGTTGCATTAAAACCTTTTCAGGAATCAGAAGTTCGGTTTAAGGGAAATAAAACTGAAGTAACAAGGTTTTACATACGACAGCAGCAGTTTGTTATTTGCCTTGCGGTGGGTTTTGTTGTGACCTATCCAGATTTGTAAGATTTTCCTTTTGTCCTGAGAACATCCACGACACATGGCCTCAAAGTCACTGTGCTGCTCTACCATCCCCTTTCTTTTAAAGTGCGATATGATTCACAGGACTTTTGTAAATAGTCAAACCTCTGTACATACATGTCGTGTATATACTGACAGGGGAGAAATTTAAATATATATATAAATATAAATATATATATATATATAGATAGATAGATAGATAGATATATACAAATACTGTATTAAAAAATATAAATGATGATGAACATTATAACATTATACTGTACAGATAATATTATAATGTCGCTGGTTCTAGCACAATAATGCCACACTGACACAAAATAACATCGAGTAGACTTCGCACAGTAAAAATTAAAAATGGTACAGTAGATCTCTCGGCACTGACGTAGGCTCAAGGTTAAATCTAGTTTGTAGGTTTTCTAAATAAACAGCTGATAGTGCTCGTTTTCAGATTCTTGACTAAGAGTTAATTAAAAGAGATAGCAGACAGCAGATAATAAATCTCCTCAGTTCCTGTCCTTCATTAGATTTAAGATGTGATTTTAGAATGAGAACATAAAGAAAATGCTTTACACAAGCAGTTCAAAAAGAAAAAAATGACATTTTTCTACAATTTAGGGCTGCAATTAATGATTATTTTCATAATTGATTAATGATGGTTGATTAATCAATTAATAATTTGGTCTATAAAATGTCAGAATATAGCGAAAAATGTTTCATAAAGCTTAAAGTGCTGTATCTAATAGCTTGTTTTTGCCAACTAACACTTGATAATCTATAGATACACAGTTTACTATCACATAAGAGAAGCGAAATCCTCACAATATTAAAGGTGAAACAAGATTTTTTTGGGCATTTTTGTTTGAAAAATTACTTTAATGATTAAACTGATGATCAAAATACTAACAAATTATTTTTCATCCATTCAGACTCAGCTCTACTACAGTTCACTGCAGTTACTGGATTTAATCAGCTGAGTTTAAATCAGTCCAGCATAAAATGCTCTCACCAGTATTTCTACTTTGAATATTTAAAGAAAAACTAAACACTGACCACAAAACCGTTTTTTTAGAAAGTTATTGTTGCATTTAGGCTGTGCCGAGGTGAGTGGTCTGTCCTGTCTTTGTCTGGATTTCTGTGTAACAATGTGCCGCTCTTCGTTTTGTACTAAAGGGTAATCCGATCAAGGCTTGTACATAGAGTATTCATCCAAAACAACTTTATTAACAATAGCCCTGTCGAGCAGAGAGAGTGGTGGAGACACAGCTTCCAGTGTTACAGCTTTTTGCGAGCATGCCCTTTGAGCACTAAAATACGAAGGCCTTGTTTTTGAAAATGAATAGGTGGAATGTACCGGTGAAGTTCACTTCGTAGGTCGTGATACAGGCGGATCGTGTGTGTGTGTCGTGGACTTAGTTACAGTAAAATAGGGTGAAGGGGTATTTGATAAAAAAAAAGTGTGTAAGTCCTAATTTTCGGGGCAGGGGGTGTTTGATTCGACATTGTCCTGTGTGAAACTCAGCAGCATGCTTTTTAACCATGCCTATGAAATATGTCTCATCTTTGGTCCTATCTAAACGTGCTTGTATTTATTTTTTATAAGTGAATAGATCAACCTTTACAAGAGAAGAAGTCAGTGCTCCCCTTGACCTTTTTTAGTCAAACTTCCCATTGATTCTACCGACAATGTGTTCGAATCATTCATGATTACTGTTTGTTTTCACCTTGTTTCTTCTGTGTTACATTAATACAGTATGCTCCACCTGTTTTATCAATAGGAGAAAAAAAAGCACATAAGACTCAAAACAGAGAATCAAAAATCTTCATGATATGATGGAGGAGAGGACGTGTGTGCTCTGAGGATTTACACTGAAATCATGTAACAAGCAAGAGAAGAAAAAAACGTGCTGCATATAGGTTTGTTTTTACCCATACAGTTTGTAGATTACACTGTGGTGCATGCAGCCATTGCAAGTACATCTCCAATCATCTTTTCTTTTTTTCTTTTTTTTTGCTTAAGTTTAAGTTCCAAGTAACGGGGGCCAAAATAAAAAGGGAACACATATGTGATCAAGGAATTTTTTCAGACTTAAAAGTTCTTTGTGTCAAACTGTAGTGATGCTGTGGACTCTTTAAAGTTTGGAGTGAAGAGGAAATGCCTTTTCTTGGACATGCTATCTCCCGGTCACCAAGTGGAACACAGTGTAAGATAAAAGAAAAAAAAAAAAGAAGATAATCCTCATCCGAATGTTGAAACTATTAAAAATGTTTTTATATTACTTGGACTGTCCGTGCTTTTGTTATGAATGATAAATGTTGAGAATTGTGTTCAATCTTCTCTCACTCACAGAAGTTTTATACCTGAAATGATTTGGAGCAGAAACAGCTGTTTTTGGACCAAACAAGTGAAACAAATAGAAGGAAAAGCTGCAGAAAATTAAATGATGGTATAAAACACAGTGATTTTTCTCTGGTAAGAAGCCTTCAGTCACATCCACGGTGCTTCAGTGGAGGCCAAACACATTCTGCAGAGGCATAAAACATCTAATTACAGCTTTGAATTGCAAGGTAAATCAAAAGGAAGTGGCTCACTCTGACAGCTCTGAAATGCACCTGTCATGCAGATCTCTTATGATGACAAGCAACAATACTGTGTGGGAACTACTGTAAACAGCTTCACATCAGCCTTTAACACTCAACATACATATTGTTCCTCATGCTAAGAAACCAGCAATCAATTTAATTCTTTCCTGACAACCACACATGTTAACACACACTAAAAGAAGAAAGGAAGAGGATCACCAAAATTATTAAGCTTCATTGTCTGGAAACCGTGAAGGTCTTAACTAAAATTTGTGCAAAATCATCCAGTAGTTACTGAGATATTTCACTGAATAATCTGCTGGTGGTGTTACTGTGCATGAAAAGTCAGTAGGACTTATCCTCTGGGGACCATGAATCCCTCAGATACAGTATTTCAGTCTGGACCAAACTGGTGGACGCTGTTAGTCTCACTAAAAACTCAACAGCATAGTTTGTTTCCAATGACAATGTCTCCGTTCCTCTGAATTATCCACAAACCTCACTGTCAGCAGCTTCCATGGGAATTGCTTTACCAAAAATGAATCCCCATGAAAACTGTTGATTCTGGAAAGAGATGCTGTTGATGATTTTTTTTTTAATGTTGTAGGAGCCATGTATTTGATTTGTGTGATATTCCTCCGAGCACTAGGGGGTGATGTAAGGCTGAGGCTGTCCACAGAAAATTTAAGCCCCAAGGCAGTAAACACAGGTGTTGCTCATTGTAAAGAGGCAAACACTTTTTGACTGTTCTCTGACAACTCTGTGGCTGTTTTATGTTAAACTTTGTATAAAACTGTTATTGGACATTATGGACAGATTGGGGACACAAGAAAATAAAAGCATCATGATACAAAGCATTGGTAAGGACTGGATATCATTATTCCAAGGACACGTCCAAACAATCAAAGTTGCAGTGAGCAGCCATGTAGCAGCTAAAGTCAACAAATTAAGTCAAAACTTCATTTTGGATCACCAAGACAAGACATGTTGCTTCATTGGGAATCCATGAAGTTCGCAATTCACAATTTACTACAATACATCTGACTCATCAAACTTGCAATAGGACTTTGTCACTACAAATGTCAATTTGCAAACAAATTCACTTTCATTTAATTGTACTAGAGTGAAAGCAGAAAGATATTTTAAAACCTGAGCAAATGAAACCAAACCAATTATCTGCACGTTATTTGTGAGTTAGGTGAACTGCCCCGTTAACTGCTAGATGTCCAGTGTGTAGATGAAATATGCAGGATGAGTCCTCACCTTTCACCTTTAGTCCAAAAAGTTATACTGTAGTGAGGCAGCGGCTTCGAATAACTTGTCCTTTTGAGCAATAAGAATATTTAACATAGTTAAGTTTACTTTCTTGTGACTTAAAAATAATTATCATAAAATGACTCATCTTTTCCTTTAAGATTCATGTTTCCTCATTCACTTCAAATGAGCACATTCATCATAAATCAAAACTCAGCTGAAGTTGCCTCTTACCAAAGTCCATGCTGACGTTTAAGGGGGAGTCGTACATCTGCAGGAACTGTTGAGGACTCTGCAGCTCATCTCGAGCCAGCAGCTTATCTAGAACCTCCTGAGGCATGATCAGTTCTGGAGTCTCATCCAGAACTAATCCAGGGAGAGTCTGAGAGGGGAGTCAGAAAATCTTCTTTAGAAGCTGACAACATCAGGATTATTTTATTGTTATAAAAAAAGTGAGAATTATCTATAAAATCCCTTGAAAGACAACCCAGGACTGTAAATTTATGAAGTGAACGCACCTTCTTAGATATTTCAGGGTGCCCACCCAGACTCTGCAGTGCTGACAGGACACTGCAGACCAGAGTCTCCGTGCTCTCTTCTTCTTCCTCATGTCCTTTAGCCTCGTGGTCGCCAGACACCTGGTCTGCCCCCAGCACCTTCAGTTAACAACGTGAATCACTCATTAAATGTCCATGGATAGAGATTATAATTCATAAGGAATCTGTCACATATCTGTGTTTGCCTCATGCAGCCTCACAGATATACAAACCTTGTAGCTCCACTGATGGAACATCCTGCTTCGAGGGTCATGTGCCATGAACACAACCTTTGCAGCTCCCAGCAGGGAACTAAGAGAGGAGTTAAAATCATTAGTACAGTTCTGCATATTGTAAAATTCAACACCAACAGGTTCAATGTCAGGGAGAAGGTTTGAAATGTTCTCAGCCTGAGAACTAGAGGAGCCATTGTTGAAAATAATATATATCATATATTTAACCCTATCAGTCCCACTGGAATGCTGGCATCCCGTCCACTGTCTATCTCACTATCAATTAACAGATCAATAATCCTGGTCCTTATTATAGCAATCCAATCAACATGTGAACATCGTTGGTTGTGTACCACTCTTCTTAATGGGGGAAAGCTTTGAAGACTACACTGAATAGCTGCCACTGTTGTTCAATGGCGATGATGTTTTTATAAATATTTCACATTCCAGGTTTCACTCTTGGCTCCCATGAATTTAGGAAGATCAGTGATGTGATTTGATTCGAGTTGAAACCCGCACAAAAGTTAACAGTTCTTTTAGTAGTTTTCTAATGAACTATCATATTTGAGACCTTCAGAAATCAGATTTTATAACATTTTAACTTTTTTTTTGCAGTTGTTACAGTTTGTATCATAAATCTTTAATTAACTATTCACATAAAATAGATGTTCAAATAGTCTTGTTTTGTCTTGAAAAGAAAATGTACAACACATGAAGCTAATGAGAGACTTTGACAGGCTGATGAATGGAAGTACCAGTAGTACAAAAACACAGCTTTAGGCCTGGGACTTCCCCCGTCTGCATACTTAAGGCATTTGAATGCTTCTCCTTTGTAAGAGTGCAGCTATGCTAGTGGTGTGACAAACACTCATGGCCCCAAGAGGTTGTATCCCTCAGACTTGTGCGACCATGAGGTTGACATTTGTGTTTTTAAGTGAAATGTCTCAACAACTATTGGATGGATGGTCATGAAAAAACATTCATGCCCCCATGATATGAATTGTAATCACTCCTCTGAACAGTATTAGTATGCTTTGGTACATGACATAGTGTGTGATATTCATCATTACCAGTCTGACTGTTGTTGCAGGTCTTTCAGAACAGACAGCAGAATCTCCCTGGATGACTGGAAGAGAGCAGCGCAGCAAACAGTAAGTACAGGGTTTCACATCATAAACTTTCTTCATCGACTGAATATTTATCTGGAGGGAAACTTACTTCAATGATGTGCAGCAGGCAGGATGGATAGATTACCAGCAGGCCTGTCATGTGATCCCAGATATATTGTTTGCTTAACTGAAAGTTGAGTTTTTCATAATGAGCTGTATGGAAACAAATCAACAAACAGAACAATGTGTCAGTTTGCAGACAACAGAGAAACTGAGTATCCTGACAACCACATGAAAGCCCAGCGCTGTTGTCAACACACCGTTCAGTTCCAGCCTCTCCAGGGGCTTTTATTGTGAGTTTTCTATGTAATTTCTGTGGAAGAATTCCTTGAAAAGTGACAACACAAAGCTCTTACAAGGACGCCCTGCAGACTCATTCACATACGAAGATGGGAAAGCTCTAAAACAGTCAGACAAGAGAAACAAGACGATGCTTCTCTCCAAATTTACAGTTTGCAAATTTCTGCAGAAAGTGCAGATCTATTCATTTGTGATATTATTTATAATATTATTATTACCATCCCCTTCATTTCCCCCTAAGGAGAACTGGATCAAATTGGAACAAGGTGATTAGGTCACTGCAGAGAATGAAAGGATTGTGTCAGTGAAATAGCGATGCCTTATTATCAGCCACTGAGCTGTTGTTGCTCTTGTTCTTTGTAGCTCTAAGGTAATTGCTGGCTGACCTCCCAGTTCTGTCCTGTCAGCGAGATCGTGGGGGATCCGGGCGATTACTATCAGCCGCTGTAGCACGATCTTCTGCAGAGACAAGGAAGACAAGTCTTAGAAAAACCTGCTTTGTCATATAGCCTATTAGACACGTACATTCACAAAGGGAGGATCACTACCTCATGCACAATTAAATTATAAAGCTATTTCAACATATAATGAGTGAAATTGCAACTGTTCAAATCAGCACCTGTCAGCAAAAGAGCTTCATGGTGTCATGAAGTAAAGTTTCTGATCAGATCAGAATTTAATAGGAAAACTAGCAAGCTGCTTAAGAAAAACTTTTATTTCCTCTCCTGTTGTTTGAAATGGAATACAAACCACTTCTTCATCATCCAGATCCTTCCTCTGATCCATACGATGGTGAAATAAACTAGTCCCAATTTCTTCCTCTTTCTTTCCCTCTGTTTTCATTGGGTCGGTTTTCTCCATCTTAGCTCTCTAACTCCTTATCTCCATCCAGTTCAAAGGCTCTAGCAAAGTGAGTGAAGCCTCAGCGAGCTGCCTGCTATCACTGTTTATTAAAGCTTATATCCTGGAAACCCTTTGTTCGCCTGCACTCTGGCGCAACTACATATGCACGATAAACATATGAGCCAATCCCGGGCTGAGACAGGTTTGTAATTCATGTAATGAAAGCCAATAGGAAGAGGAACTGTACATATGGGCACTGCAGAGGATAGTGCATTAAAACACTATTTAGTCTGAAGCTAATGTCAAAAACTGTTTGCTGGCAGTTATATGAGCTAATGAGGGAAAAAGATTTCTCATTTGGTTTAATCTGAAAAAATAGTTATTAAAATTAATGTCATGTCAACCTCTTTGATACTCATTACTTGCATGTTCACTTATCAGATTTTCACCCAGATAGAACTTTTATTATGACATCTAATTATATAATCCTTCATTTTTTATAAATTACAATTCAAATATGCAGCCAGGAGCTCACTGTTGTGTCATTAGTGGTGGAAGTAATACCCAGACTTTACTTAAGTAAAAGTTCCAGTACCACAATGTAAAATAGCGTCCACTTTCTCAAATACAAGGTTTTACTGCTTGTGCTTTTAATTATTTTTCATTCATTTTCAATTATTTTGAGGTTTGGATAAACAAAGCCTTGTGAAGGTGTCACTTTGGGCTCGGAAATAAGGAATATTTCTCATTCTTTTCTGAATCTTTACAAACTAAACTACGTTAAGTTGAAAATCAGCTGCACCTCAGCCCACAGCAACAGTAAAAAGCTTCTTACACATTTTAATGCATCTGCTTGAGTAACATTTTCAATACAGTATTGGAGCACTGGAATATTGGAGTAGGCTATATTTACTGTGTGGTATTGGTACTGTTACATCAGGATGTCAGTACTTCTTTCAGCACTGTGTAAACCTACTTCAGTGAGTGTTGACAAATGTTTTTGGGCCTTATCTAAACTTTTTTCTTGTAATTATTTTGTGGGGCGGTTGAACTAAGCGCATATCCTGTAAACGTTGCCGTTATCAGACCGGTAGCTAGTTTAGCCACCGTCACAAGGCTCCGGTACAAACCTCTCTCATTGTCCCGTGAAACACATCAAACATGGTCACCGTGTCTCTTCCCTCCACCTCCGAGTCTCTGTTTTCCCACGACTTCAACGACAAGCTGCCGACTTTCTGTGGAGCAGCCATACTGCTTCAACTTAACCGAGATGTTTGGGGGCTCCTCTCTCTCGCTCTAGGTGGGTTACCATGGCAACAATGCCCGTCAAGATCGGTGAAGACGTGTTTGACGTCACCACAGTCTAGATACGTAGGTGGATTTTGAATCATATGATTTTTATCTTTTTTCTTATTGTATTGTTGATTTCCTATTGTTTATTGTTACTATTTATGTATTTAGATTTTATTATTATTATTTGCTATATTATAAATATTACTTCTGCAATAATACCATGATGATTGTTGTTTGTATTTACTATGATATGAAAAAAAAAGATTATCTGATGCCTAGAGTTACAGCCTTTGTGACCTAACCCCAACATCAGCTACATTAAATTCAGAAATACCAAACCCTATCCAGTCAATGACCAACAGGTGGTGCTAATTTAACATTAACTGCGACCTATGCGCAGCACGTGTGCAGCAATGAAGCTCATGAGCACGAGAATACGTAGGGAAATCCACCCTAAAACTGATTTTTTTTTAAATCTCTCTCTATTGTAGTCTACTTTTGTGTTTTACTTTTTCTATAATTAAAAAATAATTTTTTGGAATTACTGCTGTGAACCATAAATACTCCAAATAGCTTTTGGATTATTAAGCTCTCATGTTGCTGGAGCCTACGACACAATTCGTTTTATTTTATGCTTTTTATCATGTTGTTGTTGGTTTAATTTGAATTTAATATAGTTTTGCAAGTATGTTAGTTTTATTTTTGTCATTGCTCCCATAGATATTTATTATAGCTTTTTAAAGCTTTTATATATATCTATGATATAAAAGCTCTAGTGCAATATGACAGGCTTATCCTGTTATCCAAAATATGAAGTGTTCAATAGAGAAATAATAAGAAAAAATAGAATTGAGATTTAGGGTGTATTTTCCTTTAAAAGCCCTGCTGAGCGGACCGAGCAGAGATCATCAGACAGCCGGAGGAGACGGTCGGCCCCAGCAGCGTAGACCGTCGAGCATAATGGACTGACTTACATCAGTGTTTGAGGCGATGTTCAGGTACTGGACACATGATAATTCATCCTCTTTTCTCTTTGGTGCAGAACTAGTGAAACTGAAACACTGGAGCCAGTTTGTCGTTGAACGCTGGTCGTTTATCGTTTGTTCGGTTCGCGGCTTGTTTGCACACCCAGTTTTGACAGCTGAGCTCAGCATCAGCTCTGGCTTTACACTCGCTGATTTTGGTCTCATTTCTTGTCCTACTTAACGTTATAATTCAAAACCGATGATTCAAATCTAGGTATTTTCAGTGTATTTAATTAAATATCATCTCCTGTTTCTAATGATAGATGATGATCACTGAACAGGGTCATCTCTCATTTGGATTAAAACCTTTTGACTCAGTATAGAATTAACATCAGTTTGGTTAAATAGTAAGATTTTACAGTGTAGTCTTCTGACTTCTGATCTTTCTTTATTTACACCTACACTTAACCCACCGTTTAAATCATAGATTATACACCCTTATAATGTAAGATCATAGGCCAGCATCAGCTCATGCAGTTTACATGAAGGTAAATGTTTTTTCTGAAATTGTAATTGTGGTTTTTTTATTTTTATTTTTTATTTAAGAAGCAGGCACACTTATTGATGCTGACAAAATGGCTTATCTTGCTTTTTCCTCTACTTTATGCCATTTGAGCCCCCCCCCCAGGCTGTGGGTGACATGGTTGAATTTAATCTGAAGCTGAATTATTCAGAGGTTCATAGAATGAAATTTTTGCAGGGCAGTAGCTACTATAGAAGGCACTGCCTGCAAGAGCAGCCAAGCTTTCTTTATGATTAATAAGATTTTCTTTTCTTTCTTTTTTTTTTAATCTCATGATTTTATTGGCGGTTGTAAAGACGTTTTGTTGGAGTGGACACGGGGCTCTTCTGTGTGACACTGGAGGTCAGCATTATTTACTGTGACCCCTCTCACAACGGAAGCATCTGTTGACCTTGTCCTGTCTCTCCCTCTCTCTGTGTTATCACACACTTAAATTCAGCGACTTTTCAGCATTTATCCTTATTGAGATGACCACCCATGGCTGGATTGACCTCCGTGGGGACACTAGGGCAAACATCTGTTGCTGGGCCCCTATAGACCCTATGGAAGCGTAATGCATTCACTTAAAAAAAAAAAAAATCCAGTTTTTTTGAATTAACCACATTTTTTTTTTAAAAGTTCAGAAAAAAAGGATTTTTTTATTCAAAAAATAATTAGATAAATAAAATCCCTGCTCTGTTTCTCTGAATTAACAACATCATTATCTTGTTAATTCTGAAAAACTGAGCTTTTTTTTCCTTAAGTAAATGCATTATGCTTCCATAGACCCCATATATACATGGCAGTTAATGTTATCAGTTCAGTTGTTTTTAAACAAAAAGTACAAATGCATTATATTTGATTCCTATAAGGTGTAACCATCCTATAGCTGACACTGTTGCCCGAATGAGTGAATAAAAGAAAGAGCTTGACTCAGAATAGTTTCTCTTCAGCCTGCAGGGCCACATCAAGCTGAAGAGAAATAAACAAGACACTGATTTCTGTGCCAGCCCAAAGGGAATACTGGTTTGGCTCCATCACTGCTCACCAGAGGGTTTTATTGTCCAGAAAACTGCAGTTCCTCTTCTTGTAATCTACTGTTATTTCCTCAATGCCTCTCTTCATCACAGTGCCAACAGTTGGTTACCAGGACACACTATTCTGTTTCACTTTCTGAAGGAAAAAAGGTGGATGGAGTTGTTGGAATTGGGTCACCTGTAGCCTCACATCCTCACGTAAGGTTAACATAGACAGTGGCACCTTAAAATGATATTAACTGCTTTAAAACGTGTCTTTTAATTGGCTGCATGCTTGTGCAAACAGTCACATGGGATCACAGGATAACCTTCCTTTTCTCTCACTTTTTTGTTCTCCGTTGATTCAGCTGGGGAAAGACGGGTGAAAGCAGCTCTGTTTCAACAGCAGGACAAAAGCACAAACCTGTTTAATACCCATGAGAGCAGAAATACTGTCCAACATTGTTTGGGTCAAATGGTTTTTGGAGAGTTGTTGTGCTGGTGGCTCCGGGCTCTGTAGCCTACTTAAGTCAGAGGGAGTTTATTTATAGGGACGAACACCTTTCAGAAAATGCAGCAGTTTTTTATTGAAGCTTTTTGTCCTGTTCCTGGCTTGACTCCAACTTCAGCTCTAATTATGAGTCAGTGTGATGAATGAGGCTCAGGAGGAAATGAAGAATAAAAACTCACTGACATGCACTGAAGTAAAGCTTGTGTGCTGCATTTTCAACCAAATGATGTTGTATAGTGTCAGTTGACTCTTATTTAGGTGTAATTAAACTTGTAGGAGGCTGTTAATCAAACTGAAGATGCCGTTTTCTCTGCTGATGCTCTGCAGTTGGTTTTTTTTTTTTTTTTCTCCTGTATCCCGTACTCCACGGGGCTTGTGGGAGTCTGGAGGGAGCGCTTTTGATGATTAATTCCCAGCTGTGGTTTAAATCACTGATTTGTGTGTCTTTTTCTCATTTCATGTTGCATTTTGAGATGTTTGCTGCCTTTTTTATGAACTAAGAGATTTCAGGATTGGAGAAGAGTCAGTGTTTCTGTGTCTGTGATGCTCTGGAGAATCTTAATGGATCACAAGCTCCATCAGCTTGTCACAAAAGATTCAATGCTCTGTCTGATAAACTTGACTTCTCCTCTTTCCTGACCTTTTTTTTTTTGTCTCTTTGTAATCCCTTGTTTCCTCATTCCTTCCTCCCCAGATTTGTTTGCCATGGAAACAGATATGATCCCGAAATTCTCCTCCAAAGACGAGGAAATTGACTTCTGGAAGGCTCTGTCCCTCAAGTACAAGAAAGGGTATGTAACCGGCTCTTGTTGTTTGGTGTTTTGTTTCAGCACATTGGAAAACATCAGCCTGGTGTCCTTCTGTATTTTTCTTTTTCAAAGACCTAAAGCGACAACAAACTTATCGAGGAAAAGTAAATATTTGTGACCCATTTAAAGAGATTTGCATCTTCAGTAAGAACCAAACGTCTTGGGAAATCTGAAAGAGCTGAGAGACGAACACACTGTTGGTTTTAGTCTTTTCATTTCAGAAAAAAGTAGAGTGAATGAAGAGTCGTCTTCTCCTCCTTTAACTGTAGGTATAACTGACCGTTTCCTACCTGCAGCAGACTCAAAATGTCATGTACCAGACAAGTGGAGGCAGGTTACAACGGCAGATTAATGCTTATGGTTTATGCTCAGGTGTTGAGCCTTTCACTGTGCGGGCAGATGGTGAATAAAAATAATTTCTGCGTGACATTATTAGTGGTTTTGGCTTTTATATCGGGGTCAGACCACCTCTCTGCTGACTGCATTTGAACCGCACATTGAGCCGTTGATCATGAGAACTGACAGTAACTGTAGACTCTCTTTGTGCAGGAATACTTCACCTCAGGAACGTTTGATCTGCTCTCTTGTCGTTGGATTTCAGTCGCCCATTCTCACTCTTTCAATTTAAAAACCAGTGTTTGCATATCCAGTGACACTTCAGGAAGAGACTCATGTGAGACGAGCAGTGAAACCTCTCCCTTTGTCCCAAAGCGACGGCTCCTTTTTCACGTTAAACATAAAAGGCTCCCATGTGTCTTTGTCCTCGTATCTTTGAGCGGGTTTATGTAATGATGCATCACTGTGTTGTCGTTACTCAACAGTTTACTAATCTAAAGGTTGCTAAAATTAGCCATGTCAAGTTGAAATCTTATCTTCCAGCATGTCGCTTGATTAAAAGCGACTAATTGAGACCTGAACATCCTGAGCTGAAGGAAACCGGCTGAGGCACACACCCTGTTATGTAAAAGTCTCTAGACAATGAGCTTCCTTCATAGTCAAGGTCACACTCATTTTGGTTGTGTGGCACATGTGATATAAGTGTTTTCTTCTCTACATCCACCAGTGATGACGTTAATGTTTTATTGTGGTATTTAATGTTATTGTAACTTTAACAATCCTGAGTTTCAAAGTTCATTCTTGACCTTAGAAACAGCTGATGGAACAATGTCATCTCAAGGTCCATTTGGTAGCAGTCCTGGAGTTTTCAATCATATCACATGATCTTCATCAGCACATGGAATTCATTCAGTTGTCATTGAAATGTAGACGTTTAAATTTCCATATTTCGGAGCACTTGAAAGACTTCTCGTCCATGTTGGCTTCAACGCTGAGTTTCAAGTTTGGAAACAGTAGTTGACAAAACAAACTCACCATAAGGTCCATTTAGTAGCTCTTCTGGGGCTTTCGTACATATCTCATGATCTTCATTAGCAGATTTAACGATCTTATAACAAACATTATTTTGGTTTAAAAAAAAAAAAAAAAAACATTGTACAGGGACTGATTTAAAAGCATTTTGCATTAAAGTTACTAAAATCAATATTTTAGTATTAAATGTGACAAATAACAGGTGTCACTTATAGCGATGAACCCACACCTCAGCTCTACAAAGCTGCTTAGCATCATTGAGCTCATTACTTTGGTTTATGGCCTGAAACTTTACTGTTTTACTCTCACAGCTTTATGTTCATCTGTAGCAGGCAGGTGTTTTCAGCTCTACACTACCTGCTCACCACCTAATGCCAAATGTAGCAGCTATGTGTTGAAGAAAGTAGGTCATCCAGCAGCTCCAGAGCCACATATTTGCTCAGAAGTTGGTGGAGACCAAAAACGGAGCTAAAAGCAGAGTGGGAACCGGTCGTGTAGCCAAAAATGTGACTCCTCCAAATGAATGCTAATGTTGCTTCGTATCTTCTGAATGTGTAAATAAGCAACTGTATGCTAATGAGCGTTGTATCATCTTAAACAATGTTGTGTTTACAGCTTGTTTCCACAACCCCAAGGGGCTAAAAAAATCATCTCTTGCTGGTTTAAATTAGATTAACAGATCCTGTTTTATTAGGATTTTTTTCCCCTTCAAGACTCAGTAAGTTTTAGTTTTTAAAGACATAAGAATTCATTGCACTGGAGCTGATTCAAAAGTCTTGTGCATTAACTTATCACATACTTGGTAAAGAAAAACACAACTTTGCAATAAAAATCAAATGGTACAATAAAATAAGGGCCAATAGAAGGACAATGAAAAGATAATGTATGATAAAATATGTAAATGAAAATGAACAGAATTAATTAATAGCCAGTTTTAGCATAGTGTTAAATAAGCAAAAAGTATTTCAAGTGCATTTTTCTAAGATCAAATGTTCTTCTGCTGCTGAGGATTCCCTTACGCTGACTATTCACATGCTCTGGAGTATTTTGAATATAGGCTAATAACTGTGAAGAGGAAGTACCAGTGTGCACTCTTTTCAAAATGGAACCTGTTCAACGTGAAGCCTGGCTCAGCGTTTCCTCACACGTTTGTAAAATGGATTTTCAGGCTCTGTGCCACCCCCAGCACTTCAGCCTGCACGAGGGTTGGTTATTCCATTTTTAGACGTGTGTGTGTGTGTGTGTGTGTGTGTGTGTGTGTGTGTGTGTGTGTGTTCATCCATGGTCATATCAACAGACACTTACATAACCTCCACTCCTGGAAAAGCTGGTCCACAATCAAATGTTCTAATGTGAGAAATCAGGCCAGTGACTGAATGCATGAAACATCAGTCATGTTTACTACCTGCATGTCTTGTTGAATCCCTTATTTACACATGCAGAGCTCAGTTCAGCTTAATCAACCAATCAATTATTAATCATGACCACTCTGGTACGGTGACTTAAATCTTGTGCCACCAACAGATGACAGTTTCCCCCTGTTGAATATGTCTGTTCATACCAGACCAGATATTTCAAATCAGGAATCCACAAATAAACTACTTTTTTTTTTTTCCTTTTTGTTTGTTTGAGAGTTTCCCATCAGCCCAGCTGTACTTTTATCTTAACGCTAAGATTATGATCACAGACTCTCTCTCCACCCTGTGGGTTTACGGGTGGGACGGGACCCCAACCTTCTACGAAAAGTAGTCCCAGTGAAAGTTGCTGACTCTGTGCTCTGTTTCTGGAAATATATTCAAAATGTATATATTTTTAATGCACCACAAACTCAATTCCATTCACCTCCATTAGAGTGATGACATTTCAGAGAGGATACCTCAGACTGAACCTGACTGTCATGAGGGAAAAGCCAGAACATCTTTATTTTTATAGGCTTATATAATCTTCATGTCGAATTTATAGAAACGGTTAAATTCCTGCTGAAACTGACAAAATGAAAATATGAGGCTGGCGGCTTAAACTGATGAAATTTGAGCCAAGTCACAAATCTGAGGATGAAATGTCCCAAAATTGCCTTTTTTATAGGGGATAATCTGATAATCTGATCCTACCATCAGGGCAAACTATACTTATGGTCCCATTAGAGGTAATCTTCAAAGAATAACAATTTTTTTTCCTTTTATATTTCTTTTCATCCAACTCTTTAATATTATGGTGTGTGATGAGTGTTACAGCCTCAGTCTGTGGCTTTAATCTTGTTTAAATGTTTTCCTCCAGGTGTGGTGAATGTGATTACAACAACATGAGTTCACTCATCCTGAAGTGAGACAAATTGGGAATATCAGGAGTGTGGGGAATCGTATCTGATTCACTGCTCCAGCGGCCAGACAAGATAGAATAAAGATAAAAATAAGTAAATAGGGTTGTAGTATTAGCGCACCCGCCTGCCGTGTCTCGCAGGCCTCTTTCTGTCTCCACTCGTTGTCTCACGCCTTCTCTCCTCCCTGCAGCTGCCAGGAGGCTCAGGAGGAGCTGCTGGAGTTTCAGGAGGGGAGCAGGGAGCTGGAGGCCGAGCTGGAGGCCCAGCTGGGTCAGGCCGAGCATCGTATAAAGGACCTGCACTCTGAGAACCACAGACTGAAGAATGAGGTCGAAACACTTAAGGTCAGTGCAAGGGGTTGTGGGAAAAGAGTACAGGAGATGAATGAAAGTATCTGTGTCTCTGCATCAATAGACTGAAGGTTTTATCAGCTCAGGTTGCCTCCTTGCTGAGTTCTGAAATTCATTAGGCTCTGATGTTAACAAAGCTGTTATCAAACCTCCTCTCTCTCTTCGCAGTTGTGTACTATAATTAGGCTGACACGAAAAAATGGAGTGATTCTGCCTTCTCAGCCAGCAAGCTGATCTTTGAGCTGTAATTTTAGCCTATAATCACCTTCAAATGTTGAAAGGTAAAACTAATAAGATTCAGTAAAGGCTTAGAAAGGATTGAGAATTGATAATCAGATCAGATACTAGATTTAAATTAGATAAAAATGCTACTGAGCCCCGTCCCTATGGCTTAGACGGTAATGATGATGTGTAGTATGATGAGTCAGCTTCTTTGTTTGTGTGTACATCTGTGATCTACTTAAGAATAGCTGTTATTATAAGATTAAAAAGGCTATAGGGACACATATGAAATATTAAACTAGTAATATCTAATCATGCAAATGTAACCAACGCTAGGGAAGTAAATTAAAGGCACACTGTATTATTTTAGTGAAACGTGATTTATAATCTTCTCATTTTACATACACTAGGCAGTATTTTGATCAGGCGTCAGGTCACACGTGTCTACGATATTCCAAACAGGTTGTATTGGCAGTGAGCCAATCAGAAGAGAGGAGGCTCTGAGCTTCTCTTCTGACTTGCTGACTGTTTATGGAGTGATCCAATTAGAATATAGCAGATTTCAGGTAAAACACTCAGATGGTGGGTCCAGGTGGGCGGGGCTTGGGTCATGGCTGAGAGCAGTTACTGCTTTGTTGTGACATCACAAAGTTCCAGAAGTCCTGACGGCTGGTTTTAAGGCTCAGTTTGTGAATACAGGGCGTGTGCATTTCTCTGTGGACTGAGGCTTTGATACTTTCACAGTATTAATATAGAACCTAGACCTGATCTATAATCACACTACACATGGACATCTACCTTTTATACAACATGGGACCTTTAAATGACCTCAGCTGTGAGTGTGACTTTGGAGTGTGACTTTGTAGATTTATGATGAGACCAGCAGTTATATGTATATAACCTTAACAATACATTAAGCTCTGAACTAAGTACAGCATGCCTCCATGTGTACCCACCACATAAATATTTGAAGCCTTTTTTTTTTTTTTTGTAGCCATCTTATATCATCACTCGTCCTTGAGTACAGTCCCTTGGGAGTGAGGAGAAAGTAAAGTCACGCTGTAACAGCTGCCGCTCCCCTGGATGCACTTAAACTCTGCACTTATTTATTTTATCTAGTGGGCCTGCAGCTCTGCCTTTCTGGCTTATACATATGAGGTCATGGAATTATTGAGGTCGCATATATATAGGAGCTTGTAATAAAACCTTGTCTGATGCACAACAGGAGAAACGATGATAAGTTGCCCTCTGGAAGAACAATACCACATGGTCTCATTTCTGGTGGATCTGTGCCTGCTGGAACTCAGATCAGTTATGATGGGCTTAATTGGCTTCAGCGAGGACTATAGTCCTGGAGATGTGCAATCTAAAAGGTAATCTCATTTCAGGAAGTTGCTGAGGTAAACGCTCTTTTCCAATCCCAACACCTGCTCCGCCCCAAACAGGCTGCAAACTGATGCAGCTGATCTGTATGACTCTCATAAATAATGCATCAGGTTGTGTCTCTCATTCTTATTTTCACTCCATAATAACCGAAAGGCAGGTGGCACATTTCTCAGGCCTCCAGCTGGAATGAGATGTTTGTGCCAAGGTGTCTGTCGGGTTTTACTTTTCCAGACAGGCAGTCGACTGCGTGGATGAATACATTACTATGTTTTAAGGAGATAAGCCAGCAGTGGTTGTTTTTGGAGCAAAGCTGCACCGTTGGCTTTTCAGGAATGTGTTGTTGTTGTTGTTGTTATTATGAATAATACAATACTGTTGGGTAGTTTCACACACTGATGACAATTCTCAGTACAAATAACAACAAAAACAACTTTTCAACATTTGTTTTGTGAATTGTGTTTTCAGGTTTGTTGCAGTGTTTTCAGTCTTGTGAAACCCTGTTGTGTTAATTAGATACTTTCACCCATTACTGACAATTTTCAGTAGAAACCTACGGTAGCCTTGACGTGCAAAAACACATGCTTTATAGAAAACATAATTTTACAAAAACACAAGATTTAAGAATATTTCTGGACATTTCAGAAAAAACAAAAATGTTCAGAAAACATTTCAGAAAACAGACATTTCAAGAGCGTGAAGATGTTTTAGAAATGCATTTCAGAAAACAGACATTTTAGACTCAAAATATTAGAAAACACAACATATCAGATAAAACAGCAACATTTTACAAACTACAACACCAGTTTAGAAAACATGGCAGTATTTAAGAAAACACAACAATGTTTTGAAAAACAAAACATTTTAGAAAACATAAAATTGAATCATTTTACAAAGAAATCAGCAAATCAAAAATCACTGCACAAAAAAAACTGCATTTATCAAACACATTTCAGAAAATACAACATTTGAATGTCAGATAACACTGCAACGTTTTAGAAACCACAATGCTGATTTAGAAAACATGGCAACAAAAAATTTAAGAAAATGCAACAATATTTCAGAAAACACATCAATGTTTTGAAAAACACAACAGTGGGCAAATGTTGTTTGGTTTTTTTTTTTAAAATGTGATATTTTTGTGTTTTGTACATCAAGGCCACAATACTAAGACCATCACAGCATGAGCTCCATCTTACCTGTTACGTAGTTCAGTGTCATGTTGATGGGATGTGCTGAATGAGACTCAAGCAAACAGAGGGCTGCCTGGTGCAGTTAATTCAGACCCCACAGTAGCAGCAGATATAGGTCAGACATACAGACAGGCCTGGCGGTATTTATCGAGCTGATTGTCTCTGAGCTGGAGGATATATAGGTCACACTTCACATCCGCTGTCTAACTGTGGCGAGGAGGAAACTGAGCGAAGCACTGAAAAATGGATGATACGATCTAGGTGCTGTGTGTTGGGAACTGTGAAATCATGTCCTATATATATATATATATATATAGAGCTCTATTATCCATCATGTTACAGATTAAATACATGTGATCAATAATCGCTATCTGTCTTCGTCCTGTCCTGTCGTGCCCCTCCCCTGTCCTCTGTTCCTCCTGCAGGAGAAGCTGGAGCAGCAGTACTCTCAGAGCTACAAGCAGATCTCCATGCTGGAGGACGACCTCGGCCAAACGCGCAGCATCAAGGAGCAGCTCCACAAATACGTCAGAGAGCTGGAACAGTCCAACGATGACTTGGAGAGAGCCAAAAGGTCTGAGCGGGCCCTTAATGCTCACTAAAATAGAGTTTTAAAAAAACAAAACAAAAAAAAAATGACAGTACACCCTACAATCACTCCTCTAAACCTATTTGATATATTTATTCCACACAACACCTTGACCCATGGTAAAGGTGTTTCCCTTCCCATCAAACCAGCTACTTTGTGATGCTTATTTAATCTATATGAAAATTTGCCAGAGATGCAATTCTGATAATCAGCAAATGGCTCAAATACAATTGATTGCTGCCTTAATTGGATTAAAATCAATGCTGCATTTGCACAAGCCTGGATATTGATCCCTTATTATCACTTCTATAATCATTCGTAAGCAAATGGGACATATAGAGGGCAACACCCAGAGGATATTTTTAAACATACTGACTGAAATGTTCTTTTTCATGATTTTTGTTTGATTTTCGTATTCACTGTGTTGTTTCTTTCATTTTCTGCCTCCTTTTAACTTTTCTCTCAGAGCTACGATTGTGTCTCTGGAGAACTTCGAGCAGCGTCTGAACCAGGCCATTGAGAGGAACGCCTTCCTGGAGAGCGAGCTGGATGAGAAGGAGTCTCTTCTGGTCTCTGTGCAAAGATTAAAGGATGAAGCCAGAGGTGATTATTGACTAGGTTTTTTTTTACTAATGAGCCGCTCTGTCAATCACGGCTCCGGCTCATTAACATACAGCTGCCGTGCCTCCTTTCTTCTTTGATGGTTAAAATATCTGCTTTCCCACACATTTGTAGGAATTTATTTGCCTTGTGTCCTCATTTGATCTCTTCCCTAATTTTTCTTTTTTTTTTTTCTTCTTTTTTTTCCTGCAGACTTGCGGCAGGAGCTGGCTGTGCGAGAGAGGCAGTCGGACGTAACCAGGATGTCTGCTCCGAGTTCGCCCACACAAGACAGTGTAAAGATGGACACTGCTGTGCAGGCCTCTCTCTCCCTCCCTGCCACCCCGCTGGGCAAAGGTCTGGACAACGCCTTTGCCAACCCGGCAGGTAGCTGCAGCTCGTCTTCCCTTGAGTGCATTTTTCTGTCATTATGCAAATACAGGCGGGGAAATCTAAGCTGCCCTTAATTATGCTGTTTTTATTTCATGTGTGGACACATCTACCTGTGAGGAAGACAGCTGCATAGTGGCTCATTTATTCATGTTTTGTGGAGACAAAGGAGCACTAATGGTGCTCAGTCATCTTACAGAATGAAAAGTATATATTCATTCAAAAGAATCCAATTTCATGCCACAAATACAGATGGTTAAGAATAAAAAGCCTTTGATAAATTTGGGCTAATAGATTATAAAACACATTTGCATAACTCAGGGTGTCTCGACAGCCTGTATTTTTATAATCAGACTATTTATTCATGGCTTTTTATTCTTAAAGCGACTATAATCAATATTTTTTATATTAACAATTGAATAACAATTAATCGAAATATTATCGAAATCACAATATGGACAAGTGCAATATCCAAATCACAGGAGCCAATAATAGTGCAGCAGATAAACTTGTAAAGGGAAGGTGTAGTGTATTTTATGACTAAAGCATGAAACTTTCTCCAGTGCTTCTATAAACATGCCATAAAATGCACAATTGTTTTGCCCACCTGCCTCACTTTGACTTTTTTACCTTACTATGCTATGATGTTTTTTTGTGCATTCGAGATGTGACCTCTGGTACAGGGCGGAGCCAGCTGGAGTAATGAGTGCGGTCCAGACCAAACTAGCATGCTAGCTTCTGATTACAATGTTAATGTGCTAGCTAGTCATGTGATTCCAAGTAACACACAGCAGAAATTGGTCCATATTTTTAACAAGCTACAGCTACCTTAGCACCTGGAAATGGAGTCTGCAGTCCCCCTGCAAAAATGGTGCTCTAAGCAAAATTATTATACACAGCCACAGAAACAAATACGCATCTTTATGCAATTTTGGCAAAAATATACATGATTATAATGGACTACCTGCCCCACTAGGTAAAATGTCTCACAACATTGTTGTGCATTATTAGCTCCACCAAACGTTGTGGTGCTACAGAGATGCCCCGGCATACAAATCATATTCTCCGGACGTAAGGGAACATGTTTGTTTGGTACAAGCTTCAACAAAAATCACACCATCATCATCATTTTAAAATATTTTTTCAGTGAAATTAAATGGAAAAAATGATCATTTCAACTGAAATCTGCCAAAACAATCGCAATATGACTTCTTTTTTTTTCTTTTTTTTTTCATAACGTTCAGCCCTATAGCTGACTGTACAGTGAATGTTTACTGGATGTTCATCAGATGGGGGCTGCTAAATGAGAATTTTTCTGTATTCTCTCCTCTCCAGTGTTATCAAATGGTTATGGCAGCAACTCTCCACTGACTCCCTCTGCCAGAATATCAGCCCTCAACATCGTCAGTGATTTACTGCGGAAAGTCGGGGTGAGTCGGTCCTTCTCACTTCCTGTGTTTCTGTTGTCCCCCAGGTTTCTCCTCCACTGCATCAAGTAGAAAGTCCCTTTCTTTCCACAGTGAAGAAGCATCATCATCATCATCATCATCTGTTTATGTCTCTTTTACAGGCTCTGGAGTCAAAACTTGCCGCTTGTAGGAACTTTGCCAAGGACCAGAAAGCCAGGAAGGCATACGCTCTCGACAACAGCAATGCGCTCAACGCAAACACAGCCAAGTACTCGCAGTCGCTCCATACGTCATATTTCGACAAAGCGTGAGTGAAACCAAAACGCACTTTCTCTTAGTCATTAACGAGGGGTAATTATTAACAGGAATGTTGTGGTGTAATGTCATAATTTAATTCTTGTCAGATGTGTTTACTGGAAGTCTGAGGCGTGTAGTTATGGTAAACATTATGAGTTGTATCTGATGACTCAGGAGAAGATGTATATGGAGGATGGATATCTGAGACCTGTGTGCATTTTCTCCCAGCAGGACAGAGGTGGTCACGTTCCCTGCATTGATTCTGGGTAATCGCAGCTCTTCCGCCTGTGTTGGGGCGCCTGCATGCTGCTGCTGATTTTTAACAAGCCTCTTTTCTACTAGAACAACCAATAGTGTGGGTTAGAGGACGTCCCGGCCACTAACTACTTATGATGCTGGTGGTAGTGGTGTAATGGTGCTGGAAATTTCTCGCTGCCCTTTAACTCTCAGCTGATCTAATAGCTGTTCTTCCTGTCTATGTGCTTGTGTGAGTTGAGTTGTTTTACATATTTGTTTTAGCCTTACATCTGACCATTAATTATAATTAACATCAAGAGCTTTTTGCCGTATGATTTTGAATCTTGGGAATCAAGTTGAGGAAGAGAAACTTGAAGAAAGTAAAACTTTGTGTGGGGAAAGTTGTTGGTTAAAGCTTCTTTCTGACTGGATTTATTTCTCTGGGATACATTTGCCCTGGTCAGTGCATATGTGGGTAATTTTTCACCCCTACCTCAGTAATAATTACAGCCACCATTACCTACTGTTTTACTGTAAACTCACTGGTTCCCACGTAGTTTAAAGCTGGAGTGACATCTGTATTGTAAGGTCCCATATTTTCCTCTTCTCCTGTGTTCACTGTGTTGATCCATGAGAAGAGGTTTGTGGTTTTAAGAACCAAAAATCATCTCAATATAGTTTTACATCTCCTCTCTCAGGCTTCTCTCTGGAGCTCTAGTAACAACAGGTTGGTGAGCCAATCACAAGAGAGGAGGCTCTGAGCCTCTCCTCTGATTGGCTGACTGTTTGCTGAGTGTTCAAATGAAAATGTAGTAGATTTGATACTTTCACTGTATTAATATAGAACCTAGACCTGCTTTATAATGAAACAACACATGGACATCTACATTTATACTATGTGGGACCTTTAAAAGTGGATCTCATGCTCAACTTGGAGGAAAATTAGATTTTTATCTGAAAAAGGAGGGAAGTCAAAAATATTTTTGCTAAGGTCTTTGAGAACCAATATGACGATGGAAAAAAAAATCAAAGCCATCAGAAGAGTATGAGCCTGTGAAGGCTCATTAAATGGGTAAAAAGCAAAGAGGTACTGCCATTCTCTTTTGGCTTTTTCCTGCTGAAAGTCCATGTCTATTACAGGCCACATCCATGTGTCATTTTCTGCTGTGTCACTCTGCTGTTTGCTTGTGTTGACAACAGATACTGGTGGTGAGAGCAGGGACAGGCAGTGTGACAGTGTGCAGTGTCTCTACTGTCCGAGAAAGAACTAAAAGCTTCCATAATGAGATACACAACACAACAAAGGCATTGTGCATCTGTTTTCAGTGCAGGGAGCTGTTATGTATACCATTCACCTTCAGGTATTGTGTGTCACTTACTGTAAAAAGAGGGAAAAGTGATATTCTGATCATCAAATCTGCTGAAACTCAAAAAGAATCTGCTCGGTCAGATTCTAATGCTTGTTCGCTGATTTATTCATCAGATGTTTCCTGTTTATCGTTCCCAAACTAAGGTAATCAAAAGAGGAAAAATAGTTTTGATGTTGGTACAGAAAACTTGGGTATTGTGTTGACTCTTTTATAGAAAATGTTCACACTGACTTCTATTGAAGCCGTCTTTCATTCATCTCTGAATGGTGTTTTCCTGAGTCAGGACTCAGGCCATACAAGGGACTCTGACCCACAAAAGAAACCGGTTGAACCAGTCGGTCGAACAAACTCTTAACTTTCCAACTTCCTTCCCAGTTCGTCTCTGTTTGAGTTCCATTTTTAGAAATGCATGCAGTTCTCTGTGTGTGCGTGCTTGTTTGTTTTATACATGTCTCTGTGTAGTCGCTGCCGTGTCCCTTGTTTGTAAGATGGAGACAGTGTGAGTTGATAATAAGGACAGAGTGACAGAATGACCTGCTCCTGCTCAGGTCACTGCTTTGTGCTGTGTTGGCAGCAGCTACTGGAAAGTGTCCGTGCGCCTGGGGAGGAGAATTAACGTTGAACTGAAAATACTAAAGCTTCTGTCAAACACTGACAGGAAGAAGAGGATGAGGGGTTCATCTCACGATCAATCCCTTTCTTTTCCATATATGTCCTTTTATCTATGGAAACCCACTTCTGCCAGGAAAAGAAAAAAGTAGATGAACAGAACTAAAAAATAGAGAACCAAAATCATGAGATAGTAATTAAAAATATAGAAAATAGAAACAGATTGTTACATTTTAAGTAAAAAATTATGGCATTTGCAAAGTAAAAACCATGGCATAGTACAATAAATATTTCAAAATGTTGATAATTGAGATTTTGTAAGACAAATTCTTAAAAAATTGTTTTAAAAAATAAAAATAAAAGGGACATTCAAAATCCAAAAACTAAAAGGCGATATCACGTTCACCCCCCTCACCCAAACCCACCACCTGACATATAAACACGGCAGACAACTGCAGCAATGTGGCCGTATGGAGTCATGGTGTAGCAGCAGCAGAAATATAGTCAACATACCTCTACTACCTGTAAGACTGTGTTTTACAGTGGTGAATCAGTGTTTAATTTACACCTTCACTACCATTCATTCATAGATGTGTATGTTCAAGTTTTGAAGGCATTTTTTTAATTTGTGAAGGGAGCTACAACAGGGTTTTACATTGCTCTCTGATGTTTTGACTCATGACATAATGATCAGTACTGATTATTATGTGAGAATTTTGACTTAATATGTAATATTTTTTTTATTTTATTCCGTCCTTTTGATTTTCTGTCCTGGCACCAATGGGCTTCCATACTTACTGGCTCGCTCAATGTTTCAACTTCAAAGTGAGACAGTGTCATCTTTGTCGAACAGAAGCTACTGCGGCCACAAGGTAATGTTAACAGCAGAACCAGTGAGTCACTGAGTCAGCAAACAGACTTAGTAACGTATGTTAAACAACAATATTTACATTAGTCACCTTAAGATACTGGTCATACCAGACCAAGTGAGGCTGCAGCTACAGAACCCCTCAGTGGATTCACTGTCGCATTATGTTGCCAATTAATTCAACTTTTGATTTGCAACAGGGAGATTGTGTTATTGCCTCTCTTAAAAGTTACATATTCTCACTTTAACTGAAGTAGCGTTCCACGAAATTGTAATGAGGCTTTAACTAAATCCAACGGACATAGATGGATATCATGTCTGGGAGTCCAAGGAGTGTGTTTGTTTTTTGTCCGGCTGTTTTGTGTCTGTGGTTGTCTGGGTCTCTTTGAATTTGTTTTCCATCTCTTTTTGGTTGTTTTGCATCTGTTTGTGTCGTTTTGCATCTATTGCATTTCTTTCTGGTCGTTTTTAACTCGGCTCTATGACTTTTTAAACAAGAAACATTACTTACTTCATACAGAAGCTCTGGACTGAGGTGGCCCCTGACCTCTTTGGCCCCTGGGCCTGTGTCTGGTAGGCCTGTTCTGTAATCCATCCATGAGTATATCATTAAATCAGTGGCTGGTAAAGGGTTAATTCTTGTATTAGGACACATAATGCATTGGTTCCAGTAAATTCATCCAAGTTTTTCAGAGCTTTCTGTTTTAATGTTACTCTCTTGTGTTTTAGCAGAAGGAACGTGAATGGACTGGAACCCGGTACCCTGACAGCCATCACCGTCCCTCCCACTGCCACCTCCCCAGGCTTAGTGCCCCTCGCTGTGTGACGGTGCCCCCCCCCCCTCAAACCCAACACACCTCGCCTGCGACAGAAAGATCACATTCAAGAAGAGATGAGTCCAGACAAAGAGGGAACACAAATGGCTAATACTGTAAAACTCTGTTGTAGTTTTACCCTGGGTGCTCTCCTCATCTTCTCTCTCTCTCTCTCTGTTGTTCCAACACCTTGTGCTTCGTCCCTGCTGTAATTATGAATCCCTGTCTGTATATTTTATGTGTTGCTGTAGCTGCTGTTTGCCCACTGGCTTGAACAAAGATGATAAAACCCTCTCTGCTATTGACACATTTAAAGTTCTACCCCTGATTTGAAAAGGGAAATATTGTGCAATTGATGTTTTTAGTGACACTTTTTTTCTTTTTTTTTTATTTAAAATTTTCCACAACTTCCACTAGCAATAACTTCAATTAAATGCACAGTTAAGTGCACTCACATCCACTGCTGAAACCATGAAGGGAAAATCAGAGGTTTAATGGGTTGGCACATGTGCAGACATCCTGAATAATCGTGTGCCGCATGACCGATGTCTCCATCAATTATTGATGTTTCAAATTGTCCAACATACGAGCCTGATGTTTTAAACATTATCTAGGGGTTCGAGTGATTCTGGCTGCCGTTGTCATCTTGTTACCCCTGTAATACGGTGTCAAAGGGGGATTCTTTGTGTCATTGTAGTGAGTCAAACACACCATTAACTTCTGAACTATGTGACATGATGTGTACAGTATTGGTCATATTGATCGTTATTTATTGACAGCAGGTTAAGCGCTGCTGTCGTCGTGTTCAGACCAGTCGACCAGCATTCTTGTTTTCTGTAGTCAAAGTGTTTCATCCTGTTAAAATCCGATTTATTCCACAGCCCATTTTCAGCACTGTACAATACACAATATGTAGGTGAAGCACTTTGACCTTGCGTGAACTTTAAATGTCACTTTTGTTATTTTCATTCAAGTGCAATATTATCTGTTATTGTTTGTGGATTTGATTTATTTCAGACTTTTATGGCATGTTTTATTAAAAGACATAATTATACTCCATCTATTATATTTGTAATGTTTCAATCAGCTGAGGATCAGCAACCAACACTGCCCTCTGCTGGACAAACAGTAGCGGTGTAAGTAACAGGAAATAAGATCCGATACTAGAACTCTTGTAGCACATTGGTCATTTAATCATTGATAAATATGTCTCAAAACAGACATTAAAGTCTAGATCACATTTTCCATTCATATGTGAGAATTCCAAAATATAGCCAGAGTACAAACAGTTTGGCTTCTTGCACAGCAGACGTCTCCAGCACAGATGTGTTCACTTGTATTTACTGGAAACGGATGTGTGAGGATTACTCATAAGTCCACTGGTAAAAGATGGCCCCAAGGCAGGGTATTTAAAAGCCTTCAGTGTGTTTACACAAGTGAATCAGGCTTTGTACAGTGCAAATATGTACGTGTTATGTCCACATGTGTAGATCTGCTCCATCTAATTCCTGCTGTGTTCAGCTGCTGCTCCCTCTTTTCTTCTCGGCCAGCTCTTCTATCTGCCTCTGCCTCCTCTCCAGGACCTCCAACCCTCTGGCGTTGTTGCGCGCTCGCTCCTGGGCCCTGAGCTCGGCCACATCCTCAAGGAAGCTGTGCCTGCGTGGGGGACAAATGGTAATTATCAATTATTTATTGATGATCACGGAATTCATGATTAGACAGCACTGGTTGGTGAAGGGAACAGACACTGTTTACATTTTGCGTTTCAAATAAGAAAAGGGGAAATCCATTTAAAGATTTTACCAACATCAACAATAAATGTACATTTTATCAACATTGCCACTTAAAAATGTTTCATATAAATAGTGTCATGCAAAATTTTTAATATATCTCATGCATTCATCAGAGGAAATATATTTTAGATTTCCAAACGTTCTTTTGCAAATAATGAAATATTCCAGTGAGAGTAAGTAATAAACCACCTTCCAGATAAAAACTTAATTGGTAGGCATACTGCCCAGTGCATGATTTAACAATTATACCAAACAGATGCTAATGAACAACAACATAATATGTAGGTTGAAACAAAATCATTAACTGAAACAGAAACAGCTGTGGAAAGTGAATAAAACTGGGAAAAGGATGGCCAGACTAAAAAGATGAGGTTGCTGAGAAGGTAACAGTTTCATCTAAAAATCTTCCACTGTGGCAAGAGGGAAAAAAACAACAAGACACAAGCAAGATCTCTGACAGAGCAGACAGGTGTTTCCAGATGTGACGCCCAACGTTTTCTGCCAAAGCACAATCAAACGGGCTAGGTTGAAGACTGGAAATGAAGCGGGCAGCCAAGGAAACCAAGAAACATCAAGTTGACTTCCCTTTGAAGTCAGAAGATTAGTAGTTTGGCCCCCACAGAGCCCTGATCTCAATACATGGAGTCAGTGTGGGATTACATGAAGAGACAGAACACACTGAGACAGACTAAATCCGCAGAAGAACTGGGAACTTGGAACAACCTTCCTGCCAGATACCTTGAATAAGGTTGAGTTAAAGGATGGTCACAGCAAATATTGATTTAGTTTTTTTTGTGTTTACTGAACTTTGCATGAAGATAACTGAAGATTACTTTAATCCCTAAAACTCACATTATATATATATATATTACATCATTTTGTATTATTACATCCAGGACTGTATATGCACAATAATGCACCTTGTATCTAGCTGCTAAATGATGTCTGAATGTCCGCTGATATATTTTAAAACTAATTAATTAGAGGATAATTTAATGAATAAGCAGCAGATAGCACACACCTACTGTCCGCATGCAGGAAGCAATAGAGTTGTTTAGGTAACTCACTGAGGTGCATATGGTCCAGCCGATTATGCAACCAAAACATGCAATAAACCGTACCTGTTAAAGAAAGCAGTGGCCAGACCAACAACAAGCGTCCCGAACAGAATTGGTTTCGTCAGACGTTTTCCAGCGGACAGTTTGTGTTGCTTCATTACAGCTAAGTTAAACCAAGGTGCCCACTCACCGAGATATAGACGGAAAACAAGACGCTGAAGTTCGCTTCCGATTTGTAGCTTCCGGTTCGACAGTTAAGGGGAAAGTTAAGAGAATCTTAACTGACAGTGCTGAGCGACCTATCAATTTTTTGCATTTTCACAAATAGAACAAAGGTTTCACAAATTTGAAAGTGGGTTTCGGGCAGCGCTAATGGTTTATGTAAAACGTCTAACACGCTTTCACAACAGTAAAAGGTGCAAAAACTTGGGCACGTCTTCCTTAACTTTACCCTTAACTGTCGAACCGGAAGCTACGAATCGGAAGCTAACTTCAGCTTTTTATCTGACCTTTCAAGTGACCAGTATGGAACACACCTCCTTATCAGCATGTACAATTATCCCTTAAATATTATGGCACACTTTTAACCACACACGCAGAACATTTATGATACTTTTATATGTGAAAATTGGTTTTGACTCAGTTTTTTTAGTCAGTAATACGAGTTAATTTAACGCAGATAAAGCGGAACTTTACTCTTACCGCGGCGTCGTACGGACACTTTCAAGGACGGACCAAACCTAGCAGCAGCTGAAAATGATAACCGACTTGATTAGTTTTTTAAAACGAATTAGTAACGTGTCTGTTTGAAAGCGGTTAAAGTGAAAACGGGAGCTAACCTTTAATATGTGGAGGAAAGGCTCGTCTGAAGGCTCCGACCGGTTCGAATATTTACAAACTCTGGTGACTGAATTTCAGGACACCGACAGTGAAGGTGAGCACAGTTACTGTTCTGTTTTAGTTTTTGTTGTCAAGATTCAGTGATTGTTGTTGGTTAAATTCCCTAAATGCAGTCACTTAAAACCATGTAAGTCTTGAAAATAGATAGAAAATTAACAAATAGTTATGTTTAATGTGTAATGCAGACATAAGTGATGCAGCTAACGATTGTTACTGTCTATTATCTTCTCAATTAATCGATTCGATCAATAAACTATTAGAAAATTGTGTTAGATATACATCCCAAATTTACTACAGCTCAATGTAACATCCTCAGATTTCTTCTTTTGTCAGATAAACCAATCACAAGGAAAAAAACTAGGAATTATTCACATTTGAGAAGCTGCAAGCAGAGTATTATGAAATATATCCTTAAAAAATACTTGATTTTCAGAATAGTCGTCGATTAATGGTCTAATCATTGCAGCTCTACACAAGATCGGAAGTTGTTGTCACTCACAAGTTTTTAAATAAACAATAACACTCCACAGTAACCAAACACCCAGTTAGGAAGCTCGGATTAAAACTCATGCAGTCTAATCCAACAGTTCATCAATACATTCTGTTTCATGAAGGTTATAATGTTCAGTTTTTGTTGAAACTGTTTTAGAGGTGTTTAATATACTTTATGATCATTTTGGAGGCTGCAGACCTCTGTTGCATCACACAAAGGGGTATGTCTGTTATTCAGCCTAACCTTTATTGATATACAGTACATGGGTTGTATTAGACTGTATTAATTTTAGCTAGGTGTACCTAATAATAAATCATGTTTGTAAACACAGTTCTGTAAGTAAAAACTCAGTTTCAAATCAAATCGTATACGTAAACATGCCTGTTATTTATGTGGTACAGAAATTACTTAGTGTTTTTAACTTTTATTTAAATGAGAAATATTTTTTATTCCACTTGTATTTTCCTTCTAGAAGAGGGTGTTTTAAATGTGAGGGGTTTGTTTTATTTCCCAGCAGTTTCCTTGAAAAAATGTAAAGAGAATCATAATGTTTTGAAATGATAAAGTGTAGGAACTATACAATGCAGTACCTGAATCAATACAATGTGTAATATTTAATGATACATTCATTATGGGAGTCCTGAATTAAGAGTGTTGTCCCTTATCAATGTTAATTAAGTAAATTTGCATATTCTGACATTATCTAGTGTTAATAATTGACGCAGCCTTAACATTTATTTTCTTCTGTGCTCTTTAAATTATAGCTCAACATATACGACATTTTCAAGGCAGCTATCAATGTGGATATTTTAGCATTCACACATAACATAAACAAATAGTTTTTTCTCCTACTCATGTCATCCCATGTTGTAACATAAACTTGTCAGTGCTCTCTGCTGGACAAAATATGTAATGGCGTCACTGTTTCTAAATCTGCAACACATCTTTGGCCTATTGGCTGATAATATCAACTGGCTGATTTTTCAGTCAAGCTCTTATTTATATGAACTTGTTTTGAAGTTGTTTTACATGACTTTTGTCATTACAACAGAGGCGAAGGAGCAAGTGCTGGCTAACTTGGCCAACTTTGCATATGATCCAAAGAACATGGAATATCTGAGGACTCTGCAAGTGACCGACCTCTTCTTGGACATGTTGACTGAGGAGAATGAGAACTTTGTGGAGTTTGGGATGGGTGAGTATCACACAAACTGTTAATCATCATTTTGCTAATCTGGAACTGTCATCCTATTATGTCACTATTGTCTAATTCATCACATCTCTTATGTGTGTCATGTTGTCAGGGGGGTTGTGTAACCTCAGTATGGACCCTGAGTGCAAAGACATCATCCTGCAGAGCGGTGGCATCAGCTTAGTCACCAACTGTCTGTCAAGCCGGAGGGAAGAGACCGTCCTGTCGGCCATTACTACGCTCATGAACCTCACAACGCCGTCGTCTCGCTCTGAGATCACTGACCCGGCCATCCTACAGTGCATGCTGCGCTTCTCCCTCTCAGAGAGCCCCCGCCTGCGCAACCTGGCCACTGTGTTTCTGCAGGACTGCTGCAGCGAGGAGCAGGTGAGCAGAGCGGAGCAGCAGATGCAGGGACAGCAGACAGCAGTCGGAATCCCGCTGCCCCAGGACAGCTGAGGCATTCATGTGGGAGACTGTTGAGATGTTTGCTCTCTGTGAGAGTGTAGGGAGGTCTTTATAGTGTATGGTCATTTTTTGCCTAAAGTTTAGGGCAATGTTTAGACATTTTCAATATCTGTATTGATACCAATACCTTGACTTTGATACCAATTCTTAACGATACTTTTTCCAATACCAATTTCATCAAATCCGTTTTAACAAAAAGAAAATTACCGCACACTTTATGGTTTAAGCTCGGTCTCTTTAGACACCCAATTACCAGCATTATTAGATCTTGGTCCCAGCATGCTGCATGCTGATTGGCTCACTGACGAGATTTACTTATTTACTCCTAAGGTTGAAATTTGGTATCGAATGATGAGGCAGTTTTCGATCTTCGATAGTATCAAACCAATTTGGTCGGCCCATAAAAGTATCGACGTTGGATACCCAGCCCTATGAAGTGTAGTGAGGTGGGAGCAGCTATGACAAGAATCTGGTTACAATCTGTCAGCTGAACTGGGAGAACATCATAATTCACGTGATTCAGTGACGCCTGATGATCTTTGTCTTTTGTATTTCTAACTCCCTTTTTTAAATATAGATTTAACTCAGTTACCAGCTGCTATTCTGCATTTTCCATCTAAGTGCATGTCTGAGTTTAATTGTTGTTCTTTTTCTCACCACATGAGGGAGACTGGATAGTTTGTTAGACTGAAGGGTTCTTTTGGGCTATTGACAGCGTACTAACAGCACAAAAACATCAAATTTTTATTGATTTCCAAACAATTTGGCAAAAAAAACAATTTAAATGTTCAGAGAAGTGACTAAATCCTGCTTATAAAAACAGACTCACCCTCTGCAGTATTAATATCGCTACATTTTTCCCCCCAAAAAATCTACATTCCTTTGGCTTTCAAGTGATTTCCTCAGACCTGGGCCGATGCTGCAGCATGTCAGAGCCAAGTGGTTGACTCTTGCACTTGGCACTCTCTTTAAGAATACCATGTCCTGAAACGTTAAATCCAAACCCAAAATATGTAAAATAAAAAAAAATGAAAAATGCAAAGTAAACCTTGAGGTTCCTCTGTAAGAGCCAGCAGGGCCGTTTGTTTTCTTCTGGGCTATTTCTGGGCCGAGTCCTTCAGGTCTAGACAGAAGCCGACATCTGATCCTGCAGCCCTGCACTCAGGTGGACTGCACATGTAGCTCATTCAGACTCTAGAGGAAATTCTTTACAGCTCTGAGTGTGTGTCTGTGATACTCGCTCGCTTTAAACGCCACAAAGTTTTCACTTTTTAATCTGTGTGTGTTTCTGAGTGGCATTCCAGAGGCTTAAGAGGCGTGCACCTGCCACCAAGATCAATAAAAATACCTTCATTCTTCCCGGAAAAAGAGAAACACCCACGCCTGGTTTTAATAATGTGGTACCAAGTTTATTTCATGTTGATGTTTTAAAAAAAAAAAAAAGCTTTGTGCAGGATAAAGAAGAAGAGCAGTGGAGAACTCAGTGGCTCAATAATAAGTTCTGCACTGTATGTAGGTCTGAGTGAAGGGGCTCAGCAGCCTCACTCATTTATGGATCACATAAGTAGTGTGTTAAACAACAAATGATATATGGTGTGTGAGAGAGAGAGAGAGAGAGAGAGAGAGAGAGAGAGAGAGAGAGAGAGAGAGAGAGAGAGAGAGAGAGAGAGAGAGAGAGAGCAGAGCAGAGAGAGCAGAGAGAGAGATGAGAGCAGAGAGAGAGAGAGAGAGAGAGGAGAGAGAGAGAGAGAGAGAGAGAGAGAGAGAGAGAGAGAGAGATAGATAGATAGATAGATTCTTGTGATTTGTTGACATTAAAAACAAACATGACAACATTTACCCTTTAACAAGTGGATACAGGAGGATACAATCATACCTGTCTATTACTCCTCTGTTGTGAGATAAAGGTGCTATGATGGCTGGGTGTATATAATCCCTCTTACTGTTTATCTTACAAAATATACTGTAACTGACTTCGCTCAATGAACGACCGGCGCTTCTCATTTTCCCTTCTTGACTCCCAGCTGCATCTCAGACTCCTCGCGTAGTTTGTTCTTCTGGATCTGAGAAGTGAAAAGAAAATGGTGGTGAATCCACAGGTTGTCAGTCGTTCTGAAGAAGACAGTAATCACAAGTCCATACAGCCAACAGTCATTCAAATAGCTTGTTATGTCTGACTTACAGACTCAAACCCAAAGATTTTAAATGAACAAAGATATAAAGAAAAGCAGAACATTTCTCATATTGGAGAAGCTGGTACGAGCCTGAGGTAACAGTCCAGCTCCCATTTGCTTTTGTCAACAAAACAAAATGATCTAAGATGTTAATTAATGAGCTGTGCAGGTGCTGGGAGGGGGATTTTGTCAGGTTTGCTGTTTCAGCTAAGATTCACATTTAGATACGAGACTGGTTTTGATCTTCTCATCTAACTCTCGACAAAGAACCCAAATAAGCTCATTTCCCAAAAAAGCTAGTTCTCTAAAGTGACTGTACTGGAAGTGATCTGTAAAAATGCGGATCACGTTACACCCCTGATGCTTTTGAGAGACGGGAACCACATCTCCTGCAACAATCATGGGCAGCCTGCAGTCTTATGGTCACACTCGGGGGCCACCAGGCCGGGGACAAACTGGTCTACAGGCTCTCAAACGTGCGTCCTGGTGCTGTCCCGGGAAGCACCGTTAGCTCCGAGTGAATCAAGTGAACTTGAATTGAAGGAGGCTGGTTTTATCTGATACGCCGCTTTGGGACGAGGTCGGTCTGCCGCCCTTTCTGGGTTCATCTAACAGGACACGGTGTGCGTGCAGACGAACTAATAGCTCCCTTTCCCTCCTGTCTGGGGGCATTCGGGGCAGGTCTGTTCAAACACAATGCCATGTCTACAGTGAATTATTTCAAACAGCCTCCCAAGAGAGAAACACAATCACCAGAGGGGAGCTGATGTTTTTGCCTAAGTTATCACAGACAGATTCTACATCTGTTTTTCTCTCTGTCATCTTAATAAACACAGTGAAATAAACCTTGTTCGTCTGTCGTTTGTACATTTACAGGAATCTTGGAAGAGCAGGCAGCAGCTGAGAATCAGGATTTGTGTAATTACCTTTCCAGTAATAGTGAGCGGGTAGCTGCTTACAAAAAGTACGTAGCGAGGAATCTTGAAGTGAGCGATCTGAAAGGAGCAGATGAAGAGGGAGATACTGAGCAGAAAAAAACATGTCTGACAGGAAGAATAAAATATAAAATAAATCCAGCTACTTATGAAATATTGAAGGGAATTCTTCCTTACCTGTCCCTTGCAGAAAGCTTTGATTTCTTCTGCAGTGCATTCCTGTCCGTCGACCAGTTTGATACAGGCACAAACTTCTTCACCCATACGAGCGTCTTCAATTCCAACCACCTGATGAAGAGAGAGAAACATGAAGCTCTGCAGCAACAAGGAGAAGGGCAGCATCACTGAACTGGAGAGTGTTACTGACCCAACACATTATGTGCAAACTCTGTGTCTGTAGTAAAACATCAGTGATTTCATGACAAAAGAAAAACTATATTTAGAAGAACAAACAAACAAAGCTACGGTTCAACAAAACAAAGCCACTATGGAAACAGACGTTTCTGCACACCAAGGTCTAATTTAAGTATTTAATGGTAAAGCCAAGCAAAGATAAATTTTCTGTCTCTGGAATTCAGTCTAATAATTTTAACTTTAATTTTCCATTAAAAAAAAAAAACTATATTAGAAATTAGACATTGGATTTCATGTGTTATTAAATCCAACAGTCGAAAATAAAAAAAAAAAATTAAATTTAAAAAAGCATAAAAGCAAAATTCACTTACACAACAATTATATTCACATTATTATAATTGGAATGGTACAGTTATTTGAAATATGAAGTTATACTGATCTCAGAGGTTTGGAGCTTTATCATTTGAATCCATTTACTCAGTTTTTTTAAAAAGCACATTGTTGTGCATATATTTTTGTGTGAATTGCACTATATAAATAAAGATTTATTAACAATCATTAATATTATTATTATTATTATTGACATTACTAAGTCAGGCTGCTAACTTGTCTCTTCTCTACTCCTGCCACTTTATTAGGTACACCTGTACAATCTAATGGACTTCAATACAAATGTTGGGCCATTGTGTCGACTTCTATGACGCCTGTAATGTTCAGTCACAGTCATATAAACTTTGTGAATGTATACTTTATAGCAAATAAAGTGGCGACTGAGTATATTTTAGCATCTGTCATTCTCCTGTGTTTACCACTGGCATCTTTTTCACGTCAGTCCCCTGTTCTCCGATCTCACCTGTGCCTCCTTCACTTTGGGGTGTGTGTGCAGGAACTGTTCGATCTCAGCTGGGTAAACGTTCTCTCCTCCTCTGATGATCATGTCTTTAATCCTGCCCTCAATGCGAAGGTAGCTGTACCCGTCCAAGCTGCCGATGTCTCTGCAGGGGACAGAAAACGTGCAAAGATCAGACGTCGTTTTTCCTGTTTTCTAATTAAGCTCTGAAGTCACCGTCAGCCTCCACTAACCCGGTTTTGTACCAGCCGGTTTCAGTGATGCACTCTTCTGTTTTGGCTTTGTCGCCCCAGTACTCCAACATCACAGCAAACCCTCGGATCATGATCTCTCCCAGCATCCCCAGAGGAACGACCTCTCTGGTTGTGGGGTTCACTATTTTAGCCTGTGGGAAATTTAGCAAATAAAGCTCGTCACTGGACAGAGTTAATTAAATAACCAAAATAAGTGTTTAGTGAAACATATAATTCTGTCTTTGGCTGAGCGATGATGAAATTTAACGTGGTGACGGATGGTGATGTAGCAGGTTAAACTCCCTAGATATGAATCATGTATTTTTTTATAATGACGTCTGTAGCTTTTCATACTGAACAGCGTGTTGACTTACCTCTAAGTGGTCGATGATGAAGCCCACTGTCTCAGACTTCCTCTCCATGTTGTCTGTTGTGGCGCCGCAGAACGTCACAGGGCTGTTCTCTGTGGTTCCGTATCCAATCTGTCAATCACACAAACAAACAGCATGGCAGAGGGATGAGTGTCACATTTACACAGATACATGACATCTACATTTTCAAGCAAGAGCGACCCTGTGTTTTCCTTTACTCAGGTTTTCACATTCAGTTTCTACTCAAGTCTCCTGAGGTCTGTGATGTTCCTCTGGCAAATGACACATCTGCAGTGGACAACACGTTGCTGTGGGATACAGTGATGTATGCATCAAACTGATCTCTTATGTTCATCATTCATTTCATACCTGTTTACTATTATTATCACTGAGTGTAGGAGACTGAACCAAAGTTACAGAGGAAGATACGTGGTAGAAATCAATTTTTTTGGCATAAAAAAATGGAATAAAGTCTTAGATTATTATTATTAGAACCTTTTGTGTGGAAAACACGCTGGAGCCATAACCACAGGCATGAACTAATTCTGTGTCAACAGCTGTTGCACAGATAAAATGCTTTGCACAGATAGAATCAGGAGACTTAGAGCTTTTAAACAATGTGCAATTCGTCGTGGTTGTGTGAAGACTGAGTCCAGTCAAGCAGTGTAACCAAGGCCAAAGACCAGAATCTCACAGCTGGGCCGCTGTGTTTTAAAAGATTAAGATCTCCCCAACAAACAAAGAGAAAGACCAGAGAAGTGAACCTCACTGTGACTTGTTTCTTATTGAAAAACAGATTTGATGAATATACACTCACAAATATAAGTTAAACTTTAAAAAAAGCAAAAAGAGCAAAAAAATCTAGTGGAAAAGAACCCCATCAACATTACTGTGGTTGCTTCCCTGGCCTCGCTAGCAATCAATAACTAGATAATCAAAAACATGTAATGTCTTTCTGAAACCAGTGGTCTTCAACCCAACAGGAGCTCCACATAAAAATACCAACATGTACATACACATACGCGCACACACACACACACACATATATATATATATATATATATAGTACTTACACGCACACATACATACAAACATTAAAAGATCCAATACAGACAAATTCACTTAATACTGGTTAAACATGTTATGAAAATAATAGACAATCTTAGATTTTTTAATGGGTTAAATTTCCTTATTTGCTTAGATAACCTGTGTAATGACCGGAGCCCATCAGCTTACCAATCAATACTTCCAATACATATGTTTGAGGTAAAAGTTGGGAAGTAACTGAGTTCAATCTGCAGCTAGCAAGTTCTGTCATTACAGATCTGTGCAGAATATTTTTTCTAGTATTTGTTTTTTTTCTAGGAAAAGGTCAAAAAAGTGACACATTCCCTTCTTAAGAATACTGCACAGATTTAGAACCAGAGATATCATCTTTTTTTATTCCACACATTCTTCTTTCTTGTCAAAACCTGGCGCCTACATTACCCACAAAGCAACTCGACCGCAGTTGGGTTGGAGATTTGGTTGTGTTATGCTAGGAGCAACTAAAAAGCAGCAAATCCTCATATTGGAGCAGCTGAAAGCAACAAATGTTTAGCAAGTTTAATCAAATTAATCAACAATTAACTGATTAATAAATAGTTACCAATTCATTTTCTGTTGATCGACTAATCGATTAATCAACTAAATGTTTAAAGTGAGTAAATTTACTCAACTATGTACATCAATACTTCTGTTTTGGGAGACATTCCAGAGGAAAATAAAATGCTCTTTACTCCATTAAATCTGTCTGAAAACTGCAGTTACTTTGCTGATTCAGATTCATAAAAATAACGGATCAAAAAATAAAATCTTTGAGGAGGAACGATTAAAAGGAGTAAAATACTGTATACTCTTCTTTTCTCACAGGTGCAAATTCAATCAGAGGCAGAAAAGTGCTGGTCTGTTGGACAAAGAGGACCTGCAGGGCAGTTCACCTGGAAAATCAGGGAGGAGACGATATTCCCAATAAAATGCTAGATTTGTTAAGTAAACTCTAGATTCCATTTATCCTGGGTGGGTCCATCCATCTTATAAATGCACCCACCTGAAGCCAAACCATCCTCTGACCTGAGCCAGTCAACAGAGTCCTGCTGCACCTTTTCTGAATTTTCCTTTATTATTAAAAGCAGGTGTCAAGAAAGAGAAAAAAAAAAAAAAAAAAAAAAGCTTTGTTCTCAGTTCCAGCCAGCGACAGACTCGGAAAAATAACTTAAGCTGCTCCATGTCGTGCAGATGAAACCTGATCGCTGCAATCACCTTAACAACTCACAGGTTTGACTTAGAGGCAATTACATAACATAACACTGCAAAGAATACACACGGGAATGTACAGTGGTATCTAAAACCTTCATTCCTGGGATGATGGCAGTATCCTTTGCCATTGTTATGACTTGAAACATCATCTCACTTCTTGCCAAACATCTGGAGACTATTACAGGTTATAAAACAGCTACACAGGAGTGGCTCCTTTTTCCTGCCACCGCAGACTGAAAAACAATAGGGGAGTCTGGCCAGCGTGTACAGATCCAACCTGACCTTGTGCCACGTGGATGAAAATGAAAATTCACCTGGAACTTACAGATTTTATAAAGAAATAAAAAAATAAAAAAAAAAACTAAAAAAAAAAACTTAGTACACAGCATGTGTCTTGTTCTTTTGATTTGTCTGGACACGTGCATCCTTCATCTGAACGTTAGCGTCTCAGTCCAAGTTCTGCAAATATGAAGACGTAGCAAAGAGAATTATTGGTCCGGTGTCGTCTTCCTGCTCATTCAGGGTTAAATTCTCACAGACACTTGACTTCCTCTTGCAAACCTCACACTCTAACACCCTGGCAAGCCCTCCTCACTTTTTTTTCCTCAAGTAAATGTTATAAATAGTGCTGTGTGTTCCGTTGACTAGCCATCCTCCTCTCAAAGTGAATGTCTCTCTGCACTGCCCACCTTTGCTCACCTTTTCACTCCCTCTCTCTCTCCCCGTCTGTTCCTCTCTCAACACACACACAAACACACTTCGGTTCAAACTTTCCTCCTTTCACAGTTGTCCTCTGATTCTCCTGTGAAGCTTTCTACAGGATTTTCTGCTTGTTCTTCTTATGCTAAAAGACCGGAAGACAAAAGAAGGTGACACTCTCAGGATGCGTTGTGTGAGCTGGTTGTTGTTGGGGACCTGCCTCCTGGTCCTGGGCCCCGCCGTGCAGGGAGCCCCGAGCCAGTGCCCGAGCCTCTGCCACTGCCACGGCGACCTCCAGCACGTCATCTGCGACAGCGTCGGGCTGAAGAAGATCCCTCGGGTGTCCGAGGCCACCCGTTTGCTGAACCTGCAGAGGAACAGCCTGGGCAACATACCCACAGGGGCCTTCAGCGAGAGCAAGGGACTCATCTCTCTGCACATGCAGCACTGCCAGCTCCGAGAGATCGGATCCCAGGCCTTCAAGGGGCTGAAGAAGCTCATCTACCTCTACCTGTCCAACAACGAGATCAACAGCATCAAGCCCGGCGCCTTCGAGGACCTCACTGAGCTCACCTACCTCTACCTAGATGGGAACCAGATCAGCGACCTGGCCAAGGGCATCTTCTCCCCCATGATCAACCTCTTTATCCTGCAGCTCAATGACAACAAGCTGCGGGAGCTGCGGCCGGGGACCTTCACCGGCGCCAAAGACTTGCGCTGGCTGCACATGAGCGGGAACGAGCTGACCACCATACAGCCGGGCTCCCTGGACGACGTGGAGAACCTCGCTATACTTCACCTGGAGAGGAACAAGATGTCCACCTATCCCAGCGCGGCAATGGGCAAACTGCGTGTGGTGGAGGAGCTCACGCTGGGGAAGAACCCCATGAGGACCATCCCTGACAACGCCTTCCAGAGCTTTGGACGCTACATGGAGAAACTACACCTGGACAACATGAGCCTGGAGAAGGTCAGTTGATGCTTTTACGGGGTATTTACTAGACGGACAGTATGAATCTCATATCTAAAACCTCCAGACATCAGACATTCAAACCACTGAAAGGTGCTGTTGCTAAAGAAGTTAGGTAAAGTGCTCCTGGTGTCTCAGCTACTTTTGTAAAGAGTCCAGGAAGAAGATATGAGAAAAGCAGATTAATTCACACCCTCAGTGTTAATTAAAGACTTGGCAGAAGGTCTTTATATTTTTATATCTGTCTTAATATTTGTTTTGGTCTGGCATACGTTTACGTAAAGACTTGCCAGTGGTCGACACCCCCTGCAAACAGCCAACAGGCATTTACATCACTTCACACACACACACACACAACGTGTTTGGGAACATGTGTTAACTGATGCCTCTGCAGAGGTTGTTTATCATCAAGCCCAAAGTACTGATCAGATTAACCAACCAGCATTTACATACACAGAATCGTCATTATTCCTTGGTTGGTTTTGTCTAAATGGATCCCGATAATTAAAACCTGATGCTGTATTTTTCCATCTATTGAATGCAGATGTGCTTTGGGTCATGCTTAAGGTAGCGCGTGTTAAAACAAGCTGACGGTTAAGTTGTGAACTTCCATAGCCGATAACATAAATTGTTAGGAAAGGCTATAAACTCCATCACCATATGTGAGTGATGGGCAAACTGCCGGCTGCTGTTGTGACTCTTCTCTCTCCAGCGGGAGTTTCCAAACAATGTGCCACATTTGTTGGGTTTAGATCTTGCTTGACGTGGAAACAAACTATTTTTAATGTCGGCATAACTTTAATACACAAAACTAAACCAGAGTTTGTTTTTTTTGTTTTTATAAAAGGGTTTATCTTTGTATTTTGTCTCTTTGTCTTTAAAGATAAATCTGAGGAGTCACAAGATGATTGAAGTGATCAGAATATATATATATACACATTTCTGAAGTACAAAAATATCCGTATTTTTCTCGTGGATTACTGAATACTTTCACCAAACAGCGGCGTAGCACAAACATCTGGGCCCCGAACACATGCAGCCTCAGTGGGGCCCCTTACCTTTCAATACATACACTGTCAGACCTGCACAAATAACTGAACCAACAAGTAAACACATGCATCTACAGTGGTTATTAGGGACGTAAGTAATGCAGTGTTTTACACAAATTTAAGAAAGTCTGTACAATCTGAAATCTCAGCCTCTTTTCTCAAACTATGAGATGTCAGACTGTTGGAGAACATTACTTCCAAAGTGTTTTTTAGGTCTTCATTAGAAGAGAAATGTAGAAAGACACAGTCCAGTCTGTTGAAACATAAACGGACTACAGTGTCAGAGTCTGCTATCACTCTCAAGCTGATGGTCTGGTCTTAATTCGGGGAACTGGTCGAACCTTTACGAGCGCAGCTAGTATGACATCTTCAGTAACATGAGGTTATGGTGATAATCAACCTGGAGCTGATCCTCCCTCTGTGGCTGTTTCTAACACTGAAGACGATGTTGCTTCATTTATCATATTATAATATCACCTAGCTATGACCTAGAACCTGAGAAGCTCTAAGATTGTTTTAGAGACAAGAAACAGCCAGTAAAACTATTTATTCAGCCAACACTAATAATTTACTTAAATATGAAACAATTGCATGGTTGCTCATAGCTCATGTCCACACCGACCATAGCTCCGCATGAAAGATCTGCCAACGCAGAGGGAACAGGCGAAACAATGCAGGGTCAGCGTCCAGCAAAAAACTCAAACCTGATAGATCAAATAGTTGCCATTGTGATGTGTTTTTTTGGCGTCTCAAGAGCCTTTAAACACATTAATATTCATTCATTTGATGAAAGGTGACAAGTAGACACGTGGATTATCCAGAATAATCTGAACATCTCTGGTGTATTAGGGTGGAGAAAGTGTTCAAAAAATGAACTGAATCTTCTTGGGTATTAAGTAATTAAGTAAATGTGTTGTAAATGAATTTGGGTGAACCAATTCTTTTACTATCAACAAGTGAGGCAGCTGGAAAATACTTGGTCGCAGCTGGAAATGGTTGAAAGCATCAAACTGAATCTGGTACATTTTTAGAACCTCAAGTTTTATTTTACATGGCAAATATGAAGTCTGGCTGCTGCGTGGTAACATGACCCTGATCCAGAATTTCTATTTCCATCAGTGGAGCCTCGGCAGTGATGTTCAGATATCAGACACGAGACAGATGTTTTCACTGCCGCCTGTAAAACGTCCATCTGTCCACGGCTCCGGTATGAATGTATTCAGTATAAGCTCTATGCTATAGCACAGACATTCCTGAGAGCACATTTTGCTTCACGCTTGAGGTTAATCTGATATTTGAGTGTACTTGTGCCACAGTGTGGAAGCATCCCAGAGGGGGAAAACTGTAAAATAACAGCCTTCTCACGCTGGGACTGTGTGAGAGCCAGGTGGAAGCAGCAGGAGGCGGCGGGCGCAGCACACATGGCCGGTGAGATTAAGCCATTTTCCAGCCAAAACGCAGGTATTTTTAGAGTGTTTTTGTTTGCTGGACCTCAGTCAAGCAAGTCTAATTATTACATAAGTGTTATTTTCAGCGAGGTGTGTTTTCTACTTTGCCTGGGAGGGTCCTGTAAACAGGTCAGGAGGGGTTAGGAGACAGGTAAACAGAGGCAGGGTGTTCCACAGTGCATGAAGAGGAGTATTTTTAGCTTGCCATCGCCCCAGTTGAATGGACAATTGGGCCCTTTGCGAGTGCCTTCCTGGCAGAGGAGTGGCCCCGAGAGGGAGACGACAGAAAGAGCGAAAACACCTCGGCCATGCTGGAAGTCATCCATCTTCCATTGCTTCAAAATACCAGGCCCTCGGCTACTTGTCGCTCTACAGTGGAAATTTCCAAACAGCCTCATCTCCTCCAGACTCGCATAAAACAACCCTTCAAAGACGAGGTCCCCCTCTCTCTCTCTCTCTCTCATCCGCCCTCCTCTTCCTCCTGGATGAGAAACAACTTGACACAACGTAGGCATCGGTTCATCTAGCACCTCTCTGAAGCTTTTAGCACCCTCGCAGATGCATATGAAGGAGAGGCGAAAAAAGGAGGGCAGTGACCGTCAGTGTTTACATAAGTGCTGGTGCAGAGCGAAGGATGAGAGGAGGCTTTCATGCCAGAGAAACACTGGCAAGATTCCCCTCGCTCCGCATCTGTCTGCCTTCTGAGAGACACACACACACACACACACACACACACACACACAAGGATGGTTGTTGGTGGCGTGTCACCGTGCCAGGGTGTGAACCATGTTTTAACAACACTGTGTGCAGCAAAACCTGAGAACCACAAAGGCAGATTTGCATTGATTCACTGATTTGAAAGTCCTCCCAGTGAGGATCCGTCGGTGCTTTGACATGAAAAACTACAACTTTATGCTTTGCTTTACTTTCTTCTAGTTCTCTGATGGTGCGTTCGCTGGAGTGACAGCCATCAAGTCGCTGCACCTGGACAACAACAAGCTTAAGTCGCTTCCCAAAAGCCTCGAGTTCGGCAGCATCACCAACCTCACCCTCTCCAACAACCCTTGGACCTGCACATGCCAGCTAGCTCCACTGCGCAGGTAAGACACTCAACACTATACAGCCACGAAATGGCCCCGTCACGCTGTACTTACGTTTGGGGTGTTAGCATTTGCTAATTAGCTCTAAACACAAACGTACAGCTGAGGATAATGGGAATGTCTCAAGTTTTGCAGATATTTGGTGCAAACAAAAGTACTGTACAAACTCAAGGCACCCTGTGGTTTTTGATCTCTCGATCTCTCACCCAATGGAGCACTGTAGAGCTGCAACAATTAATTGATGAAATTTGATGGTTCCATCTTCTTAAATGTTAGAATTCACTGTATTTCTTTGTATTAACATCATGGAAATTTTTTTTTTTTTTTTGGTTCTGAGACATTTCAGAGTTCTCTTATGATTTATAGACCCAGTGATTTGTCAAGATTAATCGATAATGAAAATAATCATTAGCTGCAGCCCTGCATGGGTGAATTCCCATTTTGTGTTTTATCATGCACACACACAAGGTGCCGATGTCTTCACACTATTCTGCTGAACTACAGGTGGCAGGAATGTGCCAAAAATACAGTAATGCACAAGCAAAGACAGGGAGGATAGAAAACTGCCAGCAAGTAAACTGTAAAACTGATGTAAAACTGATGTAAACAAGGCAAGAAGAACTGGGTTTGTGGATGTTTCTTAAGGAAGGAAATGCATTAAACATGTTTAATGGAGCTCACAGTGTGGTTTGGTGAGTGACACTGAATGTAAACAATCTTTGTTTACATGAAAACTCCACTGTGCACCTTTTAATATTTTGACTTCATAAGTTAAGAGATCAGCAGCGTTTCTGCAGTTCCTCCTGAGGGACATGAATGTGCAATAAGAAACATGGCAATCTATCCAGTAGTAACGTCTTCACCCTCAGCTAATTAAGAGTCTCGCCGCCAGCATGGCTATAAATCCAGTGACACATGGAGAAACCAAGTAGCCGTCCCAAACACTCCACTCCTTATCTTTTGGCTTCTACCCGCAGGTGGATGGACTCCAGCCGCAATCGTCCAGATGCAGTGTGTGCTTCTCCACCTCCACAGAAAGGCAAGCAAGTCAGAGACAGCACCGCCTTCAGTGGCTGCAGAGTCAAGGCAAAGAGAGCCAAGAAGGGCACACGTCATTGAACACGCAGCCGTACAGGTACAGTACCTGCCACCGAACGAGCCGAAGACGTGACGAAAAAAGAAAAAATCCTGAATCAGACAAAAACTAATGGTTGGAATTGTGTTGTCTTGACGGGACCACTAGGAGCTGCTGAGGGACAGAAATCTTCACACATAGGAGCTTTGAAATTATACTAATAGGAGTACAGGAGCAGTAAAATCAGTAAAACTACACTTTTTATGCTTTTATTTTGAAAATTTAGTCACTGATGATCGTCCAAATAAGTAACTGGAGACATTTCCACTTTATATCAAGCAGGATTTTGATGCAAACGTAGTGACAAGTGAGGCTGTTGCTTGAAAACATTTGACTTAACTGAGATATAGTTTTGTTCTTCACTCTGGCCAAATCCAAAACCACATCTTTGCTGTGCTGCTCTATTATTCTGGTTTTCGCAGCTGAGATTCTGCACGGTGTGACATTGGATTCAAATATTACCACATGAGGTTTGAGGTGGTTTTGAAGTGTAGCCCAGGGTTGGCTTTGCATGATTCTGTTTTTTTCCTCTCTCTTCCTGACCGCAGAACTCTCTGTCCTGCGCTGTGTCCCTGTCTGAACTTTTCCATGTTGGCCCTGGGGTCCAGTGCAGCAAGTCCAGGTCATGGGGTCTCTGGCTGGAGGGCAGACTGTTTGATTTGGCTGCTCACGTTGTGTCTTTTCCACAGGAGACGCTGAGGAGGAGCCTGTCCAGGTGACCGGCTACAACGCGCAACGAAAGCAACTCTAACTCCTTCTACTTCAAGACTGTCCATCTATTCATCTGTCAAATGTTGTCACTAGTGTAAACACATAGATACACGTCCTCTCTGTCTGTCTGTCTGTCTGTGTCTCACACACTCTCTCTCACTCACACTCACACACACATACACACACACACACACTCTAAGAACTTTATGGAGCGAGACATATTATCAGTATAATTTTCATTCATTTATATCAAAGATGAAGACTTAAGTATGAAGTGGAAGTGGACGACCTGCAGGTAACCACCAAAATAAAGGAAACATGTCAATAAGCAAGGGCTACAAGGACTGTTGTGGGCAGATTTGTTGTCTTTTCCTGGTGCATTCAGTACCTTCAGAGAACAGGATAAACGGCAAACACAAAAAAGTCTGAATGTTTTTCCCCTGAGGATAAGTTTCAATGTCTTACTAAGCATGAAAATAATGTAAAATAAAACCAACCCTGGAGTTTAAATCTGCATTAATTGATTTTTTTGGCCACTTGGGGGCAGTGGAACAAACTGAAAACATACAATCGCCTTATGTTTAGAGTTGTCCTCAGCCGATCCAGGCATATTTTAAAGGCTTGGTATCGGTAAAAAAAAATAAATTAAAAGCCAATCAAATGCCAATCCCCTCTTTACTGTTCTTTACTTTCCTTGAGTGACTTGATAACAGGCCAAAATTCAGTTTGTGGGGTTTGTGTGCTCTGCAGCTCAAACAAAGATCATCTATGAGTTAAACAAAGCATCACTCTGTAACACTACTGGACAACCATGAGCGCTTGTGCAGTTACTCCAACAGAGTTTTCTCCCACTCGATCTTTTATTCTAATCACATCAGTAATCTGAATTTATAAACAGAACCTCCAGTCAAACATAAGCTCTAGGCTCCACCTGCTATTTCAATATGCGAGACACATACGTAATCAACATTGAATATCTTCTGCTGCTATGTAAATATAAAATGTCGGAGTGGACTCAGACTTGACAGATACCCAATGTTAAAAGACTCGGATCAGGATCAGGGCTGGAAGAACTTGATTCCTTGTTATGTTAGCAAGCAATTGCCTTTTTGCACATGGAGACTCAGATCAACATTATCATTCATTTGAATCCATGTTTCTGGAGAGCAGGTCCAGTATTCTCTCTCTTTTAGCTCTGTTTTAAGTCTCCATCAGCTCCTGAGAAACACATCCGGCTCTTTAGCTGCTAAATGCTCCACTGTGTTCACCAGTTAGTTGTTAATATTATTGGTTTGTTGTTTGGTGCTGAGCAGGTAGTGGACAATGCTGCTGCTGCTAGAAATGAGGTTGATGAGAGCAGAATTTATAGGCTGGCAAACCAAAACAATAAGCTAAAAGAGGCTAAAAGGCTCCATAAAGCTGCACAATCAGGAGATAATTCTTTGTGGGTTTTGTTGCTACAAATGACTCCTCTCACATTACACATTGTCATTTGCTCCATTGTAAAAAATAATGATTAGTGCAGCTTGAATATACTGGACATGACGTCTCTAAAACAGGTGATGATGCTCCTTTATTTTGGTGGTTATCTGTATAAACGATGAATTAACAATAGCTCCAAAAATAAATAAATAAATAAGTAAAATTAAAAAACAGAAAAAGAGGCAGAGAAACCCCTCAACATCCTACAACTGTCACTCAGGCAGGCATCAACACTCGTTTATCCTATTTTCTACTTTGTGATGTCAGTTTCACACCCTCACCGCCTTGAGAAAAAACAGCCATGACATTTAAAGTGAAATTCCGTATTTCACCAATATGTTTAAAAGTTGATAAGACTTGGAAGATGTGAGTGAGCTTAGCAGGAGGATCAAGGCTTATAATTTGCTAAGCTACTTATCTTCCAGTGCCATTTTCCCTGAATGAAGGTATTTTGAGATCCCAAAGATTTATAAAACTGGATTCAGTTCATTTTTGGCTAAAAATGTACACAAATGAGAAGTGAAGAAGACAAGAAGACATCTAAAGATTCCCTTTAAAACATGGTTCGAATTGTAAGAAAAAGTGAAAAATTTCTTGCAAAACACTTTTGAGGATTACTGACAAGAGTTGACTTTATGCATATCTAATGTATATTCAATATCTTTACATTTCCTGGACTTTTGGAAGTGGTAACAAGTGCTCACATCCAATAAACCTTTAACGAAATTAAACCTTCTTTTTGTCTTTAATGCTACTTCTTTTTTTTTTTCTTACAAGATGCCTCATGAGGGATCTCAAACAGAGCTTACTGTAAGTTCATGCTCTTGTTAAATCTAGTGATCTGTCTCCCCCTGGTGTGTGAAAGTTGTATTACATCATTGAATTTTTGATTTATGTGGTGCAATAAATTTGATCCTTTTATCATCTTTAAAGAGATGCAAGACCGACTCACCGTTATTTCCTTGATGCCCATTACAGATATGACCTTCTTCACAAGCTCTGGAGGACAAGGGGAACCAGCCATGATGCCTACAGTTCAAAAATAAAAGTTACCAGTGAAAGCCACACTGCAGCGGGACAAGTTTCATTAGGGTTCTGCAGGTTTCAACAAGTTAAATTTCAGACAATTTAAGACCTTTTTAAGACCATTATAAATGAAATTTAAGACTGATTTCACGTCCATACTGGTAAAATAGTAGAGAGGATATAAAAAAAAAATCAGTGTCCTAGAATTACTTGCAAACTAAATGAATTTATTCACATTTACAACTGTGTGAGAGAGAAAAAGGGATTAACACAGCAGAAGTCTTATATATATATATATATAACAAGGCCACAACAACTCAACAATGTAATGCCCATCAACTACACTGTGTGTGCGAGAGAGAGACAGAGACACAGGCCCTGTTCAGACCTGGTATTAACATCCATCTCGGGTGATCCGATCACAAGTGGTCAGCTCTTCCAGGTGTGAACACACAAGCTAATGTGCATGTTGCTGTTATGTATAAAAAGCAGAATATCAGTGTTTTTCTCACCTGCTTCCACTGACGACAAGTCATATTTAGGCAGGTCCGGCTGGTTGACCATATCAACATACATGGTGGGGGTGCCATAGATGAAGGTGCACCTGTGAGGGGAAACGGACCAATGAAGAGAGTTCGTCTTCAATGACAAATTTCCAGAATAAACCTGCAAATACGTGACAACAATAAAAGTGGAATTTTTTTATGGGTATGTCAGTATTTTTTTTCAAACGCAGAAAGAAAAACATTTGAGACAAGAAAAACTGCATCCAAAAGCAAAAACTAAAGCAACACTAGATGACTTTTAGGAGATGACGCCAAACTGCAGCAGCAGGTAAAGTGGGCACATGGACGGACTGACGTGTCTGTTAACATTTCTCAACTCTTCTAGTCTTTTACTCGTCTGTACCCAGAAGCCCATTGCCTCATAATCCATCCATAGGTAGGCCGTTTCAAAAATCTGAAAATATATTGATGAATCCAACTTAGTAAAGTGTAGAGTAAAGTGAAACGAAAGAGTGTCAGTTTCTGAGGATGGGGATACTCGCCCTCTATGTTACTATTATTGCCATTTTGAATTTAGGTTAATAAAGTGTGAATATTTTTTACATCAAGGTCTTATTTACTGTAGATATAAGTGAACAAAAGTGCCTACTATACAGTATATAAAACACGTCTTTAGTCAGATGGAAAAAATATGACAAAGAACAAGTGAAGGTTGTTTTTGGCTCAGAAGCAGGGCCTCAGGTTGTGATTTTAGTTTACAGTCTCCATTAATTACTTTGAAAACACATTATGAAAGAATCTTCAAATATGTATTTTGTGATGTGATGGAACAGAGCCATTGTTATAAGGGCTGTTTGACATGAACCACACATCGCCCGGAGGGGGCAGAACAGTTTCCACCAGTCTTCACAGTCTGTACAAGAACTCACAGACACACTCACACACATCCCTTTATACTTCATATCGTCTGTGAACGTACTGCCTGTAAACCGTCTATGAGAACTATTAGCTGAGTCGGCAAAATCTGACACATACAATCCCCATAAATAAAGATATAGAGTTTCTATAAAATGCCGTGTTCTTGACCAATCAGCTCTAAGATCAGGGGTGGACAGGCGTTTCCCATCAGACCCTGAGTCTTTGCAGTCTGCTGCTGCCTTGATCTCATGAGGTTATGAGGTTATTGTTGCCTATGTTTGCATGACGTCAGAGCAAGTCAGGATGAAGTCAGACAGAAATCTAACCGCCATGCCTTGTGCGGTGATCGCCGGTGATCAATCCTATGCAGGCCTGGCTCGTCTCAAACAAACCTCATGTCAGTATAACGAGTCAGATGTCTGCTGTGAAAAATATTTCAATTCCATGAAATACTGTAGGCCCAAAGACTAAAAGCTGGATTCTTGCTAAGCTTATAACAACTTAACATTTCATGACATTATGTCATTATCATGAGACTGAGTATTGAAAAAACAGACGTTTAGTCTCTTTGTCCCTGATAAACAAAACAAGAGGAAGTATCTAATCACTTTCAGGAAGTGTCTATCCTAAGCAGAGGGTCTGACACTAATGCTTTCCAGACTCTGCACACTTACCACTGTGTTCAACTGGAGCTGCAACCACAGGAAGTTTTTATGATCCACATGAGACTAAATCTCTTTTCTTCAGCATGCATCAACACACACCCTGATGTGTTGCAACAATTCATGTGCATTGTACAATTTTCGGTAACTGATGTGGAAATGTGATTTCTATCTAAATAAAGTACAGTAAATAAGATGATCATTTTATGTGCACAACAACAGCTAACAACTGAATTCCTTCAGATTTGGTTGTTCAATTTAAAATTAATAAATCCCTAAATCCCAAAGCAGCCCCTTTCATACCCTTGTATCCCATGGTACAGTACCGCTCCAGAATTAATAGTGATTCAATTCTAAGCAGATTTAATCTTTTGTTACAGGGTATTAAACCTCAAACAGCTTTCTGTTACCCCCCCCCCCCCACTACCACTTGGAGCCAGCAGTGTGTGCAGCTGCCTTGTGCATGTATGGAACTGGCTAAAGATTTCTGATATTACCTTTCACTCTCCAAAGCTGCTATGTTGGCCTTTCCATCGTATCCGGCAGAGGGAAAGATCAGGGAGGTGCCATGCATGGCCATACACATCCCACCACCCACGGAGCCAAAGCAGTGATACAGAGGCACAGGAAGGCAGATCCGAGTGTCAGGCTGGGGGGGGGGGGGGGGGGGGGGTTACAACAGTCAAACCTTAGGTCGGGAATCACAGAGAAGCTACGCCTCTGCCTGACTCCAAAAGTTTCATAACAGTTTGGCTTTGAGGCATCACTTTTTTTTTTTTTTACGGTTTCAATATGACAAGAATGGTTTTCCCATTCTGATGTGGAAGGAGGTTGAAGGCTAGAGAGCCAAAATAAACTACAGTGTGTGTTTTCATGGTGATGAACGAACATGTTCAACCAGAGCAACAGTGTGACTCATTGATCACTGAACAACAAAGAATACATTTATAGTTGGTTTGGTTTCTGTTAATGGGATTTGTTGACAATAAGACATCAGTAAGCTTTTAATCAATCAGTCTTAACAAAATAACAAAAAAAATACACTCCCTGGTCAGATGAGTTTTAATGAAACTCTCAGATGATACATGAGGTTATTAAATAATGTCTTGCTTAAGACTCACCCTCCAATGGTATCCCACTCTCCTGCCAACAAAGTAGGCATCGTTGACAATGTTGTGATGAGATAAGGTGGCACCCTTTGGAGTCCCAGTTGTGCCCTGATAACAAAAATTTGAAATAAATTACAGCATTTACAAGACCATAAAATGGTTTGATACAGCATGTCAAGGTTACTGTGATGAAACTGCATTTATTGCTCTCTAAACATGGTGACACTAACAGTCAGAGACCACGGAAGTAGATGTTTCTGTCTTTGCAAATACAGCAACAAAAAAAAAAGTGAACTGAATGTGCATGATGAGGAATTTGACTAACTCAAGATAATCTACAATAAGCTTTTATTTTCTATAGATGTTTAAACAGGAAAGTAAATTCATTCTGAGTCAGTCTATTGCCTCAGACCTGCTCTGTGTCAGTGGGCTCAACGTATTCTGGAAAACCAATACACTCACACCATTACAGCAAACTTGGAACTAAGGACTGAATTTTCTTCAACAGATGGACTGTCTTTATCTCTTTTAGCATTTTGGCGACCTGGTAGAGTTGAAACTTTTTTCTTTTTCACTCGGGTCTCAGGACTTCTGTACTCTTCTTATGGAAAATCGATTTATAACATTTATTATTTACTGCATGTTCAAAAGGGGACATTTGTGTTTGTGTCACAGTAAAATCATAAGTGTGCCGGTGGTTAAACGTCCAGATGAACATTGTCTCTTCGTCCGGAGCTATAATCCAGAGTCCAGTTTTTTTTTCCCCCAGGAGGAGGAAAAAAGGACATCCAGCCACTTTTCCCTAATTCCCTCGATACTAAAGCGTCTCAAACCAAAAACATGCTCCAGCTCACACAGACGTCAACAGGGTCGTTGAGATTCATTAAATTCAGCAGGAATTATGCAACAATTACCGAAGTGAACTGGATGTTTATTGGGTCGTCGAACGAGAGCTTCTTCTGCAGATCCTGAAGCTGTTGTACGTACTGGCTGCTGCCGGCCTGCATGACGTCGTCCAGATGAAGCATTCCTGGCTGTCGACTATCCAGAACAATCACGGAGCGGAGATCTGGAAGTCTGAGGGGGAAAACCAAACAAGTTAAAAAAAAAAAAAAAAAAAAAAAAAAAGATATGGGTCATGTTTTGTAACTGAGGGTCTCCATGTTATACTGTGACAGTCGGCAGCTTCAACTGTCTCTCCCTGTTACTGTACAATCCATTTTCCCTGAAGGACACACATGAATCTCACTGTACATGTAGAAACAGAGCCGCAGCTGGGAATTTTTCTACATACATACTGAGGTCAGGAGATCAGATTCCTCCAGTTTCATTTCACCCACAATGTTCACAAATTAGCCGCAGTCAGCGGATTCACTTGCAGGGATTAAGTAAATTTTTCAAGTCGAGTTCAATTTGCCTGTGAGACATTCCTGGATGGTTCCCATTGAAAAGAACAGGGAGGGGGCTGTGCGCTGCTCTTTAATGGAGGTGGGGCAGTTCACCAGAATTAGATTTGCAAAAACAACCGGTTAGTTTTCATCTTTCAAGTCTGTTCTCTTGTAAAATTAAAAAAATAGCATTTCTGGTGTGACCAGGCCTTTATTCTGAAAAAATATCAGAATTAGCAGATATTCTAATTTATATTAGAATTAAAAAGACACCATGTGTAGTTGTGTTGACCCCTAAATTCCCAGACACAACACAGGGACTCATCTTGGTGTGATTTCTGTGTAGTTTGCTGTGAAAACTTAGAAACCAGGAACAGTGACGGGTGGACACCAGCGTCTGTACCTGGCACTCTTGATGTCGGATGGGCTGGACGACTCGATCTCTGGACATATGCGTCGCAGCATGTCACAGTACTTCTGGGTCTTAAACTCCGTGGGGCACACAACAACTTTACACCCAACCTGTGAGAAGAGGAGCAGAGGATTCAGCTTTTCTAATGCAAAGCAGTCTCTGCGTGTCATGACAGTAAAACCCGTGTGCGAAAGTCACCGACCTTCTGCAGCGCAAACTCCACCTCCTGCAGCTGGTACGCCGGGTTCACTGACACCTGATGGGTGGTAAAACAAGAACAAGCTGCTCACGATGGAAAGAAAAAACACTCAAGCTTGACCGACGTGAGAGCTGAAGCAAAGACAATGCAGCTGTGACTCACCAGTATAATTCCAGCTTTGGCTGTTGCAAACTGGAACAGGACCCATTCGTAAGTGTTGGGTCCCCACATGCCGAGCCTGTCCCCCTTCTTCAGGCCAAGAGCCAGCAGTCCAGCTGCAGCCTGATCCACCTACAGACACACCACAAAGACATGAACTGGTTTCATGAGTGGAGCTGAAGAAGATACTGTCCAAACATTATTTTTAAAAAGGAGCCATTTGTACATTTTGCTATTGCTACATAGCTGCCGTTAGCATTGACAGCTGTTTCCTTAATATTCTTGAGAAGATCGAGATTCAGCCATAGTTGTGTTAACAAGACTAGAGGGTATAATACTCCATCTGAGCCACACTACTTCTTCAGGGCAGACTGGATGCTACAGTGACTCGCTATCAGACAGTCTGGCCAGACCGGGGCTAGCTGGTTAGCATTCTAACTTCAGTAGAAGAAAAGAAGTGATAGAAATAGAAGCAAAATAATGAGAGTTGCTTTCCACTTCTGAAGGCAGGTCTGGATGAGTAAAGAAATTAAGTTTGATGCTGAACTCGCAGCTGTCAATGCTAATGTTGGCTATGTAGCAACAGCTCCTTTAAAAGCATTCTCATTTTACTTTTACTGTCTAAACTGTTTGCACAAAAGTACATTATAAAGTTGTATATTCTGAACAATCCTCTTTATTAAAATAAATTCTATGATGAAAAAATGGTTTTATAATAGTTCTGGATTAAACTTTTCATCTTGCAATGCTGTTGCCTCACCCTGTTTGTGAAGAGCAAAGTCTAACACATTAACAAACACTGAGTTCAATCTTGAGTTTTTTTCTGATTTGTGTGAAATGAAATAAATGAAAACACTCAAAACTTCCAAGGACCATAAATACTTGGTATAATAATATCATGGTCCCTTTTCTTACAACAGTCATGATGATTTTCCATATAAAAGAAAATAATCATTCATATCATTAAACCATTAATCTCCAATGAGGTCATATTGTACTTAGTGCCTGTCAAGTAAAGACAGCACCATGACCATGCAGGAATAATGATAGCAAAAAGTAACATAAGCAAAACTGAGTATTTCAATTTTCATTTACAGAGGACCTAGTTATGGAATTATCATTAAGAGGTTTTATATGACACCTGCTATCTGAAGACTGTTTCTCTCTGTGTCAGGCTGACATCGGTATGTGATATCAGTGCGTGTTTGTTAACTCTCCGCCCTTAATCCACATGAAATGTTTTAAGGTAACTGGGTGAAAGTTGAAAGACTGAACAGGACTGAACATGTAGGTGACTGGAAGAAGACCTTTGAGTACATGTTGGCATGTCATTACTGTAATTACCATCACTGCTGTGTTTTCTTGCCCTGACAAGTCATGATGTCCTCAGTGAAAAAGCTCCACTAGTCCTTTTTACTACAGCATCATCACTTATATAAATACTGAATGATTAGTATAACATTGAAGTGCCTGTTTTCCTTGAGTAATTCCATTTTAAGCTACTTTGACAGTTTTAGTTACTTTTTAGATTTAGATTATTAATAAAAAATTATAATCAACTTACATTATTAGTGTTTATTATGGTCTAAGATACCCAGAGCAATATTAAGTAGTTAGCTGCAACACTGCTGATGCTTACACATGAATGCATCAATTTTAATCCAGCGATATATTATTCTTGTATGGTCCATCTGCATAAACAGTACTTTAACTTATTTTACTTTGAGTATACTTTGATGCTAAAACGTACTTTTACTTATGTAACATTTCGAATGAAGGAATTTCATTTGTATATGTATACTGTGGTAACATAGTACAATTACACTTTCTTCCCTCCTTATTTTAATATTTAATATTTTTCTGATTGTTTGTCCCTTATAAAAGATAAAAATCAATAAACACAGTACATTATATACAACACCATTACGTCTCTTTAAATAAATGTGATCAGGGATGTAGGTTTGGTTTAATGATATATATTGCCACTGTCTGTTCAGTTCCTTTAAGAGAAAACATTGTGCTTTTCTTCAGCCCTCAATAGTGCCTACAGGCTTTTTCTCAGGCTCAATAAGGATCTAAAATACCTGCACTATCAAGATAGGGCAACTTTTATGTTTCCTGAAAAGTGAAACCTGGGGCAAAAAATTCACTCACAAAAAATTCACTCACAAAATCACTCACTGCAGCTTAAAAACTAAACCGGTTTGAGTGCAAAGTGATAACTGAAGGCACGTCAGAGTATAAAAGTAAAGTGCCTTACTGCCGTACTGGACATGAAGTGTTTCCACTGGCCTTTTTGGAGTCAAATGGCTGAAATGTTTATAGGTTTGGAGTTTGCATGAAGGAGCAGGTGGAGCAAAAATGGAAAGACAGAAAATCAGCAACTGTTTTTATGATCAATTAATCCTTTCAGTAATTTTTCAAGCAAGAAACATTGTCTAGGTTTTCTGACATCTATCCTCAACCAACCTTAAAATCATTGGCTCTCGAGTACAGAAAGGACTCTGATTTTATTGGAAAACTTACATCCTGCTGAAACTGTGCGAATGTCTTGCGGATGCCGCCTTCTAGAAAGACCAGCGCCTCTCTGTCAGGGTAGCGCTCCACAGTCCTCAGCAGAGACTCTCCTATTGTAGTGTGGAGCAAAGTTGTGGATGAGGTGCCGTGGGCATAACTCGTAGTTAGGCTTGGGATGACAGGCGGAGAGTCCACATGGATGCCACTGCAGGGAAACAGGAGTTAGATGTTTAAAGACATTTTTACAAATGTAAAATGAGTCAAAATTAAACAGAGTTCTGAATATGTGTGTGAAAACCAATACAAGTAAACTATTCTGCCCCTTTTGCATTGTGGAGTACCTCAAGGCTCTGTCCTCAATCCCCTTCTGTTATCTATCTACATGCTTCAACTTGACTAAATAATACACAAGCAGGCCATGTCTTTTCACTGCTACGCCGATGACACACAACTTTATATATCTATCAGTCAGGAACAATTTGTCCATTAGTTTAAATTAATTTGCATCATTCTTAAATTCTTGAAGTCATTCTTAAGCAAAATTGCCAAAATTCACTAGTTCCAGCTTCTTGAATGAGATTTTTCACTGGTTTACCTTGTTTTAAATAGATAACTATGGAATAACTAATGAAATAAAAAAATGAATCAATTATTTTGACAATCAATTAACCGTATTTGTCAAAATACTAAACATTAATTTGTTCCAGTGACACAATTGTGAGAATTACCTGCTTTTCTTTGTTTTATTTGAAAGTAAATTAAATAGTTTTTTGGGTTTTACAGAGTTTGTCAAACATAAAAAGCCATTTGAAGACAAGACAGGCACTTTTCACCATTTTCATTTTATAGACCAATTGAAAAAATAATCTGCAGGTTAATCGATAACAGCAGTAATTGTTAGTTACAGTACTTTCGATGACAGTAAATTGAAAATATTTGGGTTTTGAACTGCTGGATGGAAAATTTGGAAATAAGACACATTTTAAGAAACATTTTACAAACTGAAACCAATTATCTTGTATCTTCATTTGACTCAGTGAGGACAAAATCAATTGTGACGAATTGGAGGGGTGATGAAAGATGCTTTTGAGTTGTATTATCAGAAATGTAGGACCCATGCTTGATCGATTGAGCCATAGTTGTGTCTGAAAATCATGATCTCTCTCCCTCTCGCCTTTAAAGTCACAGAAAGAGGCAGCGTCTTTAACTTCTGCATTGTGACATATGACACACCTCAGCAGCTGTGACTCACCACAAACTAAAGGTCAAGTGCCGTTTTGTATGATGACTGTGGGGAGCAGGTTGACCCACAATAATCCCTGATTGTATAAATGAGTTAATGACAAATCATCAACATCAAAATGTTTGATGGGAAGAAAAGGGAGCATTTTCCTGCTCATGTAGTTAAAACTTCCCTGGCTGGAACTTTTGTTGCATGCCTCCCCCCACTTCCTGTCTGTCTGTACAATGAAGTGTCCAATAAAGACAAAATGCCAAAATAAATAAGAAGAAAAATCTATGATACTGGCAGGCAGTGGTGGACGTGCCTGAATGGTTCCTTAAGTACCAATACAACAATGCAATAAAAGCCTACTTAATTACACGTAAAAATTCTGCCTTCAAAATCCTACTTAAATAAAAGTACAAAAGTACAAGCAACAAAATGTATTTTAAGTACCAGAAGTACTGCAGTAAAACGCTGCTGTGCCTGATATGCAACAATGTGTAAGCAGGTTTAGCAAGTTTATCTAGTTGATACAGTTCCTCATGGTCATAATGATTGATGGGAGGTTAGAGAAGAAGGAAAAAAAAGGACTGCTACAAAAATCTTTTCAGTTTTTGGACTTTTAATTCATCTTTGCTTAGTCTGAGAAAAAACTGACAATTTTACATCTTTGGACCTCAAACAGTTATTTAATAAAACCAGGGAAACATCCTAAATGTGGCAAGGAGACCGAACCAAACAGTAATTTATTGGCTTTGTAAGTGGCAAAAAGACAAACAGATGGGAACCACTGGTTTAATCTTTTACAGTGTGTGTATTTTATCATGTTTTTATTTAAAATCTTGTAACTCTACTTGTCAAATAATATGTAGTGGAGTAAAGAGAGTATTATTTTCCTCTGATGTGTAAAGGAGTCAAAGGATAAAGTACCATAAAGCACAAGTACCTTAAATTGAGGTCACCACTGACCCCTGCTGTGGCCTACCAACTGACTTCCTTTTCTCTTGCTTTATCTCGAAACCAGTGACTTTATCATTCCAGTTACTGTATCAGATAAAACCATCTGCAGGCTGCAAAAAAAAACTTTGCTGAGTGTGTTACAGTAATGCAGGGTGTGGACACAATAATCTGAACATATGGACAGTACAGTGCAGCTTCCTAACAGCAGAGCAACCTATATGTACAGCCTACGTGCTGTACTGAACAGTGGTGTTTCCTTTGTCTCCTCCCCTTCCTTCCTACGTCCATTAAACTACAAATTAAGCAGAAAAAACACTGCACACAAATAGCACAGCTGAAATCAATACTACACGTGGGAAAAGTGTTGCAGAATTACAAACAACTTTAAAATATGTTACAATCACATGATCTTTCGCAGCAAGCGTGTGTTACATAATCAAAATAAAAAGTTGTGGACAAAGAAAGACAGGAGATTGATTTAAAATGTTTGTTTTTCAAGATGTGACTTTCTTTGAGTTCAGGCTCACGAGTTTTAATTATTGGCAACAGAATATGATTGTTTATTTTCTTTTCCTACTCACCGACTTGCTGCAGTTGGTCCCGGCTGAAGTGAGCATGGTGCCCGCAGAACTTTGTAAACTCTGGAAAGAGCGCAGTTGTTCCAAAGAGACTGGGAGCGAAAGACGATGTTGGGGATCATTGTTGTGTGCAGCTGCAGCCCACCACCGCCCCTCTCTGCACTGACTCCGGCTGAGTTAAACTGACGGCTTGTCCTGGCGGAAGAGGAAAGCAGCAGCCTGACGGCGGACGGGAGAAAGTTGATCTTTTTGAAGGAGTGATCGGCAGAGTGCAACTGTTTCCAGTTCCGTGCTCAGACCTTGATCCGTCGGGGTTAACTTAACGGTGCCACAATGTTTCCATGAAGCAGCTCCGTCCTGCAGGTGGCGCCAACACTTCACTACAACTGAAACTGTAGAGACAGCATGACACACCAAACACTCTGCTTGGAATACGTCTCTATGTCTCTTCAATTGCTCCTTCTCTCTTATCGGAAAACCACAGACTCTATGAACAGAATAGGAGTTAAGTGGATAAGTAAAAACGTCAGTTACATTTCATTAGGATTAAACGTGAGCACAGAAAAACGTCCTCCTCCACCACCTCCTTCAGTACATGCATGTGAAAACAGTTTCTACTGTCAAACTGCACAAACATCATTTTTGCGCTGATGCATATCAACACCAACATCACAGTGAAGGAACATTAAGAAACCAAGAGGAAAAACACCTCTTTGACCGGAGGCAGATTTTAAAACCACTTCTCCTGTCCTCTCCCCCTGACACATTTGTTCATTTGGTGATTAACACCTCTGCTAAAAAACAAACAAAAAAAAAAACCACATGGTAACAGACATTGGTGGTAAAAGTATTCAGATATTTTAGAAATTCCACAAAGCAAGACCTGCATTCAAAAGGTTTGCACTTTCAAAAGCAGGTGGTAGTGGTTGTGGAGCAAAAAGGAGTAATATCCCACTGAAAAAATCCTGCATTGAGAATGATTTTAAGTACATTTCTATTATTAGCAAAATGTGCTTTATGAATTAAAAATAAAAGTTCTCAATACAGAAAGATATGGTGTCTGCAAGTGTTAGCGGCAACAATTATACACAGTGGCAAAAAAAGGTAAGTGAAGCCTTTAGAATAACCTGCATTTGTGTAGAAATAGTGTATTTCTTATATATGTCTTGGTCAAATCTGCATCTAAGTTACAATTATGAACAAACACAGTCAATTATTGTATTGGGATAGAGCTTCCTTGATTTATAAAAAACACTTTTTATGTTCACAAGAAAGATCTCAGAAGACCTAAGATCGAGAATTGTTGATTTTTATAAAGCTGAAAGGGTTACAGAGTCTTCTCTAAGAGTTTAAATCGTCATCAGCTGCAGTCAGACGATGATTTAGTTCTGTGGCTGCTCAGCTCAGAAGTCGGCAACCACCTAAATTGACAGAATCTAAAGTCTGAATTTATAAAGTTTACAGCTGTAAAATACATGTAGTGGAGTAAAAAGTACAATACACGATTACAGTATCCTACAAAGACTGATACGTACGTACAGTAATTGAGTGAATACACCTTTAGTGATTATTAATAGGTTTTTTTTGTGGCAAAAACAAAAACACTTTGAATGAGTGAGGTTTAAAAATGCATCAAAGCACAAAATTGCCTTAAAAATAATATTGACCAATTGACATTCAACAGTTCACTAGAGTTACATTAGTAAACCCTGGAGTTTCATTTCTGGACGATCAGCCAGATGTCATTGTCAGTTTCACTGTTCTCCGGTGCTGTTAAGACAGAAGTAAAAACAATTTACTCACATGAAAACATGCAGACCACACTACTCTTTCATTTACTGTAGATGCTTTGCACTAAAAAAATGTCCTCATACCTTACAAGATGAGAAACAGTCTCATCTTGTAAGGTTACAGGAGGCATAGTCACACATTTCAGTCGGCCAAGACGGGACTGAGCTTCTCTCAGCTGTGTTGGGAGAACAGCTCCTCTTTCAAACGATGGTATCGTCCTCGCTTGGCCATGAGCTCTTGGTGTGTCCCCTCCTCCACGACTGCTCCCTTCTCTACGAAGATGATGTGATCGGCCTTCTCCACAGTCTTCAGCTGATGAGCCACCACCAGGACTGTTCGACCACAAGACAGAATCTCCTGCAGGACCTGAGGACCAGGAGCAGGACCAAGTTACTCTGCAGCTACGTACACCTGCTGTTAATCTGCAATCTCTGTCAGACTCTCCTCCTTCTCTAGGGCTGCATCTGACAATTATTTTCAATCAATCTGGTGACTGTTTTCTTGATTGTTTAGTCTATGAAATGTCAGAAATTGTAAAATAAAAAAATAAAAAAATAATAATCCACAATTCAAAGTTCCAGGGTGAATAATAATAAACAATATTAAACAGAGAAAATCATAAAAACTTCATATTTGAGATTTTGAAAGCTGTAAATTTTGCTTTTCTTACTTTGACAAGTCAAACAAGTTTAAACTTGTTAATAGGTATAATTTTTTTTGTTATGGGGGTGTTCTCCTGTTAAAAAAGATGTCATCACTGGCAAAGCCATGTTTTACTTACAGCATGCTGTGCTTCAACATCCAGTTTGCTGGTGGCCTCGTCCAGTATGATGACCTGCGGATCTCGGACCAGAGCTCTGGCGATGGCGATGCTCTGCTTCTGTCCATCTGAGAGTTTGCCGCCACATTCTCCAACATCTGCAAAGACGGGATTAAACACAGGAAACACAGACATTTAAGTTATACATACAGTATATTAAAAAACATGTGTCTGTGGTTTGAACTGAATTCATCACCTGCTCTTCCTAGCCATTGTTTGTTTTGTTAAATCTCCATCAGTCAATCATTATTGAAACATCCCATCACCAGGGCAGTTTCTCTGTGTTGTGGCCTTTGATCACCGGCCATCAGCTACTGTATACCTCATACTATTAACATAGACTTTCCTCCCTTCACATCACATCTGCCCTGACCATGTCAATATAGTTAATATTTAACTACTTTCCAGTCATATGTCTGTCACAGTATCACTTACAATATCTCCAAGGACACAAAGTACAGGTTTTAGCAGCTGTTTATTTTTTACTTGACCTACATGTATGTTTGTTGATGTGGGCTTGATTTCAATTATGAAAATGTCTCAGGCACAAAATGCAAAGCCTGTGTCCACAGTGATAAGCAAACTCCTGCATGACACGTACAGTGAAATAAAAAAAAAAACAACCACATGTTAGAGACACTAAATAGACAAAAACTAAAAAAAAACAATCAAACAACGGCATTAGCTAGTTAACTTTCTAAACTTCTCTCCAATATGATCAAAAATAACAAAAGAAAACTATCTGTAGTAACTAAAACTGACTGGTTTTAATTAGTCTTATAAGAACATCTATTATAACCTACATGCATGGTATTAAACGTCCTCTATACGTGAGGCTTGAGATGATGGACAGCTCTGTACCTGTGTCATATCCGTTTTCTAGTCCAGATATGAAGTCGCTTGTGTTGGTCTTCTGTGCAGCTTCTTTCACCCTTTCAATGCTGCAGTCCTCCAGGCCGTATTCAATGTTGTACCTCAGTGAACCAGAAAACAGCACGGGATTCTGGGATACCACGGCCAACTGAATCACAAAGTTGAAACACATGATAGTGTTAATGCAGTGCTGGTCGACAACATTTGAATTTATGATGTGAATACGGTGCAAATATAACTTCTACATCTTTGTATGATAAGGAAATGGAAAAAAACTGAACTGAAATTCAGAAAATGAACTGTCATGTCTCACAAACACAAAACATCAAAAGTTATTAAAACTTGGCACCATTCAAATCCACTGATATACAGAGCTTCACTGTGCTCAACTTCCTTTTTGTATCAGATATTTTTGGTCGTGAGCGTCTAACCAAAGCAACACAAACATGAATGTGACATTAGTGCAACACTGGTATCACTATGAGCCTGCTATTATAGATCATGATGCACAGAGTGGCACAACCTACCTTTATTTATTTCATGTATTTTTTTTTATTTTTTATCTCTATTTCATTTAGTATCAGATTTATGTCTGTTTTTCAGTATCAGATTTGTCTTTTATTGTGATGCACTGTGTGATGTCCGTTGCTGCAAGTTGCTACATAAATAAACTTCACGTATTTAAAAGAATCTACTCAAAAAGCCAAAACGTTTTAAAAAAAAATGTATGTGGTGCAGATCACAGAGCTGTACCTTCTGATGGAGGTATTTGTGTTTGTAATGGTGCAGCGGTTCTCCATCCAGCAGGATCTGTCCCTCCTGAGGCTCATACAGCCTCTTCAGGAGCTTCACACAGGAAGTCTTTCCACCACCAGAGGGACCCACCAGGGCTGTCATCCTCCCCGGCTGCAGCTCCATTGAAACTGACTGGACAGAGCATGTTAATGATGTAATGATGCATTTGTGGTTTATCCAAGACTGGATTAAGGTTTAACAAAGTTACAAACACAATGATACCTTCAGTGCTACTTTATCTGGAGGAGCTGAGGGGTAGGCGAAGGTGACATTTTGGAAAACAATTCTTCCTTGCAGCTTCTCAGGAGCTAACTCTCCCGCCTTCTTACACTGTGGTGTCCTGTCCAGATAGCTGAATACTTTGGAGATGACTCCCATTGTGGACACCGTTTCTCCGTAGCAATATAAAATCTCCTGTGAAAAATAAATAATCATCAGTGACGGGCGTATGTATTTTACATCTCAAACACGCAAATACACAGAGGGGGTCTTTCACTGTGAATATTTGTAACATAGTTAACCTTTAAATTGTTCGACATGGGTTTCTGGTACAAGAAAAAGGACACGAGACTCCCGATAGTGAGCCGCCCGGAGGAGATGAGGTTGCGGGCTTGTAAAAGCATGAGGATCTTTATCCCCAGAGTCACCAGCTAAATAGAGAGAGTACACAGAGAGAAATAAATCACACTGTGGTTGAAAAACAGACTAAATCACAAAAATTACATATGCTCCTGAAAAAAAACAACAGGCTCAACTAAAGGGTGCTTTAATATTACTGGATATGCACATATATACGGAAGCCCATTCCTGCCAGGAAAAGAAAAAACTGATGAAATGTTGGAAAAGATAAAAATGTTTTGACTATTTTAGTTTTAGAGTAATTAGATACAAAGTGAAAATCCTGACTTCATATCTCATGATTGCATTTAATATCTCATAATGGTTAGTTTGTTTTAACTTAGTATCTCATCAGTTTAACCTAAAAAGTCATAATTTTGACTTGCTATTACATATCTTAAAATGATTATCTAGTAATTTTAACTTAATGACATTCAACTTATCATTGTGACTCTCAAAAATGATAAATTAGTATTGCATAAGTTTAATATTACCATACTATTTAAAATTTCAAAAAAGTTCAGACATATAATCTTACAGTAATGACTTAGTATATTACAATTTCACAAGGCAAAAATAAATTGACTTGACTATCTCATAAGTGAGTGTTTTTTTCCTTTTCCTGGTGGAAATAGACCCTTATGCCCACAGTGAGTTGAAAACTCAACAAGGTCTCTGATGTGTAATCTTGCTTCACCACTGCCATCTTACCCTCCGTATAAAGCCAAAGGTTGCACTGTAGATCCCTGAACGTCTCTTGACAGCGCACATCTGCTCCAGAGCCTCATTATACCTCCTCAGTTCATCTTCCTCTGCTTTAAAGCTGCGGACTGCTCGAATCCCACCGATGGTCTGAGAAGCCAGGTCTTTGTTCTGAGCGTGACAGTCCTGTATCTGATCTTTCAGCTCCTGTTTGACAGAGAGCACAGACCGATTCAGTGAGAGGGAACTGCATTCTTCTTCACATCAGAACGATGCTGCGCTGAGGACATGACAGGTTAAAGTCCTCTTGATCTGAGCATCTAATGCCCTTCGTGCATTACCTGCACTGTGAAGCCCCAAATAACGCTCCATGTGTTAAACCCAACTTTCCCCTCTTCAACCGATGAATGTGAAATCAGCCATCTAGTATCAAACTCTGCACATGCATCATTCTGCATGGCGAAGGCCATACATTCAAGTGAATTAACAATAAGCATAACACATTTTTGAATAAAGTCTTTATGCACAGTATTCAAATTCAAAATTATATGTGTTTTAATTGTCAACTAAAATAATTCATTTATTCATTCACTCCAATCTGGGAATTAGGAGTGTTCAGTGTATGTGTGCACTGAATCCTGAAGCTGCACTGACTATTCTGAAGAATCACTGTCGTATCAGTAACTTTTTGCATTAGAACTCCCCCTACTGGTAACTGAAAGTAACTGTTTGAACCAGCAACAGGTTTTAAGTGATGAGTGAATGACTACAAATCTTTAAGCTGAACTACATTCAGTGACTTTACTGGGAGAACTCATGCACCAAATTCACCCTGGAACTAAAAAGCAAAGTGATCCGTCAGTGACACTGTACAACCACCGTTCTCTATTGCCGGCTACTCAGGTGTTCTGTCGTTTACACCTACCTTGGACAAAGTGATGTATTTGTTCTGCACTATGGCCAACAGCGGAATCTCTATACATGTGAGCACAGTGAGCTCCCAGGACAGGCCCAGCATCACTGTGAGCATGAGGCAGGTTTTGACTGTGCTGCGAACCAGCGCGTTGGCGTTCAGTGCTACCGTGCGACCCATCCTGTCCACGTCAGAGTGCAGGCGGGAGGAAAGAGCTCCTGAGAGATGAAAAGGGAGAAAAGGTCTAGTTCATAAACTAGCAGTTAAAGTTTCAGTGTTTGATCAGGGAGAAGAAGCAGAAATAATTTGTCAAATTGGTCCCACTTTCTAAGAGGGCACCCTTTCAAAAGAGTTTACAAGATGTAACTAGTCGCCAGAAGTATGTGGACACCACTATAGCCATACTGTACTTTAGTTTACTTTTAATTTGGGGCTGTTTTTCCATTCTTTGATTTATATCCCTAAGTTCCAATGAAGGAGAATCTTAATGTTGCAACATACAACAATATTTTAGATACCAGTGTTCTGTCAACTTCGTGGCAACAATTTGTTTGGTCCCTTCTTGTTTCAACATGATAATGACCCCGTGCACAAAACCAGGTCCATGAAGACATGGCTTTCCCAGTTTGAAGTGGGAGAACTTGACTGGCTTGCACAGAGTCCTGAACTCAACCTCATCCAACACCTTCGGGATGAACTGAAAAAGCCGACTGTGAGCCAGACCTTATAGTGGCTGAATGGGAGCAAATCCCTGCAGCCAGAATGTGGGTGGAGGCTGTCACGGCAACAAATTAAAGTCCATTGTTTGGGAAATAATATGTTAAACAATCACATCCTTGTGGCAATGTAGTGTAGGTGGTCTAGGAATAGAAATCTATGTGGGGAAAAAAAGGTTTCTAGACCCAGTAATTCCCAGCATTCTTCAAATATTTTAACACATGTCAGATATGTTTATATGTCTTCCTCACCAGGTTTGATCTCATCAAAGAAGTTCACTTCCTGCTGCATGAGGGTGTGAAACAGCAGATGCTTCAGTCTCTTGTTCAGTCTGGCCAGGGTGCACATGAATATGCCTCCTCTCATGCCAGAGAACAGAGCACTGTTAAGACGAAGACACAGAGAATTAGTTCGCATTTAAATCGCATTTTTAGCAAGTATGTCATTGTTGACAGGAAAGGGCAAAGGAATAGAAAACATAGCAGCAGTTTTGATTCATTACCTTCCAAGAGAGACAAGTGCCAACTGTCCCACTGCATGACAGAAGCTGATTTGAAACACTTGACCTCTTAGCATATCGATTACATTCCCCTGATAAAGTGGGATAAATGTGTCGCCTGTTAGGAAAGATGAATGCCACAGATTAAGTAAAACAGAAGCGATACTGTATATAATGTTTCTGCAATGTGATCATATACTGCAGAATGTCATTATGGTAACACTTACAGATGACTCCTAAGATGAGGAAACTAAAAGCTGCAATCAGGTGAATGGTGTCTGGTTTGAAGTACTTCACCATCCTCATAAGCAACTGTCCAGCATTCAGTTTGTTGGTATCTTTTCTTATCTTTCCATCACCGCAGAGTCCCTTTTCCCAAACCAAGCAGGCCAGTGACGCGGACATCGGGCCCAAGAGCAGCATGCTGAGGTCAAGGGATGGTCCCATATAAGCCTCCACGGGACTTGCCATAAGTAAGTGTCTACTTTCAAACACAGGCGAAAGGAGGCAGAGGAGCGCCACCATCCTGCCGAGCACAGCCTGGGGCTTTCCATCAGTCAGTATGGAGGTGAAAACGTGGAGGATAGCCCACTTTACTGCCCCAAAAGCCCACACGCCTGCCAGTCTACCACAACTGGGGCACTCCAGCAGCACCAGTCCGGCCCAACCAGCCAAACTCAGTGCGACGTCAAAAAGAAGAATGAAAAATCCACACGTTGCCACTTCTCTCATTTTCCTTTAGTGGACAGTCAGACTGCAAAAGGCTGAATCTGATCCGAGAACAACAAACATTATTATTATTATGCAGTCTACTGATTAGACTGCCAATCCTAATGATCATTTTAAGTAGTTGTAGGACTCAACAAAGTTTTCTGAGCAGAGATACTTTTTTGCTTTAACAATCAATAAAACGAGTATTCGATTATCAGAAAAAGTTGTCAAATCAGTTGACTAATTGTTACAGTTTTAAATCCTACATTCAATTTTTTTTTACATAAGTAGGAGTACAGGAAAAGGTAACAAAAGTAAAAGTATTCATTAGAAAGCAGAATAAGAGCAGCAGAGTGTCAGACATTATTTCATTATATTATCACTGATACATCAACCTGTAAACTGCATTTTAATATCACTTTTAACAACTTGATATACTTTGGGTTTAAGTAATCTATAACAATACATCACGTTTTATAAGCTGATGCTTTGTATGTCAAATATTAATGATGAAATAAATTACAGATGTACAATAAATATAGTGGAGCAGCAATGCAGTGAAGTAGAGGAATACATTAGCATACAATAGAAATGCCTGTGCAAAGTAGAAGCAGCTCGACACTGTGCTTCATCAAACGTGCTTGGGTAAATGCAGCACCAAGTACAAACCATTTTTCAGTTAGTATTAGTTTCGTTAGTAGTCTGTTTTAGAGATGTGAATGCTGTTAGCTGCCAGCTGACGTTTCCCACAGCGTGCATGGATACTATCATTAACACCAGTAACATTATAAGCTGCTGTGGTCATTTTGACTCTCCCCAATGAATACATAACGTTAAATTAATTCATAAGTCAGCGTTTTTGTAGCTTTCCTTTAGTGCTGTAGCTAGCTTTGGTGACTTACCGTGTGTCTTGTCCCCGGTAAGCTAACTGCTCGGGTGTTTACTTTCACTTTCATTTTCAGATGGGTGGCGCATGATTGATCTGTATCCGTGTATCGGGTGGAATAAGGTGATAAAACACGACATATTGATCACTGGCTCCATTTCTGCCAGTTTTCTTATGTTTTGCTGCATGTATGACAATTTTAAAACTTGATACTGATGTTTACACACTCAACAGCCGTCCGTCGTTTCGCAATGTAGCCACAAGATGGTGACAGTTTACATCTGTATTGTATTTTATTACATTGTATTGTTACGTTTTCCGGTTTCCTGAAGAAGTGGTCTTTCAAAATAATGGCACGACTTAGTCTGAAACTTATGCGCCTTTTATGGACATGTTCAGTGGTGGAGGAGGTTTTCAGATCCTTTAGTTGTAGTACTAACACCACGCTGCAAAAAAACGTAATTATAAGCAAAAGTCGTACGCTGGAAATGTTACTCAAGTGAAAACACTTTAGTATAATCAGGAAAATGTACTAAAAGTATTAAAAATAAAAAAACTCAATGCAGGAATATGGCACCTGAGACTGTTGCACTATTATATACTATATTGATATCATTAGATTATTACTCATACAATAATGTGTAAGCAGAATTTTACTGTTGTTTGTGTCAGTGATGCATTAGGGTCCTATGACACCTTTGCAGGACTAACCTGAGCTGTGGACACTGAATGACATCTTGTATTATGTGTGTACCTATCCTGTTGTCTTTAAGTACACAGCTGAAATAATAAATGTTTTAGAGGCTCTATAAGACAGGGTCTCAAAAGATTAGTTAAAATGCAAGACATGTCTTCAGGCTTATAATTCAGCACTTATTCTGCTTTTGTGGCACATATTCCCAAACAAATGTGCAATTTAGGTACCAAACTACAGTAATTGACAGATTTCCACATTTGGTCATTTTGCGTTGCACCTTTGGAGCTTTTATAGAAAATTTTCAAACAAGCACGTGGCAGTTTTATCCCACCCAGAGCTGCAGTGCATAATCTATATTAGTAAACCCTGGACAGTTTGAGGAGAGTTGTTTTGTAGTAGTTTGAGAGGTCGGATTCCACTGTTGTTTTTGTTACATGCTCTGTTGGTACCCCATGAATGTATGCACAAAAGAAATGTTTGGATTCACACTCAAAAAAATTCACAACAAAGAAAGATTTTGGTATTCAAACATTTATTCCCCCCTCCCGATCATAATATATAAATAAAGAATTTATAATAAAAGGTATAATTTGGCCCAAAGCGAGGCAAGCTCTAAAAATGACTGATAAATCCTCTCACTGTAGAGAAACCTCTGGTTACACTCTTGTTTACTGCAATATATCTTATACCTGAAATGTATATTTCATTATCAATCACATTTGACATAAAATAGCTTTCTTCAAAACCTTTACAGGTGGTGTGATAGTCTCGCTGTTTGATTTATCAAAAGATAAGTCTGTCACATTAAATCTGTGATTCGAACTGAAGGTAAACTCAGTAACAGTGTCATAAAACGTGTCAAGTTTGTACATGTCAGCTGCTGACTTCGAAAGTGCCTTCGAAATATTCCTCTCATGAAATGTGTCAAATCGCTGACATGCAACGTGAAATCCTCTGCTTCTCTCCTATGTGTTCCTGAAAGGGTTTGATATTTTCCCGTGGTTGTAGATTATCTTTTGGAAATACACCAAAAAGGCACTGTTCCATTAAGGAATGAAAAGCATGCGAATGAGAAAAAAACATGATTAATTCACTGCTATTACAGTACATATTCATTTTCTACATGTGACAGTGAACGACCAACAGATTCAACCATTTTTTTCTATGCATCTTCAATGATCTAAAGCAACCCAAATTCATTAACATGGGTGCAATAAGCTCAGTATGCTGTGTATAATTCCTTCACTATAGCCATGACATGGAAAATTAATTTTCCTACTTTAAAGATGTAAGATGTAAAAAAGACCCTTAAAAACAAGCCCACTATCATTTTCTATATCCTGTTAAAGGTCTACTATAATAGTTCTTTAGCTATTGACAATTACATCATAAGGCTGGTGTTATTCTATATATTTCTTATTGTCAACAAATGCCATGAAAAGACCAAAACCAACAATGAATGTGTCCTATTAAAAAGTATCGTCTCTAAATGCTGATATATCTTCTTCCTCTGAACCACAGAGCACCACTGTTTCCAAAAACTAATAAAAACACATCAGTGAATCACACTGTTGCACCGGGTGACATGTTCCTTCGTCACCATAAACACACACACTGTAGTTTATTTTGATTCAATCCCACACACACTGTCCTACTGCCCCAAATACTCACGAGAGCCCCCAAACGTGGATTAATCCGCTGCTGGAAATAGTCCCCAACAAATGCACTATTTACTCCTGTTTGAGTAACATTTTTTAAAAACCACAGTGCCCAACTGTTTTGAGAAATTACCGGAACCTTTTCTATTTGGATTCAACCACGTGAGATTATGTGTTTACTATCTGTCCGCTGAACTGAAATGGAGTGGAAACCCTGCTCGACTGGCATAAGCAATCGTGTTTTGGAGCACACACAGTGTCAACAGAAATGATGAGGGTTTTAAGGTGGTCATTATTATGACCTAAACCTAAGTAATATTAAGACTTTTAGTATATCAGTTCATATCACCCTTACAAGGTGAAGATTGCTAAATAAATCTTTTAATCAAATGACCACAAATTAATTTAATACACTGCAAGCCTGCGGCTATGTGGTAATCCAGCATAGTGGTACTGCTGGGATCTGGGACCTGCTGTATAGTGCAACTCGTGCACTGAATAGGGTAGAAAATAATGCATTGTTTTGGGGATTTTTTGACGATAAGAAAAATATAAAATAATAACTCCAGCCTTTTCCTTGATAATTAATTCCTCTGTTTTCTCATCCCCTCGATTTCCCCTTTTGATTTCACTGCTCAATTCGCTTGTTATTTGATGACAACCACTTGGCTCTGCCTTCAACCTGCAGGCCCATCCTCTGTTTCTGAAAAGAACTTATCAAACGCTCCAGCAAACATCTGGAAATAATTTTTGTATGATTTCTTTAACAAAGGCTCATGTAGAGTGTGTAACTTGGCTTGATAAAGTGAGATACCTCATATATGAGATAAAATTGTGTATCAGCAGCATTTTACAATAAACAGTACAATCACATTGTAAGTTGTAAGTGCACATCTTTTCATTTTGGTATGTAGGATCATGCATCCAGCCTTGGTCAAGACAGTGTAAATTATTCATAGTATTTGTTTTGACTTTTATGGCATGCCAGATGGCAGGAGTTCATCCCACTGTGACAATTCAGACCCGTTCAGGTGTGCTGCCTCTCAGCCACACAAAAGCAAACTTTGCAACATCTGGCACGCCAAGCAAGCTGTTGCAAACATTAGGAATTATTTGCGAACCTGTCTGACGCAGTGAGTGATGTGTGCTAAAGGTAACACACAGTGTAAGCAGGTTTCAGGGGCTGGTGATATACTCGTCCCCGTTGGCCGAGGCCTTGTTTTTGTCTCCCTCTGTGGGCACGCTGCTGTACTGGCAGCCAGGAGCTACGTCAGCAGCAGGTCTCGCCGGGTCGGGCGGCGTGGCCGGCTGACCCTGTTTGGACGCCTTCCTCTCCTCCTTATCCAGCCAGTAAAACGACACCATGAGGAACACGGCGGACGAGGCAACGACGGCACTGCAGGCGAAGAAGACGTGGAAGTACTGGCCTGTGCTGTCCACCAGGATTCCTGCAACAACAACAATCAACAATAAAGTCTACATTTCATATTTTATTTATTTCTATGAATCTAATTTTTCCTTATAATTACAAAAAAAAGGAACAGCTGTGCAACTATAAAATCATGAGAAGTGTTCTCGGGTAGGATGATGTTAATTATGGCAAATATTTAGTCTGTTTAAATCTGTGTATTTCCAACGTACCAATCATCTGCCTCTGATTTTTCATTTTTGTGTTAATTATTACATAATTTCACCTGTGAAAATCATTCAAATAAAGTAAAGAGAAAAAAATTGTTTAGTTTAGTTTGAAGTCACAGCTGATAGAGACGTGCAACTGACGCATTCTTTCATTTTAAAGAGTCACAAGTCAACTGTCTGAACCACTGACCTATATGAAGGATAAAGTTTCCAAAAATAAATAAGAATGGATGAGGATTTAATTGGGTCTAAATGGAACAGTTCTGTCAGCTACGTTTAAACTCAACACAACATGTAAAACTACTCAACTCAACTAACTCAAACAACTGTCAGAACTTTGTCTCTCCTCCAACACTGCAACAACTTACATACTTCCTTTCACATAACTTCCATGTAAATTCATGTGCAAACTATATGGACAACCTGTTCAGTCATATGTGACCTTCAGGAGCAATGCAAGTCAAGTAATTCTGTTGTGACTTGTTTCTGTGGTTACAACACTGCTTGGCCAAGTCAGCAGTCACATTTAACCAGGAGGAGAATACCTTTCATTTGAGACAGAGTGAGAGCCTCTGCCCTTTCCCTGCTCTGCTGCCACTAAAGTGCACTGCTCCTGAATGAAGCACAGACTTTATTTTATTTTGTCTTCCATGTACTGAACAAAAACTGACTGAGAACATGTCATTATTTACAGCCACAGCCTGGAGCAGGAGGGGCCGAACCTTCTATTCCTGTATTTCTGCATCACATAACACTGAGGCAGAGACGTGTGCACCGCAGCACAGAGTAACACACAAGGACTTGGTTCTCTGTTGTGAATCTGTTTCAATGTCTGTTTGGCATTTCAGATTTATGATCTGTGGTAGAGATAAATAAAAAAAAACATGGATGTGCAGCATGAAACTGATCACTCCTAATGGTCCCACACTGCTGCCACACATGGATAGGATTTTAAATGTAAAGATTTATCAGAAGCAGAGCTGCTCTGGAGGCAGAAATCATTTTAAACTATCCCGCATGCTGTTGATACCAGGGAAATGCTTTATTTTTATGATAACAGGTGAAAAGGAAAGGTAGTGTGACTAGTTGGAAATTTGGAGGATCAGGTAGCTGACTGTAATATGCTTCATAGTAAATAATGCAGTGAAATGCACTAAAAACTAGGCCATGCCTCCTTGTGAATCCCATCACAAGCCACCAGTTCAAATATGGTCTCCCCTCATGTTTTTGATTTGTTAATGCAGTGGGGGATGAATGGCTCGAGTTTCAAATCCTGAGTTTAAAGGACAGGTTCACATTTCTTCAAGTCAGGTGCTCGCACTGAAACAGGTTTTCCCTGCTGTAATCACTCCTCCTGTTCATACTGAGATCAGCTTCTAGTGTGAGTGATGAGAGGAAAAATCAACTCAGTCTGTTTTATCTGTGTCTAGTTTAATAAGCAGTATCATAACATTGTTGTAGTTTGATTGATGTCCTTCTGTGCACATATTGCATCATTTCCTTTTAGCACAAAACAGAACCAATGAGATCATTTCTACCTCCAGAGCTCCTCAAAATTCAATCTGCCTGAAGCCTATAAAACCATGCTGCATCATATCTTTCCTCTCAATCCCTTACCCCCCCTTGTGTTTGCGTTACCTGCCAGTGGAGGCCCGATGAGCAGCGTGATGCTCTCCATGATGGCGAGCAGGCCAAGGGCCGAGGGAAAGCGGCTCATCTCCACTGTATCCATGAGGACAGTGAACATCAGGGAGCCCACCACGCTCATGGAGAGCCCGTAGACCATCACGTACGTCAGCAGCACAGGGAAGCTGGGCCCGATGCAGCAGATGCTGTTACTGAGTCCATTGACCAGCAAAGCTGAGGCAAACACGTAAATGTGTCGCCCTTTGAACCAGGGCATGTTGACCATGATGCCAAACGGAGGCCGCACGATAATGTTGACGATGCCCAGGATGGAAAGCAGCAGCGCGGCCCGGCCCTGCTCCATGTTGTTTGCGGTGGCATAGGGAACCAGATACACCAAGGGCACCACAAACCCAAGCATCATCCAGGTGATGCCGATGGCAAACGCACAGTAACGCGAGTTGTTGCAGAACTGGTCAAAGGCCATGTGTTTGCTCAGGGAAGCCAGCAGGCAGCTGCATATTGTCCTCAGCCTCCCCTTTTCCTCCTCTGGAGGAGGGGGTCCGTGGTTCATCAGGGGCTGGCCTCGATGCCTCGGTGGCTGCAGGGGCCTCATCACCGCTCCGCAAACGCAGCAGTTCAGCAGGACGGCCCCCAGAACGAGGAAGCTTCCTCTCCAGCCCAGCTCTGTGTGGAGGTAGTTACCCAGGAAAGGCAGAGTGCACAGACCCAGCGCTGTGCCTGTGGAGGACATGGCGTTGGCGAACGCACGACGGCGCACAAAGTAGTGTCCCAGGATTGTCACAGCTGGTTGGAAGCTGAAGCAAAAACCAAGTCCTGTAATGATGCAAGAAGACACTTTCATCATCATAGGAAGCGGAGAGAGAGAGAGTTAAGTGATTCTAAATAAGATCAACTGTTGAAAAGTTGTGTTTGGTCAAGACTAATCTTTTCTGAACAACACTTTCAACAACTTTTGATTCCTTTTGTATTAACTGTAGTTGTGTGCACACAAAGTCCTAATGAGGGATTATTGCCAACATTTCAGATGTGTTCACTTTCAGTTTTACCTCCAAATAAAGTGGTTTAGATAATCCAGATAAACCGTCGTTTACAACCTGTCTGGCTCGTGTTTGTTGCCCTGTTGGATCTAGTTGTAGTGATGATGCCATGATCCCAAATCTCAGAACTTACTTTAGCGAGTATAACTTCATAATAAATAATAACCAAAAGTATGAAAATTATCCCAAAGTTTCAATAAACTGGAATCATTCTTTAAAGGTCGATATTTTACTCTTCTCCTGTGTTTTATTTGAAGTGTTGATCCATAAGAAAATATATTTGTGGTTTTAAGAACCAAAAACCATCTCAGTGTAGTTTTTTCACAGCTTTGTTGTGACATCACAAAGTTACAGAAGTCCTGAAGGCTGGTTTTAAGGCTCAGTTTGTGAATACAGGCTGTGTGCATTTCTCTCTGAACTGAGGCTTTGATACTTTCACAGTATTAATACAGAACCTAGACCTGATCTATAATCAAACAACACATGGATATCTACCTTTAGACTGTATGGGACCTTTAAGTTTGAGGTGGATCTTATTTTTCCTGTTTAAAGCTGCATTAATTGATTTTTTCTGGGGGGGCAGACAACGCCACTAAACAATCTGAAAAACACCAACTCCTTCATAATGATTACTAACCTGTTTACCAACAATTGTGGAGTCATGTTCTTGTCCAGCTGATGAATTTAAGTCTCTCTTTTTGGTCTCCAACATCTCCTGAGAAAAATATCTGGCTCTTAAGCTGCTAAATGCTTCACCAGCTGGTCTCTTGACTTTGTTGTTTGGTGCTGGGCAGGTAGTGCACAGTTGTGACATCAAGAGTCAGCTGGGATAATAAATCTGTTCAAATGTTTGCTGACCTGTAATAACCCCGGCTGTGATGTAAAGCTGGCTGATGGACTGGGTAAACGAGCTGGCAGCCATTCCCAGCCCACTCAGGACTCCGCCCAACATGACTGTGGCTCGGCAGCCAAGTCTCTCCACCAACACGCTACAAAAGGGACCTGTGGATGAAATGTAATGCTCTTAGTTTAATGCAGAGGGGAAATGGGTGAAAGGCTTACATAGCAGAAGGGGTGGCCATTTTCTTAATCCTGCAGCACAATTCACATAACTTGTGTTAATCTGCACCGGTTGAATGACCGTTCTAACTACTGAAAGCATGACTGAAAATATGGCTGCTCTCTTGCTCACTTATATCTGAAGTGTAGTAGTTTGTTGACCCATATACCTGACACTTAAATGACATTTTGTTACGTCAGCATGAAAATATACTTGTGTTTCAGGAGGGAAATTATTAGTGCAGATGAAAACCTCCCATCTCCACCAAGTCATTTAGCCTCATAAATCAACCTGTGCCTCAGAAAGAAGTTTCACATTGCCTCAGTGCTAAATAAAGTGCGGTATATTGGTTAAAGGTCACTAAAGAGGAGTGGTAAATTGAACACATTCTGGTGCCTTTGTTGTCAGGCAACAGGGCTGCGAGGTCCTGATGTGGATGTTAACTAGACCTAAACGAGCCTGACACAAGCGTCAGACTGCTTGAAGCTTCTGAAGACACTTTAACATGTCAGTCCTTTTTATTTATGAGCGAGCAACCTGTATCACTTTCAACACAGTACAAGTCTGAATTGAATACGGCCAGATAATTTTTAAGGCTGCAGCAGCTGAAACGTGCAGAGCAAGAGAAGAAGAAATGCACGTCTTGTTTGGTCCTCTAAAATCACTGCAATTAATTCATCATTTCAATCTTTATCTCTTACACACATAAAAATAAAATCAGATTAATGAAGTGTGAAAGTATGAAACACAGTGACGGAGCCAATGTTAAGATCTCGAGGAGATGCTTGTCATGTCAAATCAGTCCATAAAAACGAGTTTTTGTGGTGCAACCAGGGCTAAAGCGGATTAAAAAAAACCCTCAAAAAACCAGGATAATAATCTGAATAGCACACTTTAATTTTCAGCTGTCATTTGTGTAATAAACTGAATGGATGAAAACATGAATATCCAGTTGAACTCTTTACAAACAGCATGTGAGCAAATAGGAATTAAATAAGAGTCTAGCGTAACGTGCTGTCATTCAGTGCTTTCGCTCCGTCGGATATTAAGTAACAGCGGACGGTCCTGGTCTCTCCTGCTCCTGGTGCCAAATAAATGTGCCGTCATGTCTGAAGGAAGGTGTGCAGGAGGCGGCCGTGCACATCCCTGCCCTCAGGTCATGGGCTGATGAGTGGTTCAAACTTTCTGCAGCTTAATAAAGATAAACCTGAGATTCTTGTCACATTTCTTCCAGCTCAGGAAAATTTCTAAGATCAAAGCATTCATGTCTCCAAAAGCCCTGAGAACTGTATGCAATTATCACACACACCCTCCCTCCACAATGTTTTAACTCTATACTCGTGAAAACTAAAAACAAGTCCCTCTATATTGTCCAGAATGCAGCAGCTTAAAGGATAAGTCTGATTTTGGTCTACATTTTTATTATTGTCAACAAATCCCATGAAAAGCCCAGAACAATGTGTCCCTCCACACTTCTCTTACACTTCATCACTTCAGCCCTGAGGCTACTGGCTCTTAATGGAGACGTACATCTTTAAATATATAAATACATAAAAATAACTTTTCTAAAACTGTAGTTTTTGTGAGGATCTATTCTGCTTCATTTAGTCTGTATTCTCTTATTTATTTACTATCAGACAGTAGTTCCCTGTCTCTGTCTAGGCTGGCTGTGACAGTGCTGATAAGGTGGATTTCCATATCAAACATCCTGTGTCTCATTGTCAGTTAGTCTCTCTTAGTGGGAACACTTAAAGCCACCATTAGCTACTGGTCATACCAGACCAAGTGAGGATGTAGCAGCAAAACCACTGAGAGTATTTAATCAAATAAAGATGCTTTTTATTGCTTAGAAGTTCAGCTTATGCTATTTATACAAATGCTGTAGAATAAATATGCTATTTCATCTTTGAGAAATTACATATTGTGGCTTGGATTAGAATTACTTTTGCAAGTCTGAACACTTACTTGAATACTGTAACACACTGAGGTCACTCTGGGCTGTGGGTACCGTGCAGGCCACAGTTTCCCAGGGAATAAGATTTTTTAAATCAACACCAACACAGCAAGAAAGATTAAAACACATCCAAAGTCCCACTCTCTGGTTTCACGTTTTCCCCATACAACAACAACAACAGGTAGAAACTAAAACTACCCGGAGGTGAGGGGGCATCGAAGGGCAATTTGTAATAATAATAATAACATCTGGAGTAATAATGATAAAACTGCAACAGCTTAAAATAATAGTGTGGAATTATTTTGACTCCAAACATATAATGAGAACCATATCAATGCACAGCATAAATCGTGTAAACATTCATTGTGTAAATATCTGCCGACTTTACCTCCTGCATGAAGCACTGACGTCATGATGGAGGGCACCCAGGAGGTTTCACTGTTGGAGGCGTGGAACTCATTCTGCAAGTCAGTGTAAAAGATTCCCACACAGGAGGGGAAGGCCAGGGTCAAAGCCAGGACCAGGATGGTGGCAACCAGCACCACCCAGCCCCAACCACCATCCGGAGCTGTGACTACCCCCTTTACAGCCACGGAGTCTCCGCGTTCTCCTCCCCGCCCCCCCTCCTCGGATTCACAGTCGAGGGCCTCTTGAACTGTCTCTCGCTCCATACCGTTGACTTCCTCGTGAACCCCGCTGGCCTCCGAGTGGAGGAAGTGATCACGCCTCCCTCTGATCCCATTTCTCTGAGTCATTTTCTACTCGGCAGTCCAGGCAAGGCTCGTGTGTTAGCTCTGCAGGGTGTGTAATTACTTTTGCTGCCCATGTCACTGTTACTGCTGCTGCGACCTTTCAGGAAACCTTTAACGAGAAAAAAGCAAACAATTCATCCGATTGTGTAGAGCAGCCGACGTGGTGAGTGGTTTTTATGGCGGGCATTTTCATTCTGCCACTTTGACCCCGGACTGAAATATCTCAACAATTACTGGATTGAATTCTGTACAGACATTCATGGATCCCAGAGGATGAACCTTAATAACTTTAACAATACTCTGACTCTGACTTGACATCTGCAGTTTTCAACAACTATTAAACTACCATGAAATTTTGCACAAAAATCATGTTCTTCTTGGGATAAGTTGTAATAACTTTGATGATCTTTCACTTTCCATCTGGCGCCACCATCAGGTCAAAATTTGAACCTGTAACGTAAATTAAAAACAAACTTTGACCTGCAGGTTTATGTCAAGACTGTTACTTCTTTAGCTTCTAAATGCTAACTTTGTCTGTCTGTTTGTGGTGCTAGTCAGGTAGCATATGGTGGGGTGTATGCTGTAGGTTGAAAACAGGAAATGACACTGATGACAGGTAACACTGAAGCGGAACGGTAAAGCTGCGGGCCAGAAAACCAAAACATGATCTAAAAGACATTAAAATGTCCTGTGGTGGAGCTGAGTGGAACAGCGGAGTTGGGTGATATTTCTCTACACACAGTCATTTGACTCATTGCTAATATAAACATTTTATTTAGAGCAGCTTTAGGGGAGTTTTTGCAGCCCTGACAACAAATGTCTCACTTTTGTCGACAGCTGGTCAGCAAACCTCAGGCTACGAGTGTACGGAACTGAGGAAACAAGTCGAGTGCAGAGGAACCAGGTGGAAATGTACAAAAATATGTTTTTTGTACAAGTTGGAGGAGATCAGTCAATTTCCGGTGCAATCAGAGTTACAGTTATCTGGCTGGCTCAAAACAAATAATAAAATAAAAAGGGGTTGTGCATCTTAAAATGAAAGAAATTCCTAAGCTTGAGAATGCTCCTGAGCTGGCAGACGGCTGACTTTGTTATATCACTAAAATATTTAGAGAAACTCAAGTCAGAGTCAAGAACTACACTGAGATTGCTTGTCTCCAGTGCAGAATATAAACCCGAGGGGGCTGCAGCGTGACTTCCACACTTCCTGTAGTTGCTCTGGAGCTAAAAGAACATCACTACATTTTTATCAGCATTTAAAATCAGGAAATGACCAAAAAGTCAGCACTAAATGTCTGCAGGACAGACCGTGAGTTCTGAAGGGTTTGAGAACAAATATGCATGTGTGGATCGCAAAGGGAAACTGGGAAGCATGAGACTAAACGTGCACTTGTGAAAACCCTTCGGATGAATGGCCCTCTGTGCAAATGAACAAGTAGAATTTTACCCCAAAGACACTTAAAACCATATAGCGATGCACCAATTACAGAGAGATTTTGTTCCAGAGAATGAAACTACTGTCACAGCACTCTGCATTATTCTCTGTGGTCAAACGTACTGTTTGCAGATACCTAAACATCACACTCATATGTGAAAGCTTTATGGCTCGACTTCGGTTCACTTTTCACATCAGTTGCAGACTCTCAGTTTGCAAAGCTTTATGCAGATGAAATGCAAATACGGTAACTCTGAATCAGTGTAATGTGTTTGCAAACTTGTGAGCAGCACTGCTACATAACTGAGAAAAAAAAAGAAAAAAAAGAAATACAGTTTCTGCTCTGTCAGTTCATGTCGAAATGCTGCAGTGTATAGAGAGGCCTGTAAATAGTGGTTTAGTGTTGTTTTCATGACAGTATCGCTGTCATTTAGAGGATTTAAATTACCTACAATTTGTTGATTTGAATAAAAACATATTTTGTGGTCACTGCAGAACTGAAAAAAGTTCAATCACAATAACCTTTTGATTTTGCCTTGAATGAATGTAGGATTTACATTATAAATTACATTATATATATTGACAATAATACTGTAAATTACATAAATGAGTTTTCTCTGCATAAATCAGACCTCCTTACTCCTCCTTTACTTGTTTAATGTGGTGAAAATGACCACTGCAGATTCTGTTTTGATTACAACTAGTTACTAATTTACAGAATTATTTGATAATAACAGAACATTTAATTTTAGAATGATTAAAGTCAACGATTATATAATATTATAATATATATATATATATACATATATATATAATATATAAACCTACTGTGTGATGTATTCTGTAATTTGTGTGACAATGGAGCCAAAGGAGTTGTAAGCCACTGTAATCTTCCACACCTGGGGTTTGCTCAGGTTCAACCACAAGAGTCCAACACTGATGCTGGATGATAAGGTCTGGCTCAGACCATTACATCTGAGTCACAGAGCTGAGCAGACAATTTTCGGAAAGAAGAAAAACAGTGATCTGTTCCAAAACCTTTTAAGACTCTTCTGACCATGTAGATGAAAAGATATTTCCAAATCCAATCCACTGTCTCCTAATCCAAACAAATACAGCAGCTGAAAATCATCTCCTCACTCAATTTATACAAGAACCAACATTTTATTAGCAGTTATATTGGTATATATTGATGTTCATTCCCAGTATTTCATATTTTCATACTAAAAATATTTTTTTCGTTTAAGCAGTATAATCACCACTTGATGGAGAAGTTCAACATTTTGGGAAATTCACTTATTCAAATTCATACCGAGAGTCAGATAAGAAGATAAACACCACTCACATTCAGTATGACCAGCAGCTGATTAGCTTATCTTAGCTTAGCTTAGCACAAAGACTGGAAACAGGACAAAACTGCAAGCCTGGCTCTGTCCAAAGGAAACTAAATCCACCAAGAATAAACCTCAGTAATGAACACATTAAATCCCTCATACTGAAGCCAAACATATAACAGTGTATGACAAATTATACACAGGAGATTATGTGTCAGACTATTTCTTGGCTGGAACAGGTAAGTTACTGGGATCTCCACTGTTTTCTGGGCAACAGGTTCAGACCAAGAAACTGTCCAGTACCGACACATAGTAACCCCACATAAAATAATGATTTGTCCTGTTTACATTTCAGTGTTTGAACAACTCAAAGAATTTGGAAATCAGTGAGCTTTAGAGGTACTACCATGTGGATTTTATTCACCTTTGGACAGAACAGGGTTCGCTGCATCCTGGTTTCCAGGTCCAATCATCTCATCTAACTCTTGACTAGAAGACAAATAAACATTTTTCCCAAAATGTTGAACTTTTCCTTTACGAAAAGTCTCGTTTTGAGCATCACACTCATATGGTCAGAAGAGTCTTTGAGGATTCTGGAAATACCTGGAACAAACCCCTGAGTGTTTATTTTTCAGAAAATTAGATGCTAAATAAATGTAATAGTCATACATGAGAGACACAAACTGGGTCTACAACTGAAAGCATGAAAAACAGGTCTAACTACAACCAGTTGTGGTCAGAACAGGAGTGTCTACATACTTTTGGCCACACATTGCAAACCCCCTACTACTTCCCTTATTTCCCTCTTATTGTTATGCATGTAGAGATCACTGAGGGGGAAAGCTCTCACATATGTCAGCACTCTGAGCCACATCCTGTTTTCCGTTTCACCTTGTGCACTCTCCACTGACTGCTTACACTCTTTTACACACGTTAATTGTTTTCTACAGGCATCAGGAGGAGAATGGATTCTCTGTGTGTCTCCCCTGATAAAAGAAAAGTGATGCTGAGCAGCTGATCTCTCCTGTGGGACAGCCCATGGAGGGATGAGAGTGCTGAGTAATTTGTTATACGTAACGGAAATTGTATAGCGGCATGTAGCAGCACATGATAAGGCTATCAGCTTTAGACACTGACTGACAACATTCCCAGCTGCATTAACGTCGCCTTGTTGTTTTTTCCCGACCTTCACCCACGTGGCAGCTCCTTATTATTTCTGCTTGTTTACGGCTGAAAATCGCACCGAGACACGAGACCACATCACCCCAGCCCTGTTAGATCAGCTGGACGTCATTGGTCAGTCGCTACACTACAAGTGTGGCTTCTTAAAAAGGTAAAATCACCATGGAAATCTTTTGTTGCCATTAGTGTAATGTCAACCCTGGCTGGTTTTATCCTCCACATCACTGGCTCAGGACTTTGAGAGCAATGGGGAAGCGATTTGAAGCGGTCATATAAGCCTCTTCCGTGAATTTGTACATTTAAAATAACATATATAGCCTATATATTGCTCACCTTTATTTTTATGTTTCGCTGTAATCTTCCAGCCCTCGGTTCCACAGGCGGGGTCGCTCCTGGTCGAGGACTGCCGGAGTAGCAGCAGCAGCTGTTCGGGGGTCCGCTCGTCACGGAGCCCCAGCGTCCTCTTTCTCCTGGTGGGAGGAGACTAAAGTGTCGAACAGGGTGGGATGCGGACTGTGCAGGCCCCAGCCCTGCTACGACATACACAGGGCGGGCGAGAGGTGGTGACACTCTGCATAATGAGCCTCAATGGTGGACACAATGTACTGTCAGTGTTCTGCTCTGTGGTATTTGAAAGGGTCTGTGCACTCAATTATAGTTCTTTACTTACATAGAAATTTGAGATACCTCACTTATTCCATTTTATTTAATAATACTATGTGACAATCATACTATAATAATAATAATACTAATTTTATTGTTGTATTTATTGTTTGTGAGTCACAGTGATGTGTTTTAACCAGCCTGTGAAGCCACAGGTACATTTCCACAATAAAGAGTAATATTATTATTATTATTCTTGATGCTTGTACCATATCATTTCTCGGAAATATTATTTTAATATTCTTTACTTTATTACTCCTTTTTCTGTCAGCTTCTGTTACTTTACTGATTCCGATTTTACATCTAAAATAGGCTATATATACAATATAAAATAAAATAGATATATCATCTTATAAAATACAATGCCTTGCGGTGATACTACATAAATAGTTAGAATTAGCTCCATCTGAGCCAGCTACAACATTAAAATGCCACTAACATATCAATAATAATAATAATGCTATAATATATGACACCTATCTATAATAATAGAAACTCTCTGGCTGAAAAGGGCAATTTTTGTATAATGTGTATTTTCAATTTTAAAACTTAATATGTTTTTGTACACTTTACTTGTGTAAGTTTCTGGAAACAGGACAGAATATTTTCCCACTGTGGTGTTGCTCATTTTTCTTGAAGAGTAACTTTAAACACAACCCGGGAATCTTGTTTTTGCTGTCCTCCAGTGGTTCAACTTCTCACCTTGCTGCAGTGGCGTACAGGTGTAGTACTCCAGGACACTGTGACATCTCTGTTGGCTGTTAGGGGTGTCGGCATGCTGCTTTTCACACAGCAGCAACAGCAGAGAAACTCTGTTAAATAGAGTACAAGCAGCAAATGAGGTGGTTTGTTGAATCTCAGCAGGTGGTGTGGTAAACTTTAACTGAAAGTTTTTACAGCTCACTGGTGGCAAGGACTCTACAGGGCTTTTTCTATTTGGATTCAGCCACAACAAGCCATGCAACAAAATGCTTTCATTAGTCTGTGTTATTTATGATGCTGTTGGTATTTATGGTATTTTATTTACATGCAACACATGCTGATTCACGAACCAACGCTGTGACAGTGTTTTGGCGTGCAGAGTTCACACCCAACCACACCCGGCAGTGATGCTAAATGGGGCCAGACATGACCCACAGAGAGAAGTGAAACAGTGCTCTTCAGCCTGGTGTTAAATTAATCTTTAAGTTACAGACCTGAATACTTCTTCCACCACTGGCTGTTGCAAATGAAAATGTGATTAATCTACACTGTCATAACTGTAAGCACATAATTCATTTTTATAATAGTACATTTGTTTGCCTAATCTTATTCACCAGTTTATGTTTCTTTAATGCGGTATTATTAATCTAATCATATCATATCATATCAAATAGTGTTTCTGCATACTGTCTACGGAGACACAGAAGTGCCATCAAAAAGAATAAATCTGTAAAAGGAGAAAATAAATGAGGAAATATAAACAGGAATGAATAAAAGGATAAATAAGTAAATTTTTAAAATTTGGAAATATAAAGAGAAATAAATAAAATAATTTAGAAAAATGTATTTACCCCATTGCTCTGACTCCACAATTGTCTGCATTGTGAATGCATGCTTCACATACATTGTGAATATTATTTTGCTCCACGTCTGTTTTTATTACTGTTGAACTGGGTGCAGTTAATGCAAGTGGAAAAAGCATGTGAAATTTCTACTTTCATGAGAAATATTATCATTAATGTCAAATATTATATTTAAAAATGTGCCGTTTCAATATTTTCAATCCACGGTAAACAGAACCGACAAATTACCAGTGAGACACATTTTAAAACACAGACACATTTTATGATTAAAAACCAGACTGGGTTTTGTTAAAATTGTTACATGTAAAGAAACGACATTGGTAGACAAAATTCAAAAAATACAAAATAAATAAAAGTGAAACAAACAGGACAAAAATGTTTTGTCAGCTTCCAAACATTTCTCCACAGTCTCCATTGACAATATTCACATTTGACATCAATACTGTTGATAAATGAACACAAAGTAACTGTTAGGTGACATTTTTTCAGCACGTCTAAATGAGTGTACAAGTGTGCATGTCCACAAACGCATGCAGGTGTTTACAGATTAACTGGCAAAATGACCCATGGATTAAAAAAATCTTTCTTTTGTGTGTGGACCTGGGGGGGTGGGGGCCTGGGGGTCGCATAAATGCTATATAAACCAAGGTTGGAACGGGCGGGCAGGGTCAGGGTGGGGTCCTGCAATCTGATTGGTTAATTTGTTTTCAAAGCTAACTATTCTTTATCTACCGTTAAGTTAAACCGACATGTCAAAGATACAAAAAACAACAAAGAAACGGAACATGTGAGTAGAGAATATGTCTAGTTGTAGACCAACTGTTCCACACAAGAAATCTACACCTACAAACCACAGAGCCATGCCTTCCCTCTGCTCCCCCCACCATGCATCACATACACTTTGCACTAACACAGAGGTCAGACACAATCCAGTACACGACATCGTAATCTCTAGAACAATGCATGCTCTCATGTTTTTCACGTGCCCAAACAACACAGATATATTTTAAATTTTTTTTTTTGCAGATTTGTTAACATTGCACATTATCTGTAGACTAGCTAGTGCAGGTGAAAGTAAAAACTTAATGAAAAGTTCTTTCTTTTTTGTTTAAAGAAATGGTTGCTTGAGTCAAATATTACAATAATCACACTGCAAAGTTCAGTGGTTCTCAACCTTTTTTTTTTTTTAGCTCATCGCCCCTTAAATAGGAGATTTCTTCACAGGTTACATATGTTTACAAAGTATAACCAGTTCAAGGAAAGAGTGAATTATTTCCCTTGTTTTCTTGAATATTTTTTAAGAAGTAAAACCATCGAGCAATTCACAAGAAATAAGTCTAAGAGACTACAGCTATCCTAGCAGGCAGGGGTTGAAAGAGTTAGCATAGTAGCATAGTAACATTTGCAAATTAGCACTAAACGCAGAGTACAGTTGATCACCAGTATCAGTAGGATTAACCTACTGAGGATCATGAATGCCTGTACAAACTTTAATGAATTCATCTAGTATGTGTAACCAACCAATGACCAATGCTAATAATAACAACATTAAGTGTCTACAGCCATGCTAGCAGCTCTATGGCTGTAACTTAGCTGCAGTGTTGTTTTGAGCCATGCTCTCTCATGCCTCTGTTTAAAAGGTATAATTTTTAACCATTTAACCATTTTAGCTCAGTGTATTTGTATGCTAACACTTGGTAATTAGCACTAAACATGAATACAGTTGAGAGTGAAGGGAATGTCATTCGTTTTTATGGCATCTGGTCATGAACCATTTCAAATTTTGCCGCTACATGAAAAATTAGGGCATCCCCCAAGTCGGTAGGGTTCATCCTCTGGGAGCAATGATTATTCCACTGACTAGCATGGCTAATAAAAAGCAGTTAATAAAACAAATAAGCAGATTCCTCTAATAGAAATATGTTTTCTCTCACTTCCTATTTTGTGATCTCCTCTGGGGATGCCGACCCTCAGGTTGGGAACCACTGAACTATGCAACCAAGGTAAGATCAAACTGGGTTCACAAAGGTGACAGGTACAGTAAGTGCTTTAAAGGTTGATTACATACATCTAAAAATGGGGTCATTGGAGATGGCTTCAGCATGCAACTCAAGAAAAGAAAAAAAATAACAAGAAGCCAAACGATGGCGAGTTTATAGTCAAATCGATTTTCTGATAACAAGTGCACTGCTGGAGTTTTACTAAGATAAAAGCAGAGGAGGGAAACCTGCTTTGACTGGTCTACCCTGCTTCCCATCCATTTAAAAGTGCTGTAAACACAATTCGAACCAACCACGAGTGTTTACAGCAGAGACACATTTTGAATCTCCAGGAGTGTAAGGGATTGTGGGTGGATGTTCAATGCAATGGCACAAAGAAAGCAGCTGTTAATCATTTTCATTTTGTAGTCATATATAATAAAACTTCAAATAATGCAGGGGATAATGGATTTTGTTTGGCTTGCCTCTCACTGAAACACTCACAACAGAAAACAAGCTAACGACCGCATTATACATTTTACCTCAGGTAGGTGCCTCCTGGCATTTTTTAAGGTATGAGAGGCACCTTATGATAAGAGGGGAGAACAACTGTGCACAACACAGGTCAAAGGCACAACACTGGACACAGACGAAGGGAAACAACACCCAAGGTGCTTTGCAAAAGGCCCAGAGAACAACAAGGGAGAAAAAAAAAACTGCTCCTCGATGAGACGTTTGGGCATTTTCAGGCAGCACGCGGTCTGCTCACGACTCCGACTGGAGTAGAATAAAACTGCACAACACACGCTTGAGAGGAAAAAAAATAAAATAAAATAAAACGACAAAGAAGAAGTCACATCAAAGTCTGAGCTCTGAGGCCTGACAGAACATGGTCAGGGAGCATGACAACAGCAAAGGTACATTTTTTTTTTTCCCCATTAAACGCATTCTTTTTGTTCATGCTTGATATAACATAACTGCATCAAATATGCTCTTTATACAAAGGGCGGTGTATCAAAGTGATCAATGCCAGTGATAGGGTGTGGGTCACGTCAAGACTGGATGCTCCTGGTTAAAATGTCTGCACAATGGGCATCAATGAGATGTTTCGATTTTCCATCTGATATGTGTAAATATGGCTCGTACTGTGCATCGAGTCGCTCATGTGACGAGGTTGCACTCACACCAGTAACAACATTATATTCACATCAGCTGACATTTGTAATTAATTCATCAGTTTTAGTCGTTTGTGAAGCAGAAATGGCACAAAAATTCCGTTGTCAGCTTTTTAAACGTGAGTATTTGCTGCTTTCCTCTGTAGCACGTCATTGTAAATTCTATATTTTTTGGTTTTTAGACTGTTTGAAGACATTTAAAGACCTCACTTCAGGCTCTGAGAGGTGAACTGACAATCATTAGTTGCAGCCCTATGGTTCGGTGACTGCTAAGGGCTGCAAAACATGATTATTTTCATTACAGACCAAGCTGCTGATTATTTTCTTGATCAATTCATTGTTTTGTCTATAAAATAACAGAAAATAGCAAAGAATGCCAAATCCAAGCTGTAATAGTCCAAGGAGACATCTTCAGTTGTCTTATTATATATAAGATAATATTCAATATATAACAGATATAAAACTGAGAAAAGAAGGAAATCCTCACGAGAAGCTGAAATCAGTGAGTGTGACCTTTCTGATTGATAAATGATTATTAAATAATATAAGATAAACAACTGTTGATGAATTTTCCGCAGAACCACAAATAGTGCGGCTATATTTACATTTAAAGTAGAAGTCAATTCACCTTTTCTTGCACAAAGGTCATTAAACGCTCTTTAATGTTACTTATAAATAATTAGAAAACATATATTTGTATGTATTAGGCCTGATAGTCATTAACTTTCATGGGCAGTGATTCAAAGGGCCAGAACCAGGCTAGTGTTTCCTGTACTTGCATGTTACTCCAATGTTGCTACAGGTGTTAAAAACAGCACGATCACACAGCAACTAAATGTCAAGTATATTTCCAGAGAAATATACTTTAGCCAAGTTAGTTTCCATCTGCTGGCACAGAAAAAAAAAAGTCACATAACATCTGAAATAAAGGCTCCTCTCTGAAGCTCAGAAAGCGGAGGACACATTTCCCATCTGGCAGGTTCACTGACAGTACGTGAATTTCTGTGATAAATGCAGGCTCAGGTATCTCAGGGCTTTAAGCGCGAGGAGCACTATTCAGCTTTGCGCCACAGTTGCTACAGGTGCTGCAGAATGTAAGACAACACAGTCATTAAGGGTGTTAAGTTGAGGAGCGGCAACAGAGGCAGCTGCAAAGTGAGTGAGTATTGGCATGAGAGCAGCACGAGGCCAGGGAGGGAGGGGGTGTTTCAGGGTTTTGAGGCAGCATACAGACTGGCCACAGTCCAATCCCCTGCCACGCCACACTTGTCTGGGCAAAATGGCAACAACAGTAGTTTTCCTTGTCCCTAATTACAATTTTAAGATATGCAAGAGATCGAAGTAGGATATTTAAGAGAAAAACTCAGTGACAAGTGTTTTTTTTTTTTTGAGTAACACTACAGAAAACGTGCAGCTGAAAAACTTGTGATACTTCAGTCATGGACAGAAAGCAGAGAGGCACTGCATACACATACTCACACCTGTGTGAGCGGGAAAACTGGTTATGAAAACTGATAATTTCTCCATCATTTAAATAGACTCACTCACCAGAATATGTAAATATATGACAACTATGATACAGAAATCAATAATTACACCATTTGCATTCAATTTTTCATATAATTTCATCATGTAGCCTATATAGATTTATATAGATTCCTCACATGCCTTGACAAATTGTACATAGGTGTAGTCTTTTTGAGTCATTTCTTTTGTTTTGCGCTAAAATATCCCAAATTTTCTCCCTGCAGGAATAGATCGGATCGAGCCCAAGAACAGGAAACAGGAGGAGCAGGATGCCGTGATCTTCCAGCAGCGCCATCGCTGCGCCGAGCCAAGACAGGGCGTCTGTAAGGATGAAAATCTGTCACTCGATTAAGCTGTTTCTAAAAGACTCAGGAGAGTAGAGGAAACGCCGCCTCAACCAGAGTGATCGGACTCTGCGTCACGCTGCCTGCGGCTGCTCCGTCTTATCCTCCACCTCTGGACCTCCTGGCTCGGTTTGCTGTGCCGCGGCGCGCCTCATACATCGGCCGAGGAGTCTGGAGTCACTCGCTCCATGAACAGATTCAGGTAAAGAGAGAGGCTCAGTCAGTGGGGTTGTGTTCATTCCTTTATGTCCTTTGAGAGTCCTGAGGAGATTTTCTGCTAAGTCGACAGAGCCAGATGTACAAGAGCGAGCAAGTATCCTGTCTGTTAACAGCGATGATGATGATGAGGATGCTGATGAGGATGATGATGTATATTAGCTCTGTGCTGGGCGTCCATCCACCGACAACAGGAGGCTACAATCAGCACCGCAGCCCGCATCGCCGTGACACTGACCATCAAGAAGCTGCTATGAGCAGCACAGGAGGGGAGGGAGGGGGCGTCAGGGAGCCCCCGCTGTGGAAAGGCACACCAGAGGAGGAGGGGGGGAGGGAGGAGGGAGGAGGGGGTGGAGGATGATGATGATGAAGGTGGTGGTGATGGTAGAGAGGTGAAGGAGGGGGTGGGGTGAGGGGGTGGGGGGGGAGAAAATGTTCATGTTGTTGTTTTGTTTTTGTTGATAAAATGATATTTAGCTGAGGAGCTGGGTCTCTTCACATCCGTGAGCCTCGCTCCTGAAGGATCTGAGGACACAAGGAGAAATAAATCAGAGGAAAGATGAAGAAAGCTCTAAAGCTGAAGCTGAGTGTCGTCTGTTTTCACAGTCAGTTTGCTGAAGGTAGTTAAAAAGGACCAAACTAATGCGATCCAAGTAATTTATTCTGTCATTTATCAAGGAAAAATTACAAATATTTTCTGGCCCAAGCTTCTTAAATATGAGGCTTTACTCTTCTTCTCTTTTATATGACTGAAAGTCTTTGGGCTTCAACTCTTGATTATTAGTCCTGATGGCCATTTTCCACTATTTTATACACTAAACAATTCATTAATGATCAGATTAATCAACAAAGAGACGATTGTTACTTTCAGCGTCATTTGTGATTTTTCATGTTTTTCTTTTTATCAACAAATCCATTAACCAACAATGTGTTAGTCCGTCTCCCGGCACTCTCTGACTTCTCTACTCTGTCTGTGATCTCAGCTCTGAGCTCACAAAAAGAAAAAGGCTTAATTAATTTTCTTGAACAGATGGCCACTGTAGTTTTGGTGCAGTGGTTCCTAACATTTCTGCCTCACTGTCTGACCCCTCATCACATGTTGTTGTCAGAGGAGATGTAAGCAGCATGAGTTTCCCTTCACAGATTTGTTTATTTTAAAAACCTGAAGATGTAAAACTAACCAGTATTCTGTAAGATTAGACACAATTCAGAAAAAATAAAATTATTTGTTGTAGCTTTCCATCCTTCTCTATCCTCTTAATCATCACACAAGCCCTCACATTCATCCTGCGACCCCTTGAAGGGGTATCAACCCCCAGGTTGGGTCCTACTGTGGCTGGAGGACGGTGCATGTGGGACTGGGTCAGTGTGTAATAAGAAAAATACAAAGTACTGGCAGGCTTATCCTTTACAGCGGCTCACTCACCTTGGCCTTCTCGGTGGGCTCGATGACGATGCCATTGGTGGAGTTGTTGAGTTCCCGGGAAACTACACATAGAAACTCTGCCTGATCCTCGTTGCCATAGTTATATGAGGAGCCGATACTTATAAGCTGAGGATGTGCATAAGAAAAGTGCAAAAGACACAGCAAAGTTACCTCTATGGAAGAAAGAACGTTTCTTCAATTTTTCATGAATTTCAACATCCTCAAATCTTCATTCTGGACAACACAGCTACTTTTTTTGTTTTTAAGGAATAAATAACAGTAACAGCTGGTGACCACATGCACCAAAACACATCATATATACAAAAAAAAAGCTGTGATTCATTTTTAAATCTCATGAACTAATTATATTGAGTGCTAATTCACTGCATATTCAGACACATTTCAGTCAATAAAATTAAAATCAGACTCACAGTTGCTGTTTTTTGGTGATAAATGTCTCAGAATCTCATGGTAATATATTCTGGATGCTTTAGGCCTGTGTCCAAACCAAAACAACTAACGCAGAAACTGAAATATGACAACTGAAAAAAAAAAAGCTTCATTTTCTGCACCTGCTCGAACTTCCAACCGTCCGACATGGTCGAGACCATCTGTGTGAGTTCCTCCTCTTGGCACTGTAGTACTCGATACACATGCTTCACAGGGCCCTGAGGGACAGAGCGAGCGACACACACACACACACACACACACACACACACACACACACACACACACACACACAGATTGTCACTAAAACAACATCAATCATCTGCACACAAACACTTGAGCAAATAAAAAGCTATTTTTGGAGTATTTGTACTAGAAGAAAGTCTGATTTACAGATTTATCTGCCAACTCTATTCTCAGTCGTCTGACCTGTTTCTTTTTTTCTTTTTTTTTTTGGTCTGTTTTCTGTACCTGAGACGTCCGGTTCTCGTTGTCCCGTATCCTCTCTTTCACCAGCCGCACCAGTGACGCGATGTTGTAGAACTCGGCTTCCTCGAGAACCCCTGAAACACAAAACAAACAGATCATCAGACATCTCTGTTTGGTGAACTGATTTCCCTCTGCATGATGTTTGCAGCAGGGATCAAGACGTTTTACCTTCCTCGGCCAGATTTTTATCCATGATCAGTTTTCCGTGCCGAAGGTAATTCAGGATGGGGCCGAAGTATGTGGGGTCCCTGTCGATCAGGTAGGCTCCCGTCTCGTCCTGCAGGAACAGAAAAAGGAGAAGCATGACTTCATCACCACCAAAATCCAGTATGAGCCTGATCGCCTGAAAGAAGAAACTGTGTCACTTTGCTTTCACGCAAAGTCTCAAGTCAGACTTGAACGTTTTTAAATCTACGAAATACACTGATAATTTTATTAATGTCATTGTTGTTACTGGTTAACCTGCTGCTAACTCAGCCCATGTTGTGTTTGATTCATGTCTTCCTGCTGCTGCCGTATGTGTCAAAACATGGTTATAATCAGTATTTATTAGCTGTGTTTTGTTGCTTCATACCACTTGCACAAATAGTGGATATCGTACTATTGTACTGAAGTTTTGCTGTTTCCTCTTGCACCGTCATGATGATGCTCATGTTATTGCTGTAGCCGTCTTTATGGCGTCTTGTTGTGTCCTGTTCACAACATCTCACCAAAGGACTGCAGCTGAAAACCAGACAGCTGGCGAACACTGGCACATTTACAGAAACGCTGAATAATGTGTGTCACCCTTATAAATAAAAACCTTGGTGGTTTAATGACCAACTTTAAGTAAAGTCAGCAGACATGTCTGTCATCTGATTTGTTCAATCTCTCAAGTTTTGAAATTTGTATCTGCATAAAAAAATCTACTCTTGAGAATGAAAGAGTACAAGGTTTTCCTGTGATGAGTAGATGACGAATTAAACAAAATACCAACGCAATAAATATATGTTCTTTGCTATATAAAATAAAACCTCTGCTCTCTCTCCCCGAAGGTTAATGTTTTATATTATAAAAGGATATGCATTTTTCATGCCGTTAGCAGAGGTTTGTCTCTGGCCCACCACAGCTGCAAAACGCTGCAGGAAACAGCTGGGTGCTAATTGGAGCTGAAATGATATGTCAATTAATTGATTAGTTGATGGACAGAAACTTAATCGGCAACTATTTGATTATTGATGGATCGCTCAAGTCAAACATTTTCTGGTTCTATATTCTCCAGTGTGTAAATACACTGACTGTTGGTCAATGCCCGAAAGCATTATCATTTGGACTGAGGGGTAAAATATTTAAAATATTAGTCAATCACCAGTTATCATGGAGAAAACAGTGAAGTTCATCTTAAGGCTGGATTACCCGCTGCACAAGCAGAGCTACTGCCCAGGAGCAACAAACCCCCAAAAAACTTTTCATTAAATATCATATGGGCCTATATAATTGTGTTAATAGCATTTGTAAGAAATTTGCATCACTTAAATAGAATATCAAGTAATCAAGTAATCGTATGTAAAAATAACTGTGTATAATAATCAACTGTTTGGTAGAAAAAGGTCATTATTTTCGAAGCCAAAGTTAAAATTTCTAATTGTATTTTGTTGTTGTTTTTTGACTGACCAACAGCCAATAACCCAAAGATGATGAGTCTACTGTCATCAAAAACTGGGAAAATTGCAAATATTCACATGAAGCTGGTACTACCAGTTTGGACGTTTTGTGGACATTTGCTGACACTTGCATGAGTTAAATTATTGACCAAAATTATTGTTGTCGAAAATTAATCGCTCAGCTAATCAATACTGCTCTAAGTAGCCTACAAGTTGGTTTCTTCCATGTTAAAATCCTAACATAAATTTAGTATGCGGCTATTTTCTTGTTTTTATGAATCTATATAACGATTAAAACCACAAACATAGACATTATTGTGACTGTTACGAGTACATGGACTCACTTTGTCAGAGTCCAGGTCTGGGTCTTCTTGACACAGTCGGAACAGGAAGGATTTGGGGTCCCTGCACAGTGTCTGTTTGGTCGTGATGAAGTAGGTCCCACCGACGTTAAGCCGGACCCAGCGTGAGCCCGGCTTGTCCACCGGTTCGGACGGGGAGCTGGGGTTGCTCTTCACCGGGAACCCGAACACCGACCTTCCTCCTCCTCCGCTGCCGCCGCTCGACACCCCGCCGGGACTAAGCTGGCTGCTCCGCGGAGGAACCATGAGAGTGGGCGAAGCCAGGCGCACGGAGCCGCGCACATCACGGTGCTCGGGCTGTTCTATGGTGCCAGTACCGCTCGGTTCCACAACATGCAGTTCAGCCATGTTTTTTCTTCGCCTATAAAACACTCACAGCAGCCGCACGATTAGCTAACGACACACTGCGGGGAAACAGCCTCTCTCCACCGAGTTGTAAACACAGCGAGCTTATTTTTCTCCGACGGGGAGGCTGGCATCAGGGCGTTGCTGCTCACACTCGACCGCCTCTGCCCCCAACACCAAAGATTAAGACACAAATATGACTTTCAGAGGCCGAACGATGTTAGCAGCATCGCGTTTAATGGTTTCTTCACAGGATAAATTGGTCATTCTTGTCTATTCAAACGTTAATCACAGAAAGGCAATCCTTCCGGGTTGTAACGTGATTATTGTTTACTTCCGCCATGTCATGGTTTTTCAAAATAAAAGCTTTTCAAGTAACTGCAAAATTAGCTACGATTGCTGCAAAAGCAATTAGAGGGATTTTAAACACTTGTTTCTAAAACTGGGATTTATTTTGCATGTCATGTAGGCTATGCAGCATCTCTTCATGGGAGTACTTACTGCATGTGTAGCTACATGATTCAGGTGACAGATGTTTTATGTCAGCTATGGAGTCACTAACAAATACATCTTCCCCTGATTCTTCACGATGTTCAAGATGTTTTTGTGTTTGTCTGTCATAAATCTCAACAAAATAAAATAACAGACACAATGTAAATATTTGGTTCTACAGGTGAATTAGATTTCTAGTGTGCCAGTGTGTCAAGCAATCCAGCGGAAAAACCACAAGGACCACAAAGTATCTGTAATGACCTTTAAGCAACTGTTCAGCTGCTTTTACTGTAATACAATGGTATAGCTTGTTCTCAGAGTGGAGTAGTGCTCACTCAGCAAACATCCTGTGGTTATGAAGGAGGTGAGTGTAGCGATATGGATTAAGGAGACCATGGAGCCAAGAGCTGAAGACTGAGACTGAGACTGAGAATTCATTTTAATTCAGAGAAAATTCTTGAAAAACTGGTTATTTGCTCTACTAATCAGTGTGTAAGTGAAATGATTGAAATACATGTATAGTGTTCTTGTTGGATGCTGGGAAACATCTAGAGAAAAGACAGGAGAGGAGGATAATAGGTTTCAGATGGTGGGTGAAAAGAAAAAGATTTACTGAATGTATAAATTTGTAACTGAAGGTTAATGTTCAGTTAATCAGTTAATTGTTTAGTCTATAAAATGCCAGTTTTTACAAGTCCAAGATGACGTCTTTAAATGTCTCAATTTGTCTGAGTAACAGTTCAAAACTGAAAGATATTAAATTTACAATGAAATAAAAAATCTTTTTTCGAATGATTATTTGAATTTACATGTGACCAGCATGCTGGAGGTTGTTTCCTTGTGGGCATAAAGCTGGTATACTGTTAACATACAATGTAAAGGTGAGGGACAATGAACTGGCATGACAGCTGAATAAAACTAATCTAATTTATTCAATTAATTTTACTTTGGTTGTTGCAAATGAAATAGGAAATCTGACCATATTTGATTTTTTTTTTATCATAAAGCACTCTGAGCTACATCTCTTGTATGAAAAGTGCCCTATAAATAAAGATTATTGTTGTTGTTGTTGTTGTTGTTGTTAAAACTTTGAAGTGAAATTACAGCTGTAGAAGAGACGAGCCAGTCGGTGATATTGTAGCGTCATATTTAACCTGTGGGGGCGGTGTTGCGCCGTTACTGCGTAGACTACAGTAATAGAAGAAGAAGAATTTAACCAGCGGTGGGCGCGTTACTGCTGCTGCTACTGCTCGCTGTTGTTTTGTTGTGGACACGGCTGACAGGTACAGTACTAAGAGCTGGGCTGTAATCAAGGTTTCGTTTGCTGACTTACATTATTGTTGCCCTTTAACGAACGGTATGTGTCATTCAGCGTAAGCTAGCTCGCAGTTAGCATCCTCCAGGCTAGTTCATTTTAATGGAACTGGCTGTTCAGCTAGTTAGCCTGCTGCTACTGTTAGCATGGAATAACGTCACCTGCATCACTATGACCTGGTGAGAGAGGATGGTACATGCATGTCAGCTTTGAAATCGCCTTTTGAGACAATTTCTGAATTAGATAAGCTATTGACGAGGTCTGTAAGTATGAGCCAGTCCACTAATATTGATGTGAACTGTAATGGGGGTTAGCTAACCTCTTTTAACACAGTGTACCTGGAAAGTCTTCAAAAGCACCTGGTTCTTAATAGAAACCCTGTAATAAAATGTGTTGTCGTTTCAGCTGCCTGAGCCATGAGTGAGTTCAGGATCCACCACGATGTGAACGAGTTGCTCAGCCTGCTTCATGTCAGAGGAGGCGATGGAGCAGAGGGCTACATTGACTTACTGCAGAAACACAGGACTCCCTATGTCACCACTACAGTCTCTGCTCACAGTGCCAAGGTGGGAAAAACACACGTAACAATGCTTTAATGCATGACAAAATTAACCATAATGTCCCGAGATGTCCTGGTAGGAACTGCCTCTTTTAATAGAAATGTATTATTGTGTAGGTTGTTAATTATTCCTTGAAAAGAGTTGGAACCCTGAGAAAGTCATACATAGATAGCAACATGTGCGTGTTTCCCATCATTCAAATATAAATAAGCCAGTAATGTATAAGAAGCAGAACAGTGACAGACTTTAAATCAGGTTTGAGTAGCATATTACTGTGAAAATGATTTGTCACACCTCTTGTATTTCTTACTGTGTATATTGGCTTCATATTGACTGTTCTGTCTTTTTCAGGTCAAATTAGCAGAGTTCTCTAAAACCCCTGAGGACTTCTTGAGGAAGTACGAGGAGCTGAAGTCCAAAAATGTTCGCAACCTCGACCCTTTGGTCTATCTGCTCTCCAAACTGTGTGAGGATAAAGAGGTAATAAATCCTTTACAAGCTGATCATTTATGGTTTTGTTTGTTTTTACTTAATAATCAGATTAATCTGTTTCACCAATTGGTTTCACGAATTTGAAGTTATTATGATGCAAAGAACGATTGCTGTGCTTTCATATGACTGTCTTGCATTTCTTAACAATGGGAGTCATGTTAACAGACAAGTGAAAGATACCAGAAATGTATTCATTGATATCAGACCCATAGATTTCTTCCAGGTTAAATAAAGTTGAATGATAAACTGAACCATAGTAGTCAATTCTCACTCTATCTCACATCACATCTTTGTTGTGACACTTTCGTAGACACTGCAGTTTCTGCAGCAGAATGCCAAAGAGAGGTCAGAGTCATCCGCAAACACAACTTCAACCACAACCACCAGTTACACTCTGCCTCAGACCAGCACCAAGATGTCCATGCAGGAACTGGATGAGCTGCGGAAGAAGCTCGGCAACGTGACGGCCAGCTCCAACGCTCCTCTGGTGAGCTGCAGCATACGCAGATCCATTGTGTCTGAAGGTTAGGTTGGCCCATCAAACGCTGGAGGATGTGACTTGAAAGAAACAAATAGATAGATAGAAAAAAAGAGAGGAGGATCTGATGAATCCAAGTCCAGTATTCCTTTTCATTTATCTCTGTTTTTTGTCTCCACCAGCTCCTGAGGGAATTATCTGGCTCTTTAGCTGTTCTCTGCTGCTGAGCAGGGAGTGTGCAGAGGCTTTTTAGAGCTTTTTCCTCTGAAAATAGCTGCTGCTTCAGTTGAAAATGATGCTATCAGAGCAGTGAGAGTGAAGCAGAACAGTAAAGTGGTGGTCCAGACAGATAAATACTGTTGATAGACGTTATGAAGCTCTGTAAAGCTGAGGGGAAATGCAGATTCAGAATGGATTTAAAGACTTTCACCCTGTAGTGGAACCAGTCAGTGCATCAGACGCTGCTTGTAATTCACTGGTCTCTCTCTGTGATCACAGCCTGCTGAAGTCACACGGAAGATGCTGAGGGACAAACACAACAAGAAGAACCCCACCCAGCCCAACCCGGTGTTTCCTAACTGGGTGTACGACCGTCCTGCTCTCCTCGGAGACTTCATCACCAGCCCCACCCCTCCAGGAGATCCACCTGTGGCCATCGGTAAGTCATTTAAAAACTTCATATTCATCTCTGCTGTAGCTCAGTGTATTCCATTATTATTCCAGAAAATGATGTGTTTGTTGTTGTTGTCAGGTACGATGCCCATGGCCACTCAGGAGCAAGCTCTGGTGGAGGATCTGCTGTTTGTCCTGATTGGGGTTGATGGGCGAGACATCACCGCTCAGCCTGTGCTGGGGAGGCAGAACCGCTCCTTCATTGTTGATTCAACACTGGACATGTCTATCAAAGAGCTGGTCAACAGAATATTACCAGTCGCATCGTATTACTCCACTATAACACGGTGAGTGTGCTGACATACCTGACATATCCGACTGTCACAGATGAAGAAGTGTTAAATGGTGGCGTTGTATTTGTCCGTCAGTTTCATTGAAGAGAAGTCGTCCTTTGAGTACGGCCAGGTGAACCACGCCCTGACGGCGGCGATGAGGACCCTGATGAAGGAGTATCTGATCCTGGTCACTCAGCTGGAGCACCTGCAGCGGCAGGGCCTGCTGTCCCTGCAGAAGCTCTGGTTCTACATCCAGCCCACCATGAGGACCATGGAGATACTGGCGTCTATCGGTACGAGTCTGAACATGAGCACTGGCATCAAACTGTCTCCTCACTACTGAAGTTTGTTTGGAACTAACTCCTCCACAGCAACAACAGTTATTGTAGCTTTCAGCCTTGTGTGAAATGAAACTGCTGCTATCATGAACAGTACGCTGAGACAAATCCCCACTGAAAATGTCTCAGTCCAATGTAGGTTTGAAAGAAATAAAATTAAAAATTATTATTATTATTACTGTATTATTATTGTTAGAAATAATTATAGCAGATATTAACTTTTCCGTGTGGAAAGGAAGAAATACTACCTCCTTTTGTTCCACATCACCTTTTTTAAACCAAAATATTTTTTATGAGCAGATTCGACTTTTCTTGTGTCCTCAGGAAACACTTTTTTGTAGGTTATTTATAAGATGAAACACACCTTTTTTGATGATAAATTAATTAATTAAACATGTCTGACAAGCCTGACCTGTTTTGCACTTACATTTATATATAAACCGATTCACAAATGCATGTTAATATTGGCTGTTGGTTTGGAAAACATGTATTTAGTCCGTATTGGTGCATCCCTTCAGTTTGACAGTTGTCCTTGAACACAGCATCTTCTCCACGTGAACAGCAGCTGCTCATTTTAGCCACCAGAGGGCGCTCTGGGCTAGGTTAAACAGATAAATACAGAACTGTCAAATGTGCTCACATGTTGATATTTACTGCAGCTGTTGTACTTCATCTCTAAATTAACAAAATAAAACAACATTTTTAATGTGGGAAGATTCTTTACAGTTTATTCCACACTTGACATTTAGTGCTCAATGTTTCAAACACAGATGCAGATGTAGTCACTTGGTTACACCTCTTTAAATAGTGCTTCTTTTCTACTGTTTTTTTTTTTTTTTTTTTGCAGCGTCCTCAGTGGACAAAGGAGAGTGTATGGGTGGGTCAACACTGAGTCTTCTCCACGACCGAACCTTCAACTACACCGGCGACAGCCAGGCTCAGGAGCTGTGCCTCTACCTCACTAAAGCAGCCAGCGTCCCTTACTTTGAAATTCTGGAGAAGTGGATCTACAGAGGCATCATCAAGGATCCATACAGGTGCAGCTGCTCTCACAATAGAGACTGATGTTTGAAATATCAGTCAGGACTTACACACTTATACCACTGCATCTGCTTTGTGTTTTAAGTTTATTTTGATATCTGTCTCGCCCATATTTTTGTACTCACAGTGAGTTCATGGTGGAGGAGCACGAGCTGCAGAAAGAGAAGATCCAGGAGGACTATAACGACAAGTACTGGGATCAGAGATACACCATCGTGCAGCATCGCATTCCCTCCTTTCTACAGAAAATGGCAGACAAAATATTAAGCACAGGTAAACAACAAAACACGTGGACAACATTTAAGGGCCTTTTTAGAAGATCAAATTTTTTCTGATAAATGTTGTAGGAAAATACCTCAATGTGGTGCGGGAATGCGGCCGTGATGTGACGTGTCCTGATGCAAAGGAGGTCCTGTACACGCTGAAGGAGAGGGCCTATGTGGAGCAGATAGAGAAAGCTTACTACTATGCCAGCAAGGTCCTGCTGGACTTCCTCATGGAGGAGAAGGAGCTGGTTTCACGCCTGAGGTAAACAGTTAATGCTGTTTGCTTTTTTAACAGAAAGAGGTTGAGTCCTATATGGAAGCATCTGCATTTGTTATGCTTCTCAAATTAGTTATAATAATAATAATAATAATAACATGTATTAATCTCATATTCATCCATGACGCTAAAACTATATGTCCCTGTGCTGTTTAAAATCAGATCCATCAAGCATTACTTCTTGATGGACAAAGGTGATTTCTTCGTGCACTTCATGGACCTGACGGAGGAAGAGCTGAAGAAGCCGGTGGACGACATCGTCCCTCCCAGACTAGAAGCTCTCCTGGAGCTGGCTCTGAGGATGAGCACGGCCAACACGGACCCCTTCAAAGACGACCTCAAGGTGAGTGGAAATCAGATTATATAGTAGTTCTTCTTACATTGAAGTTTACTGATCAGAGTTGGAACATACAATATGAATACAAATATGAATCTGTGGTCCATCCGCTGGTCATAAGGATGGTTTTTCTGACAGATAGATACAAACAATAAAAAAAAAGCTAACGACGCAAGTTAGTGTTTTTCCGATCTGTTCTATTTTTACAATGTACAATAGTTGTATTAAAGCTGCTATAATCAACATTTTTATAATGATTTCTGATAAAATGATGACTTGTATTTGAAAGCAGGAACATCTTTCAGCTCACTGTTTTAGTTTCCTGGATGCAACTTTACTGATTTAGTTCACTTGTGTAAATACTTTTGGTTATTTAGTGGTTACCAATCTGGGGGGTGTAAACCCCCACAAGGGTTTGGAAGATATTGTGAGTGACTGGATAATTTAACCCACTCAGACCTCTGAGAAATATTAAAATAAAGTGAGAAAACTGTTTCCTCTTTGGTTGATGTGCTCAAAATTTTTTGTTGTAAGGCACAAGCCAAAAAAGTTGGGAACAGCTGATGAAGGTGATCCCTCTCTATGTTCTGGATTGAAATATAATAAATGACCTTCATGTACTTAGTCCTGCTTGGGACAAAATTCTCATATTGGTCATGATTGTGAATTTATTTTTCTCGCAGGCTCAGGGGGAATTTTTTTAGAATCAGGTCAAGTTTATTTTTAAAGCCTGATACATTTCTCAAAAATGTAAGACATGAAGATAAAAGTGGAATAAATCTCCACTAAGAAAATTTGAAGTGACATGGCAGTACAGAGAAAACAAAAACTCCAGTATTGTAAAGTGCAGTAGTCTTCCTCACAGGCTTATCTCATGCTCTATTAGTCATGCGATTTCACACGAATTAATGATTGAACTTCCTGTGCTCTTTTCACAGATTGACTTAATGCCTCATGATGTCATCACTCAGCTGCTGCGGGTGTTGGCCATCGAAACCAAACAGGAAAAGGCCATCATCAACGCCGACTCGACGGACGTGGCCCTCAGCGGGCTGGAGGCCTTCTCCTTCGACTACATCGTCAAGTGGCCGCTCTCGCTCATCATCAACAGGTTCACAGCTAAAGAAATTAATCACATCAATTGAAAAAATAATCAGGAGATTAATCGATAATGTAAATGAGGGTTAATGTTTTGAAAGTTTTGAAAACAAGACGACAAAAAAAACATTTGATCCCATCTTCTAGGAATTATATTTATACCTTTTGTGTCTGTAATCTAATCCCTAATGTTTGATTTTTCCTATTAGATGTGTCGGATTTATCATTTATATGAGCTTATGTATATTTAGCTTTATTATAAAACCATAGTATTCATTGTAAACTTTTCACACTGACATTACAGTGTGTAAGTGAATCAAACATGATAAAAATCTGACAGGATAAATGATTTTATGGACGTTAAAAAGCTGGGACTGTGAGAAGACTGTAAAGTACAAACAGAAAACAGAAATATAAGAATCTTCAACAGACTGCACGCATAATTATAATTTCTCAGGCTTAAGATTTGTTAAGTAGCTGATTTTAGAGTTTTTGGAAACAATGGAGCTCTATGGCTCAGAGGAAAATGATATATCAGTTTTGGATACATAGATGATAATTATTAGTGGCAGACATTCATTATTGGTTCTGGTATTTTCATGATTTGTTGACAATAAGAAAAAGGTATAATATTGCCAGCCTTGTGATTTGTGTAATCAATCATTGCATTGTATTGATTTTTACCAGGAAAGCACTGACAAGGTACCAGATGTTATTCAGACACATGTTTTATTGTAAACATGTGGAGAGGCTGCTGTGCAACGTGTGGATCAGCAACAAGGATTTCAGGCAGTACTCTTTACATTCTGCTAAATGGTGAGCTGACGATTTAATGTGAGTTAATGTAAAAAAAAAAAAAAAAGAAGAAGAAACTCAGCCAGGAGAGCGTCGCCTCACACACTCTGTTTAAATGACCGGTTCACAGGTTTGCTGCTGCCTTTGCCCTCCGCCAGCGCATGCTGAACTTTGTGCAGAACATACAGTACTACATGATGTTTGAGGTGATGGAGCCCACCTGGCACATCATGGAGACCAACCTGAAAACAGTGAGTGTGAACAGTGATCGCTGCCCTGTCCCGATCGCTCTGCACTGTTTTTGTTCGAGCACAAGCCAGCTGACTGTTGATGTGTTTGTGTTGCTGCGCTCATGTGAGATGTTTTTCACGGTTTGATGATGAGACATTGAGGAAGAGACACACAGGTCTCAGTTGTGCTGACCCTCTCTCTCCTCCCCCAGGCATCAAACATCGATGATGTGCTGTGTCATCACACGAGCTTCCTGGACAACTGCCTGAAGGACTGCATGCTGACCAACCCCGAGCTTCTCAGGATCTTCTCTAAACTCATGTCTGTCTGTGTCATGTTCACAAACTGCATGCAGGTTTGTTTTCACGATGACTACCACAAAATGGTTTCTGTAAAACAACCAAAACTGGACTTGTGACATCTGTATTTTTTAGCTATGCAACATCGAGGTTCAGCAGATTCCAGATACTTGTACTAAGATGTTTTTTTCTTGGCTGTTGTAGCGGTTCACTCAGAGCATGAGGTTAGAGCGCCTCTCTCTGGAGCAAGGAACCATGGATGGTCCTCCCACTCAGAGCGAACACGCTGAGGAGGCAGAGAAGAAGAGGCTAACCACAAAGGTATTTCAAAACAATCACTGCCATGACCTTCTCCCCTCAAATAAACTGATATTTGAACAAGAATGCCGTGTACTGTAGGAAATGTTCAGAGTTCCAGAAATGTTCATATGTTATGAAAGGTGAGCACTTAATTCAAAACCAGAAAGTATTTCAACTATTGAACAACTGGCACAGGAGAACAAGAGCACTGCAGGTTTGGGGTCTACCATGTCTAACATTATATGTTTGTGTTCTTTTGCTCCTTCAGTTTTTAGCTGAGCATGCGGACACCCTCCAGTCAGACGCAGGCTTTGAAGCCACCATCAGCAAGTTTGACAGTAACTTCAGCATGTTGCTGCTGGACCTGCTGGACAAGCTGAGCATCTACAGCACCAACGACTGTGAACACAGCATGATCAGCATCATCTACAGGTAAAACCATGGGACCAAAGAGAGGTTTTTGTTGCCTGTATTAACCTGTACAACTACGTTACTTTATGTTACTACAACTAGAGCCGGCCCCAGCTGATCATAAGGATGGGTATCAGGCTGATCCGGGTATATTTTAATGGATCACTGTGAAGGTGAAAAATAATTTGGGGGCACCGGTGACTGAAAGTTCAGACTGTGAGGTTTGCAAAACACACTGACAATGATCTGATGCTGATGTTATTATCGTATCAGTTGTCACTAATTTAAGATAATTCTTCGAGTAATTCTTCGAGTTGATTCTTGTATGTGGTCGGATGTAAGTGGTTTCTGTACTCAGCCAAAGATGTGTTCTGAGGGAAAACCCTCCACTCTGTAACACCGCTGTGCAAGCAGAGTGGACAGAGACTCTAGCTGATCACATCAATAATTTAAGATAATCTACTTGATAGTTTTGAACTATAGCCTTTAGTATTTGGATCAAGTAGCTCGTGAAAACTAGGAAAGGTCATATTAACTGGCTGCATCCGTTATTTCAATGTGCTAGTAACATATTTAATCATCATTTAGGCAAATGGAAGTATCAGATTGGACTCTGTATCAGCAGATACCTAATATTGAAGGACTAGGATTGAAATCGGGGCTCAAAAACACTTGATCAGGACATCCTTAACTTAAACCATGTTCCAAAGCTTTAGATACAAATTCATTGTTTTTCATTGCTTTGTGTCCGTAATAATTTTTCTAATTTGAATAAAAAATAATGTTAATATCTTTGTAAATTAGTCTGATAATTTGGTAACTCAGCTCTTGTAATTTCACAGGCTGGATTTCAATGGATTCTACACTGAGCGTCTGGAGAGGATGGCCATAGAGCGCAGTCAGAAAGCAGCAGCGTAGCGTGTCATGCCTTCGTGTGTTTTAACGATCACCCAGCAATAAAGACGTCCTTTCCTCATGCCTGTCCATCAGTCCTACGCCAACCGCCCAGATACTTACCATAGAAACATCAGCTGTTGATTCACAGAGCTGATACTTCAGTGTGTATATATTATATACTGTATGAAATGTAGAGTTAAACGTCTTCGTCTCTGCGGCATCATTTCAATGCTTCACATGTAAATTTTAAGAACTGTGGAACTCATATGTTTCTTCTGCTCTGAACATGTAAGTCATGTCACTCCCTATGGGTAACTTATTGTACCTGTACAGTGAAAATGTATGTTTATATTGCACTTCATTAAAACAAAACTTTACTGAATGAATTTTGGCTCTTGACCTCTGCATTTGACTGCTGGCCATGTACCTCCAAGTTCTTCCTTGTACAAACCACAATGCAAAAAAGAAACTAAATAAATTGATGTAGACTTTGAATTTTAACTTAAATTATGTCTTTTCAGTGTTTAAGGTGATTATATTATTATTTAGTAATGCGCTTAATCGTTGTCATTTCTCACTGACAGGAAATCCACGTCAAGTTAACCAGAGACATACCGGAAATGTAAAGAGACCGACTTCAAAATAAAAGCGTGGGACCGTTGTCAAAATGCAGTACAAGTACAATAATTGATAAACAGTTTGTATTTCCCAATATGGTAATTATAAGTGTGTATACTTTTATTGTATAGGAAAGATATGCTTGTTTGAAGCCAAAATGAGTTCATTTCTGCGCTTCTTTAAAGGATAATTTATGGGTTTTTATAGACATTATAAGGCTAAACCTGACTCCATTGACAAAACGGTAATTTTACCTAACATTGCCCGTTAATTATGTTTTATAGAAACAGTTTACCTTTGTGACCCTTGATTTGAAATATGTTATGCTAACGGAAGTGTGGCTTTACGTATTTACTTTCGTCTTAGCTCACTTGGCAGATTCTTTCCGGTAAAATATGTGAGGCAACGATAAGCGTTAACCGGAGGCGGAGCTTCAACGGAAAAGCTGGCAGCGATGATGCCCGGTAGAGTAACAAGCAATGAGCGACGGTAGATTACAGGCGGTGGCCGAACAGAGCACTTCGTGATGGGAGACAATATGTTGTCGCTGTGGCTGACGTGGGGTATGTATTTAACTTTAATCATTATTATTATTATTATGGAACATTTGTTTAGGTAGACTGAGTAGAACAAGGTGCTTTAACAGTAAAAAAGCGAAGGATGTTTGACAGAAAAATTGTTATTAATGTTCATCCTCCCATTATAACGACATAAACTGCATTTTAAAGTTTGAATTTAGTGTAAAACTGCACGAAAAGTCTTTTTTGTTAAGACATGTGTTCGCCATAAAGACTGTCATAAATCAGGGAGTGTCGATGATTGTAATGCAGGATAAAACACAGTTCAGTCCAGGGTGTCTTCAGCTCTTGAAAAGTCTTAAAAACTTTCAAAATTATTAAAAGGTCTTAAATATTTTTTGTGTCCTGCTGTAGACAGTAACATTAGATATAACTATGTGTACAATATAGTAAGAACTGGCTGTAAAATCCTCAGTGCTATTGTTCACGACCCTCTGACCTTATGTAAAATTCACACGTGGACCTTAAGTTAATTAGTTATTTTTAAATTAATAATAATCCATCCATCCATCAATTTTTTGCTGCTCCTCCAAGTCATGTTTAATGATTAATTAATGATATTATTAGGAATTATTATTGGGGACATACTGGCAATAATGTGATATAAATGTAAAAGAAACAATGCACTTGGTGAATAACTCAAGGCTTTATCATCTCTGCTGGTTTTACTTTTAAACTTTATATGGTTGTATTACATTACATTATTATTAAAATACATTCTATGTGTATTAAAATGTCTTAAAAAGTCTTAAATTTAACTTGGTGAAGCTGCGGAAACCCTGTAATTCAGACGGTGTGTATATTGTACAAAGATATTTAGTATAAAGAGTGTTGTTTGTTGTGTGTAGTGTGCTTCATGCAGAGCTCTGGGTTGCTATCCCATGTGGAGCAATATGAGGTGGTCAGACCTCAGAGACTGCAGGAGAGGCAGAGGAGGAGCCTGAAGGAAAACCAGGTGACTACGCCTCACCTGTACATCATTCAGCATTGGAAACACAACAAAGACTCCTCTCATTAAATACTAAATTTATAGTTGAAATTGGCAGTGGTGGAACGCAACAAAGTGCGTCAACTCATGTTCTGTTCTCAAGTTCAATATTTACATTTCAGAGAGAAACATCAAAGATTTGACTATACTACATTTATCAGGCAGTCATTAGTTTCTATTGTCTGACTAATACTGGATGTGTAAAGATATGTCAATATTAGAGAGTTTACAAGTCTGATAATGATATATTGCCATGTGACTGATGGACAATCTTCTGCAGCTTTACCCTGATACGGTGCAGTATGAGCTGGCCATTGAAGGGAGGAACCACACTATTTATCTGGAAAAAAACAGGTACACAATTTTTTTTTAATAGTTTTTTTTAAATTATCATTTCAGATCCAGATCCACAAATTTGTATTATAATATTTGAAAATATGAAACATAAAATCTTCTCTTGTTGTATTATTATTGTATTTTATAGTAATCTTATTGGGAGAGGCTACACTGAAACTCACTATTCAGAATATGGGAAACGAGTGACGACATCACCAAGTGAGGTAAGATTTTACTACATTTGAACTTACATCAGATGAATTAAAGAAAGACAAATTACCTCACCAGTCACTCAGTTCTGGTGCAGAATAGAATAGAATAGATTAGTTGAAAGTGATGGTTGATAGTCTGGAAATTATATCTTTTTCTTTATTTTCTGAGATTTTATATTTAAAGAAATTTAATTAATCGATAACATAAATGAATGTTAATGTTTTGAAAGTTTTGAAAACAAGAAGACAAAAAAAAACATTTGATCCCATCTTCTAGGAATTATATTTATACCTTTTGTGTCTGTAATTTAATCCCTAATGTTTGATTTTTTCTATTTGATGTGTCAGATTTATCATTTATATGAGCTTATGTATATTTAGCTTTATTATAAAACCATAGTATTCATTGTAAACTTTTCACCCTGACATTACGGTGTGTAAGTGAACCAAACGTGATGAAAACCTTATTTCCACCCAGGAGCACTGCTATTACCACGGCCATGTTGAAGGCGTGGTGGACTCTTCGGTCAGTGTGGGGATCTGTTCGGGCATTAGGTAAGAAAATCAGGATATTTTCACATCTTTAACTTCTTACTTGTTATTTTCCTCTTACATTAACTCCAGTGACTCCAATTTCTTAAATGTTTGTGAAATGTGTTGCTTCATGATATTTAGTAATCGATCAGTTTTTCATGTGTTTTTGAAGCCTTTGATTGTTTAGTCTCTCTACTGCGCTTTTATTTCCTTTAATGAATTTGCATCATTGTTAATATTGGGACCATTACTGCTCTGTGTCTGCACTATATCTGTATCTCTTGTCTTTTATTGTTTATTTTTATTGATTTTACACGTTTGAAATCTGCCATACAAAAAATTGTAAAGAGCACACCAGTGGATAAAGCCATTTCCATTTGTATACTGAATCACATTTTTGTTAATAAGTGTTCTTACTCTCTGTATTCGCAGTGGCTTTGTGAGAGCCCGGCAGCAGGTTTACCTGATCGAGCCTCTGGGACAGTCTGACGACGGGGACCATGCAGTTTACAGACGGGAACACCTGAAGATCAGCGGCAATCCCAGCTGTGGCTCCTCGTCCAACACCACCATGCTTTACGACCACGACCAGGACCAGAACCAGGACCGTGGCCCTCAGCTCGCTGGGCTCTTTAGGTCCAAAGCATGGGTAGGCCACCAATTCTGCGCAGTGGAAACAAGTGAACACACACTGTTAATCATTAACTTATAAGTTGATATGGTGAACCTGTCAGCAAACAGTTGTCGAGCAGTCACAGAGCAACATTAGCATTCATTTAGAGTCATGCTTGTGTCCTTCTGATGAATCTAAGTCCAGTATTAACACTATAATATTGATTATAGTGTTAAAGTGTAATAGCGAATATAAAGGCTTAAATCCACATTAAAAACTTTGAAATGACTGATGATGAAGCGACTCATAGATGCCGAATAACGCATTTGCATGTTTCGTTAAAATGTTTTTCATGCTGACATTGATTACTATGTGAATATTAGTATGAAGTTTGTTCCTCTGTTTCCTTTTAGAAAACTAAATCCGTCACAAGTGTGCAGAGGTTTGTCGAGCTGTACGTGGTGGTCGACAACACTGAGGTAAATATTCATTTTACGTTTTTTTTACAGCTTTCGTTTCACTGCCACATAAATCTGATCATGTTTGTCTCTGCGCTTCCTCCAGTATAAACGATATGGAAGTGAGACTAAATCCCGTATCCTCGGAGTCGTAAATCACGTTGACAAGGTAATTTTTTTTTTTCACTCATGTTGTGTAAGCTGTTCGCCTGGCAGTGAGCCATCAGCGCTCTTAGCTGACAGCAGCGTCTCCTCCTCTGCCTGCAGCTGTATCGACCTCTGAACATCCGCGTCATGCTGGTGGGGCTGGAGATCTGGACGTACAGAGACTACATCAACGTTGACATTAATTCGGAGATGACCCTGGACAACTTCCTCATATGGCGCCAGGCTGATCTTCTGAAGAGGATCAAACACGACAACGCTCAGTTTGTGACGTGAGGATCGGTTGTGGAAATCGGTGCAGGTGTTAAACACAGTAATGCTGCCAGTTTGACCTGATGTGAGATTCTTGTCTTCAACAGTGGCAAAGATTTCGACAAAGATACAGTTGGACTGGCAAATAAGTTCGCCATATGTACGGAGAACTCAGGTGGAGTCAATCAGGTGTGACGGACAACTTCTAACTTACATTAATCCTTTAACAACAGCAGGTGAAGGGAGTCCATGGGTATTTTATGGGAACACTTCTGCATTTCTCTCTCAGGATCACCATGACAACGCGATAGGCCTCGCCTCCACCATTGCTCATGAGATGGGACATAATTTTGGCTTGTCCCATGATGCCGCGGGCTGCACGTGTGGCCCATTTTACAGCAGTGGGAACTGTGTAATGGCAGAGAAGCTCAGGTAAGGATGGGATGCTGTTACTTACAAAGGGCATTTATAGATATAGATACCAAGAATGTTTTGATGATTTTTTTTGTGTTGCATGTTGGGAAGGATCATATTTCACCTTGGTATGGGCTAGACTACTTAGTTCTAATGAAGGGAAACCTTAATACCACAACATAAAATGATATTTTGAACCATTGGTTCTCAAAGTGGGGTCCAGGGACCCCCAGGGGTCCTTGAGGGGGTTCCTAAGGGTCCCAAACAAAAAGAGGAAGAATTTATTTTCACTGTACTTCCATCCATAAGTAACACAATGACAGAATGTGAGAGTATTTGGTCATGGGTTTCAAACACATTCTGTAATAAAACATCTAAAAGCAAAAATCTTATGAGATGATTTCCACAGTCTAATGTGTGTCAGTGTCGGGTCCTTTCAGAACAACCGTTTTAGACAATATTGTTCTTCCAACTTTTACTGTGTTTGGCTCTTTGCTGTTTCACAACAATACTCCCATGCACAAAGCCAGCTCCAAAGAAAGAAATGGTTTTCCCAGTTAGCTGTGGAAGATCTTGCCTGGCCTCGACCTCAGCTGTGAAACAGACTAATCATCCAGCATCAGTGTTGGACCTCACTAATGCTCCTGTGGCTGAAAAGAGCAAATCCCTGCAGCTAGGTTAAACATCTGGTGGAAAGTCTGAAACCAGAAGAGTGGAGGCTGTTACAGCATGTAATATAATGTTAGGTTGTCCACCTACTTTTGGCCATGAAGTGTTTACAGTGTTTTAGCTCTACTTTAAATTAAAATCACAACACTGGCCGGTGTTCAGTGAATCTTCTACATCACTGAATCTCCTTGCTCGTCTTCAGGACAGGAAGTCAAGCGTTCCCGGAGTTCTTCAGCAGCTGCAGCGTGGACCAGCTCGCTGAGTTCATGGAGCGAGCTCAGCCCAGCTGTTTGGGTAAACCCAGCCCCGTTAAGACCATCGTTGTGGGCCCTCGCTGCGGCAACGCCCTGCTGGACCCTGGAGAGGAGTGCGACTGTGGCACCGTGGAGGTAAAACTTTTAGTAAAGGCTGTTTGTAGCAGATTAGTCATTTTTAATGACCTTGGAAAGTTTTAAATATATCCTTTGGTGAAGGAAGATGCCATGTGGGTTTTCTGCTGTAGCTGACTGGTGTGGTTTCCTGTGTGAGGTTACAAATAATAAAAGAGAGGGCAGCAGCGATCTCCTGCACGCTAAGCTGGAGTTTGGCCTCAAACAGTGAAAATACTTTTCCTGTGCGCTAACGTCTTATCAGGCAACATCTTGGCAGAGATGCTGCTTGTGTGGGAGATTTAAATCTGAACTGTTAACACAGGGGACCTATCAGGGGAGAAGTGGATACACACACACACACACACACACACACACACCACACAACTGATAAAAATGTTTGTTTTGTTTCTAGGAATGCAAGAATCCTTGTTGTGACGCCTCAACGTGTCGCCTGACTGAAGGATCCCAGTGTGCTCATGGACAGTGTTGTGACAACTGTCAGGTACTTCAGCTCCATTACTCAGCTGCCTGTAATGTAGCTGTGAAAGTGGGATTCTTATACTTTGTTGGGACCAAACCAAGACTAAGAATCTCCAGCTATGCTAGCTGTTCTTTAAGACTATAATCCTGGAACCATGAATGTCTGTAGAAGAAATTAATTTGAGCCAATCCGTGCAGATGTTGAGATAATTCACAGGATAAATGAAAAGCTACATCACCAGAGTCATTAGGATTCATCCACTGGGGAACCAAAAGTATCTGAACCAGATTTCATGACAATCCATCGAATAGTTGTTGAGATATTTCAGTCAGACCACAGTGCAGGCCACAGAGGTCAATCACACTCACCCTGGCTGATAACTGTGGGCGTTTTAATGATATCAAGAGAAGTTTTCTATATAAAATTACACTGAAACAGCAGCACCTCAATAATAACAGGAAACAGAGAATGATATCCGGCTGTTTCCATGAACTATAACTCACCACATCCTTCCTCAAATGACAAGTTTCAAGGACTAGAAGAGGTAGTGCAAGTCATGAAGTACCAGAGAAATACACAAGCTAATTACACACACTGTTGAACAAACATGTACTTCAACTTCAACTCTTCTTTGTTCTCATGGTATCACGGAAAATGTGCTTTGACCCACAGTTCAAAGCTACTGGAAGTGTGTGCAGGAAGTCAGCCAGCGACTGTGACCTGCCTGAATACTGCACCGGTGTGTCGGAGGACTGTCCTGAAGACAGCTTTGAGATGAACGGCAAACCCTGCTACGACCACGTGCAGGGCTACTGCTACAACGGCCAGTGTCCCACACATGAGAAGCACTGCTGGAGGCTGTTTGGACCAGGTACGCTCAACACACTGACTTAAAAAGAAGAAAGAAAACAAACAAACAAACAAACAAAAAAACAGATGAAAAGTAAGATATGATACAACTACAAATACTGAGGTAGTGGGTCAGAATCGTGACTTTTTAAATCTGAATTATTATTTTCATCTACTAAATCAAAATTATGAGATGTCAGAATTCTGACTTCATAAAACAAAAAGTCAAAATTTGGACTTTTAAAAAATATATGTTTATTAATTTGCTGTATACCCAGAATGCAAACTTACAAAAGAAGAATAAGGAGAAACAATAAATAAATAAATGAAAAAAAAACAAAACACAAACAAACACAGCATATCATACATCACCACAGTAGCCACACTAACAATTAAATTAAGTGCAAGGTAGTGTTTCTTTTATATACATATTACAGTACAAGGGAAACTGAATTTACAGCATGGGACTTTATATTGGACTCAACACATTAATTCTTACCCTGACAGAATTTTAAAATTATTTTTTGAGGCACAGTATGCCTTTATTACCCAGTGGACAGTGGGGAGATAACAGGAAGTAAAGGGAAGTTAAAAGATTCCTGGTCAGACTTGAATGAATGACGTTGTGTTCGTAGTTGTACATCAGTCGTCACTACCTCAGTATTGTCTAGCGTTCCAATTTTTTTATCTGGATTTTCTTTTCCTGGCATCAGTGGGCTTCCATAGCAACCCACCAACCACTAGCTGAGTTTCCATCGCGGTTTTGCGCAACATAGAAGCGATTTTTTTTTCGCAAAGTCAACAAAACACAATCTGTGTTTCCATTGGGTGGTGTTATACAAATAAAGCTGGGTTTTTTTTTTTCTCACAGAGTATTCTAATTCAACGTGACAACGGATTTGCAGCATCTGCCTCTCATGGCCTGATACAGCAGGCGCCAACACCGGAATGCAAAAAGTGTTTCCAATTAAATCTTGAGAAATATTGCTCTGTTGAATAGTCTGAAAAACCACCTCATGCGAATGTTTACATTTTTTGCGACATTCGAGTTTTTTTGACATCCATGTATTTCCATTTCTCGTTTTTTAAGTTCGCTATTTCAAATTGAGCATTAAGCAGGTTAATGGAAATGCACCTATTACAAACTCGTGCTCTGCAGCCAAAAATCTTTTAAACCCACAAAACTTTATATTAAATTCCCTGACTAATTCTATTATAATTACATTTTGATATAAAAGGTCAAAATATTGACTCAGTATTTCATCATCTGAACTCACCTTTAGTATTTTTTTCATCCTTAACTTTTCATGTACTTTTTTTCTTCTCTCCAGCATATACTTCAACACTAACAATGAATGATGAGTCTTCTTTCTGTCCTCAGGGACCATAGTTGGGCCAGATATATGTTTCGACCTGAACAAACGAGGCGAGGAAGGTGCCAACTGCGGGAGGAACAAATTCGGCTACACCCCCTGTACTGCACAGTATGTATCAGGAACAGTGCCAGTACTGAAAAGTAGTAAAGTCTGTCATGAAACACATGGCATTTTGTATGTTTAAGGATAGTTTTTATGATTGTGCAAATGTTTCATCAACTTATTTCATTCTTTTTCTTTTTCTGTAGGAATTTAAAGTGTGGATCTATATTTTGTGGAGGAGGGGGCGAGTCCATCACCGGTAAAAGAGCAGCCTACACTGTGTATGGCATTGAATGTAAACTAGCCGTGGACGATGATAAGACCAGAAACATTGACATGGTGCCTAAAGGAACCAAATGTGGAGTTAATAAGGTAAAACATTTATCAGAGAGACACATTACATATTTTCTGACAATGTTGGATGTGTGGCTCAGACTCATTCATGTGTGCGCAGGTCTGCCTTGACAACAGATGTGTGGAGGTATCAGTTTATGGGAAAAAGGAGGACTGTGCAAAGAAATGCAACAATAACGGGGTGAGTGGATTAGAATATTCAGCCAGCTGTTTCACATTTCTGAATCAAAGTGCAACTCCAAGTGCTTGACTCATGTCTAAATGAATTTTATTGCATTTTATCTTTAGGTTTGTAATCACAAGAAAGAGTGCCACTGTAACCCCGGCTGGGCTCCTCCTTACTGTGACATCCAGTACGCAGATTTACCTCCAGGTACAGAACAATTCACTGCATCTGATTTAGTGACAGTCAATGTGCAAATTGAAACTTTCTGAGCAGGTTTGGCTGCTAAATACAAAAACTTGTATCGGTCTGAAGTGAAGGTCAGCTCTCAGTGAGTGGTAAAGACAAAAACAGGTCACACCTGCTCATTGAATCATTCTTCCAGTAAGTAAAAACAGGAATGATTCACTATGAGTGATCTCCTTCTCCCAGCCTTGACCTAATCCTTTGTTAATGATATATCTTCAACTTTTCCACCACAAAAACCCTATAATCATCTTTGTCTTGATTCGAGTTCGAACTAGACTACGCTGTGTATCAAATGATTAAACCTTGGCTTTTTTTTTTTTAAAACAAAATGCTATATGTTTTTCCACAAGGAGCTGATTACTACAATGGAAAAATTAGTTTTTTCTCAAAACGTGAAAATGGAGTTCACCAAGTGATTCAGTTCTCACAGTAAACCAACCAAAAGCCCAAACAGAGGAAGAGCAGAGTTAAACACATAGCAGAGAGTTGTGCAATACCCCTGCACAGCTTGTACAACATGTTTTTTAACTTTCACCAGAACAAAGAAAATAATGAAAGCTGTATTGAAACACAATTTTCTCAAATTATGGTGAAATCTGAAGGTCAACATGAGGACAGCACGGCAGTAAGAGAGAACGACTATAGACTAACTGAAGCTGCATCACTCGCTTTCACTCCTGTGTTTGTGCAGAGGTCAGTCTTTGCTGAGGCATTGTGCAATTTTGGCCTGATCATTGTTTGTTATTTACTGCGGGGAGAAAAAGGAATCACACACAATTTATTTTTCACATAATAACAAAATATTTTTTACGTTATTAGATAGACTAGAAACTTCTCTTGTTATTACAACATATGACTGTTTTCCTATCAGGGCTACAACTAACAATTATTATCATTATTCATTTATTGTTTGGTCTAAAAATAAATGGCAGAAACAATTTCCCAGTCTTTGTTGATGTCATATAATGTCTCATCTATGTTTGACCAACAGTCCAAAACCGAAATATTTAATTCGCAATGATATAAAACAGAGGAAAACAGCAAATGTTCACATTGGAGAAGCTGCAACCAGAGCATTTGTGGCTTTTTTGCTGAAAAAAATGTCTTAAACGATTGCTCTATTATCAAAATAGTTGCAGATTTATTTTCTGTCGATCAACTAATTGATTGGTGCAGCTTTACTTACTGTATTATGAAACTTGCTCAGTTTTCCACAAACTCAGCATCGCATTAAAAACAAGCCTCCCCTTGTTATAACATGAGCTTCTAAGAAAAAGATGCCCGAAGAGACGCCATAGCCCAGAGTAATTTTCTCTTTTTAGAAACTGAGCAAATATTTTGTGGTTGTGGTGACAGCAATAAGCTGTGGTCGTTCAGAGACTCTAATTCCTCATTTCATGAGCCTGTAGCTGTTTTCTGTGAGGACCAGTGTTTTCATTTGAATTAGCTAACTTTACGATCTTAGTTTAGCGTGTTAGCATGCTAACGTTTGCTAATTAGCACTAAACACAGTAAAGTAGGAATGTCATTAGTTTTACAGGTCTATATCCATGAAATAAACTGGACTAATTGAGATTTTGACCCAAAATTGAAAAGTCAGAGGATCAGCAATGTTATTACAATCCTTTCTCCTAAGCAGTGGTTCTCAAAGTGGGGTTCAGGGACCCCAGGGGTCCTTAAGGGGGTTCCTTGGGGTCCCCAGGAAAAAGGGGAATAATTCATTTTCACTAGAATTCCTGTTCTTTACTATTTTGGTTATAGGTTTCAAACACTTTCTGTAAATGTAATAAAGATTCTAATAGTTCTAATAAAATTTGAGAGCCACTGCTCTAAGGAAAACATCCACTTTTTGTTGAGACATTTCATTCTGGACCAAAGTGGTGGATCAAGTGGCCGGTATTTCTGTCCCCAGAGCCATGATGCTAGCATGCTTAACAAAAACAACTTCTGAAGATTATAATCAGGCACACTGTGTAAATGTGTCTTTTTTCCACATAAAAATTAATTCAAAGCTACATACAATAAATATACAACATCTCCCCATCTCTGCCTGCAGGTCAGACTGGGATAATAGCTGGTGTGTGTGCAGCTCTCTCCATCCTTCTGGTGATCACTGTGGTGATTGCAGGGCTGATGTGCTGTAAGAAGGACAACATGGACAACTACAGCTCCAAAAGGTTTTTTCTCTTTCTGTCTCTTGTGTTTCATATCCGGCTCTGTTTTAGTCTTTTACTTCCCGGCTGAATAAATTTTCGTGCTTACAGGAAAGTGCACTCAGCTCCGGGCAAGTTGAACCCGATGTTCCAGGAGCCGAGTGTGAAGGAAAGGCCTCAGATCAGTCATCCTACTTTCATGGAATCAACAGCAACACAAGCCTGTGCTCCTCTGATTGTTACTACTGTGCCTCCCAGCAGGCTGGCTCCACAGGTACAGACAGCAGCCATACACAGTGAATTAGTCATGGAAATCTGTGTCAGACATCAATGAGTTAATTATGTGCAGGAAGGTTACAGCGAAGTATTTACACTGTACTGTAATAGTTACAAAGTGCCTTTTCTTTCCAGCCACCAAGTAAAGTGTCTTCAGGGTCGTCTACCTCACAACCTGAGCCAGTAAGCCATTTTTTTTTTTTTTCTAAGAAGACCTGATCTACTACATAATGCAAACTGAGGATCGCATTCAGAGTTGGCCTCAAAAGTCACATTAAATAATACATAGAGAAAGTTAACTGTATCAGACCTGTGGCGTGCAGGGCTGATGTTATTCTGTTTTTCTTTTTCTCAAAACAAATCCCATGAAAAGACCAAAACCAACCATGTGGTCTTCACGCTCTGTCTCAGACTCAAGCTGGTTGGTTCCTACTCAGCGTTTCTTTGACAACAGAGATGTATACCGGTAGTTTCATTTCCAAAGATGTTCAGTAATTCCCTGAAAAAGCCAGACACTGAGCAACATTTGCTAAACTCTACCCGCAAGAGGAAATAGTGTTGTTTGTTAGGGACTATTTTCAGCTGTGTATTAATACACATTTGGAACTCTGGAAATATTTTGCTACTCAGACAATATCCGTTGAGTGGGATTAGTTCATTGTTGGTTTTGGTCTTTTTATGGATTTTATCGACAAAAAGAAAAATACAGAACAGACTCATTAGACTTATCCTTTAACTCCACGTCTGTGCAGCTCACTGAGGAAATTAGAAGATGAGAAGATGCAAATAAACATCTATTAGTCGCCTCTAATGTGTTCAGATTGACTTCACGGATAATACGTCTCTGTGATATTAGGTGAGATTTGGGTACTCACCAATTTCACAATTCAAGTGAATGTGGACATATTTGTGACAGTCATGGATCATGTGAATAATTCTGAGATTTCAATCTGGATTTTGGAGAACAGGTAACTCATGCACATCTGTTTTGAGGCAAAAGGTTTCCTCTGAATATGACCCTGAGTATTTGCACTAGTGTGTTTAAAGTGAAAAACCAAACAAATGTTTCAATGACTACTTCTTCTTCTTCTTCAGACAACACCTCAACCTCCAGCTAAACCTTTACCACCTCTGTATAAACCACAGGTGAGTCATACCTACAGTTCTCTCCAGTCTCTTCGTAAATGATTAGTCAAACAACAGAGGATATGGTTGTTTGATATTGGCAGTAGTGTAGTTTAAGGAGTTTATTTGTGATACGAGATTTTTGTTTTTTTAATCTTTAATCTTATACGTGTCAAGGAAAATATGGTCAGAACTAAGTTCACCATCTTCCATTTGTTTAATTTCTTTGCTGAAGTCGTCTCTGACCTGAAGATGTTTGAGGAAATAAGGTTCTTTAAGGTTATAGGCGTTTGAAATACGAAGCCATTATCACTAGGTGTTGTGCAGTGAGCTGTTACACCTTCATGTCACAAATGCCTGATCTACATATCAAGACCCGGGGACTTAACCGTTGCATCATATGCTATCCGTTTCACTATTCTTGCCTGCAAGGTGAGACCTATTGGGGGTCTTAAATCAAACCCTGAAAGCTACTTTGGTCTATTTATGTATTTATTTTGAAAAGTTCTTTATCTGCCTCTTTAAAGTAGGTTCTTGTGCTCCTGTAACATGTGAGTGTTCCCTCCAGGGATCATTAAAGTCTTATCTTAAAGCTGCAGTCCCATTTTCTATCATGGGTTACACTGATACACTTTTTATGGGACTAAATAAAATTCCAGCAAAATGAAATATTAAAACACTGTCTCCAAAGAGGATTAGCAGTGACATCTTCACATGTATAAATCTGTCTCAATTGTCATCTTGTTTCCTTTCCAGCACAAGGCAGCTAAACCAAATCCTCCTCCTGTACCTCCAGTCAAGCCCAGTCCTCCTCCAGCAGCCAGAATCAAGCCCTGCACTCCTCCACTACCCCCAGTGAAGCCACAAGTCCACAGACTCACATGAAATTCTCATTAAAGATATCAAGTTTAACCAAAGCAGAAGACATCAGCCTGTAGTTGTATGTATAGAAAGAGAGCGATCCTCGCCGGGATCAGAGCGCTAAGTCACGGAGGCCAAAGTTTGGAAAAGTTGACTCTTCAAAGCCTTTAAAGATGTCGAGCGTGACAAGGCTTCGCTGACCGAGTCTGTCTTTGATGACTCAATACCAACAGCTTTAGCTGCTGTGGAAAAGTGATTTTTTTTTTTAAGGGGTGGGGGGTGGGGTGGGCTTTTTCCTTGAAATGAGCGTAACGTTGAGTGGTCTCTTTGCACTTTTATAAGTGTGAGCAAAATGGTGCTCACATGAAAATGTACTTTTTAAAATATTTATATAATGTTTGCAAAAGGAACTGTATGAAAATTATTGGTGGGAGATTGTACTGTTACTGAAGAGAGGCTAGCTCGAACATGTGATCACAACTTGTTCCTGCTGCTCTCAAGTGGCCAAAAATCAGTTATGCAGGTTCAACACGTTACGTTATTTATAGATAATAGAGGGGAGGGTGTTGCAGTTTTCTTCTTAGCCAAGGTGAAGGGTCTATTTGAAATTTTAACTTTAAGTATAGCTTAATTTATTTATGTCTTTAATCCTTACGCACAACAGGTTTTATTACCTATTGTGTGAAATGATGACATCAGCATTATACAATTCATACAGCTCTACAGCAGCATGAATTGTCTCATTGTTATGTCGCTACCACTATTGCTATTGTGTAATTTTATTGTTGCATGTTCAACTAGAATGGACGGCGCATACCTCTGCTAAGGCCAAACAATCCTACACACGTCTGATTATTATCTGGATCTGCACCTAATTGCACAGACCCAGAGATCTCAACATCATCAGTAACTTTGATTTGTTCAAAACATCAAGACCCAAACAATATTTCCTGAGAAATTGAAAAAAATGTTGAAAAAAAATAACCCCTATCTCGTAATGTTAAGGAAAGTGATAAAAAAATTCCTGGATCGCTCCACCTAGTTTGGCGCAAATTTGTGCAGTATTTTCCGCACAATCCTGCTGACAAACAAACAAACACGGGACATGACATGGGTGGAAACAACCTCCTTGATGGAGGTAGTAAAGCTGGGGAGGGCTGCTGAAGCCCTGACCCCATCCTGATAATTTTCATACAGTCCCTAAAGTGTTTCCAAAGCCAGTTTGCGCCTTCTTCAAGGTTAATTTCGTATCTCTTTGTACTCTACTTGAAAACGTATGAATGGTACACACAGTATGGGAGGCTTTGCACAGTTCAGATGACCTGTGTGTCTTTCTGTGATTCAGCTTGAAACATTTAGATGCTCCTTTGTTTGTTTCCTGTCCGAGGTGGGGTGTATGACAGAGCCTCGAGGAGCAGTTGATTTTTTTTTTACTGCACTGACATTTTTCAAGGGCAACAGTCATGGGTTTATACCTTTAAGGTTAAATTGTAAATCAGTAGTTTATCACTGATTGGTCTTAAAATTCAAAATATCAGTTGGCATGATCATGATTGTTTTTTTAATGTCACTTATAATTGACTGAATGTAAAAACTAATGAAAAGCCTTTTGTTGCAACAAATAAAGTGCACCTTATTACGAAAGTAAAATCAGATGATCAGGTTGCATCAGCAGATTTCGCAATCGGTGTGAAGTGAAACATGATTGACATTTTTATCTGCTGTGTTTTTCAGAAGTTCATTATTGCATAATGATTAAAACTTACATTTTTCTCTATGGAGTCTGGTGCGTTTACTTCTCTGTGCTGTTTTTGTCTCTTTATTAACCCACCGAGCAGCTCTGCTATTGTTCTTCTCAACAACGCTCTGCATCAGTTCACAGTTAATCTATATATATTGGTCTCCGGTGGAGAGCTGAAGGAAACGGGCTGAGAAGCAGCAGTGAGTCAGAGCTCTGCAGCCAGACTCACACCTCCCATCATGTGGATTTCCTGCTCAGGCCTCTTAAACAGTGGGACACAAAAGGTTAATGGGTTTTGTTTTGTTTCCAGTTCAACACAGACTCAATGTTCTCGTGGGAAACAATGAAGAACTGAATAAGTGAATTAGCTAGAATCCAGCCAGCGTAACTCTGTATAAGCAGTGACGGTCGGTCCAACAACTATTTCATGGATTACTAAGAAATTTTGTACAAACATTCATGATCCTCAGAGAATGAATAGTTAAAACTTTAGTGATTCCATGAATTTTTATCGAAGTATCAGTTTGGTTTAAAATGAATGACTGTTTAGTGCTAGTTAACACATTTTAGCATGGTAACATGCCAAACTAACATGCCTAACATGGTAAGCATTATACCTGCTAAAAATCTGCATGTTAGCATTGTTAGCATTGGCATAGGTCAGATAATAAAAGTGCCCAAACTCTTAATTTACTGCTCACTATTGATTAACTATATAGTGTCTCTTATATATAAATCTAACTAAAAATAAAATACATTAATCAGGAACTTCTTTTAAATCACTTCTTAAAACTAATTTTAATAGACTTGCCTTTATGTGACGTCATCTTTTTATCGTCTTCAGATTGCCTTTTTATTGCTGTTGTTGTGTTCACGGGTGTGTTTGCGTGTGGTTATATACAGCATCTGCTCCCTCTTATTGTCCTTATTTATATTGACGCATAATGTTTGTCCTCCCTTTGTAACTCTGCCTTATTTCTGTCCTGCTTTTGACCATCATTGCTTTTGATTTGTTTGTCAAAGCACTTTGTAAATCTCATTTCCAGACAGACACAGTCAGAGAGCAGCTGGTGAATATAGTGGGGCATTCAGCAGCGAAGAGTCGGATATTTTCCTCAGGAGCTTGTGGAGACCAAACATAGAGCTAAAATTAATTTTGGGAAAATCTGTGGAAGTCGTTTCTTTATAGATCCGGCTTTGTGCTCAAGAACTTTGTCATGTTGAGACAGCACAGGGACAAACACCAACTGTTGCGGTAAATGTCTCTGTATGTTGCAGTAGTAAAATGTTCCTTGTATCAAACTTCACAAAGCAGACTTGTCATGAAGACTAATGAAGACAAAAACTGCTCATAAATCCTTTGTCACACAAACCTCCACAAATACTTTACGTCAGATGCATAAATCTAACTATAAATGGATAAAAAAGTCAGATTTGAGCCACTAGTGTATATCAGAGCTCAGATGGGGGAGTTGAGATTTAAGGAATGTAGATCCGGAGAGGGGGGTTTGTTTCTCACCAACTGATTCAGTCTGATTCACAAGCCGAGCAGCTCGTAAAACAACACCATTTACAATGAGTGTGGCTTGTTTTACAGCAAAGTCTCGTCTCTGCTTGCTTGCCCGCTCAGATCAGCGGTTTACCGGGCATATTTCTGCAGGAGATGATATGTGGTGACGAAATCCTTCTTCAAAGGGATCAGGGCGTTTACTCAAACGTGGAGCCAGCGGTGTTTGCTCTGATTTACATTCCAGTTTTGGAATAATCCACAAGAAAACCGCAAGACTTTCCAACAACACATGCCAGTGTGAAACCAGGATACGTCTTTGTGTGGTCTAATTTTATCTTATCATCACAATTTATGACTCATGTTTCAAGGTTTCTGGCTCCGATTGTGTCTCAGTCTCAGTGCAAAAATAAATTTTATATGTCAAAACAGCTGAATATCACTGTTGACAGCTTATTAGTTTTGAATGTGTCGAAGTGCCAAAGGCTCAGACAATAATGTAAAACTCTCCAGAGGCAACCACAACTTTTCATGCTTGTAACACTCCTGACAAATCATTTCCTGACGTGTGGTAAAACAAATGAGTTGGGCTGAAAAGCGAGTCCTCAACTGAACCAGAAAGCACTTTAAAAAAAAGAAAGAAAAGAAAAGCAGGTCAAGGGAAGGAAGAAGTGATCGAGATAATCTGACCAGCTTGGTGACTCAGTATTAATCACTCAGTTTGAAGGCTGAGCAACCCTGGTTGAATAGTTGAGTCAAAATTATCTCAATTGTTTCCAGCTTCTGCTTTCTCATAGCAGGACAAACTGCAGCTGTACTTCTCTAAAAGTGTCTTTCAATGTTCCAAAATGTGACAACAATTCATTTGAACGAGTCCGGAGGGGACAGCAGGTGTGTGTCATCACAGCTGTTGCATTAACCTATTAACCCTATTTGTCATGATGTCCGTTGAAAAAGTGATGAAACAGGAAGTCATGACAGAAAGCTGCTCCTGTCTTGATACTCTGATCTGGGTGGCTGATCACCATCGACTATCCTCAACCGCAGTGGATCCCAACCTGGGGTCAGGACCTCCCATGGGGTCTCAAGAAAAGTCTGAAGAGATCACCAGATAATTCTTTCAACAATTCTTTGGTTGCTCTGTATAACTCTTGCTGCTCTGCTGGTTTCCCATAGGGACGTCCACATTCCTGTATATCTTGTACAATCATGACTGCAGGAATCAGTATAGGGACAGGAACGACCTCACTAAACAAAGGACATGGCCACTGACTTCAGAAAAGCACGTCCTTCAACAGATGCCATGACTGGAGGGCAGTCAGTGCCGCAAAAATTACTGATACGGACTTAAGTGTCTAGTAAATCAACCAGAAGCATCACAGTGGGACTTCCTTGTGTAGGTCACAACATCTAAACGGTCTTCAAGGAGTTGGGGGTGGGGTGGGGTGGAGTGGAGTGGAGTGGGGTGTGCCAAGCACTTCGCACAAACACCTTGAGGGATCACTACATCAGAGACAGAACTAGGACCCTGAGCAAAAACAGACCTCATCAGCTTGAAACTGAAGACACTTCACAGATTGTTCACGGCGTCATATACAGGTGCATCTCAATAAATTAGAATATCATGGAAAAGTGAATTTATTTCAGTGATTCAATTCAAAAAGTGAAACTCATATTATATAGATTCATGACACACAGGGTGAAATATTTCAAGCCTTTATTTCTTTTAATTTTGATGATTATGGCTTACAGCTAATGAAAACCCAAAATTCAGTATCTCAGAAAATTTGAATATTGTGAAAAATATTGTAGACTCACGGTGTCATGACGGTCTAATCAGCTAATTAACTCAAAACACCTGCAAATGTTTCCTGAGCCTTTAAATGGTCTCTCAGTCTGGTTCAGTAGGCTACACAATCATTGGGAAGACTGCTGACTTGACAGTTGTCCAAGAGACAGTCATCGACACCCTCCACAAGAAGGGTAAGCCACAAAAGGTCACTGCTAAAGAAGCTGGCTGTTCACAGAGTGCTGTATTCAAGCATATTCATAGAAAGTTGAGTGGAAGGAAAAAGTGCGGTAGAAAAAGGTGCACAAGCAACAGGGATAACCGCAGCCTTGAGAGAATTGTGAAGCAAAGGCCATTCAAGAATTTGGGGGAGATTCACAAGGAGTGGACTGAGGCTGGAGTCATCGAGAGCCACCACGCACAGACCATCCAGGACATGCGCCTGCCAAGCCACTCCTGAACCAGGGACCAACGTCAGAAGCGTATACCTGGGCTAAGGAGAAAAAGGACTGGACTGTTACTCAGTGGTCCAAAGTCCTCTTTTCAGATGAAAGTAAATTTTGCATTTCATTTGGAAATCAAGGTCCCAGAGTCTGGAGGAAGAATGGAGAGGCACAGAATCCAAGTTGCTTGAAGTCCAGTGTGAAGTTTCCAGTCAGTGATGATTTGGGGAGCCATGTCATCTGCTGGTGTTAGTCCACTGTTTTATCAAGTCCAAAGTCAGCGCAGCTTTCTACCATTTTAGAGCACTTCATGTTTCCTTTTGCTGACCAGCTTTATGGAGATGCTGATTTCATTTTCCAGCAGGACTTGGCACCTGCCCACACTGCCAAAAGTACCAATACCTGGTTTTAATGACCATGGTATCACTGTGCTTGATTGGCCAGCAAACTCACATGACCTGAACCCCATAGAGAATCTATGGGGTATTGTCAAGAGGAAGATGAGAGACACCAGACCCAACAATGCAGACGAGCTGAAGGCCCCTATCAAAGAAACCTGGGCTTCCATAACACCTCAGCAGTGCCACAGGCTGATCGCCTCCATGCCATGCCGCATTGATGCAGTAATTCACGCAAAAGGAGCCCAACCAAGTATTGAGTGCATATAAACATACTTTTCAGCAGGCCAACATTTCTGTATTAAAAATCCTTTTTTTAAATTTTTTTTTTATTGATCTCATGTAATATTCTAATTTTCTGAGATACTGAATTTTGGGTTTTCATTAGCTGTAAGCCATAATCATCAAAATTAAAAGAAATAAAGGCTTGAAATATTTCATTCTGTGTGTCATGAATCTATATAATATATGAGCTTCACTTTTTGAATTGAATTACTGAAATAAATTCACTTTTCCATGATATTCTAATTTATTGAGATGCACCTGTAGCATGAATGGTGACCTCAAAGTCAACAAACAACGAAAAGTCTACAGTTGTTCTAGGAAATTGGGTGTGAAGTGCTAATAGGTCAATGAGTTGTTTGGTAGTTAATTTCTGTAATCTGGTGTGGAAGGAAGAGAAAGATGTTTGGTTAAAATACCGCTGATAGCAAGTTAAAAAGATACTGGAACTGGGAAAAGGCAGAGGCATAGACGAAGGATCATCGACAAGATCTTCATGGAAAAACTGACTTGTTTCTCGAGACTACAAGAAGCACAAATGGAAGAAAAATTGACTTTATACAAGACTCAAAATGATGACTTCAGAACAGAGCTGGAGGCTAACCCAACAACAGTTCAATATAAAATAAGAATGAATTTCAAAGGCAGTTTTTTTGGTGGTTTGTTTTGTTACTGTAACTGACTAATGGTCAAATGATGACGGTAGATTAAAAGTCAGAGGTTATTACAATTCAAAGTTATTACAGTTCATGAATATCTGTACAATATATGTTCAGGTTTTTGGACTGACTGAAAGACAATGTCATAGAGCCATGCTGCTAGCAGGTTCACTATCTGTCATTTTTAACTCTCAAAAATTCAGTATTAGTCGGCCTCTACCTTTTACTCTCTGTTGTTATGCTGCAACTTCAACCATTACAACCAACACCAGAGTCATGCCAAAGTCTTTTATTTTATTACCAGGCAAACATTTGATCTTTATACAATGACATTTCTAGAAATCAAACATTCAGAGACAAAGTTAAACCATCAGATGAAAACAAATACTCAAATGGAAAGAAAACCGACAAATCGAGGTACTTAAATACAAAATATATTTTTCTCCATTGCACTTCGACTTCATAAATACAACCCAGAAGGTTAATTTCTCTCTGGCCCAAAGTAACCACGTGAAAACACAGCTGACACCTGACGGTGTAACTGCAGTACATTCAGTCGTTTACTGTCCTGGTTTCCTGTGAGCATCTCAGATCTGTTCATTCAGAAGATGCCGACTGTGCTACAGTGTTTGATGGAAACCAGGCTGTTCACACCTCCATGAAAAATGTTGCGTTCACATCATAGATGATCGGATAGGATGGCAGAGTCGCATGTTTACATCTATAGCTGAAAGGCGAAAGGATTAGTCAATTAATTGATTAGTTGAAACTAATGATCAAACGACTAACACTTGTTTTGTCTGACTCACAAAAGCTACTGAGGTCTAATAGATCAATGAATTAACTAATCACTGCAGCTCTAGATTAGTCGATTGACAAAATGATTGGACAAATATGATTGATTAATCATTTCAATGTGAGAAATCACTGCTTTTGTCTGTTTTATGTCATTTTTAAGATGAATATCTTTGTGGTGCTCTGGAACATTATAATAAACATTGAGTGCAACTTGAGACACTATTATGACAACAGACTTGGTTGTGTGAGCGTTAAAAATACTGTGCTTTAGCACTAAATACATTAAATTTGGGTTTTTTTACCTTGAACGATGGTAGACTTTGCTTTTTAGGGCTGCGATTAACAATTAAAAGTGAAAATAACAATTTCCCACAGCAGAAGATGATGTCTTCAGCTTTCTGTATTTGACCAGGAGTCCAAAACCCACCGATTCTCAGTTTACAGTTAACTATCATGTAAGATGGAGAAGCTGGAACCAAAAAACATTCTATTTTTGCTTAAAAATTGGCAAAAACAATTAATTTGCACTTTTGACTTTTCCTTTCTACGACTAATCAATTAATCAACTCATCATTTAAGCTCGACTCCTTGCCAACTGTTAAATCAGCTCAATATGACATGAACGCAGCATAAACCGTCCAAAGAAATAGAAATATTATGTGCACATAAATGAGACTCAAACCCATTTTGAAAGACAGATGTACATTATAGACACTGTATAAACATAATGGCCCGCCACGTCTGTCTGCCTATGATATATAACACTTTATTTAAAAAAAAAAAAAAAAAAATTAAGATGTACATAGAATCTAAATCCCAGAATGTTTATAGTAAAATATATCAAATTGATTATGAGACAATAACAGTTTCCGTCTTGTTGTGACCGTGAATCCTGCGACAGTTTTGGCAGCCTGGAACGGTTCATCTCTTCACAGAGAGAACACATGGGAGTATCAAAGTGCGGTTTGCTTGATTGTAATTTCCTCCTCGACCCTCCCTCCCTCACCCCTCCACCACTTCCTGTCTTTTCCTTGTGTGTCACGAGGCTGACCTAGTTCCCTTGTTTCTGCCGAATATTCTCCCATGTGATGAATGAATCCACCTCAAACCCTCCAAAAATCCGGTGCTACAGTTTGCTCAATATTGCAACAGTAGAAATGAGAATCACCAGTTTTTATGAGTTATGATAAATAATGTGCAGCAGAAGGCGAAGGAGTTAGAGAGACACAGCTTCATTTGTTTTCTCATACAAAAACAAGAATATTCATTGATCAAACTTTCCACCATGTGAGACGATGAGAGTGGACAGACACCACTGAGCATGGGTGAACTCTGTCTTGTTTTTTTTTTTGTTTTTTTTAAAAAGTAGATCAAGAGAACCATTTTTAAGAGAATATCCCGAGTCCATGTACAACTATACAAGGTTTGGTGCCTTTCTGCTGAGTTAACAGCTCACAGTCCTTAGTGTTACTCGGAGCACAAGCAGGGATGGAGGACATGACAGGTCTTACGCATTTCGCTTTTTTAATTTTGTTGTTAAAGTTTCGTATTTTGTCCAGCTCCAGTCTTGGTCCTTGAAAGAGGAAAACCACGGAGTTAAGATGTGAGATGACAAAACCAGAATCAAAGAGACGTATTTTAAGTAAGTGTGAAAACAAACTTCCCCAGAATGAAGTACTAAAATATCTTTATTTCCGAAAATCAATTTATGATTGTGTGTTTTTTCCCCTTTTTAAGGGATTTTTTTAAATAATTACTTTTTCACCAAGAAACTTGGATCTTAGAGGATGTCATTTGGTGAACTGTCACATCACTGTATCAGCCTTTAAATAAATCTTTCTCTGTAACTAAGACAGTACAGTGCTGAACACTCCTGTTGTATGTACATTATAGATATTATTGTATTGTCTGATCACATCGCACATGTGTTCATGTGCAGATAATGTTTCAGTCTTTGTTATGACTCTAAAGTCCACAGACACAATCCATTTGGTCCTGTGACACTTTCCAAACACTTTGGAAAGTTTTAAACTTAATTATCAAAAAAAAAAAAAAAAAAAAATGAAAGATGGAGTTTGTAATGACCATAAACATATACACCCTCAGTTTCACCGCTGGTCGTAGTGTTGATGCAGACACATTGTGATCTTTTATACATTTTTGTCAACTAAAATCTATTTTACTGTTTATGGTCCACTCCACATATTCCCTCTGTTTGACCTTTTACCTGCTGTGTCGTCACTGGAGAAAATGACACATGATGTAAATAATAAATCTGTTTACTCTTAACTTAATTCTTGTTGTAACTTTGTGTTTTTATCTTTCTTTGCTAGATTTTAGTTGTTTTATTTAGATTAAAATTATTATTAAAAATACTAGATAATAGAAAGTGCAAGATTGACAACATGATATAAGCTTTAAGTGTCATCCTTTCTTCATAGTCCAGTGTCATTAGAACTACACTGATAATTAACTGAAATTCAGACCATTTTTCATGTTTTCCAAAGGGGAAGCAAGCACACAATTCATATTTGACTTTTATAAAGCTGTGTTCTGTGAAGAAAATCTTGCTTTAAAAATCCAGGTCAGCTAAAACACCACAAATGGAAACCAGTCAACTCACCACTATGCTCTTGCCCTGTTCATCAGCAGCCTCCTGCATCAGGCTGGTCAGCTGACTGAGGTACTTCTGGTTCTCCTGCAGCAGACGTGGGGCAGCATCACTGAGAGGGGACACACAGACACAGAGAGCCTGTTAGAAACCAGCTGATCACATGTTGACTCCATCATGTATGTACATACAATGTATTTAGTATTTCACCACGTACAGCTGAATGGCTCAGGAGAGAAAACACACTGACATACAAAATCATGTATAGCAGTATTCACACATGCCTGTACAGTCACTCAAAGCTTTATCTGTCTGTTCCCAGCTGATAATAAATACACTGACAACTGTATGGGCCATAAAAGATAATGATATTCATATGACATCATGCATTCAGTCCTGCGGCTTTTTCATGTTTCTTGAAAAACATACAAACAAATGGATACAAGTTAAGTACAATTATAGTATAACACAAAATAACTGACACATAAATCATCCCATGTGCAGTCACAAGCTGTTGTTTGTTGTTATAAAACATTAAGTTGATCCATCTTAAAGGGGAAATATGCTCTTTGTGATTTTCTGTCATTTATATACTGTTATGATATCGGATGTCTGTGTTATACATGGTCTTAGTTTCAAAATTTGAGGTAAACATATAGAAAAATGGCGAGGGGGTGAATACTTATACTAAAACTATTTTCCCAACACAAATCAATGAAACAATCAGTTACCTGTCATTTGGCCCAGGTAGGGAGGTGAGAGGATGTGGGGAGCTGACAGGCTGTGCTGACTGTGACCACTGAGAAACCTGCAGCAGGTTGGACGACTCGGGACTGGCTGCTATCGAGCTGCGTGACGAGTTTTGAGCCTGACAGAGAGAGAGAAGGAGATCGTACTGATACACGCAGTAATAACAAACATTTTTCTCTTTCTCCTAGAAAAGGAAGACCTTCCTGCTATCTGTTTTAACTAAGTTATAGACTAAGGGAAGCAACAGAGGACAGAAAGTACCACTGCTGGGGAGCAACGCTGACCCATAGGACTGACTTATGAGCTGAAGAGAAACAGATAAGATGGACAACGTGGAACTGAAATGATTAGTCGATTGGATGATTGGCAGAAAATGAATCAGAAACTATTTTGATAACTGATTAATCATTTGTCAATCAAAAATATCAAACATTCGCAAATTCTAGCATCTCAATTGTGAGGATTTCCTGTTTTAGACAAGTGAAACAACGTGAAGACATGACCTTGTTCTTCAGAAAATTACTTTGGGCGTTTTGTTGAAAAATGACTAATGAGTTAACAAAGAAACTGATGTACAGAGAAACAGAATATCAAAGTTATTTTCAAACCCCTAAGACAGTGCAACACGGTTTTTATTGAATTACAGTAAACTACTCTGGTTATTAAATCAAAGGCAGCAGAGCCCTCAGTGGGAATGTACAGACGAGCCAAAACATTATGACGAGCAATGTTGATTATCTAATCCAAGTAAAACAAAGAAAAAAACACAAAACTGGCCTGGAAGAAAATAAACAATGCAGAGTAACTTACACATGCAATCTTCAGTAGATGCCAGAACTCTCTCTGTCTCTTTATCTGCATCTGCATCACTGTGTTGTCCGCATCCTTGATGCTCTCCAGAGTTTTCTCAATTCGCGGAAACAAGTCAATGATCTTCTGTTTGCTGATTAGGATTTTACTGTTGGGAAGAGACAAGATAGGACAGGCCATAAAATACAGTAGCAGTACTGTGGCTCTTTGAGGTATCAAATGGGTGGTGTTTTCATGTCAGACAATAGATCAATAATCAATACTAGTAGGACAAAGATGAGGGAATCACAAGGAAGTGTGAAGTGATTTATACACCTTTCATTCTCAAAGTAAAATCACAGGTGTGACGTTCCCAGTAAAGTAAAAAACTGAATGTCTCTGAGGACAAGGCTCTCACCTGAGGTGGGTGTACAGATCTTTGAGGACCTTGTCTTGGTTCTGGACTGTCTGAATGATGGCCTTCACCATCTCAGAACTGTCACTGCTCACATCTGGCTCAGGTACTGAGAGACATGCATCAGATAAATCACTGAACACACACTTTTGAGAAATGCTTAAATTTTTCTTTTTCAGTAAGAATAAGCCATTACATGTATTATTGTGATCTGGTATCATAACATTTTGAACAACAATGAATGTGATTAAAAGGTCTCTTACTTTTGCACTTCATCTTCAGTTGCTTATAGAGCTCGATGGCCTTTTCTTCTCTGCAACAAAATGAATTAGATTTTAACATTTACTGACCACAGTCTGAAGCTCTGTCACTGACCCCTGACAGCTCACATCAGGAAACTTCTTGGCAGATGAGAGCCGACAGCTGTTTATTTTGAGGTCTTTTACACAGCAGGTTATTGTGTGGTGCAGCATATTTAAAATGCCAGTGGACTGGAGCCCGTCTTGTCTGCCCCATGGAAGTGACACCAGCCAGAGCTTTAACAGCAGCACAGAGGAGGGTTTGTTTGTTTTTAAACAACAAACCCTTTAATTCAAATCGAGCAGTGGCAGGTGGTGAGTGGACGGCTGCTAAAAGCGCACATGAAGAGAGCTCGATCCAGTGGATTAGCAAACAAGAAAGCAGTGACTTTTCATGATTTCAGATTTTTACCAAAGTTTTAAAAACCCCCTCTCCAAAACAGAAACTTTCATCCTCAAACATAAATGTAGTTTCTCAGAAATCTCACAGCGATCTGCACATTAGATTTGATATATCTCTTGGTACTTTCTACAAAGTTCCGTTCATACTAACAGATGCTTGTAATCAAAAACTCATGAACAAAGTGGGGTCCCTGTAGACTGAGGGGGTCAAGGGGAAACCCAACATAGATTATCTACAGCATAGGTTTTGATTCACAGTTAATGCTGCGTTCATGTTATATCATTTATACTGTAGTTATGAGCAGCCAAGTAGGAAAAACATTCACATCAGCCCCAACTTGTAATTCCAAGTCAGAGATGTCAGGATTTTCAGACACTGACAATGAAAAGAACAAGAGACGTGTCAAACTATTTGCAGAATAGCTGTGAATGCACCACTCACTGTTGGCAGTTACATCAGAATAAAATCCAATATTAACACTAACACAATCCATTCAGCTCATTTTATAAGAGCCATGTGCTGTTTGTGTTTGGTGTCACTTGGTAACGAGATGCCACACATATGTTACACAACAAAAGAAGCTAATTTAGGCTGTTTATCTGATGTGACCACAACGTTAGCATTAGGGCTAACAACCCTTGAAGAAAGCGTAACCTCTCATGTCAGAAAACAGGATGTTCCTTCTTGGCTGAATTTGAACTAAATGAAAAGTTAAGATATCATTATTGTCATCAAATGTATCTCACAATAAAGTGTCTTTATGTCAGACAGACCAACTGACATTACCATCCTTCAGCCGGGCACAAACATCTGTACTTTATTATTATTATTATTATTATTGTTATTACATACAGATGTTTTACAACAAAACATGGGATAAGGTCTATTGTTGATTTCTACACTATATTGGTGATGTATTATAGTGTATGAACCCAGTGTGGGGTCAGACTCCATTAACACTCACAGCTGCTCCATCTTGTCTCCTTGGCGTCGAGCGTACGGGCTCCTCTGAAGTTCCACTATCTCAGAGTGCAGAGCCATGATCTCATCATCCAAATGGCTCACCTCTGCCACCTGCAGGACAAAACAGGAATCAGACTGTCACACAAAGGATTTGTACTGGATAAACATCAAAGGCCATTTTTCATGTGTTACATATTTTGATTTGTTACCTGTGCAAACGCAGCAGCTCTCTCCTCGTTCTCCTGCCAGGCTTTCAGCATCTTCTCAGAGGCTTTGGACAAACAGACAACTCATCAAAACAGGAACATCTTGTTCAGTGATATAAAAATATTCCCATATGTAAACACTCTCCATTAGAGGGTTAAGTATCAAATCAAAACAAACGGCTGCCAGTAAACACTCACATATGCCATAGTGCATCTGATCACTGTATTTCTCCAGGTCATACTGGATGCTGCTCTTGAAGAAGTCCAGTTTGGCTTTCAGCTGCTGAGAGAAGCCGAACATGCTGTTCTTACACCTGGTCAGGTTGGTGTTGTAGCGCAGGAGGCTCAACCTGGAGGGGGGAGGAGACAGTTAAGAGTTAGAAAACTTAGTCCACACAGGAAACAGCTGCTTCTCCTGCAGGATTACTTTACAAAGTACCTTACATGGACTAGAGCTGGAGTTATGTTAAATAAAAAAGAGTCTACTGTAATTAATATTCTGCTGACAAGTTAATTATTACTCCCATTTTCCAATCTAAAGTTTTAAATGTTGACATATATTTGTACGGGGATTGTTTAGAAGAGTTGCTGCAAATTAAATTAAGAAAAAAAAAAAAGAAAAAGAAAAAATCTAATACCCATTTTTACAATCAGACCAAAGTATTAGTTACTAAACTGTGATTTCTTGAAAGCAGAACATTAATATTTATTTGGAAGCTTCACTTGGGCTTGGTGTGGTTAAAAAGACAGATGTCAGATTGAGATGTATAGTAAAAGGCAAAATCTATAAGAAAACATAAACAAGCATAGTGTAGCCGTACCTCCAAAAATCTTTACACAAGATACTTGTTATCAGTCCCACATTAACTGACAGGTCATTTTAATAAATGGACCAACAGCTGACAAAAACTACATCTAAGTTATCAAAGTGTTTGGTGCTAGTAAAGGTTTGTTTACACCTGTTACACAGATTTTTCATCTGAAACTGCAGCTGAATAAAATGACAAACTGCAGAAGTCGGTCATGTGACTCACATAGCAGCCCTCTGTCCTTGGAAAAGTCTGCTGTAGTCCTCCTTCAGACCGCAGATGTAGCTCACTGCTTCACCCCAAACCTTCTTCAGTGCAACCAGGGGCAGCTGGGTCTTGGCCTCTTGGACTGAAGAGTTAAAACAAGTATCAAAACAGTGTGAACGACACAGGCAACATGTGGTAATTTAAGCTGTCAATAGGGATGGTTTTCATCACTGTAAAAACACCTTCAGCGATAGGACAGATTTTATACCCAATATACCAATTAATCTGTTTCATATGTTAGCGGGCTACAACCAGAGCTGCTGTAGCAGCTGAAGCAGCAAGACAGGGTGAGGAAGGGATAACAGCAGGAATAACTTCAAATAAACTCACCAATAGTATTGACTTTGTCAGGCAGCTGTCTGGCACTGAAGGGACCGGAGTACTTGGTGATGCTCTTGTCAAACAGGTAGACGATATAGCTGTCCCAGCCTCTCTGCAGAGGAGAGAAGAAAATCATCACTTTCTTGTAGCTTATTACTGGGTTGTTCAAAGTCCCTCAACGCACATACAGTGAGTGTGTAGTATGAATCATAACACCTGCAGATGGAGGTTTTTTCTGCATCACTGTGGTTTTTCAGTCTTTTGCAAACATATTCCTATGTTTGTAAATGTTCCCGTGGGAGACAAGAACAGAAAATGTTGCCTCCATTAGAGCTGGTGACAGGAGAGGGCTGACAGGACATGGGAGGGATGAGATGGGGGATAACACAATGCAACAAAGGTCCTTCAGCTGAGTAAAGCTGATCGAAGCTGCAGGTATTAGCAAGAGTATATTTGAAGTTATATTCTGACATTTCATAGCTGATTAAAATTTTGTATATATTTATGTTTATTTTGTATGCATCACAGTTGCATCTCTTCTTTTTATAGTACCCCATTGGTCTGTTATTGATTCTGTACATTAATTTATCTTTATATATTTCTGCCTGCATTTGGTTATATGCTAAACTTTAGCTGTACTGGTACTAAGTGTGTAATGCTAAAGCTGAACTTCATATGATCTTTTCAAGGCTTTAAAAAGGAAATTACAGCAGTCAACCATCAACTTACCACTCCATCCAGGACACACTGTGCAGCAGGCTTCCGGGGGTCCAGTGACACGCCCGTCTCCTGCAGCAGCTCCTGGTTCACCACTTCGATCCTGGTCTCTGCCTCAATGCGCTTCTGCAAACTGTGGAGACTCTCGTCCGGAGTCAGCTGGAAGGAGTGGACCTGAGCTGTGGTCATGTTCAGGATGTGCACAACCTGGAGAGACAGAGGGCAAGAGCTGTCAGTGTTGGTACAGGTGAGCTCACATCCACATACTTTTATTCATTTTCAAACCTGTAGTCTTCAGACCTGGCTGACAGATTTCATACAACTCCCTCTGGAAGAACAAATGGCTTTACACTACTTTTTCTGTAGATACATTAGTGCTCCCAACACCCACCACCAGGGTCAGATCTTCCTAGCACAACATATAGAAAACCAAGTTGGCATTTAATGTCCAAGGCAACTTGTGTTTTTTTCTTTGAGTGTTTTATTTAGAACTTCTTATAACCTAAATCAAGATAAAGCCCAAAACCCAACAAACCAAAACCCTGTATTTCAACTTCCAGCCATGTACACACACAGCATTTTCAGTTCTCCTCAAGAAACACTCAGGTCCTTTGAAGTAATCCTATAGCTTTCAGTCAGAAAGAAGATGACAAACTGTTTTGATACTGACACTGAAACTCAGGTATTGTATCGGCACAAGTAATGACAGAGTAACCCTCAGCATTTTCACAATATTACAAACAGCAGGTACCAGCTACAAGATGCTAACTGCTGACTCCGTGCAGCTGACTTAACAGCCCTGATAAAACTACCAGTAACTCACTTTCATACTCAGTATCTGCTCCAGCACTTCAAAGCACAGGGGTTTCTTAGTGTCGGAGTTCAGTTTGCCTCCTCTCTGGACAGGATCCCACTTTAACATCAGCTGAAGCAGAGCCTCCATCGGCTCCAACAGAGTCCTATAAAACAGCAATTTAAACATGTCTTCAAGGTCTGTTTTGCTTTTTATTTGAATCACTACAACACAAGTAAAAAGCTCCTGGCTTTACAGACACCAAGCGACATGGGCAGTGTGCAACAACACAATCTGTCCTCACAGAAAAGGACACAAACCGCCTATCATAATTACTGTGATAATGTGTATAAACGGCTGCCAAATCTTTAATTAAAAGGGATTTTAAGAGTCACATGGTTCCAACCTGCTCAGATTGTTGGGGTAGGGAAGGTGTGTGGAGAATCTGACTTCTCCGTTTAATTCCTCTACAGCCATGATGTCCTTTGGACCTTTATTCCGTACTTTGCTGGCCCTGTGGATGAAGAGAGACAGAAGTCGATTAATCAATAAGCTGATTGACCGGAAAATAATCGGCAACTATTATAATTAAACTAATATTCTCTGATTTCAGCTGATCGAATTTGCCTCTTTTGCTGTCTTATATCAGGGTTTTGGTCGAACAGAACACGACATCCGAAGATGTCATCTTCAGCTCCGTGAAGATGTGACAGGCATTTCTTCACAATGTTTTGATGTTACATAGATTAAATGATTAACCAGAAAAATATTAATAATAGAGTAATTATTATTAAAAGAGTAACTGATGATGAAAACAGTCACTAGTTGCAGCGGTAGACAGGATGATGATGGATAGATTCACATGTCAAAATGATTCCATTGTAAAACATGAAATGTTTTCTATACAAAGCACAAAAAGCAAAGTTCAATGAAATAAAAATTTTATTTCAAATTTAATTTTGGCTATACTTCAAAATATAATTATTAGTCATGGAAAATGCTGGTGTCAGTTGTTTCCAAGCAGCACTGACATTTATGGTCCTTTCCTAATATACTTACTAATAATCAGAAATAATGATACTTGAAAGTGCAAGTCAAACTGAATCTACAAATGAGTATATCATGTCTGTGTGTTCATGTTCCACTGAGTTACCACTCTAAGAAAAATACGAATTGGGAGCTCAGGGTTTTAAGGTGCTGTCAAACTACAAAACCAACTTATCGTTGTTTTCAGATCATCAGCACAAACTGATTAACTGCTAAAATAAATCACTCCTGCACCAAATTTGTATGCCATACTGGTTTACTCAGGTTGACTTACCACTGCACAGGTTGCAGGTTGTGCAAGAAAGGACGAAAACCACAACTGCATTCAAATATCATTGTGCCAAAGCTCCAGTAGTCCACAGTGACTGTGTATGGCTTATTCTCAAAGAGCTCAGGTGCCTGCAGGGAAAAGTGGAACTTGTCAATACGATCCATTTATCATTATCCACTTTGATGTTTTTCCCCCATCTATCAATTTACAGCAAGTGATTATATAATTTTCTACTGTTTATCCAACACATGCTGTGACAAGGTGCATTAGCATTTCAACATTTCATCACGTATGAAGGCAGGAAGATAAAGACGGAACTACTTGTTTTCTTAAGTTCTTACCAGGTACTGCAGCGTGCCGACAAATGAGGTACACAGACTACCCTGGTCAAGGTCTTTTGCGTAGCCCAGGTCAATGATTTTGTGAACGAGCTGTAGAAGAAGAAGTAAATGTGAGATAATGTTAAGATGGTGTCAAGTCAAACAGAGGAGGCAGGAAACCAAAATGCAGAAGTTTACCTTTCCGCTGATATTTTGCAGCACTATGTTTTCAGGTTTAAGATCTCTGTGGATGATCTTGTTTTCGTGCAGATACTGGATACCAGATCCTAGAGTGGGAAATCAGTGGTTTAACTACATAAGACTGTAAAAGAACAAGGTGCACACATAGAAAAGAAAACAGTGGACATACCAACATCATTCAGTAATGAAAGCACTTCGCTCTCCTTCAAACCGCAGCAGTTTTCAGGTTTGCTCAGCACCTGTGACCAAGACAAATACAACCCTGTCACACCTGCAGAAAATCTACATGTGATGACAGAATGGTAACACAACCCTGCTGACATGAGATGCACTGATAAGCTACCTTAAAACTGAGATTTTTTCAAACAGTGTTTAAAGAAGATTAATTTAAAAACTCTATTTTATTTGGGAAAAAAAACAGAGCTTTCGGAATAGAATAACAAAACCCCTCTCTGTGATCACTTATTTTAATATAGCTAATACAACCAATCACTAAGGTGTTGTCATGAAGCTGCATTTATGTTGATTTTGTCATAAAAGAGTGATGTTAACCACGGTGCTGCAGAGCAGCTGTGCCTCATTAAAAGGCAGCAATTATCACCTGAGATCAAATCATTATTTCGTGCTTGTTCAGTTGTCAACAACAGAAACAGAAAAATACAGACCTAAATAATGAGATTAGCGATAATTTAACATATTAATGTGATCAAAGAGAGCAGGGGGAAGCAGAAAAGTGTTAATCAGCTGAGACTCAGCTCAGACTGTCACACTGCTTTCCAGATGTTGACAGTTTTATTGTTTGTTGATTGAAGAGCACAAACACAAAGAGGTTCAGCAGTTTTCCTATAGTTCAGGTGTTTTAGTTTGGACAGAGACCTTTAAGAAAATGACCTGAAAACACTACTGCGTACACATGATGTTTTCACAAGTAAATAGCATTTTCAATTTTTGCTGGCTTATTGTGGATGTACTCTTCAATGAGTCACTCGCCTTCCTCAGGTCTCCTCTGGAGCAGTACTCCATGGCTAGCAGTGGAAGATCATTTAAGGCTATGTGCTTCATCTCCTCCGGGACATCTCGGGCTGTCACAACATTTATGTGATTTAATCTGAGTGAGAGAGACGGACAAGTCAGACCTACATTACTTTTTCATACACCCATACAGATTTTACGTAGTCATCCACTGCTACCACAGCTACACACTGCACAGTAACTCAGATGTCACATTTCATCTAACTGAATGCTGTGTAGCTGTATCATCATTATGATATCAGGATACCATTGTATAATCTTTAAATCAAACTGTCCCCACAGGAAGAAAATAAGTACAAACTTTTTCATGATCTGGATTTCTCTGCTCCATCTGTCCTTATTTCTTGGCGTGAGCTCCAGACGACACATCTTCACTGCCAGTTTTTCATTTGTTTCCTACAAAACAGACGACAGAAATTTCATTACCACATAAATGCATAAAAATGTAATAAATGTTTTGGAGGATTCCTATCCAGTTGCATTCAAAAGTTTGGGAAAATCACATATTTTGTTGATTTTGAAAGTGAAAAATTGTAAGCAACCCCTGCAAAAAACAGACATTAAAGACATACTGTGTTACTTTTTATTTCATGAACTTAAAAAAAAGATTTTTTTTTTTTTTTTTTAACTTCTGATTTGTCAGATATCACAGCTTGCAAACACTTTTTGTAGCAGATAAGAGTCTTTCAATTCTTGATTGATGAATTTTCACCCACTTTTCAAGCTCCAAGATATGTTTAGTCTTTCCTGCACTCACAGCATGTTCATGATCTAATTTTGGATTTTCAGTGATGTTCAGGGACTGTGTGGGCTGTTTAAAAAACTTCATTGTCCTGAAACCAGCCTCTTTTCACTTTCACTTTCTTGACTGACCACAGGATATTTGCATCCAGAATTTGCTGATATTTAGTAGAATCCATTCTTCCATCAGTGCAGCATTTCCTGTGTCACTGGTACGCCCCCCCCCCCCCAACAGCTAACAAAGGGGTGTTAAAGCACTGACTAAGAAAGGTGTTCAAACTTTTAACTTTTTAGATCATGAAATTAAAAGTAACAGTGCATTAACATTTTAAGAAAGGCTTATTTTAATACCCGTTTGCAGCAGGGGTTGTATTTACTCCCCCTCACTTTCACTGTGATGCAGTTATTTTATGGGTTACTTTCCAAGGTGCCCCTTCATGCTTTTTACATGTAATTGGCACAACACTCACATGATGTTGGTAGAGGTAAACATGGGCAAAGCCGCCCATTCCCAGCCTCTCTCTCAGCTCCCAGTCTCCGCAGTTCTGGTTCTGCCTGAAGGGAGGTTTCTCCATTGTTAAAACTAGACCTGCAATAATCAATGACTCAGTTAGTTGATGGGACAAACAATTAATCACCAATAACTATCATTTTACCCATATTTTAGGCAAAAACTACAAAGATTTGCCGTTCTTAGCTTCTCGAATTTGAGAATTTAATGTTTAACAACGTCATACTTGCCAGTAAACTGAATATCTTCGATTCTTGTAAAGATGTAAAATGTGTGTATGGTAAATTACAAATGCGTTTTCGGGGGTTTCACAGAGGAAGAATCGATTAATACAAATAATAATCCTCAGATTATGAAAAGAAATAATGCAGCTCAAATTGTAACACAAACTGGGCCAAAATGTATAAATAACGTTTAAATAACCTAACATAGCTTTATTTCAATACATTTACTTTCAAGGCATATGGAGTAATGAATCTAATGAGCTTGTTAAATTTCGTCTACCTAAATGAACCTGTCAAGCACAGGGGCACGACTATATCCTGGACCAGCTGCAAGGCTAATGTCAGTTTACTTTCGGTGTTAGCATAATAACGTTGTGAAATTGACATTTTATGCCGATGTGGCACAAAAAAGAAGTTTATTCTGACAAGTAACACGTATAATTAAGAGATGCCAGTTATGAGAATACAAACACAAAGCAAACTATTTAAAATATTAGCTTCATTGGCTAACTGCCGAACAGCTACTCTTTAGCCAAGCGACAGCTGCCCGGGAAATAGCCGGAGCCGTTCACTACCTTTCCAGCATTAGGAAATGAAGGCTTCGACGGCAGTAAAGTGACACCTCAGTGTATGTTTTTTAGACGAACCGCCGTTAAAACGTGTCTTGGGACTTACTTGGGGGTCTCTACAATGGTGTCATGAGCCGTTGTCGGTAGAAATGTGGCTGTGTCTTGTTGTTTTCAGGTCAGTGCTGCCTGCGCCGTGAGACTGTGTACTTTCCTGCGTGATGTCACCAGAAACCCCGGCTGTGCTTCTTCGAAACGACCCGAGGGTGCGTTCAACAAAATAACTCCTGCTGTTCAACCAGGTTCAAACACTTAAACTGTTTAACAAAACAGCTAAGTTAAAATATAAATACAACACTGTAACATCACTGTAATGTTTGACTACTGATTTAGATATATTGTGATTAATACAAGTTATTATCTTGTGTCAAAAACACAAACAAATATCAATTTTGGGACTTTTGTGGCCTCTGTATAAATAAAAATAGAGCAAAAATAAATGAAGCAAGAATAAATTACACATAAAATTAATCTTCAATCTGCCAATTATTTTCTTGATTAACTGAATAATCATTTTATCTTTAAAATGTCAAAAGATAGTGGAAAAATAGTCCCAATCAGTAGCCCATGATAATTATTATTATTCTTAATTGGTTAATTGGTCATTAGTCATCCAAAGATATCTTTTGGGGGCCTCCTTATGAGAGAAACTAAAAATACCTAAATACAAAAATGCTCAAATATGAGTATCATATAATAAAGTCCTGTATTTATAAATTTACTTAAGTAAAAGTACATCAATCAGTATTATTAAAATGTGCTGTAAGTATCTAAAGTAAAATGTTCATTATGCAGTAGAATTCCTCCTGTGAGCTATGTCTTATTGTTTATTTAATTACTGAACCATTATTATGAAACAATAATGTGTTAGTGGTATTTTAATGTTGCAGCTGGAGCTAATTTGAACATTCAAATTCTCATTAGAGGCTTTCCAAGTCTTAATCTGCAAAAGTTAATAGCTGTCAAATCATTTTAATTGGTAGAAAAGTACATTTTATTTTTAAATGTAAGAGTAAGAGTATACAGTAGAAATATTTAAATGTACTTCAGTTACATTCCACACAGACACAGTAAACCTTTCAAAACGCTTTTATTTTTATCTTCTACGCCTCCCAAAATGAGAAGCTGCACAAACAACATTTCCTTGGTGAGTTTTAACAAGGCAGTGACACATGTAGCTCACTGTATGTATAGCATAAAATGAACATTGCCTTACCTGCACCAGTCTAAAAAACACTGAGATGGATCAGATGAGACCTTTACATGTAAAAAGATTTGTATGAGCTGGCTCGAGTCTCTAAAACACAACAGCATACAACAGCATTAAATATAGCCATTTCCTTCATTCACATTGATAAAAAAAAAACAAAAAAAAAAACATGAGCTCAAGGACAGGGAAAAAATGTTGACCTACCTTATATATTAACCCTTCTTTTAATACTCTAACCATAATATAAATGAAAGCAGGCCATAATATCTCATGCTTTATTTACATGTCACATTCAGAAATGAGGCTGTGATGGAAACAGGTGCACGTTCAGAGGACAGCTCGCCCAGACTGCTGCAGGCATGCACTGCTGCTTCCACAGAGGTTGTTCTACCGCTGTGGACGCAGTACAACGAGGTGACTTTCACTTGAGCATCACAGAGCTGTCACCAGGGGAACCAGCCATTTCCATGCTAACCAGTGCCATGGAGATCCTGCAGCTGCTCTTTGATGTAAGTGAGTGGTGACAACACACAGGGGGGAGAGGGAGGGTGGGGAGGGGAGGAGAGGGGAGGGGACCTTGGAGACTTTGCCAAGGTGGAAGCTCTGAAAAACTGTCTTCCTTTTATACCACATCCATCCACACTGAATGGACTGTACTTAGAATGCATATAATATGCAGCAGGATGAAGTTATTGCACTAATTGTAGTTGATTTGTTGTCACTTTTTTCAGTGCAGTCTCCAAATACATTTTCCAATTAACCCTCTAACAGACACCCCCGTTGTTGTGCACAAGCCTGGAAATAATGTGTCCAAAATAAAAGGTCTCTCTTCTTCAACCCTTTAGATTACGGTCATAACCCTGGTCTCCTTTCAAAGGCAACTCTTTACATTTTACAACCAAGTATCAGAATGTCAGAGCCCAAAGTTACAGAGGCACAAACACAGTAGAAATGTAAGTTCTTCTTCTCCTTTTATGTGGCAAACACTTTGGAGCCAAAAGTCTCAACCAGTTCTGTATCAACAGCTGTTGCAATGACAAATTGACTTGAACAGATTCAATCAGGAAACTTAGAGCTTTCAATTAATGTATGATTTGTCAAGGTTGTGTGAAGACTGAGTCCAGTACAGACCAAAACACACATGAAGGAGCCAAAGTGTATCTTAAAAGCTTTATGTTGATTTTTCAGTTGTTCTTTCATTTTTAAAATCTCAGGAAGTGTTTTTTTTTCCACATTATTATTGATTAACCTGCTGAGTATTTCCTTGATTAACCCTTTAGTCTGTGAAGTGTGCAAAAATAGAATTTCCGAAGTTCAGGTGACATCATTAAATCGTTTGATTTAGATATAGATTTCTTCTACTGTCGTATATGTCAAAGAATCTTCACATCTGAGACGCTACAACCAGAAAATGCTTGAAAAATGACTATCAAAATAGTTTATGAATTTCCTTCTGTCTCATTGACCCTGGTGAAAGTTTGAGATCGAAAGGATCAATAGGACATTTCAATAACTACATTTTCACGGCATCTGGATGAACTCTATGTGCTGAAGAAGGTTGTGTGATATGATCAAAAGCTCCAGGACACATTTTCTGTACAATGTGTTTGTGCTAAATTTGCGTTAAATGATGCGTGTGATCTGTGGCTGCTTGTTGTAAATGGTGCAGCTAGAGATGCAGTGTGGAAATCAAATGATTATAAAGTTATTTCTAGTCAAAAGGTAACGTAGGTGATACCTGCTTAAATGTGGAATAAAAAGAATTTAAGTTTTCAGGATAAATTCTGAGAGATTTTTTCTGATGTGACTGAATCTTCAAGAATGAATCAAAACTCATCGTCCCTCTTCTTAATAGACCATGAACACTGAACGCTGAGTCTGGCTGCTCCTTGACAGTTTGGCCACATCATAAACAGCAGGTTCAACTATTAATAAATACACAGCGGTAATGTCATGTTAAATAACTGGTAAAAGGTGCAGGATCAAGCTCAGTTTTGAAACAAATATACACATAAACTTTTTTTTTTTTAAAAAACCACCAGACTGAAAAGAAAAGTGATGGACAGAGGTGACGGAAGAGTGCAGACAAGAAAAGCAGATGAGATGTGGATGAAAATAAAAACTGCAGCAGAGCCACAAGTAATTATCATTTTCATTATGGATTAATTGATCAATCGACAAAATGTCCCAAAACCAGTGAAAATCAGCTTCGTTTTAGAGCTGCAGTGATTAGTTGAGTAATTGATTAGTTGGACCCACAAAGATAGTTGGTATCTGATTACTCATTTGGGTCTTTTTTTTAGGGGGAAACAAACAAACAAACAAACAAACAAACAAAAAAGAAAAATCCAACAATCAAGTGATTATTTGCTGGTTTAGTTTTCTACAATTATAAACTGAATATTATGGGCTGCTGGACTCCAAAAATGACATTTTTCATCATTTTCTGAAACAAAATGATTAATCAAGAAAATAATGAACAGATAAATCAATAAGTGATAATAATCATTAGTTGCAGCTCCACCTCTCTAGTCCGACAAGATCTCTACAATGCAAAGATACTCACTTTAACTCTCACAGAAGACAAGGACAGAAGTAAATCTTATATAAATCTTACATAAATTAGTTTAGGGGAATATTTGGCTTTTTTTTTTTTTTGCTTTAAAAATGACTTCAACATTAAATTGATCATCAAAACACTTGCAGATTCATTTCCTGTCAATCTGCTGATTGATTCATCAACAATAGTTTCAGCAGAGGCAAAACACTATGCTCTGATTAAGCCTGAATATTCCTTCACTTCACTGGCTGGAAGGTTCTGTACAGCCATCTCTGAACACACACACACTCACACTCACACACACACTCACACTCACACACTTTGACATCCATAGTTATACAAACAGGTCCTCTTACTCATTTAGCCCTGCGATACCCATCCCCCCTCCCCCCTCGTCCTCAGGTGAGTGGGTGATGCCATGCATATTCACTGCAGGTGCAGCAGGTGTGATTATGGCTGAAAGAAGGGAACTGAAAGCTGAACAGCTCTCCCTGCTGGTCGGACGCTGGCACTGCAGCTGCTCAAAGGTGTCGCTTAAAAGCCTGAGTAGAAAATGGCTATACGTCATATAATGCTATGAGGTGTATATGGCTACCAAAATCATACGTTCCCTAACATTATATGTTTCCAGACCTGTCCTCACAGCCTTTCTTTCTTTTACCTTTGTTTTTTTTTTTTTTTACATACTTCACCTTTTTTCATGCATCTCTGACAACAATCATGCTATCAGGCCATTTTCCACAGCAGCATTTAACTTTTTTCTCTTCCATGTGGCGTAATCTTGTCACAAACCCCCTTTGATCACTTACTAATCTTTGATAGGTACATAGACTTTACTATAATACTCATATTGTGCTGAATTATTTCCACCATATAAGAAAAAAAAACAAAAAAACATATGATTATCGTGTAGCGCTTTTGGGACTTACAAGATGCCAACTCTGCGTGTACCTAATGCGTCTTCACAACAGTGCGTTGAATATATTGTAAATATACTATCATATATCCTACAATATAAGCGTACAGCAGATGGTGCGTTATATATATACACAACATATCCTGGATGTTTACAAAGAGTATGGGTAACATATTTCCTTTTACAGTTTCAATATCATATTTCTTCATACACTTGACGTACACAGGAGGAGGAGTAGGTTCAACATCAACAAACGACTGTAAAATACTGTAAAAATATTGAAAAACAAGAACATTCAGGGTCTGCCTGGTGAGTGTTAAAATAGGGTTTATAGAAATGAGAGAGGCTATAAGTACAGACAAAGGTTACACGTGTTGGGATATGGCACCGGCATGAGGAGAAGGACGAAACATGACCTTAGAGGAATAACTTTGCTGCTCTCAGTTTTCGCCTTCGACGTAGTAAAAAGGCCTAAAAGAAGCTGTGCTGGATGCAGGCATGCGGATCACTGGAGAAAACAACGACATTCGGCCAAGAAGTAGAAAGAACAGAAGCACATCACGGGACAGAAGCGAAAGCAACTCGAGGAGAGATCGCCGGTTCAAGTAGAGCAAAACAAAAAAACAAAAAAAACAACAACAAAAAAAAACCCAAACAAACAAAAACAAAAGAAAAAGACCTCTTTTGATCAGGAGTACTGTGGACTTCTACTGATGCTGCCGCCCTCCAACTGGACGTCAGCGACTGGAGGAAAGAGGAGAGACGAGCCGCGCCGAGCTGCAGCATCTCATCGTGTTGTGTGCTGCAGCCTCGCCCTCTTCTTCATCACACTTCTTCATCACGTGTTTGTGCACTGTCCGTAGCTGATACCGCCTTCAGTGAAATATGTGCAAGCAGGAGCTAAAAGCTGTAACGTCCCGCTCCTGTAATGGAATGTGAACACACCGTGGCGATGTGGCAAAAAAAGAGGAGCTGGAATGTAATGGCTCCGTAAAGACCTGGTGATGTTTGACAGGTCCAGTGACTATTACGGCTCTCTGAATCAGAGAGGCGGTAACAGCTCAACTGCAATCAAATCATCACTCGTCTAAAATGTGATGTTTGTTTTAAAATGTGTAAACAAGTTTGGTCCCAGAACTGAGTGAAAGGTCGAGAAGAAAGGTGGGAGAACGCGGCCGGAGAGGTGCCTCCAAAGAACAAAAGGGGAGAGAAAAAGGAAAGGATGCTGGATGTAGGTCCCTGTGTGGTGCCCTGTTCAATCTGTGAGCACCCCCTTTATCTCAGTGCACAGTTCAGTCTGCCACCGCACCCAGCTGTCAAAGACACCTGGCCTCTGCAGATCTGTGACCCCCCAGCTGTTCCTCCCACCTCCTGCACCAACATCCTCGCTGGTGTCTTTTCCCAGCCGCTCTGCCAGTCACAGGATCTGCACCTCCTCTGGTAGATGAGAAGATTGGGGTGCCGGGTAGGGCGTCATGGTTGGGGGAGGGCGTGGGGTAGCAGACCCTCACTCCAGCTCCCCCGTCAAGCAGAGCTCCTGGATCTCAAATAAAAACCTATGCAGGGAGACAGCCTGCCGCTGGCAGTGCAACGCCGTGCCGCTCCCGGCGCCCCCGCCCTGTCTCACTTCTTGACGGCCTGTCGGTAGCTGTGTCTCTGGCCTTCCTGTCGGACTTTGCTGCTGCAGCCGCTGGCTTTGCTGCTGTTGGCGCCGTCCCTGGTGCTGCTGGCCTGGCTGGCCTGGCTGCTGTCCTGCAGCGTGGGGCTGGAGTGAGCCCTCTGCAGCCCGTTGTCCTCCAGGAGCTGGGACTCAAACACAGACAGGTCCTCCTCACCGCTCCGGATTTTAGCCCGCAGCAGCATGACGTAAGTCCCGTACCGTGTTTTCTATAGAGGCGTGAGTGTGTAAGAGAGAGACAGACAATTGGGAGCTGCAGCACTGTAATAATGATTTAATGCTTCACTGATTTTCCCATTTCTTTCTTTATCTGAGTTCATCTCACCTCAAACTCCAGATATTCGTCTCGCTGGCGGTACTCTTCCAGCTCGCGACCTTTGACCTTGCGGTCAGGAGGATAAGAGCGCAGCTCGGCCAGCTCAGTGGAGATGGCTCTGAATCGAGCTTCATGGGATCTGACCTGCTCCTCCTGGAAACACAAGGTCAACACTGCCATCAGGGTGGGGATGGAGGGAACGATAAAAACCTGCCTGAATAATTATTAATCTTTTATCCCACTACATGACTGACTCCCACACACACCTGTGCACCTGTTCCCAATCCTCTAATCAGCTCTCCATCATATACACCTGAATCCACATCGACCAAACTGGTTTTATTAATGACTCATTACAAATACTGTTAATAAGATCACGACTTATCAACAGCAGGAGTTTGGTTTGTGTTGAATGACAGTCTGGATCTCACAAACATGAGACCGGCGAGTGACGGACGTCAAAAACACTTTCTGTTCCTTTCTTTCCTGTCTGAGTCCATTACCTGTATCACTGAGCTCTTATAAATACATATAATATTATTTTGTTGTTGTCATAGAGTCATGTCTCATATGTTCCTCTGCAGCCAAAGCTGAATATTGTCTTGATATTTCTTGTATAAAATACAGTTCTATGTAATTTCTCTACGATTTCAATATTTTACATACACATATATATAACTGCTCACGTTAAAATAACATAATTTGCGTAATACATCATTTCATTAGGTTGTTTCTGTATTTTTGCCTTTTTTTAAACAGTGCACTGTAGAGAGACAGGAGGCAGGAAATTAAGAGAAAAACAAGCAACAGATGTCTCCTCCAGTACATGGGACGTGTCTCAGGCCTGGTGATGCACCTTCTACATTCTTGTTATAAGAAGAAAAACGTCTTGTCATAACTAAAACAACTAAACTTCTCACGATGGCAGTGTGATTGCTTTCAGGGTATTTACTCAAATGTTACCTACAACCTCTTCAAAGGAATGTTTTCACCCCTGTCTGTCTGTCTGTCTGTCTGTCTGTCTGTCTGTCTGTCTGTCTGTCTGTCTGTCTGTTTGTCAGCAGGACTACGCAAAAACTACTGAGTCTATTTGCACCAAACCGGTTGGAGGGATGTGTCACAGGTCAGTGAAGAAACCATTAAACTTTGGTGTGGAAGACATTGTGACATTTCTCAGGAGATAATGTTTGGATCTTGAACTAGACAGATGTGTGTAGGATTGTTTGGTATACGCTCAACTGAATGTCATTCTAGTTTAATTTGTGTCTTGGGCTGAAGTAAACAGACCTCCGAATGTATTTAAAATCACATTTCACAACAGTTTGACATGAGAAATGAAATATCTGAAATCATTGCCAGTAGTGGTCATTAGTAATATATTACAGTGTTTATTCGAGTGTTTATTCATGAAATTTTAATTTTAATTGTAATTACTCTGCCTTTATATTATGAAAAGTTATGTGTCAACGCCTATTGGAAATGGCGGCACAGCACGGATCATTGTTCTCATTTCACAGGGCCCTTGACTTGACTCGGACCAGATTTAATCCCCTCCAGGACCCAGCTGTGAAGCAGCTGTTAACATAACGTTACCTCGGACAGCTTTGACATCGTCCCCGGCAGCAGCGGCCGGCTGAACTTCTTCTGAGAGCCGATGGCTGCTGGGAAAGGAGGAGCCGAGAACATGGTGGCCACTGTGTTGATCCGTGTGATCCAGGACTGCATCTGCTCCGCGTTCCTGTGACACGAAGACACACAACAGACATATCTTCAACTCCAAAGCACATGCAGTAGGTACAAACACACTTATCAGTTCCCCTCTCACAGCAGCACGCGGCTAACTTACAACATCAAAGGAATAATTATCAGGAAATGCAGCCTTGCTGTTGACAAAGAAATTATTTTGGAGCCAATTAATCCATGAGAGAAAAGGGCCTGTTTTACACTAACAGACCCATTAGGGGCCCATGAGGAAATTCAGATTGAATCAGACAGCCTTGCTTTAAATCCCGCGGGAGGAAGAGAGAGATAGAGACAAAGAGGAGAGAGGAAGAAAGAGGAGAGAGACTCAGAGAGGGGTACAGTATCTGGGACAAATGCATGCTGCAACTGGAGCACAGAGCCTGTCCTCCTGGGGGCTGAAACATGTGGCCACTCATGTGCCACTTCCTGGATGCTGCTAACACACACACACACACACACACACACACACACCCACACACACACACACACACAACAACACACACCTTCACCTTGCTCTTCGCATGCAGCATACTGTACGTCCTGTTCAACATGTGTGTGTGTGTGTGTGTGTGTGTGTGTGTGTGTGTGTGTGTGTGTGTGTGTGTGTGTGTGTGTGTGTGTGTGTGTGTGTGTGTCATTGATCCGTGTGCTCTCAGCATGTGTTCTGCACACCGCGGGCCACATGTGCACAGCTGGCCACACATGCTGTTAATTGAGGTTGGATGCTCAGCTGTGATCAACCATATGGCCAAAAGTATGTGGACACAGTAGTGTTACACTCATGTCATTCCATAACTATGATCATTAATCTGCTGCTGTAACAGAACCACTCTCCTGGTTTTCCATCTCTCCACCAGATGTTGAACCTGCTGCAGAGGTTTTGTCGAATTCAAGAGCATCAGTGAGACCAGCACAGATGTTGGGTGATAAGGTCTGGGGTTGAGGTCACGGCTCAGGGCAGGCCAGGCTTTGTGCACAGGGACCAGTTTCCCCCAAAAGAGATCTGAGCTCCCCAGAGCAATGTTACAATGAATTATATAACAAATCCTAATTAAAATCTAATGTCTTATCATCTGTAACGTGTGTACAGCTCTGCTTTTATCTGCTGTCAGTAAGGCCCGTAACAATTCATCGCTGCTCATGAACTGTTTCTATGTATTTTTTTTTTTTTTTGTGCACCTCTGCGTAATTATTGTTCATGGATTTGGTCTCAGATCAGCGATTCTCGACAACCGGCTGCAGGAGCTCACGTCCCGACAGTGAATCCAGTTCAGCTGCCGCTCTCATCATTTCTGCCAAATAAAGCTGAGTAGTCTGTCAGTCAGCATGAAGTAACCTGCAGCTTTCTCCTTGATGTCAGCCACAAAACAAGATTTTAGAGCAGGATCAAAGTACCCTGAAATAGTGCACCCTCCCATCGCATTTTTTTTTTTTTTCATGCAGTGACACATGAAATGAAACTAGAAACAGGCCTAAACTTCTCACTAAGTCGTGCGTCTTTTTATTTCTCTTCGTAATATTTAGTATTACAAAGACTCTTTTTAGAGGCAGATGAATCTGGAGGTCTGATCTGACCCTGAAAGCCACAGTGTAATTCAAACAGATATTATCATGATGAAACAGGAAAGAGACAACCACAAACTGTTCATACAAGTCGTCTTTCTCCAGTAAGATGATTTCTTAAACCAGGTACATTTAATCCAGGATTAGACAAACCTGCTAAAGAGTACAGATTTCTTTTGTTAGTTATTTTTTTGGGATCGAGACAGACAGGAACGTTAGGGAAGAGAGGAAGGGGAGGACATGCAGCAAAAGGCCTGAGTTGGAATTGAACACGTCACTTTCCCCCACTTGATGTTTGAATGTCTCATTGCTCTGTCTGTCTCCAAAGGTCAGGTCAGGGGGAGGGAATAGATCTGATCTCTTAAATGCATGTAAAAGTACTGATTGTTTGCTGTAGCATTAAACTTGACCTTAATTAGAAATGAGAAACAATGAAACACACCTTAAACCATCAAATACACATGAGGATATGTACAGGGGTGTCCACATACTTTTGACCACACATTGTTTGGATAGAAGTCAGACGCTGTGCAGGTGCACCTGCACACACGCTGTAAACTGTGTGAGTGGATAATCGTACAGCGTTTAGTGTTTGTGTGCACTCTGTGATTCTCTCCACATGATGTCAGCTCAGTGAGGAGCAGTAACTGGGACTCACGGTGCCTGGAAGAGATAGACCCTCCAGTCGGCGGTGCGCAGGTAAAACACGTTGGGCCTCTTGCTGTAGTCTGAAGCCTTCATGGCCAGAGAGTGGTGGATGGACACGGCGTTCTTCAGGTCCTCGTCAGACAGCTGCTTATCAGGCCTGTACTCCCCCTGACAGGACAATTACAAATTAGAAATGGTTGCTATGGTGAACGCAGAAGGGTCTTAACACTTATTAAAGTTGGTGAGCTGACTAAGGACATTCAGTGTTTTTATTGGAGCAGTGGGAGGAGGGTGAAGACGCGCTAGCAAACATTAGCACGGCAACCATCCCTATTGAATTCAACTGATGAGCAAAAACCTGGAAGTTATAAAGCAATAACTGGATTGCAATAACTGGATTAATAGGGAGTTCTGTTTTCACCCTCAGATGGATTTAAAACTGATCCAGTGCTGGACTGGAGAACAGTAAAGCTGGGACCTGAGTTTCAGAACCAATAACTTGAAGATGAGAATGAGAAATGCACAGTGTCATCATCAGCAGATCACCATCTGCATCTTTGATTTGGCATAGGTTTGACGCAACCTGAGTTCGGGGGAACCGTGAATCGAACCGCCAACCCAGGATTCAGCAGCCAACTCACTCTACCACCTGAATAATACAATAAATACAAACCAGGTTGTTTCCATGAAAGAAATATAAACTTCCCTGAACTTTTCACAAACTTCCATTGAGAAGAGTAAAAAAATATTGTAAAAAGTAAAATCTACATTCATTCATTGTGATGCTGCTGGTTTGACTAAAGGACAAATAATCATCACAGCAAATCATGTCAACAAAAAGCTAGTAGAAGTCATTTTTATTATTCTTTGATATCGTACATGACCAAGTTTAGTGAAGTTTAGGCCTGGGCTTAGTTTTAAGTTTGTCAATGCTTGTGCTTTTTGCTCTCTCTCTCTCTCTCTCTCTCTCTCTCTCCCTCTCTCTCTCTCTGTCTCCCAACCCAACCAGTTGAGGCAGATGGCCGTCCACCCTGAGTCCGGTTCTGCTCGAGGTTTCTGCCTCTTAAAAGAAAGTCTTTCCGTGCCACTGTCGCCTAGTGCTGCTCTTGGTAGGAATTGTTGGGTCTCTGTAAATAACATTATAAAGAGAAGGTGTAGACCTGCTCTATTTGGAAAGTACCTTGAGATTACTTATGTTGTGAATTAGTGCTATACAAGTAAAAATTGACTTGACTTGAAAATCCTCTTATTTCTACCCCTCAGTTTGGAGAATGCTATTATGCTATTATAAATAAGAGGCTGACTCGACATTCAAGGCCAACTTTTCAGTACTCGACCTTTTGCTTCACATAGATTTTGGTCGTCACATAAAAAGCACTGTGGCTGGATACAGTTCCGCTGTGTCACTACAGGCTCATTCTCGAGCAGATGGTCTGTTTTCTCTCCATTCAGGAGGAAGTTGGAGCATCGGTGGCCTGTGACGCTGGCAGAGGTTGCCCCTCATCAAAGCCAGGCCCACCACTGTGCATGGCTCCTCTGCTCATTGCCAGGGCCTGACTGGCTGAGGACATTATGTAATAACACTTCTAAGACATGTAAACAGGAAACAGGCGTCAAAATAAAACGACTTCCCAAGATAGCTGTGATTGCAAACGTTAACATAAAGCCTTACAGGAGACTGTGTGTGGACAGGTCACATGATAGTGAAGAACATATTTGTTTGGTTTCTACTGTGAGGATGAAGATACACCTTCTGGTTTGAAAGTTAACCAGAATGTTTATAGAGATGCAGTCACCTGTTATTTACAGTAAAAGGTTGAATACTTACTCTTACTTTATCACACAAGTACACAAGTATTTTATATATACACATAAAATATACTCTGAACTACTTACCTTTTGCAGGTAGAGAATTAACCCTTTCAGGATGACGTAGAAGGTCTTCCACCCTCTTTTCCCTCTTGGTGCTTTGAGGAGGAGAAAACATGTTCACATTAAACCTGTAGTAATACACACACATATATACATATATATTTTTTTTTTTTTAATTTGCACTAATACAAGCAGCATAAAAACTTATAGCAGAAGTGTATGCATTTAATCTCTCTCCAATGATGAGTAAAAACTATATAAAAAACATGACACAAAATCAGAGACACGTAGAATAAACAGAGCATCATGTTCTGCTTATATACAACATGTACCATAATCTACATTGTTGTACCTGTAGTGGGAGCTCTAGCATGTTCCATATTATCTTAAGTTAAATCCAAATTAAATCCAACTTTGTTGTGAATTAAACCACTGCACTGTACAAGTCCAGGAGGCAGAGGGTTTATTTGAAGCATGTCACGGTATTCTTATCCTAAAGTTACATCTCACACTGGTCTATTATCGACTTGATGTTCTATTTCTATTAATACTAACATGCCATCACCCAGTCAGAAGCTTGTTTCAATCTGATTTTGCAGCTCTACACCCTCCTAGTGCCCCGATCTTCCTAAACTCTATAGCAAAAATATATACACCTATATTCTTAAAGCTATGATACACTGTTCAAAATACACAGAAACCGCTGTATGAATTTCAATAATATCAGAATGTATATACCTTGTGATAACATTTGGTATTTGTTATTTGTTATTTGTGTTTAACTGGCTGTTACATCTCTTTTTATCCATATAGACTGATCCAGCAGCTGATTTATGCGTTATGTAAGTTGGAGAGACCGTATTCACACTGAGAGTGAAAACATAGATGTTTGATTGGATCACAGCTGATTCAACAGAGCAGTCGATGTGAATGTGGAACTACGAGTGTGAAACCGGTTATGACACAGGACTTTGGAAAACTGCTCCCTGATTGGTCAGAACGCAAAGACGAGGATTTAATGGAGATGAATTAAAATCAAAAGGAATTTCATGGAGCAGAGGATTGTGGGGATTTTGCCTTTTCTTTTGTTTGGACTTGATATTTATTGTCGGTCTAAACAGAGCAGACAGTGTGTATTTGGTGCTTTTGGTGAGAAGATGTCGAAAGCTTTTGTTTAAAACTACATTTCATTGAAAACTTCAACTCCTGCAATAACTGGCTTGTTTTTGGCAACTTTGAGTCAAATTTCTGCACCCAGTAGTTACAGAGCAACATGGTCATTAATGTGGAGTCCTGTTTGTGTCCAACTGAAGAATCTAAGATTTTATTATTTAATTTATGACATTGGGGATGTATACTGCAAAGCAAGATCAATCAAAGGTCCCATACAGTCTAAAGGTAGATGTCCATGTGTTGATTATGTGTGTGATTATAGATCAGGTCTAGGTTCTATATTAATACTGTGAAAGTATCAAAGCCTCAGTCCACAGAGAAATGCACACAACAAACCCCAGCTGAGTGTTTTACCTGAAATCTGCTAATTTTTTTATTGCATCAGAAAACAGTCAGCCAATCAGAAGAGAGGCTCAGAGCCTCCTCTCTTCTGATTGGAGAGAAGCCTGAGAGAGGAGATGTAAAACTACACTGAGATGGTTTTTTGGTTCTTAAAAACACAAATATATCTTCTTATGTATCAACACTTCAAATAAAACACAGAAGAAGAGGAAAATATGGGACATTTAAGCAAATTTTAGTTTCAGAGCAGCTACTGTGTGACCTGTGAGGTGAGATTTTTTTCTGTCAGTTGCTATGGAAAAATGTTCTCACCTCATGAAAGAGGGAAAAAAACTGAATCTGTTGTCCTGCACCTGGCCTACATACTCTGTTGGTTCACATCATGACAAAGGCCACAGTCTGATTGAGTGAGAGTGTCTGAGTCGTACTTCTCTTGCCGTCTGAGTCGGCGTGGACTTTGCGAACCAGGAACCCGTTCTTGTATAGCAGCATTCCCGACGGCTGCGTCTCTTCCTCCGACAGGGGCTTCCCGCTGCTGCCCACCCTCTTCATGGACTTGGAGGTGTTGGAGTCGCACAGGCTGTCCCCCAGCTCCGAGAACGACTTCCGCAGCTCTTCCTCGTCACTATGGAGACAAAATAAATAAATAAATAAATAAATAAATTAAATACACAGACTCCATGGTGATCAACACTTATGTGTCATGTCTCATTAGCAACGTGAACAAACACATCATCATTCATCCTGTCCATTTGCCTCTCAGTCTGTGGTTGTTACACGTGGAACAAGAGGTCCAGAGATTTCACACTCTCACTGGGAAACTTTCATGTCGCACAGTAACACATGAGTAACACCGCCGTCTCCTGCCGGTGCCTCTGCAGAGCTTTTGTTGCACAAGACATTTACAAAGCGCCGTGTATCTGGGGGGGGGGGGGGGGGGGGGGGGGGGGGGGGGGGGGACACCTGCGTGAATGAAAGCGTCTTCTTCCTTCAAAGCTTTAAGTGTGTGTTTTCCTCTCTCCCTGTGCTCGTCTCCTGCTCTCCTGAGAAGACGTCCGATCTCCTTGATCAAAAACGCACCACAGCAACAAGAGTGACACCATCTATCTTGTTCCAACCCAGCGAGGTGAAAAACAGGGGCATCTTTACCGGGGGGAGGGGAGGGGAGGGGAGGGGGGCAGCTTCTCTCAGAGACGCAGACACATCACAGTTACTCTTCCTCACAAGGATCCTCATAGAGGTGAGACAGGAAGGCTTTCATTGCAACAGATAGATGAATCTTTACAGCAGCAGTTCCCAACCTTTTCCAACTCATGGCGCACTCTCAAAAATGTTGGTGGCCCACATCTGACGTTTTCATTTTAATCATCACGATAAACAGTCAGGACTGAAGTGAGAGCAGAGGAAGCTCAGTTTTTCCTTTTTGTTTGACAGAGGAGAGATCACTTGGTCAATTCAGCATCTGTCTCTTGACTTTTTCTTTTTCTTTTCCTGTTGCTACCCAGCTCTCTGTTTTGATACTCCAGTTTTTGGATGTTTTCTCTCATCTTATCCCAGTGACAGGCCTTCTCATACATTTTAAAATGTTTTTAAAGATCATATTGTTTCAAAATATTTCAAAATATTACACTTTTAGTTTTTGCAAATGATTTGTCGGCCCACTTGCAATATCATCGCGGCGGTTGGGAACTACTGCTTCACAGGGAGGGAGAGGGTGGGAGAATACAAGAATAACACAACAGACAATATGACTCTTGACTTATAGGCTAATATGGATGGAAAAGGCCTCATTTAAATTTGAGAGATTGCTGTTAGTAATCGTCTGTTTTCGTGGTTTCTGAGCGACATCATCAGTGAGGTGAGCCTGAAATGACAAGAGTTTATGAGGAGATCAGGATGAAAAGTTGGTTTTGTCCCTCAAACCTCTAAAATCTCAAAGGTTAGTGAGTTAACGCGCTGCAGTGATCTGGTCAGAGCTCAGGCTGTTGTAGCGAAAACGCTAAACGTGTGTTGAGGCCTGTTTTGAGGCAGAGCAGCTCACTGTGCTGCCTGTCTGATGAATATCTGAAGAGTGTTTAGATTCTCGGTTTGGGGACAGCAGATTGGAGGAGCAGACTGATGCTGTGGATGGAAGACGTGTCATGTTATTATTATGGTTATACATTTCTAAAGAAAAAACAGAGTCTCTTTTCATGACCCTGTGTGTCCGATCAATAATACTGATTGAATCCTACAGTTTGTCAGGAGTGAACATCTGTCTGTTTTACAGTAATGTAGCACATCTGGCAGATATCCAGGGTCTGGTATAATCTGAGGAAACAGCAGGATTTTCACACATGTTAATGTTATGGATATAAAAGCCAGAGTGACTGAGTTTGAGCTCAACAGCATCACATTAGTTTTCTAGTAATCTAGGCTGCAGGTAAGTTCTGCATGAATAAACTTTTTCATTACTATAAATAAGAAAATTCTAACTTCACCCTGACACTGTTGTTGTTCACCTGTCATGTTGTCATGGGGTTGTGTTATTTTATTTCCCCTTTTTTCACAGGGTTTGGTTTGGAATAGGAGGAACACATCATCTCCTTTTGTCCTTTTAATTCTTTTGTATATTTATTCATTCTCCTTCCTCTTTTGTCTCTGTTCAGATTTGACATTTTTCAGGACAAACCAGTGGCTCATTTACAACTTGTCTGCGTTATAAACATTTTCTAGTGTAGCATCTGTCCGGAGAAGTTATTTCACCACCTAAAAACTCCACTGCAGACAACGAATACAAAACATGACAGCTAATACAAATGAAGTGGAGATTTCCTCTTGGTTATAAAACTTAAAGAGGGAGAAGAGTGTGTAACTCTGAATCCAGGTCACTTAATGTTCAAACTGCAACACTGGCAGCTCTCAGATTTGAATGAAACTGACCAGACTCCGTTCTTCATTAGAGGAGTTTTCGGATGAAGAGTTGTGGACTGAAGTCTTCATCGCTCATTAGAAACAGGCCTGGAGGAGCCATCTCTGAAAATGAGGAATCCTATGAGCTGCTGAGTGCTGCCTGTCTCTGACTGCAGCTTTATGTCGAGCTAACTACTCTCGTGTGTGTGTGTGTGTGTGCGCGTGTGTGTGTGTGTGTGTGTGTGTGTGCGCGTGTAAGTGTGTGTGTGTCTTTCCCGGAAAAGACGTGAAAAGTAACACTGTGTTTTTGTTTATTATATGAGTTTTTCATTGTGATCTGTATTTCAGTTTTGTTTTTATTTCATATTCATGTCTACTTGCTCATTTTTCTGTTTTAATGTCTTGTATTGATTTATTTTATTACTGTTTTCTAGGTTTTATCATCTAATTTTGTCTTTTATTTAACTGTATATTCTTGTCTGTGGGCCCCCTTTGTATGTTGATTTGTTTTATTTATTTTAATTACAGTTTTATCACAATTTTCAAATGTTTTATCATCTAATCTGGTTATTTTTTAAATCTTACTGCTCATTATTATCTGTTTTTATTTGTTTTATTACAGTTTTACATGTTTTATCATTTAATTTTATTTTTATCTGGCTGTATATTCTTGTCTAGTGTATTTCCTATAAGTTATTATAGTTCCTATAAGTTTTATCTTATATTCATGTCTACTAGCTCCATTTTTATCATTTTATTACAATTTTATAAAGTATTTTTCATCCAATTCTATATAAATTTTTGTTTATAAATGTTAAACCTCTGTTTTTGAGTAATGCTGCACATAAAAATATATATTTAACAATATATTGAAGTGTTAGAGTATGGGTTTGTATTTGAATGAAAGACAATATTAACAACACATGTAGCTGCAGCAGTGATAATCCCATTCTCCTCTCAATAATCCCCCACAAAGCGCTGTATCTATTCTCTTAGTGTTTTTAAAGGGATTTGTCACATTAGCAGATGATCGATGCTTCGGGCTACAACAGCAACTGTCTCTGCATCTGCCCGGTGAGGTAACATGGCAATTCCACTTGTTACCTCACCAGGCGGCACCCATGTAAAAGTTCAGTCTGAAAATAGAAAAATGGCTGGATGCCGAACCCCCCCGAGACTACGCTATGAGTAACCAACAGTACATAACAGCAGTTAACCCCATGCAGGAGCCAGAGAGAAAATGTGAGGCGGAGACAGAGCCAATGAGCATGTAGCCTGTTGCCTGGTAACTGCCGGGCTGCCTGAATCCCTTTCTACACAGAGACAAAGTGGAGGAGCTGGAGAGAGGGAGGGGGGGTGGAGGGAGGAGAGAGAAAGAGAAAGGGGGGTAGAGAGGGAGGAAAAAGAGACAAAGCTCATCCTTCTCAGATGGCAGAACATCATCAACATAATATGAGTGATAGAGGAAACGAGGAGAGGAGAGGAGAGGAAGAAAGCAAAAAAGAAAGGAAAGGGGGGGAAGGAAAAAGGGGAGAGGAGAAACAATATAACAAATGAATGGAAAGCAAACAAAAGGTAGGGAAAAGAAAAAAGAAAGAACAGAAAAGAAAGATAAGAAAAAGAGAGGAAAGCAAAGAAATAAATTAATAAAGAAAAAAGAAATGAAAAGAAATGAAAGAAAAATTGGGGGAGGAGAGGAAAAGTAAAGCAAAGAAAAGAAAGAAAAATATAGGAATAAAAAGGAATGAATGTGAAAGAAAAGAAATGAAGGTAAAGGAAAAGAGAGAAAGAATGTAAACAAGAAGAGGAGAGGAGATGAAAATAAAGGACAGAAAATCGTAGGAATGAAATGAAAAGGAAAGGAAAGGAAAGGATGTTGATGTCACCTGCTGGGTTGGGGTTATGTTGGGTTCTTTGTGCTGAGGTTGCTGCATCAGCAGCCAATAGAAACAGATTTGCTCTGTCACCTGTGTCACTGAGTCTCTGCACCAAAAACACTAAAACACTCCAGACACAGTGAAGTGAAAGAGGACACTCATCCACACACATCCTCTTGTACATGACAAAGCTTCTCCTCATTCACACAGGCTGCAGTGTTAGTTCTTTTCTTTTTTTACCTTCATACCATCCAGATAACAGCTGATTTATTTATTTACCTAAATAAGAGAACAAGCGGGGGTTTTTTTTTTTTAAAGCGTTATAATCTAATATGTGGATAGTGTTAAATTGGGCTGGATATTTTTTTGTTAGTACCAGGATATACCTGAGTTTTACAGATACCAAATTGATCAGTTTTTTCCCTACGTTTTACTTGGAGAGATGTGCATTTACATTCATAAGTCATAAGTTTATGCTGTTTATAAACTTGTTTATCTACAGAAACTACTTTTCGCTTCACAAAAGAAGCCAAAGTTCTCAAATGGAAAATGCTGCCGAAACACAAGCAGACACACAAGAACTTTGCTTAGATAAAACAAACAAAAACATTTTTTTATGCAGGTTTCAATACTCAGGGTGACAGACACATTTCTGTCAGTGTTCCAGGGCGATGTCTGCCTCTACTGTTTAATGTCAGGCGATGCTCTCTGCTCTCTGCTGTAGGTGAGAGGGGATGATTAGAGGCACAGAGGGAGGAGGAGAAAAGGGGATTAGCAGAATAAAAGGACTAATAGAGCAAATGGGTCTTCACTGCACGTACAGCAGGCTCCAATCTACACTCATCATCTTCACATCTTCATCCTGCTCTACCTGCTTTCTATCTCCGACTTGTTGCGTCTCTCTGTGCCCACCACCTCTCTCCCTCTGCTCTCCACCCCCGCTCCCGAAGCAACGAGGAAGCATGCGTGTACTGTATATGTCTGTGCTGTATGTGTGTGTGTGTGTGTGTGTGTGCGCGTGTGTGTGTGTGTGGGTGTGTGTGTGTGTGTGCGCGTGTGTGTGTGTGTGGGTGTGTGTGTGTGTGTGCGTAAGTGAAGAACATGTGGGTGCCTCTAACTGCAGTTGAGAGCAGCCGTGTGCGTGCCTTTCTCTGTGGGGGTGTGAAATAACATCCCTGGCCCCTGTTTTTTGCGTTATGTTTCAAACACACACCTGTGTGTGAGATGCACATGCCCGATTTCACACACACACACACACACACACACACACACACACACACACACACACACACACACACACACACACACAAACAATCTGTATTCATATAATCACAACACGCAGTTTGTTTTAGTGTCTGAAAATCACACCTCGATCGCAGGCCTTCGACTACACTCGGAGGTGACGGAGAGTAGTTCTCTTTTTTTAAACCTCAATCTGGGAGTAAATGAATAAATCGACGCTGAGGCTGACCTATTTATAGAAAGGAATAGAGCAGAATAGAATATATGCAATTTCAAACCGAAAATATTTCCCATCAAGAGACGCACAAGCAGCAGAATCGACGCAGACGTGAGGTCTATCTGTCACAGGGTGTTAGTGAACCTGTGTTGTGAACTCAAGTCAATGAGTCTGCAAGTGAAAGAACGTCCTCAGTGTGATGAAATATGCATCAACCGAGCAAGTGGGGTGTGAAAGTGGTGGCAAAAAGTGACACTGTGCCTCGCTTCTCGAAGCAGAACTCCAGCACAGACAGAATTTAGTCTGTTTCCAGTGATCTCGGCCAGCTGAGATATTTTAAAGAAAAAATGAACGTGTGCAACTATCTGCCAAAAAAACAAACAAAACAAAACACACACACACACACACACACACACAAAAAAGCAGAGCCATGTGAGCTGAATCTCTTAATCTGTAATTCATTTTTGTTCGGAGATGGATTCTCCTTTTGCTTGATGGTGTTTACGTGTCTAAAAATGACACCTCTCCTCTCCCCGTCCCGCCGTGGCCTCGCCGCGCGGTGTTTAAATAGCCGTCTATATGTCAGCGGAGATGTTTGAACTGGATTGCCTGCCTCTCTGTGGATCTCCTCCTCGATCTGCTCCTCTGACCACTTTTACTCAGCTGCTTCGGGAGCTGCTGCTGCTGCTGCTGCTGCTGCTGCTATTTTTGGAAAGGTAGTGGGAGGCTGTGGTCACACCTTTGTACAGGATGCAGGTAAAGAGCCATTTAAAACGAGTTGGCTCTGTCTCTCTCTCTCTCTCTCTCTCTCTCTCTCTCTCTCTCTCCTCTCTGTCTTTCCTTGCGTTTCATGTTCACATGTATCTACACATACATTCATACCAATGCGTATATCTACACGTACAGTACATCTATCAGTGAGCGTATATGTGTGTGTGTGTGTGTGTGTGTGTGTGTGTGTGTGTGTGTGTGTGTTTGCTGCTGAGAGAACGCAGGGAGGAAAGAGCAATGCGGTAGCTATGGAGTCGTATCCATGGTGCCATCGCCATGGCAACAAAGCTTGGAAAGCCGGTGACTTAATTGGCATCGCTGAGGCACTCTGAAACTGTGATCCAGAATAGCAACCCTTGACACACTAATGTTTCCTTCACATGCCAGACAACACTCACGTCATTAATGAGGAAGCTAACAAGCTAATCAATATCCCTCATTATTTCCCTTTAGGACAATGTGTGTTTGTGTGTGTATGTGTGTGTGTGTGTGTGTGTGTGTGTGTAATCACTTACAGTGTCCATTGAAGCTTCTGATTCTTGATGGAGTTGTAGAGAGCCTGTGGAGGTAAACAAAAAAAAAAAACATTTCAGATACACACGACAAACAGCAGCTGCGTGTTCAGGTGGAGGTCTGATCAGATATTAGAGGGCGGGCAGGTGTGTTGTGGTTCTCTGTGAAGGCTGCGCAGAGCGAGCTGGCCTCATTCAATAAGTTGTACTCAGAGAAATGTCATCCCCCCTTCTCTCGCTGCTCAAACTGCCCTTCGCCTGAGCTTAACTCATTTTCTTCACCTAACAATCCATCAATCACCCAATCAGTCAGCCGCCGCCACTACATCAGTTACGAAGCCATTATCCACCACGCAGCCGGCCCGTCGATGGATAGACCGGCCGATCGATCAGCCAATAAATAATTTAGAGTTTGACGCGGACGCATTGACCGGCACGGACCAAATTAAGTTACAGCTTAGGAACATGAACGACAACACAACGATGAAAAAACAACACGATGAGGACAGTGCACGTCATTTTCTACAGGCTGCAGTGACGAAAAAATGTTGCCAAAGACTTTAATAATCAGTTCATTTTTCCACTAATTTTTTCAAGCAACTATTTGAAGATGTGAGCTTGGACATCTTCCATGTTTTCTGACATTTTACAGACTCTAAGCGATTAATCATTTAATCATTTAAAAAGAATAACAAATTAGTTAAATGCTGTGTCGGAAGTAAAAAGAAACACTACATGGTAAAAAAAAAAACACTCACAATTAGATTTAAGCAAAACTACAAAAGTATTAAAAGTACTTGAATACAAGTACTCATTATGCAGAATGACTTTTGACCTTGGTTAATGTAGAGCTAACTTATGTGCTGCTCCTTAAACCTAAAACCTCATATCATATTTTAGATAATCAAGATAATTATATTTTGTGCGTAACATATTATTGGTGAACAGAAAAGTATGTCAAAATGTTCAACATGTCCAACCTGGAGGTGGATGCTGCTGCATCAGCAGAGACCACGTCAAGGTTCCACTTCCTGTCCGCCAACAACAGAAACGTGAGGCTGCAGTGGGCTCAACAACTCTGGACAAAACCAGAGCCAGCCTTGATACCGATCTGACCCTGTGCTTCCCTTTAAGGCCACAGTTCACCATCTTCTAATGGACAATGCTCCACGTCACAAAGCTAAAGTCATCTCAAACTGGTTTCATGAGCATGACAGTGACTTCCAGTGACCCCCCCCCCAGTCTCCAGACCTGAATCCAGTAGAACACATCTGGTATGTGCAGCTGATAAACCTGCAGAAATGATGTGATGCAACATGGAGCAGAATTTCAAAAGGAAAACTTCCCTACATTTTTATGAATCAATGACATGAAGAGAGCAAATGGAGGAACTACCCAGTGTTATCATAAAGTGCTCCATGATTGTATCTGCATAATTTCTTCCAACTTTAATTGGGTTATGTTTATGTTTTTTTCAACTCCAGATCCGTTTCAGCTCGTTTGCGCCTGGATTCACTTTTTTTGTACCAGTTTTTAAATCATTTTTTGGGTCACTGTTTCCACTCTCAGGGAAAAAAACAGAAAACAAAAACCACTCCTTTACTCTCATTATCATCATGATCGAGCGAAACAAAAACAGACCTACTGAACAACACAGCAGAGAGGATCAAAGACGCTTTAATGAGGGAGCGTCTCTGCTGCGAGAGGTTTCACGTTTGACTTTAACTCCTTCAAAATCCGTAGTGACAAGTCGAGACCTTCAGCTGAATGTGACATATAGCGACCCGGCTTCACAGCGTGCTCTGCAGCGGAGCAGAGAAGACAGCGTGAAGCCATCAGACACGTGGACAGTTGGACGCAGCTGATGGACAAGCTGTGACAGCGGAGGTGATGGAGAGGACACTTACAGCCACTTCATCGCCACCTCGCTCACCTCCGAATTCCTGGTGGACCGATGCCGCACGTCCTCTGTGGCGGAAGAAAACCTCATACTCAGCTGAAATCGATCATTTTCCATTACATTCCTTTGATTAAAGAGCTGCCGCAAATGGTCTTCGCTTTGAGTTCAGCTGTTTTAGACTTCCAGCCCATTATGAGTATCATGGTGTTGCATTGTGACTTTTACTCAAATGAAATTGGATTTATAATAGGGTTTGATTTCTGTGTCTAATCAGGTTCTTTTCCAGCGTTTTCCCGTTGATCAGAAAAACGTCCAAAGCGTCATGAATATTAATCACCGCCCAGCCTGAACATTTACAGATTTAGTTCTGGTTTCCATACATTCTACTGTGAAAAAAAAATCTCAGCATTCAAACTTAAATGCGTTCACACATTTTAATAATCACGACCGACAGAAAATACAGTCGAGCTTCCGCCATGTTTCAAAGGAGTGGAAGACAAACTGCCTCTGTAGCACGAGTCTGGCCAACATCAAATATTAACAGTGAATTTGTAAGCTGTAAAAGTGAAAGTATACTGATCTGCAGCAGCAGCAGCAGCAGCGTTGTGCTCCTCCTACAGAGGCTCATCCAGTACAAACTGCTGAGTTTTTAAAAGATCAGCAGTAAAACAAAACTCAGTCACAAGATCATACCGAGCAAATTAAAAGTAAATGAGCTTGGAGAAAGAAACTGAGGATGAAACATGGAAATAAATATATAGGAACGTCCTTGTTGCTAATGCAAACAGAATATCAATGGAGAATTATTAACTGATATTTTTAGCCCCAAACGGAACAGACCAACAGCTTAAAGGAGGAGGAAACATGGAGGAAAATCTGCAAACTACCTACATGACTTTTGGTCATGTCTTAAGATGATGATCTACTACAGTTCTCACAGAACCAGGAAGGTTCTCCAGGAACCTTAAGGGGGTTCCTAGGGGGTCCCCGGCAAAAAGGGGAATCATTTATTTTCACTATAAATCCATTAATAAGTAACACAATGACAGAATGTATGACTGTTTTGGTCAAACACTTTCTGTTATAAAAATAAAAAGTAAAAGTAAAAATCTTTTCAGATGGGGGTCTGTGGTCTAATTAGTGTCACTTTAGGGTTCTAGACATGAGTTTGAGAACCACTGATCTACTGGACTTATAGATAAACAGTATTCCTGAAAATGAACCCTATGACTGCAGTGCTGGGAACAATCCCTCATACTTTTTAAATATGTAACAGGAGAGCAGAAAAGTGGATTAAAAGGAAGTGGATGAAAAGGCAAAATGACCTACAAACTAAAACTATGGACAAAAATGTTTGGGAAAAAAAATGTCACAAAATGAAGTGAATGTTAATGTGTCATAATGCAACTCTGTTATTATGTTCCTTCTATATCTTTGCTTTGTTTTCTTCTCCGCTCTTTGTTAGTTTGTTGTCTCACTTCTGCAGCTGCATTCGTAAGATTATTTCTGCAGAACGCTGCGAGTGAATCAAGAGAAATAAATAATTAAAAAAAGAACCAAACTTAGAGCTTTGATCCGGAGCTTTTACCCTGCAACCAAACAAAAAATAAAAATAAAAAATGCCAACAATCAAGGATGTGAATCTTATAATTAAAGGAGATGCAGCCAACATACTGTACACACAGGCACCAACAGGGCTGAGGCTTATTATTGACTAATCTGCAGAACGTTTTCTTGATTAATAGATTAATAATTAGCAAAGCAGTGTGATAATATCAAACCAACAACCCTCAGTTTACATGAGACGCATAAAAGCAGCAAATTTAGAGGATAGAACGACAGTATTTGTGCTTGCAAAATAATCGCATAGTAAGATTTGTTATTAGTTAAATTTGTTTTCAATTCATTGCCTTATTGTTTCAGCTCTAGTCTGTAGTGACAGTAGATTTAATAGTGCACATTACTGTTTTCTTTCATAAGTTTCAATTAATGTGCAAGTGTGCATATACAGTATGTCTATATTTCTTCCTAAGCCAACATAAGTGGAAGTGAAACTGTGTCACAGCTGAGTTTATCTTCCAGCAGAGACTTTCTCCTGAAGAATATTTTTATTTGCACAAAAAAAAAAAAAAGAAAATCCGTCCTTACTGTAAATCCTGAGGGAACACAGAGTCTCACCAGCGGAGCGACTCCTCTGTGGATTTAAGGACTAAAAAAAGGAAGCAAGTGGATTTAAAACAAAGGTAGAAGGAGGTAGAGAATAAATCAGAGCATCAGTCAGACTCAAGTCAGTCAGTCTGGAGGCTCATTGAGACGAGGGTGGATCTTCATCACCTTCATCTACTTGCTTCATCAACGTCACCGAATTGTGCCAGCGAATGAGAGCCATCAGCCTTGAGTGGCGGCTTTACAGAAACACGGCGCACTGAGCTGAGGTGGCAATCTACCAGTCTCAGATGATCTACACTCCATATGTGGATGATGGGAAATCAAACAATAAACACATACAATAATGGTTTTTTTGTATGTGGAACATCGGAAGAAAAAAAAAAAAACACCTACCAGACCATCTGGCCAACTGGCTGTGAACGACAATGAGCTATCATCAGTGTAATGATGGATAAATGTGATTTGTTATGACATGTGTCACACTGGTGTGAAATGAAGTAGGAAAATGAAAAAAAAGATTCATTCCAGTTTGGAGATTAGTTTTGAAGATCGACTGACAAGCTGGTGATAAATGACGTGACTCATGAAAGTAAAAGCAACAGGAAACAGCTGACGAGTGTTCAGTACCTTCCTCCTCTTTCTGGCCTGTGGGTGGTTCTGTCCGTCCTGAGCCTTGCCCAGCAGGTCTGGGAACACCAGGGGCTTGAGGGAGCGCGAGCGCGGGGTTCTGGGATAGCGGAACGGGTCCATCATCCGGAAGTCCCTCCCGTAACGCACGGTGCAGAGAGAGCGTGAGCGTAGGCGCCCTGCCGAGTGCAGGCTGTTAACACCGATCATGGTCAGAGAGGATCACGCAGGACTGGGCTTCAATTCCAAAAGGAAAGGTGAAGCCGAAGATGCCAAATAAAGAAATAAAAAAAAATCCTTCAAAGTTCCTTCAAAGAGATAAAAAAAAGTGTGGATGTGGTCCAGTAAATG